CTGGGCAGGAATATATATTTTTTATACCTGACCATTAACCTGCAGTCAGGTATAAAAATTTTGATTAACCTGACCTGACCTGGCCATTAGCCACTCTAAACTTAGATATAATAATTACTATAGTTAACTCTTATATCTATAGTTAATTTAATTTTTATACTTTAACCTGACTACTAGGTTAAGATCAGATTAAGATTAAGGTATAACAGTTAAGTTAAGCTACTCTAATTAATATTATTAGAAATTTTTTATTATTTTTTATAAATAAAAAAATATTATTATATTTTTTAATTAGTTTTTTTTATTTTAATAAACTTATTTTAATATATTTTTAAATAATAATTAAAATAATTAGATTAATTTTTATTTAATTTATATATATCTTAATTATATTAAAATTATAAAAGATATAATAAATAAATCTTAATATTAAAAATAATTAAAATAATTAATTATTTTATTTTTAATTATATTATAATTAAATATAAAAATTTCTTTAATCTAATTATTAATCTATAGTTAGGTATAAAAGTTTTTATTAACCTGACCTGACCTGGCTGTTAGCTACTCTAACCTTTTCCCCTTTATAAATAACTAATAATTTAAATTAGGAGATTTATTATTTAATTGATATAAAAAATATGACAACTAGGTTATTTACTATTTATAAATCTTGCCTTAATCCAATTACTTAGTTTTTTAATATATCAATAATTAATTAAGATAAATTAATTCAATATTTTACTTTTAATAATTATAGGTCTAATTTTCTAGAGTAAGATTCTTTTATAAACTCTATTTTTATATATACAAGACTAAGAATTATTTATATAAACTCTAAATTATTTAGTAGACTTATATAATTAATCATACTGTATACTCTGATAGTAATAAAAGTAAATTCTTATAAAGGAAAAGGTCAGCTAGATATCAAATTAGAGTACTTGTATTATATAGATAGAGACTAATCCTTACCTTTCTAAGATATAATAAATCCAATATATCTAAGATATAGATTTTACTAAATTATTAATATTATAACTATTTTATGATTAAGGTCTAGATAGTCTATTACATTAACTATTAGGTTATGTGGATTACCTATAGTTATTATAATAGAAATAATAAAAATGCTTTAGTAGTACTGCAATATACATAATTTAATATTAAATTAATTTTCTATAGATAATATATTTATAAGAATATTAGTATCTAAGCTAAGCTAATAATAAGAAAATAAATTATAAAATTAAAAATAATAAAAAATCAAATCACTACCAAAGACAGAAATTAGTAAAATAAAATTTCTAATATCCAAAAAAATAAGAAACTATATTTATTAAACTTATATATATTATTAAATAATCTATCTGAGAAACTTAAATATACTGATAAAAATTATTTTGAAATACAATATTACTATTTATTATTCCTAATAATCTTAGTTAATATAAAGAATAGATAACTTTAACTAGATAAGTATATGTAACTTTTAAATTATTAAATTAATTATAATAAAGTATCTTAAGTAGTTTACTTCTTTATATAATAATGTAAGGAAGAAACAATGGGATTCATTCAAAACAATAGCCAGTCAGCCAACATTACCCACAATCCCTGATTCAGGCCTGAATCAGGCTAATATGGACCCATTGACCCTAATTAGGTAATTGACTGCCTGAGGCAGGCTTGTAAGATCACCTGATCCTTACAAATAAAATAATTTATTATATTTTAAGATAAAAACTAGAATTATATACTAGTAATCTATTTATTATTATCAAAAATAGTTAATATAGTTTAAAATTAGTATTTTGATATATAATAAAATATTATTAATAATTTTACTTATTTACTAACTTATTCTAAAATTCTATTTTTATATAAACCTTATAGTATTATCTTCATATATATTTTGAGGAAAATGTATTAAATAAAAAATAGGTTCCTTAAAAAATATTTAAAAATCCACAAAATTAAGTTATATATATATTACTATTAATAATATAAAAAATCTGTTATATATAGAATTTTATAGTATTAGATTATATATATATTTTTTTACTAGTGTATTTTACTCTTAATAATATTTTGAATTAAAACTATTTCTATACTATAATTCATATTTCAATATAAGAAATTTATTTATTATTAATAACTATCAAAAATCTTGTAATTTTATCAATATGCTAAAATATAAGTTTTTTTTTTAAATTTAATAAATAAAAGAATAATTTACTTATCTTTTAAAGCTACTTATTTATCAGAAGATCTTATTTTTATTAATAAAGAGATAACTTTTATTAATCAATTTAATTTAATATGTTTTTATACTAATTTTTAATATACTATATAATTAATTCTATAGAATAATTAATATTTTAATTTGCAGAGTTTTAATGATTAATTAATTAAGTAACTAGCTGAGCAGTTAAATAGACTATATAAATTAAGATTTTAAATAAGCTTTTTTATTACTTTTAGAAGTTCATTCTATTTTATATATAATTTTAGATATAAATATCAATATATTCTTTAAATTAGATTAGTATAGCAGGCAGCCCTACTTTCCTTAATAAAAAAGGTATTACACTAATAACCAATATTCTAGTACCTATAACACTTCTCTACATAAATACACGTACAGGGAATCAAAAGGTGTATTTGCGGCATCCCTACACTGAGCCAACAACAACCGCAGTTGTGCAACTGCAAAGCCGGGCCCGCGGCGGCCGGTGGGGTAGCCTATTTTGGCTTAGTGCCAGGAACCCGTTCAAAGTAAGAACCAATAATCAGCAACTTCCCCCACCCCTGAGGAGATTGGCCTCCACCCGCCTTGAGAGCCAGACCGTGTTGGTCGACGGGGATAATGGATTTGACACTGGCATTTAGATGCAGTGCAGTGGGCTTCTGGAGGATCTCAATGTATCCACCACCACCATCACTGGGCAATGGGCAGTGGACACCCACTCACCCACCCCCACCAGACGCGGCGCTGTCTGTGACCTGCTGTAGGTGCCAGGTGGTATGTACTAGAGTAGCCTACGTAGAGGTGGTCAGTCCTGTAGAAATGGTTATAAAAACAAAAAGTACCTTGATTCTATACAAAACAAAAAAAAATAGAAATTTAAAGTTAGAATAAGTATAATAAAACCTCGAAGAATCACTGGGTATTATTTCTATAAAGTTATTCCTGTAAAAATCAAGAAAAATCAAGAGAAGGAGAATTTTTTAAATACATATAAGTCTAACTCTTAAAATACTATTCTTCATTCTTAAAAAAAAGAAAGTAAATAATCTTAGATATTCAGATTCCTTAGTACTATGATCAATAATAGTATAAGAACAAGAACAGTTGAATTCATTGAGAAATGATAATTTTTAGATCTTCAGTTACAGAACTTAAATTTTTAGATTTCTTCTATCAAATTTTCTTAAAATTAGGACTACTTTTAGATATACATAATCTATATATAAATTAGTATTAATCTAAGATAGTTGGTAAAACTTCACTGAAGTTATATGGTTGCAAAAAAGAAAGAAGAAGAAGAAGAAGAAGAAGAAGAAGAAGAAGAAGAAGAAGAAGAAGAAGAAGAAGAAGCAGAAGAATTACAGGAAGCAGTGTGGAAGAACTGTAGAGATTTTCAGATAAGTACCTGTACGTGACTGACTACCTCTACGTAGGCTACTCTAGGTACTGTCCAATGATACAAACCCACCTACAGGATAATAAGATGTAACTAGTTATCAAGTGAATGTTGACTGCGCTCTGGATATTATTGACAGAAAAGCTCTTTCAACAGTGTGAGCTACAGCATCCACTCAACGAATATAGGCATATGCGATCAAAATAATGACGAAGTTGTTGTGACGCAGGTACTAACACAGATATTAATACTCATCCATGACTACTACCCTGCAGGATCTAAACTTGTTGCCATGGGATCACGCCCCCTCATCCCAGGTGATTGCACAATGGCTCTATCTCCCTAACAGTACTAGCTGGCACAAAGGACTACTGACTGTTGATACGACACAATAATCAGACCAGATACTCTATACTATAGTAGGGGCCGCAGTGTGGTATGTAGCACAGTTACAGTAGCATGCAGTTGAGCGGCGTATCTGTAACTTATACCGTACTGTACCATAAGCACCGTGGAGAAGCCTCACGCTCTCAGAACAGGTTAGTATTGACCTTGCGCCTAAGAACCCAGTGCGCGCGGCCATGTTTCTCCTTTCTGGCCTGTATTCGTTTCGCCCTTGCTACCCAGTATGTAAATTGAATTCTGAAGCTTAACCAACACTGGGCTATCTATTTTTAAGATCGAAGCGATACCGAAGACTTGATAGGCAGATATAGTAAAGTGAGAGGGTCATCCCTGCTCTAATGTTGAGCATAATATACCTGACCGTATCGCTTCCCCTTGAAGCATCAACATGCTCTGGAAGACCTACTACCATTTTGTAAATTTCTCGGCGCGAAGCACAGCTTCATGTCTTGAGTGCGGATCGAAAAAAAATCACTGGCTAGTCCAGCCATGTTCGAGAGTATAGACTAATTCCTTGTCCCATCTCTGTCCTCAACGTTGAGGATAAAGAATGGTGTAAGAACTTCACCAAGCCTTTCCCATGCACAGCACGCATCACTCACCTAAGCCGCAGGTGTTGCAATTCGAATCTCAGACATCTTACTAGAAAAGGGAATGAAGCTGTGCCTTGTTCCTCAGGACCCTGTCTCCATGCGTGGCTTCTTCATGCCTACTCATCCATTTTCGATACGTTCATTCATGCTCATTCATGTCACAGGTAGAGGAGGCGGAAGACCCGGCTGTGAGTACAGTCAGCTCATTGTGTACGGCTAGTGTAATACCCATCAAGGAACATGATGAATTATCATTATGCCATTTCAACATGTCATATCGGCCCCAAATCCTGCTGCTTTTCTAACATAAAAAAATATAAACCGCTCTGACTCAGATCTCCGAACATCTGTACATCGAACATCTGTACGTCGAAACTCGAAGGAGGAGAATGAGAAAGAGACAAGACAATAAGATTCGTGATGGAATTTCACTTAGCCTCCAAGACAATGACACATCACATGAACAAGGAATAGAAAAAAGAATTAGAGGGAACGCCTTTCATTGGTGTACAAGAGCAGGCCACGCAACGTACATAGAAAGTAGGAGCGAAGAGGATTATACTTATGGCCAATTGTACACACGGGTAGATTTTCAAGCAGAATGTCCTTTAGAGGGCCAATCCTTTGTTGAGAGAAGGAAGGACCAAAGTAAAGTAGTCAGATCAAGGAGGATATATGCCCAAGATCCTCTTTCATGTCGTTACACATGTTAAGGAATTCGTTACTCTTGTAAAAGAAAGTACAATTGTGGATGAAAGCCAGTGTCATGAATCAAACCAAAAGAATTGACATGTCTCATCTAGGCGGGGCCCTCGAGGGTTGCGTTATCATTGGATGGTCGAGCAAAGATCCGACTAAATAGGTGATCCGACGGATGCATGTCCTCGCTAGGTCCTGTCGTTACACCCTCGGCCCTGCGAATTTCTTCTTTCAATGCGCGGGTTACAACGCCAGCACGCACAACAAGGTCCCGAAGAGACTGTGTATCGAAGGGAAGTTTTTTGGAGCGTGGAAGGTGGGAGTCGGGAAGTGGAGTTCCGTCCGCGTTGCGTTGTTGATAGATCAGATCCAGCACAGAATTCGGTTTTGTTGGGGCGTCTCTGTAATCCTGACTGGGAGCAGTAGTAGGGCGGGAATTCGCATTGTCCGAGAATGACAATCCCCAAGACCCTCCACTGGCTCGTTTCCACGGGTCGTTAGAGTTTGAGGAATCGCCTTCTGAATCATCAAAGCTGAATGTGAGAGACGATGGTGACCCAGGCGGAGAATCATTGCAATCGTCGTCATCAAGCGTGGCCAGATTCACGATACTTTCTGCCTCTTTCCAGAGCCCATTAGAGGGTCCGCGAACAAGATTCAGAAAACTTCCTTGGTGCCGAAGGCGCTTGAGCTCTTCCACCAACAATGTCAGCTCCTGAACCTGTCCAAACTGCCCATGCAGGCTAGCCTGACGTTCCATGATGGCCGGGGGGACAATCATGCCGCGCCGCGCATTGTTCTTGGTCGGTTTCATGGCCTCGGTGGCCGAAACCTCCTCGGTATCATCAAATTCAAAGTCGCTATCCCAATCTTCGCTGACACCTTTGCTACCTAGACCCCACGTCCCGAACTTGCTGCCCGACGTCTGGCGCTGCTCGCTAACGGTTGCTGGGTCTCTTGTCACAGGGACACTCTGGCTCCGAAGATGTAAAGTACTCGGGGCTTTCCTTCCGGGTGCACGACTGCCACGGGAGTGAGGCGTATGTTTACCATGAACGGTGCGTGGCCGCCCGTCGGGTCCGGTACCCTCACGGTCGCCCCTGGATTGCTCAGACCAGTCGAAGATATTCATTTTGGGACAAGTATCAACCAAGTCGGGACGGTATTTGCGGGGATCCGACACCACCGGAAGCTGCGATTGGACTAAGGTTGTCGAGGCCCCTGGGATAAGAATATTATCCTGATGGTACAGGCTATTCGAGCTCATTCTTGTCTGGAAGGCTGGCTCAGTGGATTCACTGGGCAGCGCAGCCAATAGACTATGCGTATCTTCATCATCTGAGAGATCGGATGGGAAGGATATATTGCTTTCACCTTCGTGCGGGTCTGTTGACACCGGAGGAATCAATGATGGCATGTTGTTCGGCGCTTCAGATGCATCCAAACCACAGTGAAGTTCGGAGAGGGGATGCGAAGCGTCAGAAGTACGCGAGTCTAGCCCTGCACTGTTGATAGCATGCACCTCTCTTGCAGTGACTGGCGGGGCACCAAAAATGGTCTCAATTCGAGGCGCGCATAGACCGGGGTTGCTACCGGTAGTCACGTGTGTACGAATTGAGTCGAAAGCGGTATCGCTCAAGAAATCCGTTTCGTCCTCATCACCAGACGTGAAGATGTTCGTCTCGTCAGAACCGATGATTGTGGAAGCGAGTTCAGATGCAGCTATCGAATGACGCTTCGGCTGCTGACGGATTGAACCCCGAATTTTGGTTAAAGGAACGGCGTCTGATGTGAATGGACGTGCAACAACATTATCGGGGTAAGCCATGTCTAGCCTGAAATCTTGGAAATGTGATGGTAAGGGCCTATGCCGTGGCCCTAGCATATCCGAAATCAATGACATAGGAACTCCTGTTTGCACAGCGGGTGATGGACGGCTGAAAAAGGTTGGGTCAGTTATATTACGCCTTCCGCGGGGTTTGGATGACACCAGAATGGCTCCTTCCTTGCTCATAGGGAAGAGAAGAGGCGTCGAGATAGCCCGTCTCTTCGAAAAGACCCCTGAGTTATTGTCAGAGCCTCCGAAATCCGCGGAGAGTATGGGTGTTGTCAAAGGACTTTTACTTTTGGGATCTGCGTTCTCAGCACAGAATGTCGATTCACAGCCGGCTCTTTCCGGTGGTATATGATCATCTAGCGGTTGTGAAGACTTGTCACCAGAACTGAACGGATCACGAAACAGAACTGGTGAAGCCGTATTTGATGCACTCAGGCCGTCAGCCGTTGCGTGTTCAGTTGCCCTGATAGATGTAGCCAGAAGAAGTGCTGGAACAGAGTCACTCCTTGGTACGATTCGTCGCAGTCCTTGATCTTTCGGCTTTGTGGCCGATGAAAACCTGCGAGCCAGTCTTTCTGAAAATTCATCCAGAGTGGTACTTATGTACGGTCGCCAGGTATGGTCGTGAGAGGGCGTAATCTCGCCTTCAGGGATAGCCGGAGAATATAAGGCCAAGTTTGGCTCAAAGTTCAAACTGTGTGTCGCCTTGTGACCAAACTTATCCGATCGTTGATAACTGGTAGCAGGCCTGCGGAGACTGGCGATGGCTGAGGTTGGCGGCGTACTGACCGGTAGCGGCTGGATGTTGGCATGTTGCGACAAAGGCCGCTTGACAAGCTTGTTGAATCTGCGCTGCGTGGGCGTGCGGGGAATGATTGGAGTAGCTGGGCCCCTGGGCGACAAAGAAACGGACGACTGATATGAGCTACGTTTCTCTGGTTGAAACGAAAGTCGTCGCACCCAGGAGGATGATGGCCGTCGGACAAATTGGGAAACTGTATAAGGGCTGTCATTCGCTAAGCACGGAGGTCCAGTCAAAGTTTGTCCCCGGCGACGCAGTCTGATACCTGCGAATGACGGTTTTCTCGAATGTTTTGATTCCTCTGCGTGGGTTGTACTAGAGTGCCCATCCTTACCGCGTCGAGGGAATTTTTCTTCGAGAGGCGATTCTGCGCCTGCAGTTGCGAATGGTTTGCGCAAAGCCGGGTCAATCAAGTTGGAAGATGGGATTTCTGCTGTGTCTGTCGCCGTCGCACACTGATCATGGAGCGGGAGGGTTCTTTTCCGATACCTGCTGGGCTTGGAGGGGCTTCGATCCACGCGACCGAACGCGAAGCCCGTTGCTGCGATACCGACGGTGCTAACGGCACATAGCTTAATGAAAGCAGATCAGCCAGAAGCACTTCTCGAGGAATCATCGGAAACATGGTAGACATCGCGTTTTAGGCCGATGAATAACAGACACTTCAAGCGGGCAATTGCTGCAAGATTCTCAAGGACATCAAACTCACCGTTGATACATGCTCCATTCTCAAAGGGCGCAGAACAGCGCCAGGTATCCGAAGCTCAGATTCGCAGCATCGAAATTACTTGCGACTTGACCTCCCATATGCATTATCATGCACGAGGAGGATCAGCTAGCGTGGTACATCTAGATAAGATCCTATCCAGAGGAACGAGAGATATGCCGACACAGTCCGATCAGAGATGCCCAGTGCTTATGCGGGACAGACGCCGAGACGATCACCGAGCTTGTTCTATCGGTGAAAACCTACAGTGCAACACCGGGCTCTGTTATTATGCGCTTGGACTGCGTGCGGGTGATGGAGTGTTGAAACCGGCTCCGAGGGCGGGGGAGAGCGCAAGGAAGGAATGGAGGTAGATATTAGAAATGAATGTCGCAAAAGAATGAGGTGTGGGAGGGGATTGACGGCAGCGACCGAACCCTTGAGTAAATCGGACAAATCGCAGCGATCCCCGTCAGCTGGAGAGGGGATGGCGAAAGTGATATTATTGGGGTTGAAGAAGGGATGGGGGGAGAGGATTCGAAAAAGAGAAGAAGAGAAAAAGAAGAAGAAGAAGAAGAAGAAGGAGAGAAGGGTACAGGAGGTGATAGTAGTAGTTAGCAGCAGTAGCAGCAGAAGAAGGTCAAGACAGTGAAGAAGAATTAAGAATAATAAGACAAAGGAATAATAACAACAGAGCCGGCCATCGATCAACACTCAAGGCCCAGTGGGACACGGCGGCCACTTGCTTTCCCTTCCCACGGGCGCGGTTCTTCTGGTTCTAGTCTAAACTCACCCACTTAGTTACTGGAGAAGAATGGATCACGCTAGGAGTTCCCACCCCCAGCACAACACCCACTGCAGGGCGATTTCAATGGATCGAAGATGGGATGAATGACTAGTCTATAGACTTCAATCATGCTACTTGGTAGAATTGAGATCTCCGTCATAAATAGTAACAAGTAATCGTAGGTAGGGACCTTCTGGAATACGAAACTAGGGGACCGGTGTCCACCGGCCGCACGTTCTTGTTCCTTGGAGGCTTACCATTTTCGACTCAGTCTGATCTCAGCAAAGGAGCTGCCAACAACCGCGGGGATTCTGGGTTTCATTTCCACTGGGCACTCGCCCCGGCCATGCTGAGGAGCGACCGGCCGGACTGTAACTCATTCCGACCTATTTCAGATACTCAGTCATGGCGGATCGCGGTCAAGTCCATGGTGGACGGGATGCCTGTGGGGGGGGGGGTGAATTCCGATAGGTAGTATATACGTAGGAAGATTATATGCAACCCGTTTTCTACAATGCGTTGATTTCAAACACTATCCTATCGACAGGTACGGTACCTTGGTTCAATGTTGCATGGCACTGAATGACTGACGTGGATGCAGTCAGGAAGTCGGAAGTCTCCGCGCCCGTCAATGTCCATGGTATATCTCTCCTCCAGCTCAGGCTCAGGGCTTGCTACATTGGCTATCAAAAAGGGAAAGAGAGGGAGGCCGCGCATGAGTTTGCCTGGTGATGACTCGCCCAAGGATAATGATGGATCAAGATTGATTTACGGTAGGGAACTACTGAGTAGGTACCGAACGGACTCCATACCTGTTCGACAATCAGATTATTCTGAGATATTTAGTGCGCTAGCCAGACGCCATAAAAGCTAAGAGCCGAGAGGGTCAGACCGGTGAGTACAGCTTGCTGAGTAGCAGCAAACCGCCCTTTCTTGACTAGAGTCAAAATTACAATGGTGCAATCATGACGATGTGCGATCCTTGCACCGCAGCAGCGACCACTGCACTAAGTCTTTTAGCGTGCACGATCCTACTTATTTTACCCTGGGACTGCTCCTGAACCTGTGCGCTTGGTTCAATATTGAACCAAGCCGTTCCCCTCGATCTCGGTAATATATGTCAAGCCCAACCGATCTTACAACTGAGATTCATGAGTGCCAGATGTTTGAGATCTATTCATCTTCTTTACTTTGGAAGGTAGGGACAGATAGGTGGCGACTGTTGCTCTGCACTGTTTTGTGACAATCATCGAAACTTCTTCTTTTATTTTCTATGATGCAACGATCCCTTTGGCGGCTCTCTGGAATTCAGCGTGCAACGTGCCCGGTCAGATATTGTTTGTGGACACTGGACAGAGCCTAGAAGGTATCCAGCGATTTTGGAATGAGGGCCCTGTGGTGACACCAGGCCGTCTCATCCCCACTCTACCGCGGTAGCTCTCTCGGCTGGGCCGGCGAGAACTGAATCTGGAGATTGAATCGGTTATTCTCTAGCTTTGCAAGCTCTTGCTTGATGTTTCAGGCTATTATTCATGTACTGTGCATACTACGTACAGCCAAAGTGAGATCGAATCAATCTCCCGAATGATCTCTGAGCTGATATTGGTGAGGCTTATCGTAGTGTAGCGATCAGGGACGGTACCTACTTTCTCGTCAGCCCTCAGGTACCTACCGATGGTTCCAAGGCACGGGATCCAAGGGAACAAGCGGGATGATGTCCTTCAGTCCCACCGCACATTTTCCTTAAGTTCTTAGACTTGCTGGCTCTTGCTCAGGCGATCGATTTTTCCACCGCGCTTCTTTCCTATTCCCAGTCTTCGCTCCTGCTTCCAAAGAATGACGACAGACCAAACTTTGCATTACCCACCACGGGCGCAATCATTTTCCGAGAGAGGCTGGTTGTCTAGACATTCTACTAAGTATGTCAACTGAGTCAAAGAGCGCTGATAGGTGAATGAACTGGCGCAGCGCCCGACTTGTTCGGGGCTCCTTCAAGGACCTGTTCTCCTGCTACAACAACATAGAAGCTTCAACTTGCGCGCTTTGTTAATCGTTCCTTGGGATACCCTGACTGCGATCCTTAGCACACAACCGACCAAAGCAGGGGGGTGGGAGAAAAAGTGAACATGATACTAGGGGGCTTAGTACATCTCAGATGTCAAAATGCAAGGCCAACGGTGTCTAGTCCGTTACTCTGAGCCAATTTGGCAGGTGCAAGGACTCCAACAATGGTGATAGATATTAGATCATCTGTTCGGGAGGGAACGTGGGCTGCAAGTTTCTTCCCAGCCGAGGTGCTCCACTTTCCCTGACCCGGCCGATAGTCGGTCGGTCGGGGATGGGCCTTGTTATTAAGAAGGATTGACATTTGTAATCATTTCATTCAGCTTTAGAGCCATCGACTGGTCCATCGACTGGTATGTGTGGTCGGCGCTCTTTGAATTGTGCGTTGGGCAGAGTGGTGTCATCACTTCGTGCCCATTCTTGACCTTGACCTTGAATCAAGATCAACAATGATAATACTCATAAGCAGAATGGGAACCACAATCATACGTGATTGATCTATGTTGCCCACTCCCTAATTATCCCATGCATTACCCTGCTGGAGATGCATCAGTCCTAGTCACAATTCTCCCCATGGTCGTTTGTCATTGCCTGAGCGACGATATGTTTAACTGGTTTTGAGTCCGCTGGGTATCTTTATGTTTCAGGATCTCCTTTTTGGCCCCCTGCTGTAGACATAGACAGACACAAGCCCTTGCTGAACAGACCTTGAATTAAACCGCCTGACTCTTCCTCGGGCTCCCTTGGTGCGTCACAAGCAGGAACACCCGGTCGCCCTTGCTTCTCAGACACAACTGTTAGTGCGGCTAATAAACTAGGCGAGTCCTGTAGCATACGACACTCAGAGCTCGACGCAGTCTAGCGATCCCTGTCATGGTGCTGAGATATAGGAGGGGGCTGGAGAGTCTATCCTCCGCCCTTATCTCCCTTGACAACCCGGGTCGTTCGAATCCTTCATTGGCGAAACTAACAGGGTTTGCACGGTACCATGAACAACTGTCTCGATGCAAATCACAAGAGTTTTAGATTGACCATCCTTGCAATATCCTATCAAGTCTAACCGATCTCTCTCCGAGCGTTGGTAGCGCCCTTAGAACAGGACCTTAGTGTATATTCAGCTGGTGGCAAAGCTGAATACTACGGCGCCAGACCTTCCTCAGCTTGATCTTAGCTGGAGGCAGAGCTCGAATGAGACTAACTAACTACGGCGCTATGCTGAGTCACCGAACATGCGGCGTTTGCCGGCCTCTTGAGAGACAGCAAACGATCAGAGCCATAGCGTGAGTCATTAGCGGGAAACAAATTCGCTGCAGTTGTTCGTTTCTAATAAACTATCTACATTTCCTGATGCGCATCAACTAGTTTGGCTTTGATTGAATGGCTACGAGCTAGTGACATGATATGTTTTGTTTATGATGAAGCTAGAATAACTTCGAACCTGGAAGGTTTGTCTTTCCTTATGGGCGGTCACGGTGAGCAGAATAGCAAATCAGCCATATCATGTGACAAAAAATGGAGACCATTTGTGGTTGGAATATCCGCCGTCTTGCAGGCCAATACCAAGGAGGGTCTCAATATACACGTCCCAAAATATTGTCTCCTGCTTCAGGCTGAGGCTGTATATGTGCGAAAACGTAAGATTGCTTCTTTTCGTTCTCGGTTGTAGATTTAATCTGCCCGTCCGTTAATCCCAAATAACCGCTTGGGCCGACCCACACAATAGCCGCCACTCCAAAGCTCTGTCAGTGGTCAAGGTCCTGCCAGAGAAAAGATTGTCAAGCTGTTGCTTTGACAAGAAGACATTCCTCACATTGTTTTACCAGCCTTACAAAGGAAGACCTTCTTTCGAGGCCGTCGCTGAAAGTGTTTGTACTGAGACACCAAAAATATTTCTGCATTTGGACGCTGCTTCTCCACCGGTTTGGCATCGATTCTCCATCGCAATGGAGGCAGAAATCCAAGCACAGATTCCCGGCATTGACCATGTGATCTCCGAATACTCAGTGGTAAGCGTCGAATAGTATCGTTGCATGGCATCCCGATCGCAACTCTGCCGCTAACTTTACGCAGGGCTATCTGGCTCATGCATCAAAGGCCTATGTCGAAGATGTAAATGCTCCGTCTCCGCTTTCCGAAGCAGCTGATATGGTCACGGAACTTTTGCTCTCTGCGTCAGGAGACTTCTCCCCCGAGAATGAGAAGGCCATTCGAAACCTCGTTGAAAAATTCATTTCTTCACTCGGCGCGTCCGATGGAGTGGATGCAGAGCGCAGACAGATGCCCTTCACTGCTAAAAAGCTTGACCAGGCAATCAACGTCGGGTCCCAGAAGAATATTTCCTCGACTCTGGGTCTTGCCGGAGGCAACGTCGATCTAGAGTCTGCTAACGCTAGGAAAGTGGAGTCTCGCGTCGATCGCAAGAAATTAGAGAAGGCCGAACGCAAGATTCGTGCTAAGCAGGAAAAGAAGCAGATGAAGACGGTACAGTATGAATCCTCTCGTCTACTTAACCAGCCCGATAGCGCTATGTCTTATGAGGAATTCTTTATGGCCGTCAATCCTCTTCAACTGGGCTCTGACTCTCAGTCGAAGAGTAAGGACATCAAGGTTGACAGTATTGATATCTCTGTTGGAGGGCACCGTATTTTGACTGATGCTTCATTGACTTTGGCTTATGGGCGACGCTATGGTCTGGTGGGTCAGAACGGTATCGGAAAGAGTACTCTTCTGCGCGCGCTAAGTCGACGTGAAGTGGCGATTCCCAGCCACATCTCGATCTTGCATGTTGAACAGGAAGTATGTCTGATCATTTGCGCTTGATACTTACATAAGTATGGTTTGCTGACTTGGATGGGTAGATCACGGGTGATGATACTCCTGCTCTTCAGGCAGTTTTGGATGCCGATGTCTGGCGCAAGCGCCTATTAGCCGACCTAGAGGTCAGCCCCTGTTCTTCTAAATCGATTGTCTCATCTTTTGACTTGCTTCCAGAAAATCACCAAACAACTCGCCGAGATTGAAGCGGAAAGATCGTCAATGGCCGACACTTCAAAGGATGCTGCTAGACTTGACCACGAAAGGGAGGGTTTGGATATCACCTTAAATGATATTCATGCAAAGCTTGCAGAGATGGAGTCGGACAAGGCCGAGTCCCGTGCTGCTAGCATTCTGGCCGGCCTTGGCTTTTCATCCGAGAGACAGCAATTTGCAACAAAGACATTCTCAGGTGGTTGGCGGATGAGATTGGCCCTGGCTCGGGCACTTTTCTGCGAGCCGGATCTGTTATTGCTGGACGGTATGGCTCCATTGACCCCACGCTAACTGTTTTCATTTCCTCAGCATGCTAAACGTGCGCAGAACCGTCCAACATGTTGGATGTGCCTTCCATCACTTTCTTGTCCAACTATCTGCAGACCTATCCCAGCACCATCCTCGTGGTTTCTCATGACCGTGCTTTCTTGAACGAAGTAGCTACGGATATCATGCATCAACACTCTGAGAGACTCGACTACTACAAGGGGGCCAATTTCGGTGAGTATATTGATGCACTGGGGAAGGAAGTTGCAAGCTGATGACTCTTAGATTCTTTTTACGCAACCAAGGAAGAGCGGAAGAAGAACGCGAAACGTGAATATGAGAAGCAAATGGCCGAGCGCGCGCATTTGCAAGGTATGCCATCCTGCCATGCGCTAATCTTAGTGTACTCAAGCTCACTGGTCTAATTAGCATTCATCGATAAATTCCGCTACAATGCCGCCAAGTCGTCTGAGGCGCAATCCAGGATCAAGAAATTGGAAAGAATGCCCATCCTGGAAGCCCCAGAAAGTGATTATGTCGTTCACTTCAAATTCCCTGACGTCGAGAAGCTTTCTCCCCCAATCGTACAGATGACGGATGTCTCCTTTGGATATACGAAGGACAGACCGCTTCTCAAGAATATCGACCTCGATGTGCAACTCGATTCTCGTATCGGCATAGTCGGTCCTAACGGTGCGGGTAAAACAACTGTCCTCAAGTTGCTAACAGCCCAACTTCAGCCGACATCTGGTTTTATGTCGCAACACGCCAGGTTGCGTATCGGTTATTTCGCACAGCACCACGTGGATGCCTTGGACTTGACGACGAGCGCAGTGAGTTTCATGGCAAAGACCTATCCAGGAAAGACAGATGAGGAATATCGGAGGCACCTCGGAGCGTATGTGGAAGCTCTTTTCACCTTGACTTTTTTCCTTTACTCGCTCTTCTTCGCACTTACTAATCATGGCCTTGTGTTCAATTATAGTTTCGGCATTACTGGAATGACTGGGCTCCAGCGCATGGAGCTCTTGTCTGGAGGTCAAAAGTCCCGTGTTGCCTTTGCCTGCCTCTCTTTGACGAACCCCCACATATTAGTCCTAGACGAGCCCTCTAATCATCTGGATATCGAAGGTATGGATGCGCTATCTGAAGCTCTACAAAACTTTGAGGGTGGTGTAGTGATGGTCTCACACGATGTGACCATGCTTCAAAATGTTTGCACCAGCTTGTGGGTTTGCGACAAGGGCACCGTTCACAAGTTTGATGGCACCGTGAATGCCTACAAGAAGTTGATCAGTGCTCAAGCTAATGAAGCCGGAGTAGCTGCTCCTCACTAAGGTGAGAGGCATGACGTGATCGGGTTCAATTAGCTCTAGACCGGGAGAAACATTATTGCCGCGCCTGTGTACAGCACATGGTTCTGAATTGGTAGAACTCTCAAAATGTTTTAGCCCACCTGTTTCTCCTATGGAAACATATATAACTATATACTACTCATATATGCTAACTTACATACTACTGCGACTTGAGAAAACTACCAAAGTGGGTCACAACCTGACGCCCACGCTTATATAATGGATACCGCCTCCGGTTGCTCCTCCCCTAGATCAATTCCAGATTCTGTATTCACAGCTACGTTCGCATGAACAGCTGATTGACGCCCTAAAGCCCTGACCCACCAACCTCTATACGGATCCCCTAGACTTGCAGCATATGAAGCAGCCTTTGAACTATGAACTGCAGGAACGAGATTGAGTCGTCGGATTCCCATGCCCCTTTACTTTCCCCGGATCCGTTGGCGCCACAAGACAATGACGAAAATCCCCGCATCTCTCACTCTTGGGCAACACTGGCAGGAGACTGGTTTATATGGTCTTTAACATTCTCTGCTGGAATTAGCGGGCTATTGTTTGGTTACGAGTAGGTAGCACTTGGTGTTCCCAAGCTTGGGCGCGATACTCCAATTCCGCAAGCATTGGGGTTTTTCATAGTCAAGTGGCTGACGTTTTTGGCTTCAAAGCACAGGCGTCATTTCTTCAACGCTCGTATCGATTGGTTCTGACCTTTCTGATCGCCCGCTTACCACTCTAGACAAGAGTCTTATCACATCATGCACAAGCCTATTTGCCCTGATCGCAAGCCCATTGGCGGGCATATTGGCGGATAAATTCGGTCGCAAAAAGGTCATCATCATTGCGGACGTGTTCTTCACCTTAGGGGCTCTCATTCAGGCTATAGCCAATACCGTGTGGGGTATGATAGCTGGAAGGAGCATTGTTGGCTTGGCTGTTGGCGGAGCAAGTCTGGTTACACCATTGTATGTCACGTTCTAGTATGGGAGACTAGATTTATCTCGAAGGGAGAGATACACAAGAGTTGCCACCTCTAACAAAGCTAATATCGTTTCCCCAGGTATATATCTGAACTCGCGCCATCTCATGCGCGTGGAAGACTAGTGACGATTTTGTGTCTACTCATCACTGGGGGTCAAGTCATAGCTTATGTTATTGGCTGGCTTTTTTCCAATACATCTGCAGGTTGGCGCTACATTGTTGGCATTGGAATGATTCCTGCTATCTTTCAATGCATCGCTGTTGTCGCTTTACCCGAAACTCCACGATGGTTGGTGCAAACAGGCCTGGATGATGCGGCTGCAGACGTCCTATTAAGAGTCTATCAGGGCCACGACGAAAGTAAACAAATGGCTGAGAGTATTTTGCATGATATCCAGCAAGAAGTATCCGAAGAGGCTGAGACACTAAACCGTTCAAACAAATTGTCTGGACAGTATGAGTACTGGATTCCGAATGCTATCCAGCGCACTCGCAATCTCTTCCTAATCGGTGGTAACCGCAGGGCACTAACGCTAGCTGTTATGCTACAAGGCTTACAACAGCTATGTGGATTCAACTCACTGATGTATTTCTCGAGCACGATCTTTGCCATTCTTTCCTTTTCCTCCCCTACTCTCACAGCGTTATCAGTGGCAATGACCAACTTCATTTTCACTCTATTTGCATTTGTATACATTGATAGAATCGGACGACGCCGCATCCTTCTTTACTCCATACCTGTCATGATTCTTTCGCTCACTTTCTGCGCCATGGCCTTCGGATCGTTACCCCTAACCAAGTCATCATATGAAGCTGGGGGAAGAGACAAAACAGGTGCCACTATCATTAAGGATACTCTTCACCCGGTTTCAGTCCTTCTGTGTCTCACTGTTTACACGGCGTCGTACGCTTTCGGTCTTGGTAATGTCCCCTGGCAACAATCCGAACTGTTTCCCCTGAATGTACGCTCGTTGGGTTCGTCTCTTGCAACAGCTACGAATTGGGGATCGAATTTCATCGTGGGCTTGTCCTTTCTGCCAATGATGGAATGGCTGTCACCAGCATGGACGTTCGCGGCATATGCGGCTGTATGTGTACTGGGGTGGATTGGGGTGTGGGCTATCTACCCCGAGATGGGCGGGCTCAGCCTAGAGGAGGTAAAAGGTCTCCTAGCCAACGGCTGGGGAGTTCGAGAAAGCCTGGAACGGAATCTTCGCGGTCATGAAGTGGGTACAAGATACTAGTCTAGATGCCCAGGTTATAAGCCTCTCTCCGGTTGTCACTAATGAAGAGCATGTGTCTGATTCAAGGAGATAGTGAGAGATATTGGTGCTGGATCATCTTGCTCTCCAGTTGTGCCTTACAGGCTATAGCAAAAGAGCCATGTTGCCTATTCACCTTACTTTTCGAACATGTCTGTGCTTAATTCACTTTGGCAGGTGTTCGTTCAAGCCTGCTATGTGGAGCTGAAGCTGGAACTTGGTCAGGGCCGCACTGCTCTAGACCGAACAATACAAATCGACTACTGAACCGGGTTTGAGGTAAAGATGAGCCGTATGTGGGAATTTATCTTTTCTTGTTTGGCAATTGTACACTGGCAAAGAAGTTAAGTAAGTTTAAAAGATTAAAAGAGAAAAAATGGGGGCTTGGCTGGTCCGACTTGATTTAGTCTGATTGACCACCAGAACTTTACCTGTCACGGAGTTCTTACAAACCACATCCTAGTAGCACTTGTCCCTAGATCTCTATGACAGGTTGGAACTACTCTTTCACAGGGGACGAGCCTCAATCACATGCCTTACTCTTATGCTTCATTTCGGAAGCAGGTGCGGATCGATGTATGTCAGAGTTGCAACTGACAATGAAGTGCTTAGATGCTATCGTCCACTTAGCTATGCATGGCATTGATTGCATATGACAGCTGTTCCAAGATGAATCGCGACCATGTACTCAAGAAGGCTTAACCTAGTGGTCAATCCAATGATCTCACGGAACTATTTACTCCGACTACCGACTGAGGTACGCATCCTGCCAAGTATAACAATATTCCTACGCGGGTTTTCTGACCCTGGCTAGATGATTCAATATATAGCTTACCTTCTGCCAAAGGACATCGATGTTGTTCACTTCTCTTTGTGCTGCTCCTTGCTAGCGGCTTTAATTCTTCCGGCCCAGTCCTCCGTCTGGTGCGCACGATTTGGAGATACCTATGACTTCTACGAGGAGCACTCTTCTGCTGAGCTGAGGGTTGAATATCAGACGCGTGCCATAGTCCTCTCCCAGGAAATTAACTTCAAGTTCGATCAAACGGAAGCAGAGACACTCTGGTTGGAGGTGTTGCGGGACATGCTCCTGGAGTCCTACAGCTGCTCGAAGTTGAGTGAATCTATTCCGAAGACCTTTCAACGATTGCGAGATGTACTTCGTCAGTGCGATTTCCTGAGAAGGCCCATCAGCGGCTACGGGTTGAGGAAACGAACGCGTCCCTCTGACCTGTTCTGTGGGGTTCAATTGGTATGCTACCCTCTGCCCCTTACCTTGAAGATAAACTCATAAGCGTAGTGCATCGTTGGCTTTGGAAACTTTTATGTCCTTTCGCTATCTTCGCAGCGATTACAACGTAGGTGTAGCCTACGCTTTCGATGCCGGCGCGGCCATACCATTCGTCGATATTCGAAAGCTGGACCTCGAGAGCATCCTACACACACGCAATTTCTGGCTTCGCCATCTTCTGAACCCGGACGAAGCCACTTTCTATACCCCGTTCGCATCTTCACAACCATGCTACAGGCCTAGGGCATGGGAGAACCTAGTGATCAAGAATTCACGATTGGCCCACAACTGGTTCGGATACTACTGTAGGTGACCACAGACGTAACCATGGAAGACGAAGTCCACAACTACTGATCTTATGGCACCATGTAGCATACATTCATCCGTGCCCAACGATGTTAAATGCCCTGGAAAATCGCCAAAGCTGTGTCGATCTGGAAACCCATTTGTCGCTAGTTGAGCCTATGGTGAGTAGATCTCGCACATCAACCCAATGATTACAATACTCATATTTTGATGGGCAGAGTCTCCGTCTCGAACCCGGCGGTGGCCCCCTGAATTGGCCCCCGTTGTTCGAGGCAATAATCCCAACACAAGGTCAGGATACCAATCGGATTTACTATCGCGGCATGCAGGTAACCCATGGTTCCTTCGATAACACGCTTTATCTGGCGAGAGGCTTTGTTGAATCCATTCACGTTCCGCAAGGAGGGTTCCCTGACTGGTGCCGTATTTGTTTTATACTCTACAGATCGAATTATGTCAAACTCACAAATTTGCCGGTGACTACCAGTGCAAAGTCTGCAGGTTATGAAGATAGGTGGTTTGTCGAGGAGTGGCCGCCTCTCGATATTTCGATGGATTTTGAGTGCATGGTTACGAAGGAGTCATATTTCCTAGTGGAATGATAATGATTGGGCGATGGGTCGACATGATGGAACCATCGGCAAGGGAACCCTTTATCTTCTGGCGTATATGATACTCGATTGGCTAAGTTGATTGTGTTCTTGCAAGCAAACATTGGGAAGGGTGGGGGTTTGTGTACAATGACCGGTAGAGACCGGAATAAACCATTATTGCAGATTCTGGAAAGCACAGGACAAGAGAGGAGTAATAAGATAACAAAGGCCTACTCTTCAATATCCTTGACCTTCTCCCATTGTCCCTTCAGGTTCTCCTTCCACAGACTGACTTTGTTATCCCCGCCACTCACCGCAAGAATGTTGCCGCTCGGACTCCAGCTTACTCGCCAGAGAACGGTGTCGAACTCGAGTCGCTGACTGGCCCACTGCCCAGGGTTTGATACATCAGAGGTCCAAATCCGGACAGTTTTATCTTGCGAAGCGGATGCGATGTAAGACTTCGAAAGGATGCTAGGCGACCAAGCGACGTCCCGGACCCAGTCGGAGTGGCCTTCCATCGATTGAGTGAGGGTGTAGGACTTAGACTCAGGGCTGTGTTGCCGTGAAGCACAAGTCAGCAAGCTTGATACTATAACGAAGAGCGGACATCTTACTTGTAATCCCATATCTTGAGCAAGTTGTCACTTCCACCCGTCACGAACCTGCGCTGCTGACCGAGTCCAGGGTTGGCGCTGATCAAGCTTCCAGGAGCTGCAGCAGGCGCCCAACTGATAGAGTTCACGCCCATTCCATGCGCATGGAAGATCTGATGAGTCCAGCTGTTGTCGCGGAATTCAAGGACGCTGACATGTCCGTCCGAGGAGGCGCAGGCCAAGACACAGCCACTCTCATGGGGAGCCCAAGATACCATGTTCACCGAAGCAGTATGAAGTGAGAAATCAAAGACTTTAGTCCAGGCACCGCCACCTACGGGAGATGTCGTGTTCTGATGTTGTTCACGCCAGATAAGCACTTTTCCATCGTAAGAAGAGGAGGCCAGAATGGTGCCAAATTTTGGATGGGCCTAGATGAATCACGATTTGAGCGAAACGTCAGCGACAGACAAATGCACTAATCGGGCAAAGAGTCATGGATTTTGACAAAATAAGACGTACCCATGCAACACACCACACTGCTCCTTCATGGCTAGATCCATTCAACCGAGTCAGAATAAAAAATCGCGCTTTAAGTTATGTACTTGTTGAGTTCCTTACCCCTTCAGAGTCTCGACTAGTCGGTGTGTCTCGCCTTCAATCTCAAAAATCCTTATCGTCTTGTCCGAGGAGCATGTCGCCAATCTGCGGCCATAGTAGTCCAGGCCCGCATCGTGCTAAAGCGCAAGCCGGTCAGTTACTGGAGTTGCGAGCAATCGATACTTCGATCATCAGATATCATTCAGACTATCTCCGCCATAGCCAACGTACAATCATATCATCGTGTCCAGAATTGGAGATCACTTGCGCAGCCGCCTAGATGCCCCTCATGGGGGTGGTGTTAACGAACGGCTAAGGTCATGGATCAAGAAAAACACACCATCTTGATGAGAGGTCGCACCAGATACCAAGTGTATTCAGCTCCAGAAATTAGTATCGTATTATAAAAAGATGTGGTGCAAGTTTTTGAGGCAGAAGACGACCGGAGTGCCAAATCAGGGACGTTATAGGAGGAGAAGCAAAACACCCGCCAGCTTGTCCGTTTCGCAGTCAGTCAGCCGCAGCCCGATCTTATCTTATCAGCTCAGTCAGCCATCTCTAGTCACGCTTGTCTCCAGACACGTGAGAAGGGCCTCGGTTTTCCTGTCAACCTCATGGCACTCCATACTTCAATTTAGCTTGTACTTCTCTCATTGTCGTTGAGTGCATGTCTTGCCTACTCAGCACCCACTTGCTGGAACTCTTATGATGGACTTTGGCTCTCCTGTTAGTCAAGGTTACCTCGTACAGAACTACTAAACCTTCTCATCTTGCAGCAGCAGCTGGTCTACTCATCAATATACAAATCCGCTTGATTGCCACCAGCAGCTTCACTTCTCCAGCATTCTAATCCCGCAAGCTGCCTGTCTAGCGGGAGTCTTCTCAATTCAAAGTGCTTTCCGAAAACACTAATCATCATCAATGTCGTCAGAGTAGTTCTATTCATGCAACTTCATTCTGCTTATTGATGGATGATAAAAATTGGATCTGGCTCTGTTGATTACTCCTGACAGGGAGAGATAAGCCATATTGCTACCACCTGAAATTACCACAGAAACATTAGAACAACTCTTCAAATTATGTCTTTCTGTCCTTGGGAACTGGCGTGCTTTCATAGACTTCTAATTGTTATGGATGGTCACTTCTCAAAGTCTATCGATATGCTATCTTATAGGCAGTAGCTCTGCAGATCATCAATATTAGCTTATACAAGCGGCATGTTATTACTCTTGCTTGTATAGCTCAGCGAGAAGCCCTTCCTGGGTCTTTGTTTGGGGTCATATATGTCCATGATAATGCCGACTAAGTCCTTCCACTGTACTCGCTCACAGCAGCCGAAAACTCAGTATATGGAAATCCGGCAGACAATCCCCTCGACTACGAAGAAAACGATGAAGCGAATGAACAGGAACAGCTAATCTTGACAGTCATCAGAATCAACACTGACGCATCGATCAATATCAGGGGCAGTGCGAATACTGCCACCGCGCGGTATCGCAAGTTCGTTTACATCCTCCCACATACCAACGGAAAGCCTTGATACCTTGATCTCGATACCGCCTATCATAGATACACCCATCCACGCTTTGATATCCCTCTTCAAGTGCGGATAGCATCTCCATAATGTGTAATGGCTTTCGCACGGTTGAGCCAAATCCTGTCATTTTGGGTGTATATTCTCTTGTACTGTTGTCTTGTTCTGTTTACCAGAGTACTCTCAAGAGATTGGAGGTGATGGGGACGGAGTTACTCCAAATGAGCTTCATGCATTTGGGCCCGAACAAGAAAATAACCCATGCCTACAGGTACTGGGTACATACAGGTTTTGATCCGCCCACCCTGCTTTTCAACAAGGCTACACGGCCACGAATAACTTGTACTACGAAAATATGACAAAGGAGTCCATCAAAAGACAAGATGTTAACACGAGGAAATAAGCATAGCACAAGAGCGAAGGAGACACACAATGCAGCCTGTATACACACCCGGAAGTGAAAGGCATAACCAGATAAAGAGAATGAAGAAGAGAAGGACGAGGACGAGAACGAAGGGGAAAATCAATGTAGGGCAACAAGGAAGAACCAGATAGGAAGGACTTATGCATGGGAAATACAATATCAAACTGTAGCCAGATATGATCCATTGAGCTCTGAGGAGCATGCGAGTCTCGGCGATACTGACGGCCAGTGAGGAATAGAACGCAAATGAGGTAGAAGACGCCTGTCCTGACTGTAAAGATTCATTAGAGATATCATAAATGAGGTTGATAGTACATGAGTTGTGCTCCGGGTCGGATTGGAGGCGGAGCAGGGCAAAAGTAGGCTTCTAGAAAGCAGCCAGGGTGCGAAAATCGTGGGAAAGCTGATCCTGATAGACAGGTCGAAAGACTATCAATGCTGCCTGAAGGTACTCGAGGCGGCTGAAGTCCACTGATACTGAAACCAGCCACGAAGACGCAAAAACGCCTGGAGGTGAATGAACAACAGAGGGGTGACCAGCTGCATTCCAGAGGTTCTACCGGCCTATTGGCATATCATGACGGTGCAGGTCTCTTGACCATTCCGGCGCGATCTTATCCCGTTCATACAGTAGACCACAGTTGTGGCAGAGCGTCTTATATCGGAACAGGTCAGCCTTAAAACGTACCACGTAAGCGGAGCATCGCAGTTGTCTTACCCTTGGGCCCGTCGGTCCGTCTCGTACAGCCCAGACTGCGGTACCCCATACTAAGCAGTTCGTGCATCGCCAATTTTGTCGCTCCCTGCCGACCAGAGATCCGTGTTAGTAAGACGGTCACTGCGCAAGCATGACGCACGGTGAGGTATGCGACGAACCAGTCCGAAAGAGTCCCGCCACCTCCTCCATAACCTGCACCAGACCCAGTATCTGGCGTGCCTCGACCGCCAGGCGTTCCACCCCTGCCAAGCGGACTCAAACTACGGAATCGCCTCTTGCGCTTGCTTCTCTCGCCTCTGCCCAAGGGAGTTTCGCTATCGACATCGAAGTAGCCACTTCCTTGTCGAGAAGCTTCCGGTGTGATGCCGGCTGTTGAAGAAAATCTAGCAGTCTCTCGCCGAAGACGTCTGATTTGTCGTTCACGGTCGCCTTCGCGCTTTTCGATTTCCTCCTTCGACAGTGTTTCCACCTTTGGTTCCCATTCATCACCCAGCCCTTCAGGGTCATATCGCCAGCCTGCATCAGCCCCATTGGCCGCTTGATTGTCAATCTCGTTTCCATAGCCTCCCATACCGCTAATCAACCCACCACTTTCACACACTTCTTTCTTCAGCTTGAGTACTGCTTCGTAAATGCCATGCGCAATGGTTCCCACCCATTCTCCACCCAGGCCTAGATCCGCGCATGTGATTCGAGCGAATTCCTCCGCCATGCCGGGAGGATGTAGCAGTGACCATTCGAATTTGTCTGTGTACAGTTTGTTCTGCAAATTGATGTTTAGATTAATCATGCACCTGTATGCATCATCGGGATTTAAGAGACTGTCGTTAATCAGTGGTTCCTTCGATACTGTCACCTGGTTGGCTCTGCTGTCAGGCGTAGCAGCATGGGTTGAAGCGGGCGTAGCAGACATATCTCTCGAAATAGCTGACGGCAAAGCAGGTGGTTTACTTTGCACACTCTGAAACAAAGGATGTAGTGCAACACCGGCGTACTCTTCTAATTGTTGGCGTATTTGGTTGCTGATGGCCATCGTCATCGCCTGTGGGTTGGGCAAGTCCATGTCGCGAACAAAGCCGATCGCGAATTCTTCAGGGGTTGCGAGAGCCTCATGGAGGTTCCAAAGAAATGTATCCTTGATTCGGTAGGCCGGCAACGGGTCCTGCTTTCTATATGCAGGTAAGGTAGAGGCGATTCCAGGATCGAGCATGGTTCGCGGCTGAGGGAACGCTTCGAGAGGCTGATGCGCAGGGACTTCCAGGTCAATTCGAATAGGTATCAATGTGAGAGGGAGCTGCGCTTGTATTTGCAACTGATCGGCACAGCTGGATATGAGGCGCAAAGAAAAGTCTCAAGTTAGCATAGAGAAGAAATAAACCCAATGAATGAACCAACAAGAGCTGAAAGATAACATTAAAAGATTGAGAGGCATCCGACATACGCTGGTCGCAACATGCGCTTGATCATCCAATCACGAAATACCCCTTGAACCTCCACGGGAGCATGTATCTCTTTCCCCAGTTTTTCGGTCAAAGGGATCTTGTCGAGAGTCGAATCCTCTCGTCGGAGACTCCTCAAGCCTGTAGGTCGTCGAGGGCCTTCACTGTCCTCAAAATCGTCATCATCGAAGCCGTCCTCCGCATAATTGACAGCCGCAGTCCCTCGCTTGGTCCGCGGCGCTTGACCGACCTGACTTGGAGTGATGACGGGGGTGAGTAGGGCGTTCCCATACTGGCGTATACGCGGCGGATAGCAAGTAATGTAGCCTCTGAGAGGGGACATGTTGGCCATTTAGCTGGTCAAGGACATGTCCCTTTCAGATCCTGCGAGAGTCGACCGGGGAACAGATTCACCAACGTTTGCGAAGTAAAGCGACGGAGCGATTGGCTGGTTCTGACAACAGGTATTCGCAGACGTGAAAGGCGAATGGTAATAGAAAACAGAGAGTATTGCGCGACAACGCGTGAATTTGCGCAGCAGAAATTGCATGAACAATTCGTTATGCTGGAAATGATGCTAAAGCTCCTCTGGTCGGTAATCGCGGTCGAGCTCCGCCTTTTCTGGTCGTCGCGTTTTGCCAGATTCCCCAATGGCACTAGTCCTTTTTAGTAACAACATACACGTGATGGAAGCTACATGTTTTTACTTGATATATGGCCGGGAGCAGCAGACCTACACTATTGACAGGAAGCGGTTTGATCGAAGAACAAGCCCCAGAAAAAATAAATTAGTTTCGGATTCAGAATATGTCTTTGACGAATGCAGGCTTTCATGATTCTGCAGCTCCTCATAGAAATGCCACTCTCCCAGTAAAGGACCACATACCCAACTCAGCAGATTACTGAAGACTATCGGGAGATCCTACACATAATTACCTAATGTGGAGTGGAAACACCATTATCCTCGCCTGCCAGCCCGTGAACGAGCAGCGCTGCATTGTGATAGCACATCACCAGTTCCACAAGTAAAGAAATTAAAACAGCAAGCGAAAAGTGCCGGTGACGTTGTGGATCTAACATGCACTAACCACGTCGCGAGAGAAAATGCAATGCACGACGAAGGCAAATCAAAACAAATGCTTGAAAATTCTCAGGACCTCGAAAATAAAAGCATCTCCGTGGCTGGCTACCGGAGCCCAATTACGCTCTAAACCATCGTCAGTGAAATTTGTGCTAATTTGAGGGTCTGAGAAGAGCCTTACCATCTCCAGTGTCCACACTCTTCGAATCCAAATCTTAACCTTGCCGTCCACCCCCTCCACATCATGCAGCTCAACACCTTCCCACCAACATCTTCTTGCTGGTTTCCTCCAAAATAAAAGGAGCTTTTGAGCCATGCCCACTGCATTGCTGTTTTCCAAATCACTCCGAATGTCAGTCCTAAGCTTGGCTAAAGCCAAGCTACAAATGACTGCCTTATTGGGCTCCGGAGCACGGTGGCCCCATCGATCATCACGATCAAATCCGCTGTAATTGTAAGCATACACTGAGTTCTTCCGGCATGAGACGTGACAAGACTTACCCTGCAGTAAGCATCTCAATCAAATGTTGCTCCGTTGAACCTACTTCGTCGCTTTTTCTTAAACCAGAGAATATTCCATCTTGCTTGAGCAGTGCTTTAGCAGCAGCGCGCTTGACTTCTATCATCTCTGTATGATCTATATCTGGACGAGGAGGTATCGCGTAAAAGTCCAAGTCTTCGCGCAAGACGATGATGCCAGCCCGGTCCTGGAGCATATCTCTGGCGGAGGTTTGCATAGAATCGGGAGCCACGTCCACATCCTGGGAGGTCGAAGATGGTGAAGATGACGGAATTGAATGGGCAACCGAGCGGAAGAAATCCAGCATATACTGCAGAGAAGCCGGATCATACTGGAAAAGGAGATATGAGACAGAGGCCAAGCCAGGAATCAGACCACAAATGGTGGAGTGAAGTCACTTACATCAACCGGGTAGATATCACCTTCGTGGAAAGTGCCCATGTGTCCATCAGGAAGGAGGCCGTTTGGAAATAGTGATAAAAGGACAAACTCCGGCAGGGTCAATAGTTCATCACGGGAAAGCGTAAACCGAGTGCCTCTTCAAACATGTTAGTTCCCAGGACTCAAGAAGCTAGCCGATGGTATAGATAAAAACACGCATACCGAAGGTCTAGAGTAATGTGCTCATCTCCACCAATATCTGTGTATAGCACGAATTAGTCATGAGATGTTCTCCCATGCGCAGAGAGCCCACAATATATGCGCATACCTCCTAGAGTATTAATCGGCGGGCCCCCAGCCTGCTGTACCTGGGTGATAATACTCGACGCGCCTCCTGCAGCGGCCATGACGTATGTGAAAGATTCGAGTGGACTTGATCCTTCGGTATATGGTGGAGGAGGCTCGCCGTCTTCCGCGGATTTTCCCGGAGAATCTGGTTTAAAGTCTCGGGGGAATGAATCCTTCGATTCCGCAACTACTGCTGAGGACGGTTCGGTTCGAAGACGCCCGTCGACGGGTGAAGGAACGAGAGCTGGGTCAAGAGTGGAGCCGGACGGCGTGACAGTATTCTTTGCGCGATTGTAATCGGACGCGGCTATGAAAACAAGAGACGAGAATGGGGGAGGGTTTGACGAGAATAAATTGGATGAGGAAGCCTCCGAGCAGGGAGAGTGGGGCGGCGGTGCAATATAGGAATCGTCCTCGTCCTGGTCTTCCTTCCTTGAGGAGTCCGTCGTTCGATGATGCGGCCGCGCCGTGGGAGGCGAGCCAGAAAAGACCGGTAACCGCGACAAGGTGACGGGGTCTGTGGCAGAATTGGAAATTGAGCGCCTAGCTTTTGTCGTTGCCGTTGAAATGATTGCAAGAGCTTCACTCGGTGGTCGCCGGTCGCGGGGACCCAGCTGTGGCAATCAGGAGTCTTCTTCGGTGATTGCCTCGCTCTGTATCATTCGGGATATTGGCACATAACAGTTGAGGTAGAAATTTGAATCGGCCTTTATCGTTCTATAGAATAAGAAAACTCGCAGAATCAGGAATAGTGGAACGGCAGAAAAAGACGATGGGTATCTGTATGAACTACTAGTTGGGGAGAGGTGACGTTGAGGAATGTGGAGGGTGGGTGGGAGTGGAAGAAGGGAGAAGGAGAGGAAAGGCGGAGGGAGCTCGGGGCAACGAGCGCTTAGGAAAGAGAGCATCGGCGGGCGCGTGTGCAGCAAAGCAGCAATAAGAGCGGGCGGGTAACTATCTGGTAACAACTACACTAACTATACTCGCTATACCTACTACTTACTCCAGTACTGGCTAGCTGGTCGCCCTTCTCTCGCTTGACACTGATACGACCGATTATAACATATATTCCTGAGCAACCTTAAGTCCTAATTACAGTCAAGTGGCCCTAAGCTGAAAAGTGCACACAAAGTTAAGTGGGGGAAACAATAAAAACCGTCTAACCCATTGAACCCGTCAAGCCCCTGGGCCACGCCAAACAGGATTGATGAGAGACAGAGAGATACATGTCGGAACAGAGATTCGCACAGCCCCTGTCACATGACCGTTCACTTCCCATCATGTCAAATATACTACCAACTATCCGCATAGCCAAACTCTTGCAGAAAGATGTGCCGACTACTGTACAGGATCTCGAAGTCAACGCCGAGTTAGTGAGTACGTGGCAGACAGCGCCCCTCTTTGCCAGAACATGTCTATGACTCGCGCCAATGCTCAGGACTGCAACAAATCGTCGCAACGTATATCTTTTCATCTGGATGCGCATAAGAGACCAACTCCCGGGGATCAGAATGTGAACGAAGGATCATGACTATGCATGAGACAAGGAGGATGATAATGCTCTTAGTAGGCAGATCACTTATACATCTCGTTCGACAAAGCTCTGTATGATTCCCTCGAGGGAAGGTTCGTACTCCTTGAGCACCACTTGATCTCCATTCAGGATGGTGTTTGCTTGGACGAAAATCTTGCGGGGAACCTTATTCCTAAGCACCACCTCGCGAACTTCATTCCCCCACCACGCATCGACGGATGTGATTTCATCATAGAGCCTCTTGCCTGATTCAAAATCCGCAGTGCTCTTGTATACATGCAGCTTCTGCAGATACTTCTCCACAGCCGGTCGGCCATGTGTTAGTATCTTCGAGCGATCAAGATGGATCTCTAGATCAGAGAGATCTGGTTTGCTATAGGAAAGCTTGACGAAGTTGTCGCCAGCATTGAGGAAAGTCCGTAGGATACTGTAACGGGCCTGCATGTGAGCCTGCCCCCACTTCTGAGTTTTGGGATCCCAGAACTCAAGCGCAACCAAACCAGCTCGAGCCATCGACAAGTATCCCGCGAAGAGTACATCACCCGCCTCGTTTGAAAGGTCCACTTGACCGTCGCCAAACCCAAAGAGCTTCAAGATGTCGAAGTCACAGCTAAGCACCATTGCAACGCATTCTGCACGGCACTCCTCGTAAGACGAAGAGACAGCCCCGAAGACGGAGCCCCAGGTTTGGCCAGGTTTGTACCAAGTTGTGACAGGCTTAGTAGTCACCGGGCTGACGGGAGGATTGGAAATATCAAAATTGAATTTCCCAGGAGCCGTCTCTTGCAGCAGCTTGCCTGTTCCATGACCGAGTAGCTCATGAATGCCAACCTGAACCTCGAAGGCAGCATCGCGGTTTTCGCTGTACACTTTCAAGTCTTTGTGGGTGATGAATGGGATGGGCTCGTTGGGAGCCTTAGCACTCAGAACATTCCCGAGAGAAACATTCTTGAAACCAAGGGTCTGCCGAATATCATCATAGTTGGGAAGATTAATACCAGCTGGGAGACCAGAGCACTGGAAGCTCAATACCTCGAGGGAAGTGAAGTCTGGACTGAGGAACTTATCCTTTTCAAACTCTTTGCCCCATGGTAATTTGGGAATCATGGCCTCAGCACTATCAACCAGCCTTCCAAAAGCGCGAGTCCGCTCCAAATTGACCTGTGTACGAGAGTCAGTTAGGAAATCACAGAGTCAACGAACTATGAAAATTCCAAAGTCACTCCTACCAGTGCAACAAAACCTTCCCATTCTCCTCTCACACCATGGGGATCTCTGTAGGTCTCGACGAAACCCAAATTGGTTTCCAGTGCTGGCTTTTGATCCTTTACCCAGATGCGCTGGCTTTCTTTGAATGCCTCAATGGAGCCAGAACCAAATGATAAAGCGTAAGCATCCAGCATCCTCTTCTGATTATCATTGGCAGCATTCAGAGAAGCTTGCTTGATACAGTGGGCAATCTTTGCCATTTCCTCCTGATGGTCACCGAAAACAAGGCGGAGCTTCTTACCCTCGAACTTTCCATCAAGTTCGAAGCTGTCGACGTCGCCCAAATCTCGGTCCCGCGCTGGGGGGGACGAAACGCCGGAAGCGATCAGAAGCTCGAAATCTCCTGTCTCTGTTTTCCTCAGTCGCGTATTCTCCAAGGGCAGCCCTTTCTGCTCCAGGAGATCCCCAACTGCTGTGATTTCTTCCTTTGTGATTGTCGGCGAATCAGGATAATAGGTAGTCATATGATTACCCTCAGCGTAACCCAAGTGCATGCGCGACTGTACATCTGTCTCATAAATGCCACCTCCTGTACTGTTGGCCCGGTTGAAGGCAGCTTCGGTCTGGGGAGTGGTAGAAGCTAAAGCTCGAAATGCCTCAACAGGCAAACGAGGGATGAATTTGGAGTCGCCGAAGCCTTTATAATTGCCGCAGTTGCCGAGAAACTGGGCGGAATATTCTAAAAAGTATTGAAGATTCTCATTACTGACATTGGCTTTCTGGGCAAGGCTGGTCCAATCTCCATTGCAAGTCCGATGAAGTTCGACGATGAGGTCGTAGATGGGCTCTGACTCTGGTGAGACCTGACGCAATGTGATTCGAGTTCCTTCAAATGCGGCGCTGAAGTGGTGCCACTCATGTCAGCTTTGAATGGGGTAAAAATGATGAATTGGAGGTGGCAGCGAACCGGCTCATATAATGCGCGTATTTGCGCAGCTTCGCATCTTTTAGGTTTTCGAAATGTGACTTGACTTCTAGGCGGACTACCGTGGGAGGCGAGTCGGCCAGATAATGTTGCTTGACCTTGTCATCCATTGTGGCTGGCAATGCTAATGGTGATGTTGTTGTGAGTGTGATCGTCTCACTGCCAAGGGAAGTTGTAGAGGACAGATTGTTGGCAGAGGACGAAGAGAACCACCGGATGGGGTGATGATGATTGAGGGGTCGATGTGGCAGTCGGAGGCAGGAGGGGCGGTGGGCCGACGGAAAGCGCCTCCAGGCGCCTCTAAGAGGGTGCATTCGCAGGGAGCCCAAATGTCTACGAGTAAGCCGAGTTTCTACTCGTCACAGCTGATACTCGTACGTAAGGTCACCTTTCGACAAAAGTCCGCGGTTGTAGGCTTTCTACGAGCGGGTGAAGGCGCTTGGCACCAGAAGTGGAGCTTGGGTCAATCTGCTCTCTCGGAGGAGGTCCACTTCGATCGTTCTACACTACGATTATGCTGTGGGCCATTTCTATAAACTTGGAGTTTCTGAATGGAATTCATATATACAGCAGCCCTTCGGACCAGCCATTCACATACCTCATTTTCAGCATGCAGAAAGACATGATGGCATAAGATCCGCCAACTGCCTAGGCATACAGCAATTATAATAGAGACATGGTATATGATCAATCTACATGCATTCGGTTCATGGACGTAGCATTTGCGATCGCACGTCAAAGCCATCGGTATATTGAGGACTGGTGCCAGAAATGCGAGGTTGCAAGAAGATGGACCGTATTCATGCAGCGGCACAGGCTATCGATCTCACAGCAAACTTTCATACTTGTCAAGGCCTTGCTTTTGCGTACCTTGCGGTGAAGAGGAAGTGTTGCCGATGAAAGAAGTCAATGTAGTATTACTAGGGAAGGGAGATCGCACAGGGTGCAGCGCTCCGCTAGGGCTTGTAAGGGAGCCGACTTGGCTCTGGCCGGCTGGCGGTGGAGGAATTGAGAACGCAGCATAGTTAGGAGACGATTGCAAGCCTTGTGCGGAGTTGCCGATGTTTGTCTTCAGACCAGACAGGATCTCCAAGCCATTACCGGAAGCCCTCAACCCTTGGATAGGCTGTTGGTAATTTGGAGAGATTGGTGAAGCCCAAGGTGCAGGCGAAGGCTGCGACGTAGGGAAAGCTGGAGCCGACGGATAATTTGTTCTAGCAGCAGGTTGCAAGGAAGGAAAGGAGCTCAGGTTGTAATCAGGCGTGACCGAACGCATGCTGAAATTTGATTGCGCTGGTAACATACCTCCTTTGGAAACAGAACTAGGAGCATTCGATGACCAGGAATCCCCAACAGATGAGGTGCTCTGAGTTGGGGCCTGATTCATTGAGGGCTTGACGGAGGCAGTACCCCATAGACCTGTATCTGGTCCACTTGAATTCTCTGGATTCCGTCCTAAGACCAGCCGCTCAAAAGTGTCCCGTGTATCCGCGCAAGTTTGATCCAAACCATCAGGTGATTCCACAGAGCCCAACGAGCCATCTTGGAATCTGGCATTATCACCTGCTGAGCAAAGTTCTTGGAGTTTCCTCGTCTGTTCACATTCGATCTTAGATGAAAGATCCTTGATCAAGGACATGAAGTTGCCAAATTGGCGAAGATCAAGGAGAGGTCCAAGACTGAAGCTCCAAAGGACGGGAAGAACTTCCAAAGCAAGGAACTCAGTGTCTGCCACCATGCTGACCTGTCGGAACACATTCAATGCTGCCATCATCACGGCTGGTTCCTTTGTTTTGATTGCCTTCAATAATGGTACAAGTTTTTCCTGTATTGTATACTTGTCGAGAATCGATGATTTACTCGACTGCGGTACGCTCTTATGAGCGACGCCCATTAAGTTATCCCCTGAAGTTTCTTCTGTGTCCACAGAGCCGCCGCAGAGAACTGCAAATGCCCCCAAGCAACGCACTTTGATGGCAAGGCTATTCGTGCGACTGAAAGTTGCAGCGATTGGTGGAAAGACCTCATTCTTGACAGTGCTGAAATCGAGAACAGGTAGGATCACTGGAAGACATTTTATAGCACCGTCTACCAATGAATGTGTCGGTGAGTCGAGTCCCAGACGAATCAGTGGTAAGATATCTATTGACATTAGACTTGTTCGTCTTCAGTTGGCTGCTTTGGAAACAAAAAATACAAGGACTTACCTTCCTTGAACTCTTTGCCAGAGCAGTTATTAGCCACAATACTCATATTCTCCAAAACCACCAACAGCCCTGCGTCCCTCTTGGAGTCACGCTCCTGGTGAGCTCCCCTGCCGGCCGGAAAGGTCTCTTTCAATTGAGGAATTACCCACTCAGGGAATATGCGACGGGCACTAGGCACGCGTTGGAGGATAGCAAAGACATTGCCCAAGATAAGAGGAAGAAGCTCACGATCCTTCAGTTCCTCTAGCAAGGCTCCCAAGACTTTTCGTTCCAATACAGACACTGGAAACTCGGGCAAAACTCGTTGCAATCCCCGCATGAATTGCGATTTCTCATTCGAGTTCTTTGCTGGCAGAGATTCCAGGAAACGGATCGTTGAAACCAGAATATTATCGAAGTATTGTGATTGTTGAAATTCGCGAGCATTCAACCGCTGGGCTGGCCTTCGGGTTATCAACCTGGGTAGGACGTGTGAAAGGATATCTCTTGGAATCGTGCCCGAAGACAGGAAGTTGTTGCCCTGGGATGGCGTGGTGGAAGAAGAGTTAAGAAGCTTCTTGTATGTGTTCACATTGGAATGTGTCTTTAGTGGGGATACATGGGGCGAGTTATAGAGAGCAACGATCATTAGTCCGAGTGAATATAGGTCAGCGGCGGGTGTGACATTGGAATCCAACACAAAGTCCGGAGAAGTGTAATCCATGTTCAATTGGACTGACGCCGGCAAGCGGGAGTCTTGATAAAGTACTTCTGACAATGCAAGCGGCGGGAGCGTCGATCGCGATTCCGACGCACTTGGCGGGCCAGCAAACCCAAGGCCCGAGATCTTCCAGTCTGATTTTGCGTTGATGAAGACAGCTTCGGGATTGAGGTTGCCGTGAACAAGCCCTGCCGACTCATGGAGGAATTCGAGACCCTTTGCAACTTGCAACAGACCTTTCTGAATCTCTAATTCGTCGAGATCAAGGTCTCGTCGTCTCCGTGTGCCATCAGGCTCCTCTACCATGTAACGGCTCGATCCTCCGCGAAAGGCATTAGACGTCGCTCTGGAAGTACTCTCCTGGGCATCTTTGGCTTGTAGAAGTCCAGCAAGCGAGGCAGTTACTTTTTCGGTAGCAAACATAAGCCCACCACCACGTGTTTCTTCCATAGGTTCTAGTACTTGAAGGACAGAGGGATGTCGAAGCCGCGCGAGATTGCCGGCTTCGCGCTTCAGTCGCTCAACAACATCTTCCTGCAACTTCTTGGTGGACGTACTTGAACGACTGCCTAGACCGCTTGTACGGGGCTCGAGAGTTTTCTTGTCGAAAATAAAGATTGAAGCCGAGATGCCTGTGGATTTCTTCTTTCCGTCGTGGATCTTCCAGGGGCCAGAAACAAACGTTGGGTGGGGAGAGACTTGGTAGTTTGATGAGATGTTCGAGCTCAGGGATTTGAGCGCGGATGAAAACATTTTGCCTATCCGCCCAGAGGTAGAACTATTTTAAAAATCGCAATCCACGACTGACTAGTTCCAATGCATCGATAGCAAAGCTCATTCAATGGCCGTAGGTATCGGGAGTTTGAGATGTCACGAGCTTGCGGAGGTATTATGATGACGCAGCAATCAACAGGGGATGGATTTACATGAAAAGGACAGGAAACGGGTCAATGAGGCCAAACAAGTTTCTCCAGGTGTGAACCGAGTGGAGATGATCGTCTTCCAGCCTGTGCTCTCACTATCCCAACCTCTTAGTCCTTCCCTACCATGGATGACTTGGATAGTTAGCACTAGTTGGGTGGCCAGCTGCCCGCCCGGCTGTCATCACGTGCACGCCAATATGGCCGGGCTGTCAACTGAGAGCTGAAGCTGGAGGCCAGACAAAACCAACTCATCTCTTTTGACTTCGCATTGACCGCCTGCTTAGATCAAGTATTGCCGGGTATATGTGCCGCTCGAAGCCGACGTCGGAACATTGCGCCCAACCCAATGACAGCGCGATTGTCATCTCAGTCCAAGAGCAACAAGTCACATATATGACATTCATCTGTGATTCGTGGCAATTAGGCTCATCATTCTAGTATAAGTGGTTTGGTGTGGCAGCGCTCGTGTCCCAATCTGCGTTCTGGGCAAATATATTCTCATTAGGTAGTCCTTTATCTGTGGTTCTTCCGGAGTTGTGCCCGCGGTCCGTGGAAAAAGAGTCATCGATTGTCCTCTCCGCCTTTTTAAGCTCCGCAACCGCCTTCTAGAGTAACCTCAATAATCTCCGTCGACAGTGCAGCGCAAAGCCCGCTGATTTCTCGCTATCTGACTATCCTCAATCTGTTTGCGTGCCAGCTTATCATGCGATCATTCCAGGCTGTCCGTCGTAGGGCGTTATTACGAAGCTTTGCTGCCCCTTGCGCTTTCCAAACGACTGCAACAAATCGGTTATGGAAGAAATGCTTCAGCGCCACACCAGCCGCTGCGTCCAAATTAGCTGGTCTTGACCCCTCTAAGCTCACAGTTACGCAGACCACCACGCCCAAGGAATTGATGGCCGCGAAGGACCTCGTCTTCGGAAAGACGTTCACCGGTATGGACATATAGCGCTCACAATTGACTAGCACAATTTTTCCGCTAATGTGTACTCGCACTATAGATCACATGCTCTCAATTGAATGGACGGCAGCTGACGGCTGGCATGCCCCCCAGATCGTTCCGTATCAGAACCTGAGCCTTGATCCGTCTGCTTGTGTGTTCCACTATGCATTTGAGTGTTTCGAAGGTATGAAGGCATACAAAGACAACAAGGGCCAGGTCCGGCTATTCCGTCCCAACAAGAATATGGCGCGCTTGAACAAATCGTCTTCCAGAATCGCGTTGCCCACTTTTGACGGTGAGGCTCTGACCAAGTTGATTGGAGAATTCGTCAAGTTGGATAGCAGATTCATTCCGGAGTTGGTGGTATCCGTTTCAAAATGGGTAGCAGTTGTCACTAATAATGCTCTCCTAGTGCTCGAGGATACTCACTTTATCTACGGCCCACGATGATTGGAACCCAAAAGACTCTTGGTGTCGGACCCCCAGGTTCCGCCCTCCTATTTGTGATCGCAAGCCCCGTTGGTCCTTACTACCCTACCGGCTTCAAGGCTATCTCTCTTGAGGCCACAGACTATGCAGTCCGCGCTTGGCCTGGTGGTGTGGGAGATAAGAAGCTGGGTGCCAATTATGCTCCTTGCGTTCTGCCTCAACTCGAAGCTGCCTCCAGAGGTTTCCAGCAGAATCTGTGGCTTTTTGGAGAAGAAGAATACATCACTGAAGTTGGTACGATGAACCTCTTTGTCGCAATGAAGAACAAGGAAACCGGTCAGAAGGAGTTGGTGACCGCACCACTCGATGGAACAATACTTGAGGGCGTCACCAGAGATTCGGTGTTGGCCCTGGCAAGAGAAAGACTGGTGCCACAGGGGTGGGCAGTCGCGGAGCGCAAGGTCAGGATGGCCGAGCTTGCTGAAGCAGCTCAAGAGGGAAGACTGATTGAGGTCTTTGGAGCCGGAACCGCAGCTATCGTGAGCCCTGTACGAAAGATCAGCTACAGGGACCAGTTAGTCGACTGTGGTCTGAAAGAAGATGAAGAGGCAGGTGAGATTGCTTTGCAGATGAAGAACTGGATTGAGAGTATACAATATGGTGACGAGGAGCATCCTTGGAGGTGAGAAATTCCCTGCAGAACTGTCGCCATCTGTCGCCCGAGCTTGCTAACAAATCGCATAGCTACATCCTATAGAGCAAGGTCCAAAAGCTCGGAGCTGGTCTGTTCTCTACTATTGTTGCATGTGTGTGCTATGCTTCGTTTGTCTTAGATAGCCGGTTCATACGTATGGTTTAGCTTTGAGGGACTTCTGTATGGTTATTGATGAACATAACCCTAAGAATAGCATCATAGTCCTGGTCAAACCGTGACCAATGCCTGAGGCGAAGGCCCGTCAACCTTATAATACCGTGTCTAGGCGCCGAGTCTCCAGTCTGGCTGGATGTTTCGCTATCACTGAGTCGTTCAATGATGCCCTCGGGGGCCCAGTGCACCAAAAACATAGCCGCCAAGCCATCCTGGATTGTTTCCAAGTCCAAGCGCGCAGACTGAGAAGGCTCACCGGAGACGCTAGGTCTCAAGACATAGAATTAGTCCCGCTTCTTGGTTCTAGTGGCCCCGCGCTGAATGCTCGAGAGCAGCATGTGTTCATGTACAGTAAGTCCATCATACTACTATCTCGTTTGACTGCCCCCGCCCCCGTCAACACAAGCACCCCGCGTGTAGTGGCAACTGTCAAAAGCAGGTATCAAATGCGTTTAGTGCCAGAAGGTAGCATGTAATTTCACCCTTGAGTTAAACCTCTAATCGGAGATTCCAAGAATCCAAAAATGAGAAGAAGGGCTAGAGACAAGAGAGTCAAAAAGACGCGGAAAGCATGTCTACTTCGACCCAATTTTAGGCGGCTCTGTCATAAACGTTTGCATTCGCGGCGATACGCTGAGTTCAATCAATCGCAACATATTTGTAGAAAACAAGCAACGCGGTTCGCTACCAAGCAAGACCTCGAAGACTGCATTACCGATGGATCCAACACATGCTAACTGAGAGTATTTGTAATACAGGCCACACCCCCGTTCAGCTTTCCCCAAGGGATGCGGGAATTTCCGTGGAGGGTCACCTCCCGAGAACTGGCCCCGATCCAAAAGCTCGAAAGTTACTGTACTGTACTTAGTAGTTAAGTTCGTAGGGGACCTCGGATCCTCATACTGTAATCCCTGTGAATGTCCAAAGCAAAGCCAACCAACTCAGATCCCTTACCGTCCTCTTAGCCGCCTTTGGTTCCGAGCTCATGTTTATGCGAACACGCCAATCAGCACGCTGATGTTGTTACCCCACCAGGCCATCACATGCCCAGTGAAAATCAGTCCATGGTCCCTCCACTAACTACTGTACTTAGTACTGTCGGCTAGTCTACCTGCTATCTACCGTGAGGTATCAACTTTTTTTTGAATCTACTTGGTGCTCGACTAGTCCAGCTAGGCTGCTGGTCTAGTCAGTATCTCAGTCTGAAATCCACTTACCGAAGTACGACTAGTCTACTGTATATATCTCGACAATTCACTAGGCAGCAACGTGCCGGCAGGATCCGTTCCGCCAGCGTTTTACTGTACTTGGCTTGTCGTTTGATAAAACCTATAGGTAACTAGAGAGTGATTCATAGATCAATCATCATTCCGGTAGACAGGGCTGTGTTGCAGTTTGCCTGCCTGCCTGCTTGCCTGCCTGCATGGGAGTGGACCATGTCATGAGAAGAGATGAAACAGCATGCTTCGATGGTGCCCCTTACCATCACGGGGGTTTTCTTTTCTATCCCGGATCGTACGCATGTAAGCGAGGAGCCGCAATTCTCTTTTGCCCACCCGCCCGCACAGCCATGATCCATCCCACCCGCAGCCCTCTTGACAGACACCGCGGCCGGCCCCCCCGGGTCCTGCCACTGGCATGGTTCCACTCCTAAGTTGGTCCTGACACCCTGGATACTTACCTCCTACTGTAGTACTACCAGCGAGGCGCCCGCGTCGGGTAGATACAACTTAGATAGGCTATCGGCCAAATAGCCGCCCAGCCAGGCTCGGTGCTTGTAGGCAAGCAATAGTAAATCCCTCGTATCGCCCTGGGAGTGCCAATGCCGATTGAACCGAGTCAATTGTTGAGGGGAACCGAAGCACCCGCGGATGGCCTTGCGGGGAGCAGAGGAAGACTAACGGATTCGGCTTCGCAATTGGTCTGCACGACAGTCGGAGTTCGGGCTAGAGTTTACCTAAATGGAAATCATCTGGAATTGGACAGTAAACAATAATCAGTTATTAGTAGGTATATAACTATCCCATCCATGATAACCTTTTTCACAGCAACCCTTTCTGGTCAGCTGATCCCCTTAACAAAGACGATCCCATGCTCCGCACAGTCACAAGCTAACTAATGCATGTGCAATTCCAAGAGTCGCAACCCTTTTGTTTTCCTGTTTTACAACTTTCTATTCTGATTCACAAGAAAAATGGACCAGTATTGATATATTCAGAAACTAATTCGAGTCGTCATTGTGCTACCATGGTTCTGACAGGACCTGGAAACTCGAGTAGTGTAGCACACTCGAATGGAATACCATACAATGTGATACCTGTATCACTAGACCACCGGCCCATCGGTCAGGCCGAGTCCAGTAGCTGCTAATGATCACCTCCTTAGTATTGATTAGTTAGATTAAGCCCGTGCCTAGAAGCCCACTGGACACCACACTATGATAGCAATAGCTAATCAGCTGCCCTGATATCCAGGACACGATCTCAAGGAAGTTAAGTATACCCAAGCACGACCAGGGCAGATGCACCGCGATGAGGCTCTGAGTCCTGCATTAGTCGCCCACGAGTCGAGTGACTTCTCTATCAAGCGAACTACGCTCTCCACGGGCGGTGGCCTTTTTCCGAGCCCCTTTGGTGGGCGCGTTCCGTCCCCGTCATACCCATCCGCAGTTCGTACAAACCTCATACACAGAGAGGAATCGACTGTCAAATGTCTCCCTTAGTAAGAGGCACTTGAGTGATGCCTTGACCCATGAGCACATCACTGCCTGAGCGATCTATGTACTGTAGATAAACCGAATTCTGAAGACAGGCTTGCTCAATTCCGGTACTATCAATGGCGACTAAAGTCGACTCGTGCTGCAAGCCAAACCTTTTTGGGGGCATGATCGATCAATCCTCGACGAGTCTCATATAGGGGAGAGAATGCTGCTTAAACCGTTTACGCACGTTTTGGTCCATCGGCCGACACATGGTAGCATTGAGGCCCCATGGTTCTAACGGCACCTCCCCCTTCCTATAGAGGACTTTGGGAACAGTGCAGGTTTGAAGTAGTGGCCGTCGGTAATGTGGGGGCTCATTTGCTTCATGCATGAGGAAGTGGGTCATGTTTTAACTTGGAAGGACTTGATTTGTCCCCTCGATAAATGCGTGCATACCTTTCAGTTTCGCTGGCGGCATGGATCCTGCATTTACTCAAAGCAGTTGAAGAGGGCCAGCGGTGCGTGCATCGCCACATGGTCAACTAACTAAGTGACTTGCAATATAGAACTGCCCAGGATCATCATGGGGGCCGTTCTCTGCTATTGACCGGATCTGAAATTAATAGCGGTTAGGACGAGGGGGTGGAGGGCTATTTTTCTTTGCTGGCGGAATAACAAGACCCTCACTCTCCAATATACCTTGTGATACTGGGACCAATAACAGTGCCGTGGTCGCACATCACTTCTCTGTTCGGGGAGGCCCCAATCGAAGCCAGGCTGATCGAGAGCTGCACGGGAAATAGCATCATCTGTTAGATCAAGAACACTGAAACAAGGTATGCTTTCCTGCCCTTACGGTCTGGAACGGCTATAATGATCGTCAGACCCGTGAAGGTCACCCGAGCTACTACATAAAATCCTCAGGCACTTTACCATCTCATAAGACAGCAATCCAAAAGAATATTATTAGCCACAGGCCATGGCATTGGCCTAGAAGATCTGTCAAGGATGGCACAATCACGCAAATCCATGGCTTCTGCATGTGGAGAATCCCCATATATCATCCGAGTGGGGCCGGAGTAGGGTGGAGGAGGCATGTTCACCTTCGCATTCTTCCCCGCCTGCGCGGCACTTTAGATTCTCGGACACATCTTGGCTTCTGGGCCATATGGTATTTCAAATTGGTATTCATGACCCTTTATTGCTTGCAGTGACACTGATCTAAATCCTGAATGATGAGGGATGCTGGATGTATATGCATGCATATACTGTAATACAGACATCTGAAGCTGTGAAAGAACTACTACAACTGCTATCTCCTCCCCAGCCATTTTTCATGCTATAGTTTGATGTTCCTGTCCATTTACTCGGATAATACACGAAGTAATGGGGTCTTGTTATATTGGGAGGCTCAGTACACACATACCTGCATGTGCCTTGTACGCCATTCGAGCAAAGATAACTAAAGACAGGACTCACACATGGAGCTACTGCAAGCCCTAAGTACTTGATCACTAATATTGTCGTGGGTATCAGCATTACAGTTGCCACTTGAAACAATATGGTGCAATGCAGTGTAGCAGAGCAACTCAAATTCACACATCCTGGGTCGTTTCTAGAAAAGCGAGAAGAATCGATGTGACACGCGCCAAGTGCTGTCCATGGCAGTTTCTCGAATTCTTTCAGGTCACTGCCAGACAAGCCCTTAGGCAAAGCCATCGGCATGCAGAAATAGCTTCAGCTTACCCACGCATTTACCCACCCGCGTGCCTCTAGTAGTACTACTATGAATATACGAGCTGGGCCTGCTGCCAATGAGCACCGGGCATGCCCGGCTTTAGCGCAGGATTTTAGCAGTTGAAACCTATTTCGGCATGTCAACGATGTACAGTACACCTGCATGACAATATGAGCACAGTCATACGAGCAGGCGGCGTCTCATCACCTGGAAGGATATTTGAGTTCCTTCCAAAGCAGCTACGGGTATGAGATACCCGCCTTAACGCGACGCATATGTAGGTTTGCGGACAGCACCGGGGCTCGGGCAGTGTTGACTAGACGGATACGGGGTACAACTCCACTATATACATCCCGCCATCATCATTTACTTGTTGTTTGATCGAAAGAGCACTGGCCATTCATGTCGACCTAGTCCCGCAATCCTGTAATCAATTAATCACTCCGTAAATGATCCTTAGCCCCTTCAGCCTTAAACAATGCTGAAGAAGTGGTGGGCTATGATGAATCAGGCCCTAGGCGGCTCAGGACTCGGCCCTTCTCCTTCCAAATTGGGTGTATGTCTAGAAGTACTAGGTAGGTACCGAGTAACTACTAGTAGGTAAGTAATTGAGCCGCAAGAGCATGATCAGAATGGGCATCTGAGGGTCTCATGGTCGGCCCTACTGAAGAGGGATGATTATTTGTCGTCTCGCTAAATGACACTTGGGGTTGAACATGGCTGGCTACATTGACTCGAGACTATTGGCCCCGTCGGTCGCGAAGCGATTCTGTCCCCTCATTTGTCCCTCTGAATCTTGTTCTCGGTGTGACAAGCCCAATACTAAATGGACATAACGAACATTAATGGATGTCGCAGGCGCTACCTACATTTAGCAGGACCCCATTTGGACCGGAGTGAACAAATGAGTTATTTTTCACTGGGGGCCTTCCCGAAGCGCAGCCACTACGTAACAACCGGCTGGGGAGGCGCAAAATTGTTTAATTAGTCGTAGCTGAATTTCGAGGCAGAACGCAGTCTAGTGATGAAAGCATGCAGTTGTAGATGATGGTCGCGCAGTCGCAACAAAAGAAGGGAAAGACACACCCCGAGCCCAAGGGCGAAGGGGCCACTTCTGCCGTGAGACAGTGACTAAGGCCCGGGAGGGGCGGAAGGGCCAGTTGCCTAGTGAGTGACAAGGTGGGCTGTGCTTAATCACTGTGGCACACATAAAAAACCAACAGCCATGAAAACCTACTAAGTACAACGGAATCCCAAACAAGGTGTGTCCAATAGAGGAAGCCAAGACATTGATCGTTCAAGTGACATACATTTGAGGATGACTGACTGACCCACAGAACTGAAAATGCGACGGAACAATGTTGGGTGAGAAGGTAAGGAGCATTCTATTCCCATAGCCGCCCCTTATCCAGACCAGCCGCTCGGAGATGGTGAGATCTTTATCCTTAGTGTCCTGCCAAGATCAAGGGGTGCAACGTGGCCGAAGTCGAGGCCGTGCACTCAAGGCTCGTTTTCACATGTCCTGGCATTTGGCTACGGCCATTAGCCTGCAGATAGTTACTGCGCAGAAGGTCGCTCGAAGGTGTAGAACCCCTGAGTGCGGCAGATGGTATGCCTCCCTTAGTATTTACAGTACCTAGTAAGTAGGAAACTTGGCGCCCTGTTCTGGAAAATGCGGTGCACAGTCGTGATCGAACTCGGGGGTCATCTTCCTGACCCCATGCATGGTGCAAAGTCGCTTGCAAGTAAGATGAGAGGAACAGTAGGCCCTATGGTTTTCACAAATAACACTACCTGACTACGGAGATTTGATAACTAAGAATCTACGTCGGACTTTTGGAGCTGGAGAGAACTGCACCGGGGCCGCGGAGGAGAGACTGCTAAATCCGGGCATACTTTGGAAGCACCCAGACAAAGAATCTCGCGCGCGGGGCAAGACTGGAACCGAGCTGATCCGTCGAGGCATCTGTCCGAGCAGAACAAAAGCCATTCAACAGAATTGACCATATCGATTTAAGTTACAACGTTGAACCCACCGCCTGTGCGGGGATTCCCCAAGCAAAAGAGGATTGCCCCGCCTGTGTTGAGTGTCCGTAGTACCCGAAGGTATTTTGAGAAAAAAAGACGCAGAAAGTACAGATAAGCGGACCAACACACTGGCAAGCTTTGAAAGAGACATGTTGGCCAGTGATCCTGAATCAGAATGCTCGCTAAGCATTATTAATCGCAGGAACAACGTTTACGGACTACTGCCTTCCAGCATCCATGGTTCATTCAATCGGGTCGGCCGAAGCACTTCACTCAGGTTGTCTAAATTACCCTAGCAGGGTAGCACTTCAATATGCGCTTTACATGAATTAGGTCACAGAGCTCTACTGGAGAAGAAGGATTGTGATTGCAAAGGGTTCTTCGAGTGTATACTGTACATATATCACTGTCGAACAACCTCCGCTCTTGGCGAAGTCTCAACCATCATCATCATCATCATCATCATCATCATCATCATCGCCCTCTTCTTCGTTCTTGTTCTCCTTCTCACTCCGCATCCCCTGCCGGTCTGCAAAGTAACTGTCGCCTTGGAGTCCCTTTGGAATAACTCATGCCTCAGGGACTGTACCAAAACAAACAGCATTGAGGGACCTAATGGGCTCAGCGGATTTAAATGCTGTGTAACCATACTCAGGCGCAAACTTACCAATGATACCTAGGCCGTACGTACTGTCACAATACCCCAACATAACTACGGGCGATTTCAGCCCCCTCCTTGATTTTAATCCTTGTGCCCACTGTCAAGCCACGAAGCCACGCACACGTACCTACCTTGTTTCATGCCAACCGAACCAGCCGCTACTGGACCCTTCTTCTATGAGTCTCTTGAGTTCGGTTTGCATACAGACCACTATGCTCTTCTCCAGTCGTCCCAGGCTCCAACTACACTTAAGTCTCCATCGGTAAGACGGATCTTACAGTCGCATGGGTCCGTCCATGTCCTTTGTACATACCTACTTGGGGGGTCTATACAGCCCTCGATGCGAAGCTTCCCCACATTATATGCGAGGTCAACATCCAAGGGAGCCTGGCGCATGGCCGTGCAACACTCGGGCTTCTTCTATCGATCTCGGTTGGCTCGATTAACCGCATCCAGAGATGCACTATACCAGTCTGGAAAATGCCCGCTAGCACACCCATTTTCGATCCTTGGATCAAGACTTTCAGCTCCCTTAAAGGCTGAGTGTTAGATCATTTACGCCGGTCGAAGGAATTACGGCCGGCCATTCTTCTTGGATCCAAGCCTAGGGAAGGTTCTTGGAGGTTTTATGGCTTCGAATCTCGATTGGTAATTCAGGGAAAGCAAATTGGAAACAGACGAGATGCGGGCGGCGGACCGAGATCTACGAGGCATCGGGGTCATTCCAATCCCCTCCTCCGAAGGAATGCTGCGGCCGATTGCACTAAGTACGGAGGACGCCGTCTCGTAGATACTGGGTAGTTACTGATAATCCACCTCGTAATGGATCGGTATGCGCGATATGGAACCACATGGTTGAGATTGGTGGACAAACCCGAACTTGGTGTCAATCTAGCACAGCCTGATATCATGCCTGTCTGACTCTGTCCCCTTCCTCCCTTCCGGCCACATCGGCCATCGGGGTCCGCTAAAACAGCCTCATGGTCTAGGATTCCCCCTAACCCACGCCAACCATTAGTGACGCAGCCCAGCCCTGCACATCGGCGCATCCATTCGGGTAAGGTTCCTTACCAACACATGGTCAAGCCATGCATTCCCTGCGAATGTCCACCCCAAAGTCACTTTGCGTCCCCCCCCCCCACGGCCCCCTCCCCCCTCCTCTAGGATAATAAAGTCAAATAATAAAATAAAATAGTCAAATGAAATTGACCAAGGAGATTTCCCCTCCAAGTACAGTAACTACAATCAAATAATGATTCTTATTCCAGTAAATTCCAAATTAGAGAAGTGGAAAAAAATCTGAAAAAATAATCAGACCCATGAAAATAGCCTGCGGAGCACGGACTAACGCTGCTATCGCAACGGTTAAGTCCTCTATCACTGATGGGCTACTTTCATTCGGACCCGGGGCTTAGCAGGCACAAGCTACAGACCTGTTCGCCAGCTGATCGACCCATGGCTTAATTTTGTCTTAAATAGTGATTGCTTCCTGCGCATTTCTTCCACGAAATCAAAAGCCGTGGTTCATCAAGGACCTGTCACTATTGTCTGTGCACAGTACGCAACTATATAGTGATCTTAAATCCTCTCTCTACACTACAATTGTCAATTACAACAGTGCTCACCACATACATTCGGCCAACAACATTTAAGAATTTTATATCTTTCTCTTGTCTATGCTCAACATGCACCGTTCATCCAACTACTCCTATCCTCAATCCTCGAGCTCGAGAAGCTCATCAAGTCACGCATCCAGCAGCGCATTCAGCCCAAATGCCAACCCTAACGAAGATTGGACCAAGATCTCCGATCTTGCAGAGCGGCGCCGGATACAGAATCGCATTGCACAGAGGAACTACCGTAGGCTTGACTGACCTCATGGAGCTTCGAAGACTATTGACTGACCATATATGCTTGCATGTAGGCAAGAAATTAAAGCGCCGTCTGGAGGATCTGGAAAAGAGAGCGGCTACAGCATCGACGTCGCCTGAAAGAACGCTTGAGAGACTGGAACATCCGAAGACAACGCACACGGCGAAGTCTGGTCGTAGCAAACAGAGCCGGGCGTCCAAGACCAGTCAAAACATAAACAGCCACTCGCCCAGCGAACGAGGCTCGTTCTACGACAGCTGTTCCACTTCCGATGATCGAGGGTCAATGTTCTCTCACCAGTGTACTCGCCAGCTTTCAGCATCTCCGCCACCGGTGTTCTCCTACCCATCTTACTCGCACTTGGATCCGTATGGCCACTCGAGCTACGGTCAGCCGCCGGCATATCATTCGATCGGCAGCAGCTACCATGATCTTCCCTACCACAACGAATACCCTCACCTGCCTTCAATCCTTCCTGTCGCTATGTCAGGCACTGGACCGTCAAAGAAGCCTCATTCATATGCCGATGACGAGATTGTCAGTCCTTTCAGCATGAGTTATGCCTCAATGGCCGGCATCGATCTGTGTCCGACACCACAGCACTTGCCCGAGACCAATATCCCTGTACATACCCCCTCTCTCTACTTGACGATTGTTTAGACCGGAGCTTCATGGTCAAGGTGCTAATTTCCTTTCTCAGATGCCACCATTGTCTTCGGCTCAAAGCGATGGCCACTCCTCACCTTCGACTCCAGCAGAGCCCTCGCTCGGGACAGGCCCTCTTACACCCGAATCGGGACCATGCTCTCCCCATATGTATCCTTTCATGTGATCCCGGGACGACACTCTCGTTCCCGCGGCTCCCCTTCTATTCCTCTTCACTTTTCGGCGATTACTACTTTCTAACGAGTGCAATGATGTATTATTGGTATCAGGGTTTCAAGCGGTTCTATAGCTCTTTCTTTTCCGTTTCCTAATGTATCTTTTTGCTTGGTTCCAGGCTTCTTTCCTCCAACCTGCTCGATAGATTGCCTAGAGTGGTTCTCCGTGATTTGTCCTTTGCTTGTTTATTCGTCTCCACTTGCTCGATGAGGAGTCCTCTCATATTAGTCGAGAAGAAGTCTTCTTAATCGACACCAAGGGCCCGATTGAAGAGTGTGTCTAATTTCATACCCGTTGGTGATAGAGGCATTTGTTGGTGGTGTTCATGTCAAAATTGGCCCTGAGGGGCATGTTCGGGCAATTGGATTTGTTTTAAGGCGCGAATCATGATACAATCCCGTTTAGCATAATTTCAATGAACATCCAAGTAAGAGAGAGGGAGCATGAATTCGCGAAAGAACAATCAACGACAATGCGAGGTCGACGCGGAGGATTGTAACAGTTAAGGTACCGATCCCAGTGTTTGATCCACAATTCGGGCCAGACCAGTGGAGCAGCATGTCTACAGTTACAGTAATCACGAATACAGCTTTGTTGAGCTTTGGTCTTGTACCTGGTGAATTACTTTAGTGAAGTTGTACTGGGGGACAGAACCACACAGCACTGGTGGGGTGGGGTGGGGAGGAGTGGAGGAAGCACCTTGAACTTGAACTTAAAGGGGGGGGGAAGCCTTCCACTACATGGCTGACGTGCATGATTCGTGGGCTCGTCTGTAGTTGTACCCTTCCAGGTTCCAGGCATTGTTAGTACTACTCGTACCGTACCCGAATTTTCAGCCCCCAGCCTAGTGGAGCTAAGCGAGTGGAGCACACCAGCCATGCCTGGTTAGGTAAGGTGCACCTGCCATCGGCGGCTCGTCGGTCGGCCGTGCCGTCCCTTCCATTTTGGGTAAATCACCAAATCCGGGCGGGCTCGGCCCCTCAGCTCCATAGCAGCTCCCCACTCTTTCCTACTCCATCCTTATCCTCTGCCTCTCATTGTTCTTCTGTCTAGGCGGCAGACTGACTGACGAATATCCTGTCTGGCTTTTACCAGACAGGTCATGAAAGCACCATGAAGCTGCAGCAACAGCAGCTCGAGAAAGATACACCATGGGGCTGAAAATTCATCGGCAACTTTGCATCTCGCATCCACCAATGATGATCGGCCCCAAAGCAGAACCCCTCCACTCCTCTGCCCAAACAGGCCTTGATGTTCCAGTTCAAGTTGATCGCAAGGCCTTCCACTTTTGAACAGGGTGTGTGTGGTTTGCCTGGTCTGAATGACTCACCAACCAGAATGCAACTTTTGCAGGGCTGCTTGAATTGGGCTCAAAGACAAAACTCCGCAGCCAATCACCATTTGTCAACCTCTTGCCTTTGATCGGAGACAAGCAAGAGGTCTCTTGACCACAAAGACTTGGACTAGGCTGGAGCTGAATCTGAAAGATCCTACAACCCACTGTGGCCGTCCAGCGCCTGGGCCGGACTCCAGCCCGGGCAACCATCAGTTCCGCTCCCGACCGACCTTGCCTCCTTCCCCCAAGAGAGATCGAACGGCAATGGCGGAATTTTGACGGACCAAATGCAACCACCCCTTGTAACAAGGTAGTAACGAATGGCCATGCTTACCTCTTATGAGGCTCTGCTCAGGTTGCCAAAGTGACGTATGTCAGAAGATTGCTGGCATGTTGCTGCTGCGCCTCCACACAACACCTCGCGGCAAGACGTGGTACGAATTATGTTAGCATCAACAGATTGGGCAATTTCGAATCACTTCAGGTAAACCTTCGCCGTGAACAGCTGGCCAGACTACTCTCATCCAGGCTACCTTGCAGACTTTGTTTCAAGCCTGTGTAGCTTGCTCGGTGGTTAGTCTGGATCTAGGAGAGACAGTTTGGACAAACAACCCGTGTTGCAGTGTTGTCGTAAGTATGCCATGTCTCAGCTCGGTCCTTCCGCTTCAGACTCTATTGTACAGTACTCGGATTTAACCCTTATCTCCAATTGTCACAGTCGGGCTATACGACGAATCGCGCAAAAATTATTTTTAGTTGCGGCCATGGTAGGTCGGATCTCAGGTAATTTGTGATGGTTTCCTTTCCGGACCGAGCAGTTGCTATCTCCACGACTCGATCAATCCGAGCTGAAAGTAGTAACTTCCACTATACCGTACTTCCAGAAATTCGGACTTCTCGGGCAACACAAGATATATTAGTAGTTTGTCTGAACTAGTACCAGCAGGATCCTTGCTTGGCATGATATGCAAGCTCACTTGAGATGCGGTGCCCAGAGACCTATCTTGAGGACATCACATCATTTTTGAACTCCGCCATTGGCATTGAGCTTCCAGTAAATCCTCATCCAACTTTTCGGATCACCGACTACCATTTCTTATCAGCAGCCTTTTACATGTACCCTCAGCAAGAGAAACAGCTTTGTTCCGCTAGATACGAGCATTTGAGCCACCAAAATTGTCGGGACTGAAGTAGGACTGAATTACATGTGAATAATCTCCCGATTTACTTGCGCGCTCTCTCCGTCACTCTTTGAGTTAAGTCTTTCTTCGCGTGTTTTGTGCAACAACCCGTAGAGAAGCAGCTCGCTGGCACCAGCCAGGATTGTCTTTCCCCGGAAGCGGCTGAGACTATGATTGTATTAGTAGTTATTCTAACGTTGCAACAAATCCAGACGCCCCGCCCTCCCCCGAATTGGGTTACATGGGGTTATGGTGAGCTGGAGCGCAGAGATCCTGCTTGTCGTAAAGGCGCTCCTTCACTCCGTCGGAGCTCGTATAGACGCGCAATAATCTGGTCACGCTAATGTGAGGCCTCAACATCGGGTGCAAATCATTCGAGCATGTTGAAACCCAGAGCGGCTCAATTCAAGGTTTGTCTGTCGTACCAAGAGGTAAATGACGGTGAAATCCGACCTCATCCAGATGAGTTCCGTAAGTTGCGTGCGCAAATCAGGAAGAGTCTGCTACCTAGAAGGACTGGCGGACAATCCTGGTCGGTTCCGACAGTACCCAGTGTGTCACATCCGCAAGCACAGCACATGGAGAATCCTGGAGGATTGAGCCGGTTGGACGCCTTAAAGCAAGCCGTAGAGCGCTTTCTCACACACGCACACACACATGCTGCTACTACTTTTGGCGGTAAGATGACCACGAATAAGGGTAAAAGGCTTACTGGGGAGATCAACAGCGAAGAGAGGGGTGGAAGGGAAGCAATCTTGTGAAGGATGTCACTAATCGTCATTAACATAAAATCATCACCTTAATTCTTCCGGGGCCTGAAGATTACGGCCGGTGCCCCTCTTTTTCTTAATTTGAAGACCACGTGCGAAGACCCCCTTGTGGTATTAGAGCCTCTAGCTGCCAAATCTGTGGTTTTCTTGGTGTCAAGCAGACTCCGGGCTAACCTTTGCTGACCGCCGGGTATACATGTTAACATAGTTCTTCGGGCACTAGATAGCTCTTTTGTTTCTCTCTTTTGTTCCCTTCCCAAGCCCACATTTTGAGTATCGGATTGCTCTACAAGAAAACAATCTATAACCATGGCATGTTTGTGAGTTTCAGGTGACTATTCCTGAGCCCAACGCGGCCGACTCGATCTCGGACTTCGCCGAAACGCAACCACCCCCTCCCTGTACAGTAAGTACATACATACCAGCGGTGACTTCTTTAGTCTCCCGAAGAGCCCGTGGCCACACGAGGTGTTAACCTCTTTCTATCCTTCGCGAATGCCGCCTACAATGCGATGTTTGGTAGAGAAGACAGAAAGAGAATAAGCGGATCGAGCGCAGGAATTCGACCTTCCTTGGCCTTGCGGATTTTGAGACTAATTTCAAACGAAGACACAGTTGTGAAATGTCACACAGGATGAACGAGGTGATCTATGAGCCCTCGAAACTCTTTTCTCGGCCACAGACTTCCCGAGCCTTCCTGTCCCGAAAATAGCTCACACATGTGAGGTACGACTAGGGTCACTAGTACGGGACGTTGATGAGTTTGATCCGTCATTCAGATGCAGACAGACACTCCCTCAGCGTAACTACAACGCAGCCTCCTAACGAGCTAACTGTCTGGAATGAAAACTATCTTGGCATGGTTTATTTGTACTGTATTGTGAACGTGAATCTGTACGCCAAGGACGACAACTTGACTCAACGACGCCTGGATGCAGGTCAACAGGAGAAACGAAACATAAGACAAGGTGAGACAATATCACTAGACATAAGTAGATATATGAGTTTAGGGCGATGCGTACGACAGCGAACGGAGAAGGTGATGTTTGCTGGCAGCGGGTTGATTCGGTTGCAGTAGGAATCACACCTCGCTAGGTCGATGGTGGTGGGAGACAGACAAGTCGAATCACGAAAGAAAATTAAGAAAAGGCAAACAGAAAAAAATGAAAGCGATTCCTTCAAAAGAGGGAAAGAAATTAATGAGAATTGAAGGAGTTGTCTTCACACAAGTAGCCCAAGAAAAAAGGATAGAGAAAAAGCGCGAAGTTTCATCCAAGCATGACGACAATTATTTCAGCCAGCGTCCGCTCCGTTGATGCTCATTTGGTCCGGGTTGTACCGGCGCCTCCGCATTGGGGCTTTCTTCCGTCTGGCGATGGCAGCGTTCTGAGCAGCGGTGCCATTACCACTGCCCATCTCGGTGTCACCATCGTTATCCGCCTCCCCATGTAGCGCTTCGTAGCGAGACATTTCGTCCAATTCGCGAATATCAAGGGGTTTCATGCGCAGCCACTTCATGCGGGGACCTGACCGTGACCTCTCCGAAACACGGAATCCATAGATCCTTGATTCATAAATGCGGCCTGGGCCGAGACCAGGGCTGAAGTTGACCGTGCGCATGCCGTTGATCTCGACGGGCTGGTTGGGAGGCGGCACATCTGGAGACACCTGGTTGTTGATAGAGGAAGATGTCAGGGAGGAAGAGCGCGTGGGAGAAAGAGCAGACAGGGAACTATCCATCCGAGATCCAATATCCAAATCGGGGAAAGTCATAAAGAACAGGCAGCCAAAAGTAGTGCCGAAGAAGGCGCCATCAACCGAGTGAAATCGACTGTTGGGTGGTGTGTACAAGTCCTGACAACTGGGACAAAACAATTTGACCGTCTCCTGGCCGGGGGTATCTGAGCGACCAACGGGCAAGACCCTGCAACCATTGCAGTATACTCTGGGACAGACACCAAAATGCTGCATCTCATATTTTTCAAGCATCTGCTGGATACCAGGTCGTGAAGTGATGTACCGTTGATGAATCAAGCCGTATAACAACTCGGCTGAGCCCTCAATCACACTCAAATCGCTTGCCACCCGCGCATGTCTGCGCTCTCCAGCTCTTCGGTAGCCCGGAGGCTTGTCATCGCCCAGTATCTCGTCTTCATCCTCATCCTCGTCCTCTTCCTCCTCGTCCTCGTCGTCTTCCTCCGGTTCCACGTCCAATATCATCTCCAGCGCCTCCTTGTACATGGGAACTTGTGACTGGAGACCAGTGAGGTTGAAGTCATCCTCAATGAAATCCTCCGAGACTTCTGCAAAGAACTCATGACCCATCAAGGAGCAGAAGGAGGCGATCCATGACTCCGGTGCACCTTCCGACGACGACATATCGAATGAGTCCGACGCGGATGATGAGGGCGTTGATTCAGACAGTTGACTCAGATCCAGCCTGTCTAGGCCGTCGGCCAACGCCGAACCTGTCTCTCTCGACACGTTGCCGAGCTAACGGGGGCAACAGGCTTCCGATATGAATCTCGTTCCGAGATAGGGCGCGGGCTGAAACCTGCACCGGCTATATCGAGTGCCGGGTACAAGTCTGTCGGATACGTTGTGACACTCCCTAACGTGAAAGGGAGGGAAGATGTAGACACAGGGGTTCAGGTGCTGATGAGAGAGGCCGTGGAAGGCGAACTGCTGCGATGATCAATTAGAAGCCTTGCGTCTGGCTGATAAGCTGAGGGGTCATGGGCAGTGTGCGGGCCGGCGGATTATTGTGCGATGAGGGAACGTCGACGCGATAACAGTTTTAGGATGTCCACTAACCGACAATCACTTAAGAGAACATGGAACGCCACAATGCAGGCTCTGAGCAGGAGTCTAACAGTCACCGAATGAGTGGAAAGCTGGGAATGAGGCTGGATCACGTACTCCCAGCTCGGTTCTGGATGGATGGATCGATCGACGGAGGTTGTCGAGGGGCTTCCGAAATTGGATTTGTGGGGCGGTGAGAGGGTGGGAGAGGCAGATGCCAGAGGGCTGGATTTCAGCTCAACACGGACAAACAACAAGACCATGAAGATAGCGGTGACAGTGATCGAAGCACTCATGAAAGCATGTCTTTGAGACCATCCGGACTTACTATGGCGACCGTGCAGTTGCACTGGAGGAGCGCCTTGGGTGAGCCTTCCCTGTACGACACCCGTATGGTCACGTGATTACATATCAGATTGTTCTCTCTGATATGATCTTCTCTCCTATTTCTCCTGAGGACCAGGGCGAAACCATATGAATCGGAAAGTTTCTGTAAGGGGTTTGCGTCTACCAATGGCGAAAGGAAGAGACCTTATTTACAACTTGGGCGGGTTCCAAGACGGTCAATCGCCATATGCTAAATACACCTCGAGTCCTCTAAAATAGACCTCGTATGACTCGTGACCATTCGCCTTCATCTCCAAGGACGCCCGATAAACCTTCCCCCGTATTTTGGATTTCTCCATCCTGCCCCATGAAGCCATTGAGCCCTTCAGAAGGGCCCGCGGAAGTAATGAAGTTGCCAAAACCCCCAACCGCCTCGAAAAGATTTGTGAGTTCATGGCTCATCTGCAGTCCGTTTAACGGGCTGTTACCTAGCTCCCCGACACCATTCACCGGGCCATACACCGAAAGGTCTTCGATTGGGTGACCGGCCAATCCGGCCATCGCAACCGCCGCTGAAGAATGAGGATCGTTGGAGTCGGTTCCAAATGGCCGTACAATGACCCCCAATCGTTCCCCTATCTTGCGGAGACCTTTGATGGTTTTCCACAGTCGCTTAGATACATAGGATTTGGTGCTGAACCCACTGACGAGTTCGAGAGCCATGTAGAATTCGTCCCGCACTTGTCGGTTGAAGTCATTGGGTGCATGGCATACGGCAAGGAAGAGGACCGCTAAGGCGGCGACTAGGAAATAATTGAAAGTGATCTGCTGCGTACGATAGATATCAGAAGTCCCGTTCAGTCGGGTGAGTACTCGGATCGTGTCTTTGGCGACATCTACCACAGTCTGCGCGTGGCCTTTGTCTTCAGCAATGCTCGCCGCGGAATGCAGTACTGGCCGGTAAATGAGGATCCGAAGCTGATTCATGCGTAGATACAAGAGTATCCTCAATCTTCGAAGACCTCGACTGGTTGATTCTCCATGATTATGTTTCGGAGTTTCGACTGGGTAGAACTTTAGCCCATCTGGGACCTGCTTATACCATTGGAGAATCTGATAGTCCAAATAGCCGATCTCATCCCGTCGTATATCAGTTGCTCCTTCCGAACCAAGCCCAGAATACCATATTTTCGAGCTGATACGGTTGTAAGATATCATGCATCTTAAATACAGCAGAGAAACATCCTAATGACCAGTCAGCGCTACGAATCACTGGACAAATCATCGGACAATGTAACTTACCGGCTCGGGTAGGTTGGCATCAATGTCTTCATCCTGGATTATGAAGGGCAATCCTGTACCAAAGCTCCAACGTCGGTCTAGACAATATATCGACCAGAACGTCTTAACAATGGAAGGCCACTGGCCCTCGTTGGGAAATGATTTTGCCAGCGCATCTCGTCGGTGTAGACCCATTTCGAGACACATGCGTGCTGCCAGACCAATAATGCGGTATGCCATGGCGTCATCGTCTGAATGGAAATGATAGGTTGCCTGTGCTCAGAGTCATCAGCTGTGTTGTTCGAGCTCGAAATTGCCGAACATACTATCAAACCATATAGTTGAATAGTTCTGATATCCAACGAGTCCCATATTTTAGCCTCAGCAACCGGCTTGACACTTAGATATAGACGCCGTCCAAGCTCGCTCTGGCCGCCTCCCTCTATGACCAGAGTAATGGCGAGAATCATCTTCAGAAGAAGCGTGCTATCGTCATGGAGACCATCTGAACCAGAAAGCCCTCTCTGCGTGAAGCCAGTGCGTGTCGCAGCTTCCATAAATGTGTAGAGCAAGTTGACTTGCTGCGCTACGTGTGCGATATCTATGAGTGGGTACATGATTCCGACTTCTTCCTCGTAGACTTGGCAGAGTCGCAAAGCCTCATCCCGTTTGATTACCCATATCGGATCTTTGGTTGGATGTATTGTGGGAACAAGTTGAGCCACATGAGGCGGGGATCCGGCAGGGGTGGCATGTGCTGTGGTGAGATCATCTGTTATCATCTCCTCAGCAGGAGTGATGCCCATGGTTTGCAGGCTAGAACGCGCGACATCAAAGCTGAAAGCGGAACTGGTAGGCCCTTGAAAGCGAGGATGTCTTATGCGAGGTTTAGCCAACTGTGCATGCATTGGCGTGAATACTGATTGTGAGCCATCTCGGGAGAAGCCTTCGAGCCCCGGGGAGTCTAGAGACGATCTCTGAGACCGAAGATCCTTGAGGTTGGAAAAGAGACTATTGACTTGATCCTGCAAAGTTCTGATCTGATCTTTCATTAACCGAAACTCCCTGTAATGAATCTTCGTTTAGCCATGGTGCTTCGGGACATACAAGTCGCGAGACTTGAGAAATTACTGCTTGCCGGACTTACTCGGAATCCTTAAAATTATTGTTGCAGCAGTTCGGGGCATATCGGCCTAAGATGAACGCTCAGCTTATCTCTTGCGTCAAAGACAAATACGGGTCGCACAGCCCTCGCGGCGCGCAACTGACATTCGAGATTAAGGTGCCCACAGCGTTGGCAAGGTACCTGGCCATTGCACTTAATCTTGCGTCGTTTGCATTCATTACTAATAAATGCGCCCAGTACTATGTCAGCTATTTGCGGTGTTGCAACAGACAAAGGTTTCGGTTTTGACTCGGTGGATTTCAGAGCCGGAATCATACCATGCGATTGAGATGTAGCGATTCCGCTTGGTGCGAGTATGCGTTCCGTTGATCTGTTCCGCCTTCCTCTTCGCCGTATCAGCAGCTGGGGCTTCATCCTGCTCCGTGGACTCCGGTTGAGGTGGTGCCATATCATTTCGGGGAGACTCTGAAGCCATGCCGGATGAGGACCGCGATGGGACGAATGATTGTTGGCGTGGAAGAAAGCAGCGCCTGGTGCGGATAGATTCCTTCCTCTCAGCGGATGGGCGCGCGGGGTTTCCGTTTTCCCCAGACGGGTTGAACTGGGTCCTGGCTCATGTAAGGGCGGTAAGACTCAACCAAGGTTTACTATCTGCTCAACATCAACTGGTCAATGCACCTCGGGGCGGAAATTTCCCCGACCGCCCGACCAAGTTGTTGGGCTGAAGCACCACCCCCAGGTGTTATTCCGATGCCTTGCGGACAATCTCCTGAAACCCCATATGATTCAGGATATCTCACCTTTCTGAATGAAGACCCAACAATGGCCATGCCGCAATAACCTTCGGGTATGGAGGCACCTCCACCTTTTCAATCAAAGACAACGATGTCTCTACTCCTTCTCCACCACGGTTTCGCGCCAATACCGCACACTAGAATCTCTTAGTGATGTCAATCTCGACCACTTCCGTCAGACATACTTTATCCCAGAGCGTCCTATAATCCTCCCTCGCCGACATTTTTGCACCCTTCCTGCTTTTGAAAAGTGGTTCTACTCCGCTCCGCCCGGATTAAACGCAGCATACCTGCGTCAACATGGCGCCGATGCCCTCGTTCCGTTGGAACTGACACAAGCTCCTGCAGACACCATCTCAGGTACGGGTGAGCCTAGCTTTCGGCAGTTTCACGCGCCTCTGAGCTTATTCCTTGAATGGATCTCTACCGCGGAAACGCTCGAATCGCCGACGACGCGCCTTTACCTCGCGCAGTGCCAACTCCATGACTTGCCGCAGACTCTCCGCAATGATTTCCCAACTCCAGAATTAGTTTTGCAGGCAGGGAAAGGGGATATCTACGACACAAACGTTTGGATTGGATACCCGCCCACGTACACACCTCTTCACCGCGATCCAAATCCGAATCTGTTCGTTCAGCTGGCTGGACGGAAGGTGGTGCGGCTGTTACCCCCCTCGGATGGACAGAAGGTATTCAGCTCGGTGCGACACCAAATAGGCAAGAGTGCTGGCCGCGAGGCTACCGTATTTCGAGGAGATGAGATGATGCAAGGTGAGGAGAGGGTACTGCTCGAAAAGGCCGTGTGGGATGATGCCGCTGATGACTTTGCTGAGCCCAGCGGGTTCGAGGCGCATCTACAGGCCGGCGACGGTATCTTTATTCCTCGAGGATGGTGGCATAGCATCAGGGGATTAGGGGAAAGTGTAACTGCATCGGTAAGATGTCTAATCGCTGTATTTGTTAAGGGATTTACTGATCTATTACCAGGTCAATTGGTGGTTCCGATAACAATGCTTGTAACTGCAGCTGTAGTTCGTACGTAGGGTTTAAGCAAAATCAGACCACACGCTGCCTCGTTCATATAGAACTACTTGTACTAGAATATCAAGCCATCGCTCATAACAGGAAATCCAACCCCTCTAGAAGCTCCCCGAAGCATAGATGTTCCGTGGTAAAGCTATCGAGAGTATAAGTCGGTCATCCCACGCCACTGTTCTAGAATCCTCTTCTCCTCTCCGCGGTCCCGCCCAGTAACTCCACACCTCATCCCACCCATCACAATTCACAATAGAAAAGAAATCTCATCATCGTCTTTCACACCTCACTCGGTTGCTCTCTTGCTCTCAACTCAACCAATAAACCTCAGAGCTTATACGACCAGCATATAATGTATATGTCTAGCCCTCTGACTCGCGCTTCGCTATTCAATATCCTCCTTACCCCAGTCCTTACCACATCCACGTCCACATTCATCCGCGCATCGGCGAACAGTACGCCAAGATCTCCACTCGACCTCCCTACGCACCCGCACTGCTCTGCCTCTCATCTCTATCGCCATTACAACACTACCTTCTACTCGACAATGTCATCAAACCCTTCCCAAGAGTCCCAGGCCACTGCCAACGCGAACAACGCCAATTCCGTAAACCAGGCACAGGCGCAGGAGCCGCAGGAAGGGAAAGACTACCTTGCTCTTCCGGACGCAAGCAGCGCCGACTCAGCGACACGACAGCTCGACATAAGCGGTGACGGATCATCCGTGAAGCTGGACCATCTGGGCCCCTTGGTGGTCAATCAGGACGGAACGCTATCGAGGATCTCCAATTGGGAGCAAATGACCGAGATTGAGCGACGGAATACTTTGAGGGTTCTGGGCAAGAGAAACAAATTGAGGATGGATGCTATCAAACAGGAGCAGAACCAGGATCAGGAGAACTAGGTAGAAAAGGTAAACGCATGCTAAGGCGAGAAAAGAACTGGTCGCACAGCTGCTGGACGGCGGTCTTTACGAACTATAATATGATGCGCAATGTGTATAAATGATTCCTGTCGATTCGAATCCATAGAGGCGCATTGTCGTACAGCGTGTCGATCTCATCATATCCAGATTTGCGTTTAATTATATACCTTCCAATCAAATTCTTCAGAAGATCCTTCAGAAGGGCATCGTTTCGCTCACTTATCTCCAGTTCAGTGCATGCAATTTGACTAGCCAAATAGCCAATCACCAAAACGAGAAAGAGGATTACTGTGCTTGATTAGTCCAGGGGAATCGTCATGACAGTTATACAGGGTTGTGAGGCATACCGAGAAGGTATATCAACGTAATTCCTGGTGTGCTCATCTATATCATCCACTCCAGTAGATATATCGATCTCTTCTGGTTTCAAGAATCTCGTCCGGCAGATCAGTTTATAGCCAACGAAAATGACCGGGAATACTGCAATCATCATGTACGAGAACAAAAACGTCGGTACGTCCCAATTGCCAGGAAGGAAAACCGTATATCCACCAACGAAGGTCATGACGAATGTGGAGCCCAAAGCTATGTAGGCGACGTAGGGTTGACCCCAGCTCCGATAGGGTAGAGTCTGCCGAGCCACGCCCTGTGCCATCAAAGCTTTCCTGAATCTAGTGTACGTGAAAGTGATGACCGCAAAATTAATGAGTTGCGATGCAGTCATCTGTTAAGCTGGTTAGCTTTCGAGTTGGCAGAAGCCGAACGAGGAGCACTTCCGTCGATGCGAAAACTTACCAGACTTACAAACCAATTAAGAACGACCGCTGAGCCATTGGAGACCTGCAAAAATGCAAGCAGGGCTATAAGAAGAACGACCAACACACAATAGATTGGTACGCCCTTCCTGGTGCACTTAGTGAAGATGTGCGGCGCCTTACCATCCAATGCAAGCCCGTAGAGACTTCGGCTGGCACAATAAACGTAGCTGTTACCCGCACTAAAAGAAGCTAGGAGGATCATGGCATTGACGATGTGTGGCAGCACGGGAATGTGTAGCCGATCCATTGCAATCACATAGGGCGACGATGCAGCCCCAGGCAGATCCTGTTCAAACGCAGCGGCCATCTCAGGGTCGTTGTAAGGAACTAAGATGCCAATGCAGAGCACGCCCAGGACGAAGAACGCCGTGAGTCGTAAGAATATTCCGTTGAAAGCCTTCGGTAGAACTCCGCGAGGATTGACTGCCTCTCCCGCGGCCATAGAGACGTAGTCTGGTCCAGCGATAGTGAAACTGGCCTGGATGAGACAAGCCAGGAACCCAAGCCATCGGCCAAGATCGCCAGTCTTGTAGTATTCAGCGAACGCTCCAGGGCTTTTCCAATATCGAAAGCCGAAGCGGTCACCGAGAGGGTTGCCTCCAACCATTACAATGAATGTGAAGAATATTAACCCCACGCTGAGTAAGACTTTGCTCAGAGAAAGCCAAAATTCAGACTCGCCATACCATTCGACGGCAAAGAGATTCAGAAGTCTAGAAGCCACCGAGTTCAGCTTTGGTCAGAGAGTAGTTCATCGGTCCATCCTTATGCAGGAGAGGGAGCTTACGCACACGTAGAGTGCCAGTACAATGATGACAATTCCGGCGACTGGGACTGCATTACTCCAGTAATTGATAATCATATTACATGCCGTAATCTCGAATGGGACCATAACGGCTTCAAAAACGAAGAAGTTGTAGCCGGCGGCCACGCCGAAGGCTTCATCGACATACCGACCAGCGAACCTAATGAAGGGTGATGATATGGGCAAATACGTGACCATTTCTGCCAGACCTAGCGCAAGGAATTGTTCAGTGACTGCCGTACCACGAGAAGCGAGATTAGGGTGCATTGGAACTGATCGCCGCCAGGAAGGTAGGTGTGTATTATCCTTCCGAAACGTTTGAGCAATGGTGTAGCATAAGGGCCGCAAATTTGAGGCTGACAGCGAGAGGATACCGGGGAGATTGAGATCGGATCATGGGGAGGAAGCCAATGAACGGATGTTAGGAATAGGGCCTCTTACAGACTGTTATACAGAGAATCACTAGAGACCTAATTTGAGAATATATAAGATTCGGTACTCGGCATGGGATAGAAACAAACGAAAGATCAAGAAAGGCAGATTTCGGACTCGTGCTTTCTCACGAAAAATGTCAAGTATGCCGTGTCCCAGTCAATGCCCTCTTGAGACTCAAGAGGGCAAGTCTTTGTAGAGACCGCCTCGTTGCCTTGATCAATACACTTCAGTGCGTTCCCCAGCGAGAGAAGGCATATCACCCATTATTCAGGCCGAGACAGTAGCAGAGGTCTAGTAGGGATTGGGGATAGAAGATATATCAGCAGCACTGTCTTGGGAAACTTACCAAATAAAAAATGCCAGGAAGAGACTGCCAGGGCCGCCATGCATCAGGCCTTTGCCAATCTGCACATACAGCGCTGTGCCAATTGTGCCACCAATGCCGATAAGTTGTATGTGTCTTGGTTTTAGACGGCGATGCGTATGGTCGGAGGCAAGTTTATTTGAATTGACAACGAATTCATCAACATCACTGACCACCCTGTCCTTTTGGAAAGGTATTTGGTGACTTGCAACATGTTTGCTATCGTGACGGTTAATTGTCGGGGTGTGCCCCTCGTTGATGACAGCTGCAATAGTCATCTGAGAGGTGTATATAGTGGCTCCTGATCAAAATCCCAGATTATCGCTCACCAGCATGCGTGAAAAACCAAGATCGACGGAAGATAAGACTGCGCAGGATGGGACAGACTGGAAAAGAGAAGAACAAGGGGTAGGAAAGCCGCGGGCGAAGGGAGGCCGCGATATATGTACGTACCTGGTTAGCACTTTAGCAAACCACCTAACCCAGGAAAAACCAGACGTGCGCCGGTATCACGGTGGTATCCGTCAATCATGAAGCATGATTAATTACAGTTGACTGCTGAATATGTTGGCCTACCTCGGTAGGTAAGTCAAAAGGCAACCAAGAAAGCAAATCATATATCTCCAGCACGGTCGACTCCATTCCGCCTCCCCACAATGGTGGACAGATGGGAAAAAAAAAGGCTCCTAGCCTCCCATTGTTAGTCCAGAGATAGAGTACGGACTAGCGTGGAGGGACCGAAGAAAGGAGGGGAAAGTGCAGTGATATTCCTTCCGTCCATTTTCAGGCTAGTTATGAGAATCGTTGACATAAGACCAGTCGAGTCATCAGTCACAAAACCCAAATCAGTTTTTCGGGACATCGTGTACAGACTGGCTGGCTACGGGGTTGCAGACAAGATAGCTTGCATTAGGGAAGGCCGGGGCACTTTGGCGGGGTGGGAGAGAAAAGAGAGAAGAGGAGTAGCCCGGAGGGGTAGCCCTCCCGACCTGGAGCCGAATTTCCCTTCCAAGTTTAGGTTTAGTACCTAGTACCTAGGTAACTAACTGTTTCGGTTATAACTTTTCACTTCAAGTTGCGGATATCACTTGATGGCCATGTACTGGTATTTTCAGTGAAGGGAGAACAGAGCCATTGCTATAACTGATACAACCCACGCCGGCTTGCGGTCTCACCAGGAGAAACAGTGAGCATGGAAGTGTGAAACTTCTGAGACAGCCTGCAACTGACATGTGTTGACCCAAGACAAAATGGTTACAAGAAGCGCCATACCATAGTCATACCAGAGAATGACCAGAGTTCAAGGAAATCAGCCGATGGAGTACTTCAACTCAAGAGTTGTGTCGAAAACCCGCATTTTCCCAATTCTCATCGAGCCCCTAGCCCCTTTGAATGAACCGAACAACTTGGCAAGGGCCGCAGTCTCGAGGATAGGGTGCACCATCCGGCTATTCATTTGAAGGACAGAAACGAGCTTGTTGGCTAATGCATCAGGGAACGCTGACCAGCGCTGAAGGGCCCCCATGTTTCGATAGTATGGATTACTCATGAGCCATCCAGTGGCTATTGGGATCGCTCTTTTGCCTCAACTTCTGTGGTTGACGTTCGACTTCGGCCTGGACGGGAGGCTTCTGTCCTAGCCAGCTAGGAGGGAAGAAGCCATCGTTGTCATCGAAATATAGGTGATGCGATAGATCTGACCCGACAGAGCTATACTGGCAATTCTGTGAGGGTGCGGTCTCGTCGGCTTCAGGCCTCTCTACCAAGGGGAGGGTGGACTCGGGCTTCCCCGGGTGATCCGAGTGACTCGGGGCCATTATCTGGGCGAAAATGGAGGCTGGCTGAGAAGTGGGCTAGATGGAGATAAACATATAATACCAGTTCAACAGAAACGAGTGCTGTCTGGGAGAGTTGTTACTTCACTAGGGATATATGATTGCCGGTGATGGTCAGCCAGCATTCCGACTTGACGTCAGATGCCTAAAACAGATGAGCACGAGACTTTCTATCCTTGTTTCCTTGCGCGCAATAAAATAACCTTCAAGAAGTGGATGAAATAATGGAGAAGAATATGCTTCCACTCCATAAAGTCTCACTCCGCCCTCCGCGCTGAATCATCATCAATATATTGAGGATGTCAATGGACAATACTTAGTACTGAGTCAGTGGTAGACGGCGCCGACCTAATCAGAAGAGTTGCTTCCCATTAAAGCTCCGACCCACAGTTGCGCCGCTCCGAGCTCTTCTTTTCCCCCTCCCCGCCTGCCCCGCGTCGTCGTGACCCGAAATCAACACGACTTCTCCTTGCGCAGCATAGCTTTCTTACGAGACTTAAGCTCACCTCACCTTTTAATATCAGTACAAAATAAGCGAGTTCAAGCATCAACAAGGGACATCATGGTCGAACACGAGCCTGAGCCCAAGCGCTTTTCCCCTAAGATTCCTGTGCAGCTTGATCCTCCCAAATATGACCCGATTAGCCCGGAGGAACTGTCGAGATGCGACGGTCAGTTGACTTTCAGAACATTGTCTAGCTACAGGATATGTATTATCTCTGACTGATCGCGATCTACAGGCACCGATTCGAACCGCCCTACGCTGGTCGCAATCAAGGGAATTGTTTTTGACGTGACTCAGAACAAGGCCTACAGCCCGAGCGGAGCGTACCATGGTGGGTTCAATTCTGAGCTCTTCGAAGAATTTGGATTATATGCATATGTTCTCAATTTGCTGATATGTTTCTCTGAACGCAGTGTTCGCCGGAAAGGACCCCTCCCGCGCCCTGGCCTCCTCGTCACTCAAGCCTGAGGATTGCCGACCTGATTGGTACGATCTCGAGGATAAAGAGAAGACGGTACTCGATGAATGGTTCACATTCTTTAGCAAGAGATACAACATTGTCGGGAAAGTGCAAGATGCTACCAATTACTGAGAGAAGTGGATGGAACATCTGTAATACTTCATCTATTAGCCAGCGCTCTTCTGTTATGAGCGCACCAAGTATGCCTGAGGACCGGCATTTGGTGCCTCCTGAGTCTTGTTGTGATACCTACCATCTTAGTCTATCTATACCAGAGCAATGATGTGATTTTCAATGATTGCCAATGTAAATAGGCGCAATAATCACTAGCTATCTATATAACCCTTGAAAACTTTTGTATTTACCCGTGGTTGATTAAGCCTTTCCCTTTCGAGTCCTCCGTTGCATTCTCTTCTTCGCAATGATACGGTTACGCTTTGCGACTTTGTTCTGTTCATCCGCATCTTCCCCGACATCGTTCTTGTCGCTGCTGTTGTCGGAACGCTTTCGCTTTTGCCCTGTTGAAGAATTCTTGTCCTTGAAATCACGTTTCGAGCCCCCATCCTCTTGTTCTTGATCCTTCTTGAAATTACGTGCCTTGGATTGCTGTTCACTGCGGCGTTTGACAACATTGGCATTCTCAATGGCGAATTCGACAACGAGCCGTTTCTTCTTGTCCTGAACATCAGGGGCGGCAGATTTGGGAGGTTCAACCGCATGGCCATTGAGCCATCTCAAACCCATAAGAGCATGGCGATGGGTATAGTACTCGACGAAGCCGTAACCTCTGCTCCGACCTGCTCCACTTTCCTCGTTGATCTTGCTCCCATCGCGGCTCTCGTAGACAATTTTCGCTTGCCTGACAACTCCCACACCCTTCTTCTTCCGTTGCTGCTCTGCCTCACGCATGATATCAGCAGCTCGGTCCAGCTCCTCCTTCGACAAGGGCTGGCGCACGCCACTTTTCATGTCCTGGGCGAAACCAACAACAGCCTGTCGAGCCAGCTGTTTGAGATCCTTCGACGTAATATGACGGGGAACATTGCGAATAGACAACCGGGTTAAACTTAGGTGAAGACTTGGGTTCTTCTTGATGAAGTTCTGTCGTTGCTTGTAACTGTCCTCTCTCATCTTGATTTCAGAGGGCGATAGTTTCTTGTAGAGGGAGGAGTTTGGTGAGATAGTACCCTCTTGAAGGAGGTAAAGGCGGCGTTTGTCAGTATCACGAACCAGTCGACGAGAAACACCCTCTTCTTCCAGTTGGGTGGCACGAGACTTGCTCACGGCACGGGCGATTTGAAGCACTCTGCCATCTAAGGTGTAACGCCCACTCGGATCGGCGTTTTCATTTTGTAGAACGGATTGCTTGTATGCCGTGGATGCTTTCTTGCCTTTATCTTTGTCGGCAGCGAGAGGGTCCTGCTGCTTGGGAGCGTCGCGCACACATGACACTGCATCGTCCACTTTCCAGAAGCAAACGAATCCGGTACCACGAGGGCGCTCAGTCTCTCGGTCAACGACAATTCGCGCATAGCGAAGGGGGCCGAATTGAGCGAAGTGTTCGTAAAGCATCTCATCGTCACACGTAAAAGGCAGGTTCCTGATGAAAATGGTCGACGCGTCCCTTTCGTCTCCGTTTTCCTCTTGCATATCCATTTCTTCATCTTCCAATGCTTCTTCATCGATATCGTCTTCACTGTCAAGATCCTCGTCTTCGTTAGCGGAGAGAGCATCCTCATCAACATCAGAGTCGGCCTCTGCAGCCTCCACATCCTCATCAGCCATGCCAACATCCTTGGGGTTGTCCTCCTGCTTTTCTTTCTCCGCATCGTCTTGTTCTTTCTGGAGGTTCTCCCAGACATTTTTCTCCACAGCCCAATCAACTGCCAGTGTTCGTCCATCGATCTCCTTTCCATTGACGCCCTCTAGCGCCTTCTCTGCGTTCTTCTTTCCCCGCAGCACCACGAACCCGAAACCGGCCAATTGAGTTCCCTTTCTGGGAAGGTATGCTTGCTTGACTTTGCCATAACTCCGAAAGAGCACCGCCAAATCGTTGGGTTCCTTAATGCTCCACGGCAAGTTTCGAACAATCAATCTCGGCGGCACCGCGGTCGCTCGTTGCTGTTCTCTTTGCTTCTTCAATTCAAGAGCTTCAGTAGACGGTTTAGATTTACCGAGGTTCTCGTCGACAACACGATGACGTGGTTGGGCATATTCGACTTTGATCTTCTTGCCTGCGAAAACAGATCCGTTGAGTTCCTCCAAGGCAGCTTTCGCGTCTTCGACATCGGCGAAAGTCACAAAGCCGTAACCCTTGGATTGTTTTGTCTCCGGGTCAGTGACGACGATGGCATGTTTGATCACGTAGGATTGCGAAAAATGTTCTGCGAGGCTCTCGGTGGTCGCTGAAGCGGGAAGAGATCGAATGAACAACTCCCTTCGAGGCTGGTTCGAGGAAGTCTGGGATGCTGCCTTTGTCTGGGTGTCAACAGCAGTCCTGATTTCATCCGAGGCGGCTTGTGTCCCAGAGGGACTCTCCTTGCGAGAATCGTCACTGTCAGCCATGGTTGGTGTCTGGATGACTTTTTTTCGCAAGGAAATCTGCGGCAGAAAAATCCCACCGCGGACAGAGCCTAGAGCCAAAAGCGGGTCTCAGGGCGGTGAAACGGGAGATTAGATAGAGCGCGATCAAATTACTCCGTAGAGAAAGGCGCTTTCCCGGATCCATCCCTGTCCGTGTAAATAAGCACGACAGGATGGAGATATGACCCTTACAAAGCGCAATGTAAAGAGTGAAAGAATAGACACATCCAATACCTCCTCTCATGAACCATAGCAGGGTCGTGAATTATAGAGCAGTGACTTAGGCGTGGCTTAATCGCTCGACTTTTGAAACAAGGAAAAACCATGACGCATTGCACGTGAGGGCATATCGGACGGAAACCCGACTCGGACTGAAGCACAGCACTCTAAGATCAAATCTAATTGAGGTTCGATCCTTGTGCTCTCTTTCCAGCATCTTCTCTCCTAGCTCGCACTAAGTCTTGAAAGTAGTGTCTAGCTTTTCCACCGCCTCGCCTTCTGGAGTACAAAATGGGCGACGGACCCAATGACTCCGGCGAGCGATCGGAGTCCAACGCGATTCCCACAGCCTCGACGCCACGACAAGCATCTGGACCGTCTCAAGTCCAGCAGCCCAAGCCACAGGTGTTGGCTAATAGGTCCGGCCCCTCGGCGATACTCGTCTCTACACGACAGAAAGGAAACCCAATTCTGAACCATATCAAGATCGTACCTTGGGAATATGCAGATATCCCAGCTGACTACGTGATCGGAAACACTACCTGCGCACTGTTCTTGTCACTGAAGTACCACCGTCTCCACCCTGAATATATCTACTCGCGTATACGACAGCTCGCAGGAAAATATTTACTGCGCATCGTCCTAGTGATGGTGGATATAGCGAATCACGAAGATAGCCTACGAGAATTGTCTAAGACGTCTCTCATCAATAATCTTACACTGATGCTGTGCTGGTCTGCTCCCGAGGCCGCACACTACCTGGAATTGTATAAGTCGTCGGAAAATTCACAACCTACAGCAATTCGCACGCAGCAGGCCCAATCTTACAAGGAGTCACTAGTCGAGTTTGTGACTACACCCCGCAGTATCAACAAGTCTGACGCGGCAAGCCTGATCTCCACCTTCGGGAGCTTACAGAATGCAATCAATGCTCAATCAGAACAGATTGGCGCGGTACCCGGATGGGGAGAGAAGAAGGTTAGGCAATGGTGTCATACAGTGAGGGAAGGATTTCGAGTTGAGTCGACGAAGAAGGCAAATGTGCCTAGCCGAGACAAAAATCGCCTATCGGCACAGCCAGGAACCTATCAGGAGATTGATTTTCCTTCAAGGGCGTCTGAAGGTCGGGAGCAATTCGAGGAAGAGTTTCTTCTCGCGGAATCGGAGGGCAGCAAGCTAGCGGCGCACGGAGATAACATTGAGGAGCAACGCGCTAAAGACGACGGTCAGCCGGAAGAACTGGACCAAGGCATAATGGCAGCACTGGCGAAGCTTCGTGAGAACGGTAGCTGAATGGAGACTGAGGTCTGTTTCTTACTGTATATAAAGCTCATTCCTACAGCGCCAGGCTAATATGTTGGGCCTATTTAGCCATGTATGTTGGGAGAAAGCCGTACCGGTCAGCTGTCTATCTTCTGCGGGTCGAGGTTGTTGACCGAGATGGAGAACCTGAAGGTTGAGAGCAAAGGCATCGAGAGACTCCGCTTTCGGTCAGAAAAGTCAGGCAAGGCAAACTTGATGACACTATGGGATCAGTTCTATAGCAGTGAAGTGTACTGTTCATCTACGACTGGTTTATTGGGACGGAATAGTGTCGGACTATTTCCCGATTTTCGCCCTTACTTCCCACACGGTTATCTTCCACACGATCATTACTTGCTTTGTGTTCCCTGTGTGGCCTTAATGAACTTGTACGGCACAAAATATATCTGTGATAAGCGAATATGGCAGTCAATAGACAGACGAGGCATTCGCATCAATGATCTCTAGGTAGTGAAATTTGTAAGTTGGCCGTTGATGAAGATCATGCTCAAGGTGACAGACAGTCTGCGCCGGAGACCAACAGATACTAAATCCTAACTAGTAGGCTTGGGTGACGCGTGTCGGGGCCTCGGGTTGTCCGATCACAGCTCAGCTGCTAAGCTCGCCGCCCCATGGGGAGAATCCGGGACAGATTAAGCCGGTGGAGCCTGACAGTGCTTGTTTTCCTCATTTGCAACCCACCCCAAGACCCAAACCCGCCTCCAGGCTGGCAGTAGTAAGACAACGTGGCTGTGGTTAGAAATGTTGCCCAGTATTAGGGAAACCGTGTCATTCCGACCGAGACCCAATCGATCGTGCCGCGATCTAAGTGCCTGATTTTGAGGCCATCGAAACACCGGCTTAGATCCCGCTGAGTCAGCCACTGAAGATCATCACGTGGGGCCTGAGCGGTGGGGCACGGCGCCGAAAGGGGAAATCGGGCTGACGGCGAACATTGGAGTTTGACAGTCCAACGAGTCAACGATATTCTCTTGTTCGAGGCCACGGCCCTACTCTAGTGCTAGTGATAGCAAGTCGTGCTGTGAATGTATCCTCCCGATTGAACAGAAGCTACCAAGCATTCTCCACTGAGCATAGCTGCAGCAAAGATCCCTGGTCCCCACTTGACCAAACCCCAGCCAAGCTTGCTTCTTGTTGTTGTGTCCAATTTGACTTATCCATCCAGGTCGAATCATGAGATCATGAGGGGGGAGGGACACCAGCAACCCGGGCAAAATAGGGTACTAGATTTTCAGCTTCAGAATGTGGACAATCAGGGATCGTCAGGGACCCGACAAGTTTTGAATAGTGATGGGGCGGACCAGACAAATACTTCCTCCGGGGACCAGCAATCGAGCAGATCGGCTCAGCAGCCCGGATCGAGGAACTTTGAATTTGTTCTAGTGACTGATAACGGATCTCGGCGCCAGGTCCGACGTCATGCCATGCGTCAGTATATGCATCAAAGGCGCTTGGACAGTATTGCTCGACTTGGGACGGCTCGTGTACCGGGAGGTGCTTGGTCTACCCGCTCACCTTCCGACTCCCAGCCCTCAGGCTCGTCCTCCCAAGTAAGGATTGTAAAGGACGAGTCCCAGGAGGATTTGGCCGCCAAGTCAGAGAAACCGTCGTCCCCGAGTAGCGATGAGGACAAACAAACACTGGAGAAGTCCAGGAGCTCTTCGCGTTTGCTCATCCCGAAATTGCATAAGGTCAAACGCGAAGATGCATCTTTACTCCCAGCCCCAAAGCCTAGGGCATCCGATCCCCTAGCCAGCCCCGGGGAAGGGGTAATCCGAGACCCTTTCAGTTGCTATCCTATCGCTATTAGCCATACGGACCATGAACTGATTCAACACTGTAAGTGGTAGAACTCGTTCGCATGCTGCTTCAGATCCGCAGCGCAACATATACCTTTCTTCTAAACCCCAAACCAAGAGACGATAATTTCCGGACGGGAGCTAACTTAAGAAAGTCGTTGTGACCTATCCGTCAATGATGTATAAGTTTGCCGACTCGATCGCAAATAATCCGATGATGGAGATTTTCCGGCAAATCGCACTCCATGACAGTCTGCCCTTCCAGGCTATGCTTGCTATCGCCTCCAAACATCGTGCTGGCGTGGAAGGAAAGACAGAGTCTGTGCAGAGCCTTACTCACAAGATGCGAGCACTTAAGTTCATGAATGAGCGTATCCAAGGGGACGCAACTGGGCAGCATGACGGAACTATCTACGCTGTAGCTACAATGGCTGTCATCGAGGTACCGTGGCCCGTGGCACCCCACTTTACATGCATATAACTGACACCCCCGGAGAAATGGTCCAAGGATGCATCTATCGAGCGAATGCATTTTCGCGGGTTATCATCGATGATCAGGAATCGAGGCGGAATGCGTGGCATGCGACTCACTAGTCCTTTCCTGGAGAAAGTGCTTTACTGGTAATTTCTACCAGGGCACTCTGTGTTCATCTGGTGCTAACATGGCATAGGGTTGACTTCAGTTGTGCTCCTAAGGCAATCATCAGCACCTCCCTACCTTGGACTGGATCCACACCTGATACAACTCCTCCTCTCAACTTTTTGGACCCTAATCTACACCTTGCTGTTCCTCATGATACAAGCACTGCAGAAGATGCCGAAAGTCTTTGTGAACGATTTAGAGCATGCGAAGATTTCTTACGGTTCTTTCGTCGCCTCCGTGAACTGGAGAGCATAGCCCTAAACTCTCCTTGTGCTGTTGTAGAAGAGACTTTTCCCCGTCGGACCAAGCACTTCAGCCCTGGCACTCAGCTCTACTCGATTCTGACTATGCTACCCGATTATGATCACGGAATTCGAGATATCCGGTTCATCGACGAATACACTTGCATGTCCTGTCTCTTTTTCCTCGCCGTCGCACTATATGACTGCTACCTAAACTCCCAAAACCTTGACGATTATCTCGAGTGGCTCAGCCTTGAGGTCCGCAACCTCAACCCTTTCACAAATCCGAGCATTACATCAATCCTTTGGCTATTCCTGAACAACGGCGGTTATCCCAAGAACAAACCAGGTGACACTGGGGACCGATGTTGGATCGTCTCGCGAATGGTCCGGATTGCCAAGCGCCTCGAATGGAAGCGCCACGGAACTATCTGGGACCGCCTTCGTCAAGTGCTCATCAATTTCATCGTCACGCAGCAAGAATGCGCATTAGGCTCTGATCAGATCGACGCCGAGACGCATGTAGCCCGTGCGCAGAAACAACTTGGCTATCAGACCAACTCGGCGGACTACTTCTGGAATGAGGCACAGTTGCGTGAGGATATTCTCGAATTCAATTTGCCTTCTGTCACCCGTTCATCTACCGGTCTGGGAGACACGAATGTACCCGTTTTCACGTAACAACCTTACCTCTCTTTTATCTTTGTTTCAGCCATGCATGGATCCCCACTTCAGCGTATCACCAACTGAGCGATGATCTCGTTCGGGGTTTACTTTTGGTTAATCTAATGTCACCTTTCACGACTTATGACGGATGAAATGATTGGACGGTCACGGGCTGAAATTGAATGGAGTGGACTGCTACTTTAGATTGGAAATCAAGTTCTTCCCATGTAAGAGGGGGTTGTATCGGCTATCGATGATCTAATACTGCTTTACACAGAGTTTGGTAGAATGGCGTTGGTACAGTTACCTCCTGAAGAAATGATGCAGCTGCCGGCGGTGTGCAATCAGTCTTTTGCCTTTTGAACCCAAGCGATCGTGCACACCAATCTTAGCAAGAGTCATGATGGGTTGGGGAAGAAGGGTGGGGGGAGTAGTGTACCGTACATGTGAACTTGGAAGTAGAGCCATTTCTCCTGTCTATGACACATTGGTATTTGATTAGGAGTCTAAGCAGCAGAGCAACAGCCGCAACCAGGTTATGCCATAGAATGCGAGGTTGACCCTCCTCGGATATCATTCAAGGCAACATCAACCGACCCAGGGATATGCCCTAAAGGTGACTAGAAGCACATATGAACATAGCAATGGCAACCCCCCACCCTACCAGACACCTGAGCAGAATAAGAATAACCTTATCGCCAAGCGAGCTTCTTTTCCTGAACATGGAATCGGACCAATCAGACGAGGAGTATGTAAGATGCAAGGCAAGAAAAGACAACACAATATAACCACAAGCAACCAAAATCAATGGTATCGAGCGCGTAGACAAAGATAAAAAAAAAAGGAAGGGTAAAAAAGAGAGTCTGCCAATACAAAGCTGAACAGAATGTGACAGTAGGACTTTTTTCATTGAATTCCAACCCATTTCGCCCGGAGATCGTGTCCCTTCTTTTGTATCATTTGCGATGGGTTTCTTTTGGCAGTGTCATTGGTATCGGCATATCAGCATGTCCGTATCCATATCCGTGAGATCGTCATAAGAGAATGCGAATGGTAAAGGAAAATAGCTAAAGAGCATAGATAATCATGTGGGCTTGTCGCAACCGATGCGGCCTAGAAGTGCTTTGCGGTCGCTCTGGTCTCCAAGACGAACTCGACGAGGACGCACCGCCGAGGCACCGTTCGTTCGGCGCCAGTCGGCGTTGGAGCTGTCGATTGCATGGGTGCTCCCGTTGAGGCTATCCTTCTCAATAGGGTGCCCTTCCTCTTCCTCCCCTTCGTCATCGCTACGAGGTTCCTCGGCATTACCGGTGCGGATGACACCAACAGCCACGCGAATCACCATAGTGAACCAGATAAGGGAGAGCAGCTGCAATGCCAGAAGACAGGAAAGGAAAATCCACTTGACAGTGCGATTCATGCAAATTGGTCCGTTGAGATCCTTGAATGGGGAGACCAGATACGACCATGCGCTCGGGTAGCCATTGGTGGAAATCATTTCCGCGGTCGTACCTGAGTAACATCCGTAAGACATCTTGGCAGGAACGTCCTTGTAAATAGACCAGCAAAGTTTCGGATAGTATATATGGCGAGTGATCAACCACGTTACCATGAACACAACAAAAGCGATGTTGCAGCTCATTTCATATTTCAAGTATTTCAGGATTTTGGCCGTCTATTTCACCGAGTCAGTGAGCTGGACTTGCGCGAATGGGTGAATATGGCGATCTATCCTCCACTCACCGGCAGCAGAAGATCAACGATGTCCATAAGCGAGAGCACGACGTTTGAGACGTTGTAGAAGCCATAGATGTAAGCCGAACCGAAGAGGGCAATGGTAATCACATGATGGGTCAGCATCTGATAGTGGTCTTTTCTGCGTTCTTCAATGTTGATCACGAGAAGCTGCTGCGCCCAAAATGCCAACTGCACCAAGAGATACCATTTCATCAGGCCAGAGACATTTCGCGCCGGCCATTGGTCCCAGATCTTGCTAAAATCGCCCCAGTGATGGGAATTGGACCAGATATACTATTTATCCGTGTCAGTCAAACCGCGCGGCACGCGGGTGGAAAAGTTGCAGGCGCCCTGCAGGTAAACGAACCATTCCGAGGGAGCAGATGAAGCCATAATACAAACAGAGCCAGCCCTGCTCGGCCAGACGAAGCGACGCCTTGCGTTTCAGGCCCCAATGCTGCGCAATAGGCCTCAAAACCCAGTCAATGAGAATGGCGCGGATAGCGATGAAGCCAAGTGCGGAACTAGCGACGAAGTAAACATCATCCCATCCTTGTAGGTAGTCTCCCGAAGTCGGTTGGTAGTAGGATAGCTGGAAGAACGGCGTGGTGTAGGGGTTGAGGGAAGGGTAGAGGTGGTGGACGGCCAAGAGCATGGCAAGAGTGGTCAAGGTAATCCCTGCGGTCAACGAGCGACATGGTAAGCATGAAAACTTATCCCAAAGAGCATCAACAATGGTATCGTTATATCGTCAGGCATCTGTTAGCATTGATCCATACCGATCTGGTTATGCAGCATCCATTCGCGGAACGTGGTTTCTTTGACCGCCGGGCGGTGATGACTGGTAGAGGTGGAAACGCAGGCATTGAGTTCCGAGACCGATTGCGAGACTGGAGAGGAGACGTCGGTGGCCATGACGGAGGCACGAAAGAAGAGGTGAGTGTCTCGCAGAGATTGGAGACCCTGACAGCAGAAGAGAAGTTCCGCAGAAAGGGAATGTCCAATGGCGACAGCGCAGCGCGAGAGGGAAGAGTAGGAAGGTGTGAAGGAGGGGAGAACGAGAGTCGGTCCGTTCGAAAGGCGGAGAGGGAGGAGAGGTGGGGGGGGGGAAGGGGAAATGGGGAAAAAGAAGAAGGAAGAAGAGAAAGAGGACGTGTTCGGCCGTGAGAGAGAGGGTGTGTTGAATTGAGTTGAATTGAGTTGAGTTGAGGGAGTAGTGAGCGAGCCAAAGGGAGACGGAGGAGTAGCGAGCGGCGGGCGAAAGTGGTTCCTGCCCACTCTGATTTATGTTATTGTAAGCCTACGGGTTCCACGGCGGGAAACCCCCCAGAGAACAGAGAAATTATAAGGGAATGATAATCAATCAATGATCAATTGATTGCTCAGATTCAAACTGGCATTCTGGCACTAAGAGGGGGTGGTGCTGCTTTTTTGTGTCTCGCCCTTGGTTTTCCCCGTCCGCTGAAAAGCCTAATCCATTTTCAAACTTCCCGACTGGATGGAATCTGGGCGGAATCACACCGAATTATCCTGCGTGGATGAACCTGGGACTGGAATGAGTTGTGTACTGTGCTTACTGTACTGATATCTTCACTGGACTTGATCATATATATCTTATAGACAGTACATACATGTCAACACGGAAGAGAAGTAGCGAAGAGGGAGAGGAAAGAAGGAGAAGGAGGAGGAGGAGGAGGAGGAGGAGGAGGAGGGAGAGGGAAGATTGATTGAATGGTGTATCAAGTCCGTTTCAGCGCATTTCGACCCACCCCCGGGAGGACCCCGTTACGTACGCGCCGAGGGACCTCACCAGTACCTCTAATAAAGCTGACGATACTGCTACGCTCTAGGTACCCCTCAGGTATTGGAAACTTGGTTCGCAGTATTGTACAGTACCTATTGCACTGGAGTGTGTATGTGTGTGTTCACCGCCTAGTATATACTCCACTATGACTATCATCCAGGCTTTAATGTAATCCCTCCCTTTTACTCCCTTACCTACGACTCGACTCGACTACTGTTCTCCCCAATTGTAGGGACTGCTGCTCTCACCTGTCACCCCCGCGTCTTCTCTTTTGCCCGCTCCTTCGCCGCACCATAATCTATGCTCCAGATCTGCGGGAACCCAATCGTAAAGGACGGATGACAATGGCAAAATTGATCTAACTTGGTCTCGGCCAGAACCTAGACTGGAATACTGCAGCATGCGGGTTGCAGATTAGCAGCAAGTCACCATCCATCGCTACCACATCAACTTGATGATCTTCAGAAGTTGTCATGACAGGAACCCCTTATCGAATATATGTATAAACTGTACAAATTACTTGCCACCACCCCCTTGGCTTGACCGATTATGCTGCATGTGTGCGCGGACAAGATGTCCAGCTGCCAATGCGCCCATGAGCGACAGCTCCCCCGCCAAAACGGCTGCAGCCACAATGCGAGCCAATTGTCGTGAGTTTGCTCCCGGGCTCGTTGGATGCGGTCCCCGAACCCCAAGCGTATCGAGCATGGCGCTCTGGGGCTCGAGGATGGTACCTCCTCCTAGCGTGCCCACCTCGATAGAAGGCATGGAAACGGAAATCTGAAGGGAGCCATGGAGACTATCACCTCATGGTCAATCTCAGATTCCTTCAAGCCAAATACGCAATAGACGGGACACCACTTACTTCTTCATAACGGTGATACAATTGGCGCTCTCGACCACCTGCGCTGGATCCTGCCCCGTTGCAATGAAGATGGCTGCGACAAGATTAGCAGCATGCGCATTGAATCCGCCTATAGACCCTGCCATGGCCGATCCAATCATGTTCTTCGCCACATTAAGTTCGACCATCGTGTCAACATCCGTCTTCAACACGCTGCGAACAACGTCACTCGGGATAATAGCTTCGGCTACTACACTCTTCCCCCGGCCTTCAATCCAGTTAATGGCAGCGGGTTTCTTGTCAGAACAATAGTTGGCGCTCAGGGAGATAATCTTCATGTCTTCGAAACCAGCTGTCATCATAACCTCGAGTGCGTGCTCTACACCCTTAGATATCATATTCATGCCCATCGCGTCTCCCGTGGTAGTTTTGAAGCGGATGTAAAGATTTGTGCCAGCGATAGCGGTCGTTATCGCCTGAAGACGACCGAACCGGGTGGTCGAGTTGAAAGCTTTCTTTATTGTTACTTGTCCGGTTTCAGAGTCTAACCAGTCCTTGGCCGCACCTGCCCGTTGCAGTGTTTCGAAACTGACGCAGGGACCTCTCGTCATCCCATCAGCTGTTAGGATAGTTACCACGCCGCCGCCAGCATTGATGGCCTTACTTCCCCGGCTTGCGCTAGCAACCAGCACACCTTCAGTAGTGGCCATGGGAATAAAGTAACTTCTTCCATCGATGACTAGGGGTCCAGCAAGTCCAACCGGGACTGGCATATATCCGACCACGTTCTCACAGCACGCACCAAAGACCCGGGACCAGTCATAGTGCTCGTAAGGAAGCTTGCATTGTTCCAGATTATGGGTAAGTTCTTTCGTGGCCTGAGTTCGAGAAACGACGGCACGGCGAACTTTGACAGCGCGGGTAAAGTCCTTCAAAGTCTTCTCTAATGCATGTCCCGGAAGTTTCCCGCTCAAGCATAAGTCGACGATCTCCTCATCTTTAAGCTCATGGACACGTTTGTCCCGAAGCAATATCTCTTTCTCTTCTTTCGTGCGTTCAACTGGGGCGAGTTGCAGACCCCGCTGGGCCAAGTTGCCGCCGCCAGGAATCGAGACATGTGCCTCAGTACTGGACAATGGTGCGGCGGCACTTTGGGCCATATCGGTCTTTGAAGAAGTGATTGGAATATTGAGCCTTTCTGATTGCTTCTCATCGACTAAGCCTGCTGTCTTAACGCTTTCCCTGGCGGCGCTCAAAAGGCGCCCATTTAGCACGATGCTCAATGCTAAAACAGCGACGATCCACTTGCAATGGATTGGGTCATCCAGACCTTTGAGCAAGCTGCCAACCATGCGGCCACCCGCACCAAGCTGACCTAGGCTTGGGAAGATGCGCTCTTCAAAACTAGTCATGTCCATTTGATGAACGTCGTAGTGGACAGAAGGAGACTCAAGTTCATATCTGATTGGGGACAAGATTGTGACAAGCACGCCATGAGAACGGGAGCGAGCCATATCACGAATTGCGTCTAGTCCATTAGAGGCGACTTTTGAGGGATCCACTGACGGAGTAGTAACCATGCTATTACCCAGACTATGAGCCCAGCTTGAGACGTTTGACAGCGAATGTGTGCTGCGGAATGGAACCGCGCATAAGCTGACAACATTCAGCAGCAGAAAGCCACCAAGCATAAACAATTTGAATCTCGGAATCTGGATGCTCCTCATCTGTTGTCCCAAGACAGTAATGCCCAGGTGGCCTTTGCTGTGACTAGTAGCGATATGTTTAGCAACTGGGGAGCTGATACCGTCATCTTCAAGTGCTCGACGCATGTCCGCATGGGCCTTGATCTGATTGATTTCCAGCTTGATGCAAAGGATCGCAGTGTAAAACGAAAAGAGGAGAACGGCATCAAAGAACAGAATCCAAGCAGCTAGAAAGCAGAATTGCTCCAGTCCACCCTTGACGCCCGACATCGCACCCAACATGACGATAGCAATCTCAATAATGTAATCTTTGACAAGCTCCCATCCCTTTTCTTCGATGGCCATTTCAATGGCAGGGTGAATGATGCTTGGAGAGTCTTTCGGCTTCCTGGTTCCGGTCTGGCTGGGATCGATGGAATGTGACAGGACAGCCCGAGTATATCTAATGGGCTTGTCAAAACCAACGATGACAGTCAGAAACGGCAACCCTTCGGATAGGAGAGCCATATTGATCGAAACTCCGAGTTCTGCGCTCATGAAAAGACCAAGGACAAAGGCGAAGGTCGATGAAAACAACACACTCGTAGCCAGCCAGAACCTGGACCCCATGCGGTGCATGGACAAGAACAAGGAGGCGAATGTCAAGTGCATGAATGCGTAGCCGAACACCATGGTCACAACATCCGGAACTTGGGCGTTCCTGAGTAGATCAACGAGCTCGACCCACGTGTCCCGCACCCAGCTTGTCAAGTCGCTTTGCTTTCGTGCTCGTGCTCGTGCAGCCTTCATTATCCACATTTGTCCCTCGCCGTGCGACGGTTCTCGAAGGGGATCGTTCGTCGCAATCTCTTTCGCCATCGAGAGAAAATCCGGTGCTTCACTGTACGGAACAGAGAGAGCCAGAACATGATCCTGGACTGACTGACTGAACGAGTTGAAGGTCGCTGGCAAGGACGTGACGGACAAATTGGCAGGGACTGGGAATGCGGCTGTTGTCGGAAACGATTTAGATGCATCATCGGGGAACAGCAAGGTCAAGAGCGCAAAATGTTCAGCATCAGCCGGCAATTTCGGGTGCGCATCACCGGTCTGCCACTTCCAATCTAGGCCTGGGCCGGTATAAAGCGTAGTGCTGCCTTGTGTAAGCGATGACCACTCGGCCTTCTTCACCGTCCTTGCAGAATCAAGCAGACTGTCTTCGAGTAAACTCATGTACATGGAGCTCGCCAACAAAGCCACAATGGTCACTGTATGAACTGGATGCGAAGACGCAAGCTTGGAAAGAGACAGAATTCCTGGTTTGATGTGTTTATTAAACCATGATGGGCCAGTGTCGGCACAAGGGAGAGCAGCCATGCTCAAGTATTGACGCCCGTTTTAGTCGCAGCAACAATATCCGCCTTATCAATAAGATAGCCTAAACTCGATACTGCAATAAAGAGGGATGAGAATTGGGATTGGAGACTCAAGGGTCTGTGGTAAGACGGAACCCTGCCCGCAGATATTTATATGGGAGAAACACAATGCAAGAGAGGCTAACTAAATTCTATCTCACTGGCAAGAGTCAAACTAACACCCCATAATTCGTTATCCCGTTTAAAAGCAAGGTGTTATTGATTCGGAACCGGGGTCTGATTAGTGGCGTACTGCGTTTTTTTCCGTACATTTGATTTGATGGAGAGTTGGAGTCTATTGTGGCAGTGTAGTTAAGAAAAGAGGCTGCCTAGCATTCAGGGCTTCCTTATCCTTGTCAAGGCGGAGCTTTAGTCTCTTCCGAGTATCGGCCTGAACTTTCACTGGCGCAGACTGTTGCTGATCCAGAGCTAGCCATGCTTTAGATGACGACTCCCACTGCCACCAAGTCTCTTTTATCGATTTTCGGATACAGTATCTCACTAAGTTGTTACATACCTTGGCGGCATCGAGCCTTCTTGGAGAGGTTTAGAGAGATGAACCAGACTTACTTCAGCGATGGGGCCATTCCAGCTAGTGCCCTACTATATACCCGCATCAACACACCTCCCAGTGTAACAGTATCTCTAGATAAACAAGAAAATGAACTAGTGCAGAACCTGCTTGTTCATGCTAGACTATACACAACTTCGAAAAGGCCAGCAAACCCAATTTCACTGGCCACTTTCCAGCCCCTTGGTAATAGTATTGACATACTCCGCAGCATCCATGCCCAACTTCGCCAGGTCAACGCCACCTTGCCCAGCCATTGCGCGAGACATCGCACGAACCACTTCCTCTTCCTCCCAGATCGAGGTTGGTGTCGACGACGACGATGCTGCCGACCCATGTGTACCATCCTCCCTTGCAACCTGCCCACCTTCTCTAAGGGCCGGGTTGTCCACATTCAGCGCGACAACCGTCCGCCAGTACGCATCATCTCGATCCTTGAGCACCTTATCCCTGACAACCGTGTTGCGGGTGACACTCAGGGCATGCAACTTGGACGTCGCCCCGCCGAGCGCCGCCAACGACGTTGACACCAACTGATCGACCTGTTCGGCCTGTGACGGCGGCGTGTAAAAAAATCTCCGTGTCGCGGAGAGGTATATCAGCAGCGCACAGATCCCATCCACAACCGCAAACGCCAGCGGCCGGAGCAGCCCAAGCTGGTAATACGCAGCCGTAGGAATCGTAACCCCAGCGCGCACAGCAGCTGGCCCGGATTGGACAGGGTCGTAGCTAAAGACAAGGTATAAATCCAGGAACGCAAGTGCAGCACCTGCGAGCGTGAACTTGTTGCGCCATTTGCTGGCATCCTGGCCAGTCAGAGGCGCGGCGGTGGCTGCACCCAAGATGGCCATGTGAAACAAATGGGGTAGGAGGACATGGAACGGGAGGTAGTAGAGAATGTAAGTGGTGGGGTTATCGAGCGAGCAAAATTGGCAACTGAGTAGGGCGTCCGGGCCGAAGCGGAGATAGATCTTGCGAGCGGGAAAAGAGGTAAGTTTGGTCTTGAGGAGGAGGTCAGTCGGAGTAAGGGTGTTCTCGGATCGGAGGCGGATTAGTCGCGAGAAAAGAACATCGCTGGCGGTGTTGATGCGTGAGCGGGTGAGGGCGAAGATGCTTTGAGGTGGTGCCCGCGGATTGAAAGGGAGGCTGAGGAGGAAGAAGAAGGTGATGGAGAAGAAGAGTAGATTCAAGGCGCGTGAGGCATCGTAAGGCACTGGTCGAGGAGGCGGCCTTGTAGCAATCGAGACACGGAAGCTGCGGTAGAAGTTGATGACTCGTGGAATTATGATGGGCGCGAAGAAGATGAGAAATGACTTGATGCTGGCACCGGAAAGACGGTGAGTTTCACTGACAGTGGAAAACAGCGGGTCAGAAGATACATACGTGGCAAATGAGATCCCGAGCTCAACCATCTTGTCGAAGTGTCGTGGGTCGAAGTTGTTGCATCGAGCAGAGAACCACTTGCTCTGTTGTGATGCACTGTTGCGGTGGCCTTAAAGTGCCTGCCCAGTGCTTGGCTGGAGATCTTATCGCCCGCCGGGCGCCAAGGGGTGCCCGCGATCTACCAATCACAAGGAAATCGCTAACAACAGAAGTATCAACCATGTTCCAACTCGGAACACAATAGCTACAGTCCTTACGATACTCTATGGCTTGCTTTTCCAAATACAGATCACATTTGATGACGTATTAATGTTGGTAGAATGGGATTAGTCCGGCTCATATTAGATGTCTCATGTCTGCCAAATTCATGTATCAACCTTGTATGCGTATGCTCTGTTCTACCATGCAGTACCAATGTCCAACCGTCCCAGAAGTGCAATAGCTGATGCAGTGTGTTACATGCGCTCAGCTTGCATGGCCGGATGATGCGAGAGGTCTGGAATAGTCACACCAGCGGAGTCCCTCGAATATTTCGACGATGCTGCGTCACTGATATTCATTGGATTTAAGGGTGAAGAGATCTTCAGCGGGAAGCGAGTACTATTCCGCTGCGACATATGCCTCCGCATAGAGCTCTGTGGGCTATATGTTGGCAACGACTCCTCCCGCTTCATGCTCAATTGGAATGATCGTTGGCTCCCGGCTCGCGTTACCACCTTTTGAGGAGCCACTGCTCCATAGAGCCGAACATGCCGTGCGCTGACACCAATATCACGGTCAGAAAATACAAAGCTCTACCGAAGAATTTATTGTTAGTACTGTGTTAGAAGAATTGATAGTCATGAGTGGGCTTACTGCAACTGCGTTAATCACGCTCATGATCATGGATAAGATGCCCGCGGAGAGCACGAGGCGCCAGAATGGCATTCCAAGTGATTCCTGACTTGTCGCCTTCGTGTTGAGGTCTCCCAGAATCCCAACCCCAAGTACGAGCATGGCGACTGCCAAGGTAATGAATCCTGACTCCTGCCCTAGTAGAGGCCAATTTCGGTCGAAGTAACCACGCAAAATAGGAAGCTCGGAAATAATGAGGAAGACTATCATCCGTGTAAGTTAGAAACCTCCGCTATAATAGGAGTAAAACAACCAGGAAATGCAACGACTTACCGCTGACTCCGGCAGTGGCAACCCGAGAGACTGCCTCGAAGAAGAAAAAGCTGGTCAACAGCGAGATTTTCACCAGCATCACCGCACTAGCAGCGATGATGTCAAGGAAAACAATTATATTGATGACGCGGATCGCATTGAGAATCACATATCCCGGACCTGCCAAGGATTCTTGCAGTGAGGTCATCATGCTTTGATGAGAAGCAAAACTCAGGGTCCAGCCGCGTAGGCTTGTTCAATTCTGTCCCAGCCAGATGTGCGAAGTATGTATAGGATTCCCCACGAAGAATGAGCGACGGAGAAGAAGAGCTTGTGTGCAAGCACTTGAGCGAGGAAGGCAATTGAGGGTAAAAACAGAAAATAAAGACTGTACCAGCAGCCGGAGGTTCTCTGACGAGAGTTAATTGGAACAAAGCGAGGAGCCACGAGGGTGAGGAAGGAGTTAAAGAAAGCCCGGATACCTGGCTTAAGATCTGATTTTTGACGAGCAACAATCACTTGCTTGGTATGATCAGTAGCTCAGGGTACAAGCACTGGGTGGAAATCGAATAAGGCTCTAAAGAAGCCCAACAAAGACAATAATAGACATAATGGGTGGAGAATACGGTCCTGAAACACATCCACAAAGCCTTTGGGAAGCCCAGAGCCACTCATTCAGTTATTGAGCAGCTTCTTAATCGTGTGGGTGATAATCGGCGCCTAACTGATTGAAATAATTCCATTCTATGGTGGGTGGCTTCATTGTGTGTCAAGACGAGTCCAACTCCCAGCGCGTAGCGTGTTGGCCAGATTCATCCAGCAGTGCTGGGACTGGTAGAAAGCCGGCGCTTTCATGTCTTGACGGCCGATGAAAGATCCTGGACTTAGAGATGCAATATCCTAAAGAATCACTGGCGCTTTAAGCTGATAGAGAATTGGATGGCAAGATAGCGCTTTCGACAATTTGAAACCAACTACATGTGCTGGGTGGTGGACTAAGCGCCCAGTATGCGGAGTTGATTCTAGGAACAACCCTACACCTCTGCTATCTTGAACAAATCCAGCATAGAAATAATGGTTGCTGGTCTGGTCCATTTCTCGAGGATGGTCGTGGGCTGGGATATCTACTAGAAGAACTAATTGAAGTTGCAGCTTCATGTGTCTGTGGGCTTACCACCATTGAACAGCGCTCAACCACATGACCAGTTAAGGCATATACAGCTAAGTACTAACCTAAGTACATCATAGGTATCAAGGGTTCAGGGTGCTATATACATACTGGGTACTCCGTAGGAACACCCGGTAGAGACACCCATAAATGAAAGGTGCTCCCGCTTTGTACCTGCAATATGACACACATCTATAACGGCCAAGGCAGATCAAGTCATACAGTACATAGCACCAGAGTCCATCCAGTGTCTTTCCACCAAGAAAAGCCCCAACACTGTGGGGTTCTATCAAAACGACTTAGCATCAATCACCAATTTTTATGTTGAGCCAGCATACTTGATGCGCTCACATCACTTGAAAGGGATGAATAAATGCCGAAGGTGGGGAAGCCGGAGGGAGGAGCCTGGAGGCGGAGGCTCGGCAGGCCGCAGCAACTAGAAAACGAGTGGCCACGAGCATACCGCGGCCCTCAAGTCAATATAAAGGGAAAAAACTTTTCCTCGACAAGGCAAAGCCACACTGGTTCTTAGCACACCACAAACAGCCACTGTACAGTCAGACACCCGCTGCGCTTGTTTACCAAAGACCGATATACTGTTTAGATTTTCTTTGATCTCACAAAGATGACCCGTGGCAATCAGAGAGATCGCGATCGCGCGAAGAACAACAAGGAGCAGGCCAAGAAAGTGGGCGCCCCTTTTTGCTATTTATCAAAGTTCTTCATGTCTAATCAAATTATTGGCGCCAGAAATCCAAGAATGATCTTACTGGCTCGGAATTCCAGCGGAAAAAGGAGAGCGATGCTGCTAAAATGCAAGCCAAACAGAAAGCAGGTAAGCAGTGATCCCTGAAGAAAGTGTCGGCACTATTCTTCGATCTTGATTCCGCTGACGTTTTCTATCTTATCTACTGTACAGCCGACGAGCGTCGAGCAGCCGAAGCACTCGCAGCAGCGAAGAAAAATTGACGCCTTTCCTCACGATTAGGCCTCAAGATCTCATCGCCACAGCCTATCCATCATCCCGTGCCCCCGCACTCTGGTCAACATGTACCCCTCTATATATCTTTTCCAGATTGTGCTTCTTGACACCTCGATTTTGGCTATAATCATTTGAGTCCGTGCATAATCCATGAGTTGGTCTGCTTGTGAGGCGCAGAGCTATGATAGAGATAGATCGCTCGATCATCTCGCACGGCTTCTGGCATTCAAGGTGTTGGACAACAGTACTTGGTCTGAAGCATGTTACGAGGACATGATAGCTAGCGAGGATTCCATTTCAAGTTGGTTGCGTTTAGCGTTCGCATGAGGCTACCGCGCAAGTCATGTAACATCCTCATGATTTACGTATACGTGTATGATGTGAGAAGGTACGCATGTTCCAACTCCGAGAGTACGCATACACCATCATCGAAGCTATTCAAGTGCGCCTCAATCATTCGAACGGCTGACATTTGTCCTAATTGACCGCTGGGCCAGCAGCCCAAACAGCCCTCGCCCTGTCCAGCCAGGTTCTCCAACCACCTTGCGACCCAGCGTTCGGTAAAGAGTGTTCTGTCAGTGCAACCCATCGAGACGCCCAGTGCCCAGACTCGATCACGTTCTTGCCATCGAGGGTGCTCGACGCCGAGTCCACGAATATCCACAAACTCTCACCCTCCCAACCAATGTCCAGAGCGAACTGTATTACCTGATAGACAGTTTCTCTCCGGATCTCATCTTGGGAAACTTTTTCAAGTAGGAAGCTAGTAAAAGCCCATCCAGATATGTCGGCAGGGTGAGCCAGACACCACTGCAGGACTTTCTGAATCATATATTCAGCCAGTAGAGCGGAGACATTAGGACCACTCTCGCTCGTATCAGAGACGAGATCGATGGCCTCCCTTAAATAACCAAAGGCATAGTAATTTCGAGGGTGAAGCTCTCCAGACCGAAGTACCATAGCCAATTCTCCAGCCACAATCCCTGCGCTCGTTTCATAGGAGAGTTTGCTCGGTTGTCCCTGGGGTGTAGATGCTACCATTCCTGGCCGTTGGAGGCGGATCAGGCGACTCAGAATCCATGAACGGTAATTCCATAAGGTCGGAGACTTGGTGTGTCGGTGCAATGGAGAACACAGGTATGTCTTTGTGAACGAAAGCTCCTTGTGCAAAGCATCAATGAGTGATTGAAGGCCATCCTTATCCGAGCCACTTGGATCGTGAGATTGGATAGCAGCAGCCAGGCGCCTTTTGCGCCAGTTGCATGCTGTCAGATGTTCACAGTCGAAAAGAAGAATGATCTCCGTCGACACGATGAGGGCTTGATCTGAAGCGTGACTCCAAGGCGCTGAGTGGGAGGCTGTGGTCTCAAGCTTAAGTTGGTCAACTGGTTTTCCATTTACAGCGTCAAGAAATTTGCGTCTCGCCGTGAGAAAAGCCTGTATTAAATACTTCTTCGTGATGCCGACAGAGTTGCCGTCCTGTAAGAGGGGACCCAGACCTGGAGGAAGGATCTCAATCTCGAGAACCTCGTTGCCTTGGTGTCTGATTGAAAAGATCCGGGCGAGCTCGTGGAATGCGACATCATCGTCTGAAGGAGGCAACATTTGGCATCATCCGGCCTGCCGCATGGCGGTAAATGAGCAGAAAGGAGCCGATGGGTTTCACCAGGCTGGAGGCTCGATGAGCATGGGCCGGAGATTGAAGAAACGCCGCGGCCGGCCGGCGGTAGAAACAACGTGACAACGTCATTTTGCTTCCCTTCCGCAGCTTGGGGGTCAACTTGGTTTTCTTGTTCAGCTACTGTGTGTATTCTTGCCTGCACCTTGTGAACTTCCCCTGACCTAATTGAATACAACCTATTTGTTCGAGTCTGCGCCGCAAGTCCATTCACGAACTTGAGCCGGTCGCGATTCTGTTGACTGTCCGTCCTCCACCCAAAATACCCACCTCATCCATTGACAACAACTCGATCAACAACCATCATGCTACCTCTTCTCTGGACGGTGCTTCTCGTTCATGTTGCTATCTACCTTGTGAACACTATTGGCGCAAGTACGATTGATAATCTGGTATGTCGCCCTACTTGGACCGTCTGACCTCGGGTACTCTCCGATGCTACGATCCACATACATCAACGTGTGTCCGAAGCAGTCATTGATGACACGCATTAGTTATGGCTTCTCTATCTTCGGCTCCCCACCCCAACATCCAGGAAGTTTCGCGAGCAAAATCGCTTGAAGCGCGAAGTAGTCCGACTGAAACGGGACATGAACAACACCAGCTCGCAAGATGAGTTTGCGAAGTGGGCGAAGCTGCGAAGACGACACGACAAAACAATGGAAGAATATGAAACTATGAGTACGTTCTAAGCAATTCCCATGATGGCCGCCCACCATCTCCTGGCCCCGTGTGAAGTAGGAAGAGCAAAACGCAAGCCTTGGCGGGAAGCCCAGCAAGCTAACACGATCATTTTTCACACAACAGACAAGGAACTTGCATCGCCAAAATCATCCTTTGATTGGGGCGTCAAGGCGGTCCGCTGGGTCGGTACAAGTGGCCTTAAGTTCTTCCTGCAGTTTTGGTACTCAAAGACGCCCGTCTTCATGCTGCCAGATGGTTGGGTTCCTCACTACGTGGCCTGGGTTTTGTCGTTTCCCCGCGCTCCTTTCGGGTCCGTGAGCATCCAGATTTGGAGTAATGTCTGTGCCACAGCAATCACAACCCTGGCAGAAATCGTTACGGCGTTGCTGTTGCAGACGGGTAAAGGAGCCTCGGAACCTGTCCCTGTTCCTACCGGTGCCGGTGCTGGTGCTGGTGCTGAGGGGACGACAAAAGGGCAATGAAGACACGAACGCCTGTCACCTGGCAGCCTTCTTCTAAACACAAAAGATTACTGCATGTCGAAGGGACGAATGTAAAATAAAACGACTACAACGACGACGATGGCTTGCATTGTTTCTCTTGTATGGATAAATTGAGCTTAAGCTTGTTGCCATGATCCAAGATCAGGTTAAGATACTTCGTAACTATGCAACAAAATCTATATTTCGGGATGCTCATCAGATATGTAAACAATCGTTTATCGTCAATAACTCCTATACCGTAGTACGGGGTCTCAGGGCTTGACTCTATGATTGGTATATCATCACACGAACAATAAAGAGGGGAGAGTCCGACTCCTTCGACAGAGCATCTGTGATCGTGAGCGATCACCGCTTTCCATAAGCTACAGACTCGTTGAGATAAAAAAAAAAATGAACTCCTCGCCTCAAGAATGAGCCCCATTGAGTTACCCACTTCCAAGCCCCGAAGGGTGAAATAGCAGGCAATCGCATGACTATCCAAACACGACGAAAGGCAACCCAGATCAAAACTCCTCTCCAGCACAAGTCAATACCACCATTGTTTCCACCAGAGAAGGAAGCCCTCTCTAGCGTCGGATACAGATGCCAGCACTGGGAGGAAACAGGGCAATCAGCCGCTATCGAATTGCTTCTATGGCGGCGCGTTTCCGCATTGCCTGACTGGGCCCACGAGGGACAATTTAAACAGTCAGGGTGTCCGGGGACTTTCCCAAAAGCTAGGTGAAAGAGAAACCCTCGAAGAGATTTTCTCCGCGTGTGAGCTTTGAATGCGATTCTTTGAGCGAGGAGTTGGAAGAGAAAAGAGAGAAAAGAGAACGGGAAGACAAATTGTTGTAGCTGCAAATTTATGCGAGATGGATCAGTGGGTCAGCCTAGGCTGGTTAAGGTTTAGCTTGAGTCATGTGACCCACAGGTCTGGGGCGGCCTCAGGCAACAGTCAACTAGAAAAACGTGATTAACTGACGAGGGTTGGTTATGTTGGAGAGTGGCAGACTTGCATCTAGTAGGTGCTCGATATAGGTGCTTCTGTGGTTATTCCTCTATATCATACACAATGAACAATGCAAGAATCATGTACATGAGAAATTGATTCAACTCCGAGAGATCTTTTATGCGATAGGAGGAAAAACAGGAACATTTTGATTAAAATCCAACAATCAAGCAGTGGCCTTGCCCTTGGCCTTCTTGCCGGCCTTCTTCACCTTCTTGCTGGCGGGTGAGGCCGCGACTTCAGTCTTCTTCGTGGCAGATTTGGCTGTCTCTTGCACAGCAGGGGACTGAGCCGTATTTTTCTTCTTGTTAACTTTCTTGGGGGTATCTTCAGCAGGCTTCTCTACTTCGACCTCCTTGGCCTTAGGGGCCTCGATAGCCTTGGCGGATTCCTCGGCTGCCGGCTCGGTTGCCTCGATGGTCTTGTTCTCCGGAACCGGAACCTCGTCCACGCTCTTCAATTGTGGTAGCTCCAAATCGTAGCCCAAAATGCTCTTAAGCTGCTCCGCCTTGGCCGCTCGTTTCTGCTGTTCCTTTTCAATGCGTTCCGTCCACTTTTCTCTCGTCTTGCCCTGGTCGAGACGTCTCTTTTCAATCCGGTTCCACGGAGTCTTCTTGAATCGCCTGTTCGCACCCTTCCATATTTCAGGGTGTAGGCGCTCCGGGGCCACATATTTACATTTCAAAATGTGACCGTAAAACAGGTAGTTGTCATTCGCGGCCGCAGTAATCTTAGCCACATCTGTCGAAGCAAATTCGACGAAGGCGTAGTGCTTAGATTGACCGGTTTTGCGGTTACGAGAAAGACGAACGCGGGTGACCTCACCGAACTGGGCGAAGTAGGAGCGCATTTGGTTTTCGTAGAAACCATGAGGAATCCGTCTGAGAACGACATTGTTAGACCAAGCACAACACGCAAGCGACAGATAATACGTACCCAACATAGATCGTGCCGGGTTCCTCTGGCCGGCCGGTGTTCTCCTTGAGTTTCTTTGCGATCTTGCGCTGCGCCGCATTCAAATCGGGACCCCTATGGATGGGCTTAGAGCCCTCGTCGTCGGACTCACCCTCGTCACCGCTGCTTTCAAAGCCACTAATCAAGGCAGCTGTGCGGTCGTCCTCTTCAGCCTCATTTTGGCTGGCATCCGAAGCAGCAGAGTCGTCCTCATCCTCATAGTCTTCTTCCACAACAGGCTCAGCCTTCTTGGGGTTGACGTTCGCTTTGGATTCGGACTTGGTGTTCTTTCCTTTCGTGGCAGGGGCAGCGGTTCCGTCTGATTTCTTCGATTTCTTGGTACTGGGCTTCTCCTTGTTGGCCTTGACTTCAACAGCCTCTGTCTCTGGCTCACTTTCCTCGTTGTCGCTGAGAAAATCGGCAGCACGCTTTCGGGGCTTGACTTGTCTAGCGGGCTTGCCATTGACCTTCAACTCTGAAGCAGATTCCACCTTAGCAGGTGCCTCAGTTTTCTTGGCCTTCTTGAGTATCGGCTTGGGGGATTGAGCGGCTTTCGCTTCGACCTTCTTGGTCTTCTTTGCGGGCGAGTCGGCGGCAGCGGCGTTCACAGCTATTACTCGTCAGTCGCTGGAAAGCAGTGCGCGGGCAAGACAAATATGAGAAACCACATACCCTTGCGCTTCTTATCTTTCTTGTCTGGTGCCATTCTGTAGTGTTCAGATCTTGAAATGTAGGCTGTTGTTTGAAGCGCTACGATCGGAGGGCTTGCGAAAGGTGCGGGAAACTTTTTTTCTGCTCGCAATTTTTCCGCCGCCAAGCGGTGAGTTCGAGCCCGGCCGGCCGACCATCAATGAATTTCCCTCCGCGCGGCTGCGGCTGACTACTCTAGTCTGTCCGGACCACGCATCTATCCTCATTTGTCCCTTTACTGCCCTTTATCTGATGCAATGGGGAAGTCTAAGAAGGCCAATAAGCCATTGACACAGGAAGAGATCTGGGACGACTCTGCGCTGGTCCAGAGCTGGGACGAGGCTGTCGAGGAATACAAAGTATGGGCTCTTCTTTCAAGCACGTGATCTGTTGCTAATCCAGACAACAACAGCTTTATCACAGCATCCAGGCAAGAGGCGAGAATGTGGAGGATTTGTTGAAAGAGGCGGAGGCTGTAGAAGACTCTCAAGAAGTCTCACAACAACAAGGCTTGGAAGAACTGGTCGACGAGATGGATCATGGTCATGACGCCGAGCCGTCGGTAGTCGATCCCACTGCTGCTCAAGCAAAGGCTACAGCTGAACCTCAACAGGACTCCGCTCGTGACGCAACAAGGGTAAGTCCAAGGCTTCCAGTCTCTTAGGTGCATGGGCTCAACCCCCTTAGACAACAGAACAGATATCCGCACCCACAGCTCCGGGACCGGCCCCTGACCATGGTTTGGGTCCTGCAGGAGCCGCGCCTACGCCTCACGTCGCTCTAGCACAGGGTAAGATTTCTGCGTCAACCATGACCAGTAATTAAAGGTACTGACCCGGGTGAACAGTGCAAGACGAGGGCTTGAAGAACCTCATGATGGCCTGGTATTATGCTGGTTATTATACCGGTCTCTATGAGGGGCAGCAGCGAGCAAGTCAGAACAAGGGCCCTTGAACGTATTAGTGTTTGAACTGCATCGTGTGTCATCATATTACCATATACCCAGATCTACAAGCCATTGGCTCACACTTACGAAGAGACGACTGTTTTTTAGAGGATAAGGTTTGCCCGTTCAACAGGTAGGGGTATTTATATATAGTGCCGGTCAAGGTATTGATCGGTTCAGGTGGGAGTAAATTCGTATTTCTTTTTAAGCTTAGATATCCTAACCAGATATCTACAGCACCCAGTCACGCGACTTAGCCATACCCCATGACCTCCTCAATCAAGTCCCAGAAGTATGATAGAAAAAACAAGCATCATGCCTCATGCCTCATGCAAGCATTGGAACAAAACAAGTAGGCACCAAAACTCGAAACGGTCGGAAGGACCATCAACAACGAGGGTCTCGCACCAAACGGGGCATCATCACAGACTCTGCAGTCCACCACCGCTCAACAGGCCACCGATAAGAGGAACCTTGGAGAGAGGGTTGTTGTTCACAATGTGAGTGTTGCTAGCCTTGGGGGGTTGGGCCGCGGTGCTGGCGACAGGAGTCGACTCCGTGGGGCTGGTTGAAGTAGGAGTCGTACTCTCATCCATCGGAGTGTTCTTGTTCTCGGCTTGGTCGGTGGTTGCGGGCTGGTTGGAATTGTCGCTAGTGTTTTTGTCGTTCGCCTCCTGAGCTTCTTTATATTTCTCGACCATCTCCTTCATTCTTTGAGCGGCGGCCTAGAGTCAAGTGTCAGTATCTCCGTTTCTGATGAACGTAGGGCAGGGACTCACCTCGATTTCCTTCATAGCGTAGTCGGCCTGATTGGCGACATCGTCACGCTTGATGGGCATAGCAGATGCCATCAAGGCCATGAAGAGGCAGAGGACAAGGACGGAAAGGCTGAAACGAGCCATTGGGATTTGATGATACGAAAAAGAGCTAAAAGAGTGGACAGGCGTAATAGATGAGGCGATCTATAGCCAAAATCAACAATAAAACGAATTGAAAGGAATAAAGAGAGCGAAAGACCTCCGACTAACGACTGTGGTGCTGAATCCGAATGCTTGCCTACTTTACTGCAGAGCTGAGAGATGAAGGCATGCTTTATAGCTGGTATCCTGCCAGGTTCATTTCACAAAAAAGAAGGGCGACCCTAGGACCGCGATTACTCGCGCGCCCCCTCGAAGCATTGGAATTGAAGATCCGAGTTGACCATTGTCGCCCTCTCGAACCACTCCCTCGCGCGACAATGTATGTACCCCCAGCTTGCGCCAAGCCAGTCATGGTTCTGTGCCTTAATCAGATGCAAGGGGTACGTGCCCTCTCCTCACGAGCCACGGCACTGCAGCCTCCTGCAGCCCTGGTTCAGCCATTCATCGAGCCCTGCGAAGCCTATTGCATTCCGAGCGGCATCTCTGGCCATCATCACCGTAATGAATCAGGCGGGACCCTGAATAGTGACATAACTCCTTTCATCGGGTGTTGAGGGCTGGTACCCGCAACGGTGGTGGTTTGTTGACTTACGTCGCAATGCATACCTAACGATGGATGGCCCTCCCATCAGACTTTCTCATCCATCATTGGCAGAGACCTGCAGACTTGAGGTGCCCTGCGCTTACATTCCGCCGGCGAGACGATGAGAATAATCAAAAGTCTACAGAATTGAATGTATCTCCCTACTTTGACACGTACCGCCCCATTCTGGATTGACAGCGGACGCAACACGAGGGAGACATGGAAGACAATAGTGTCCGTGATTCACTTTTGGCACAAATTTGACCTCGAATATCATGGAGAGTATGAAGAACGAGACTTCGAAAGTGCCTTTACATTTGGCTACGGTAAGATCTATCCTGTAGGTTAGTTCATAAAACAAACATCATTGAGCAAAACAGGTATCATGGATCGAGAGTGGAAACTGAGGAAGATCATCTTCTTCCTGGACCCGAGCAGTTTCAAGTTCTCATTCCAAGCGAGGCTTGTGGCAATACCCAACTCTATAAAAAAAATAGAAGTGTGCCGGTATGCGAACAATGTAACGATTCCCAATCAAGGGATGTATGCTCAAAGCGAACCCAACTACCGCGTGTTGAGATGGTCAGACCAACCCTGCGCTAAGGTGATGGGATTAGAACGAGCATGCGAAGAGATCGATCTGGGTCTCGAAGCTAAAATTTGCAAATAGAACGTGCCCTTTGAGCATCTATCCGCAAGGGTATGTTGGAGACCCGGTATAGTGAAAGAAGAAGAAAAGAGAGCCAACTGCGGAAATGCGCGAAAATTTAACCACTCTGTGCGCGCATGCTTATGTCAGCTTTTGCGCGCGCGGCTAAACGTGTCGCCGAGGGGTTCGCGGGAGCTGTTACAAGGGTAAACCTGAGGCATGGAAGAAACGAAGCCACGTAGCGTGCTCTGGAGGGCCTGAAATCGCGCACTATCCGAATTCTCAATACTGCAGGTATACAGCTTAATGTTTGCATCGCTATGCTTGACTATCCAGGGACCGCCTCTACACACCCTTGAGCTTAGAACCGCGCCAGCACCCGGTCCTGCGTGTCAGCCAATGCCCACTTGTCACTATGTTTCCTGCTTCGGACAGATCGGGCTTGCTCTGCCGAGAAGCCCTTGGCTTCGACAGCTGGGTTGTACCCGAGACCAGTGATTTTTGCCACTTTATCGGACGGCACTGGTGTTGCGACCTTGCCATCTGCTCGCTTGTATACGGTCACCACAACGGCACCCCCCAAACCCAGATTATGCTGAAGGGCGGCATCCGTGCCATCAACCAAGCGATTGTTGGCCCAGCCACGCAGATGCCAAACAAGCTCTGCGCATTGCGCCAGACCCGTCGCCCCCAAGGGGTGACCCTTGGAAATGAGACCTCCGGATGGGTTGATAACCATTTTTCCACCATAGGTGATGTCGCCCTGTCGCACCATTTCGTGCGCCTTCCCCGAATCACACAACTCCAATGCGTCGATTGTGATCATCTCGTTGGCAGAAAAGCAATCGTGTAATTCACACACCTTGATATCCTTAACATTGATTTCTGCCTCGGCTGTAGCGGCTCGGCATGCATTGCGGGCCATTTCAAACCCCATCAAGTCAATAGAGCTGCGATCATAAACTGAGCTGTGATCCGTAGCAAGCTTCTGGCCCGCAATAAGGATTGCCTGGTCCTTGAGGTCGGGGCGTGCATCAAGGAAAGCTTGGGACACGACCACAGCAGCGGCCGCGCCATCGGAGGTTGGACAGCACTGCAGCTTGGTCAGGGGTGCGTGGATCATAGGTGACTTGAGAATCTGTTCGAGAGTATACTCGTCCTGGAACTGGGAGTATGGATTCCGCTTAGAATGCTCGTGGTTGATCCGGGCAATGTTGGCGAAGTCTTCGGCCGCAGCCCCATACCTCCAGGTGACGATTAGTCCATAATAACATAATGGCAGCCGACCGAAGACCACGAACTTACTTTTCCATATATTCACGACCAGCGTTACCGAACATCTGTGCCGCGCCTGGGGCGTTGGTGACTCCTCTGGTCTCGGCCATCATTCTCCCGAATAGGCCGGTCGGGTTCGCACGATCGCTGTAGACTGACTGGAGACTACCGGGGCTCATCTTCTCGAATCCCACAACCAGAATGCAATCTGCAGCCCCGTGAGAGACCATCGTTCGTGCCATGGCCAAGCCGGTGGATCCCGTAGAGCAGTTGTTGTTAACATTGTAGATGGGGATCTGAGTGAGTCCGAATTGATAGAAGACGCGCTGGCCGCAGGTACTGTCTCCGTACACGTAGCATGCAACACCTTGCTCAACGTCATCATAGTTGATGTGGGCATCCAGCATAGCTTTGACCCCGGCCTCGAAGCCCAGCTCTTGAAAATCGACCTTGCCGCGAGGCTTTATGAACTTGGTCATGCCCACGCCTAGGACGTAGGCCGGTCCTGAATGCTTCTTACTCATGATGATCAGTTGGAGCAGGAGACGGGTGTCTTGTCCTTGAGGTTCAGCAAAACGACTGAGTCGGTAGTGGATTGACCAGAAGAATCCTCTCTTGAGCGGTCACTCTACTGAATCTGTTGGAGGTTTTTCAGGAGGTATTAGAATAGGATCAAATGTGAAGCGTGATTTAGTTCAATCAGCAAGTGTAGCGGGCTGCGGAGTAGCGCTCCTTTTTGCGGGGGAGCTGCCCGCAGGACCGAGGTCCCGAGGGTAATTTCTCTCCACTTTCCACGAGAGTATGCGGGCACAGTAGACACGGAACTATTAATGAATATTGTTTCATTGTGCAATTCTGGTGGTACCCTGTAATGAATCCTCTTTCTATGTATGGGTGATCAACATCTTGTTCGGTTCACGTGAGGATGAATGTTATCCAGCCCGAGTATTGAACGGAGATTTTGAACTGTGTATATTGAAATAACTCTTGGCCTCAGTTATATACATGCTGCAACGAGGGCAATGAGGGGGGTCAATGTAGGCCATCGGTGACCCAACCTGTGACACCATGGAATCAAATGCTAACTGGACTGAGTTACCTGCCTACTTCTACATCGGGTATGGGGTAGTCTGACCATGCCCCTCGCCCTCAAAAATCTCGTTCCCTCAGGCTGCATTGCGGTACGAAGCACAAGAGGCGCCCACCAATCAGCATAGCCACAAATCGAATGATCATAGCGTTTCTTCATTTTGATTGTCAGGAATCCTGTTCCCATGCATGCCTGTTCAAGGGCGTGTGCGTCTCCCTGTGGATCGACAATGCCAATTAAGCACATGGACTATGATTCGTTCACTTCTTATAGTAAAGTGTTTGGATGCATCACCAGAACAGGACTTTCACCAATCCAATAATGGTCGTGGGCCCCTCAACAGCGGCACTTCACTTCTGGTGACTGGAATTTGGTCAATCCAGCACAAGGTGGATTACGACACCAGTGTCATGGATTAGTCGAGAGGTTCCATGGTCAAGCAATGATCATCTTATCTGCTCGCGAACACTGAACGCCGACAGCCTGTCCGTATGTGCTCGTCGCTCACAATTTGGGCTCCAAACCTCAAGGTAAAGCATCGAGCAATGGAGTCCAGAGAAAACAACTTTGAACTATAGGAAGAGAGGTGTCATCGTGAAAGAATGATCGTTCTTAACTAAGTGGTCAACTTGCATGTGATGGTTCTGGTATGCTTGTCAGACCAGAAACCAGAAAGAGGGAGTGCGGAGGATATTCTGCAGCTTAATGTGGCACTACCCCCGGAAAGGACTAACTGCTCAGCTGTCTGTCTTGCCGGGAGGGCAACCGACTGGCATGATTGCATCCGTATTTGAGGATGGAATAGAATTATTACGATAGATCAATGGTAGATACTGACTGGTGGCTTGCAGGTGTGGTTCAGCCAGGGCGGGGTAGATTGATTGATTATTGCCCTCGATAGACCGTCCGTCCGGGCGGCGGGTGCAACCACTCACCGCCGGACTGGTTTGGTCCGATGCAGCTCCCCTCCCTTGCTACGCCTACATGGGGTCTGATCGATCAGTTCACCAGCACGGAGTACTAGAAGATTTAGAAGTACACGTACTATTTGGAATTAATCAGAGTACTGAATAAAGTACTTACGGCTAATCACTCACTGTACTGGAGGATTGTCCAATGAAGGAGAAAAACACTTCTCGCCCGGCAGAGTATGAGAACGGGAATCATCAGCAACCCACGAGGTGCTTCAAGTCGTGTTGTTGTTTGGATAAGCAAACAGACGAAAAGAGGCACCGCACCGTCCTTTAGAATCACCAACCCTACCTCTCTTCAAGTGCCTTTCCGTCAACGGCTGCAGCACCTACCTTAACGATATCTAACTTCCTTCTTGCATCCTGATGCTTTTGCATGAAAGTTGCACTGGATGCCTCACGACGACGTCACTGGACCAGGTCCCCACTAAGCCTGTTCGAGTGGCCAGCGATCCAGTGGCCCACCATCTAATGATCCATGCCTCTGCCCAAAGTTCTTTGGCAGCTTGCTTTAGTCAGAGATTCATCCTCCGTCAACTAACTAATTGACTAGAGTTATTGAAACTAACTAATCCTCCCTAAAAGAAACTGTCCACTCACAGTACCGTTGCTGCTCACCCACTGGTCGAGCGATTTTCGGTAGCCCGTTCATCTGTCGTGATGGTTGGCGACTGGGTCCCTCACTCTCGACTTTGAACTTCCTTCCACTCTTCTGCTTTTCCCTCTTCCCTCTTCCCATCTATCCGCACGGCCCATTGTCTTCCCGACTCGGGCCTTCTGCTGCCACCACACTGAGCCGCAGCTGTTTCGGATAGGTACGTGGAGCTTGTCGTCTCGTGCTTGGAAGTTGAGGTCCCTCATAGGATTTGGATGAACAATGTGCTTGAAATACCGTGGCTCATCTTTTGTGCGTTTTCAGCAGGTATTCCGGACGACCCTACAAAGCTCTCAGCAGGCGGAGAAAACGATCAATCTTCAAGCCCAATTCTCCGTCCGCGAATTGTCGGTACGCCATCACAGTCGGACGCAGCCTATCTGACTTGGGGAAACATTGATTAGCACCCAGTAGCTCCGGTAGCTGTCTGCCAGTGGGAATTCTACCATTGCCTCTGTCGAACCCACCCATCGAGGGGAACACCTCCTGTCTTTCATCTTTTGAAAGAACATTGTTCAGAAGGTTGTCGGGATTTGCTTCATGGACAATTGTGGGACGCTGAACGGTCTGCTCGCACGTTGAGAGACCGCTTTGCGTTCCATAGGGCTCCCCAGCCTGCTTCTACCGTTCGATCTGCTCATACCTCATTCATTGCGACTGGACATACCCGAATCAAAGAAGCCCCTTCTTCTGCCGCAGATGGGATACCTTCAGGGATGACTCTTGATAAACGCGCTGAACATGCACCCTTTACCCCGCCCCCCTCACAACCTTCTCCCCTAGCCATGTCGAACCGAAGTCCCTGGATTATGGACGAAGCCAAGCGAAACAAATTGCTTAAGAAGTACAAAACCCAGGTGGCCTCGGCGACTTCGACAGTTTGCGCCACCCTCGCTGTGGTATGTCAAAACCGAGCAAGAGCGCTGGAGCAAAAGATGAGCTGACTGAAGGAAACAATCGCTGGTGTAGACGCCACTGGAAAATGTCAAAACTCGCATGCAGACGTAAGTGCGAATCACTTGCTCGGTGAAATGGCTGGAGCTCTGTTCTGATGGATTCTGCAGACACAATTTCCAGAATGTCTTTCAATGCGTCCGTTACCTGTGGCGTACCGAAGGACCCCGCGGTTACGTTGCTGGTAGGTCGACATCGCCCCTTAGATTCTGCGCGACACAACATTAATGTACATGTCGGATCTCAGGAGCCTTGCCACCTCTAGCAAGCGTCACAGCGGTTCGAGTGGTCAATTTTACAACCTACAATGCCGCCAAGCATAGGATTTCCGACTTCCTTGAGAGAATGACCGGGGAATCGCCCCTGGCGATATATAACCAGCCGGGCAGTAGCCCTACTCTATCGACACTGCTCACCTTCACTGCTGCTGGCCTTTTTGCTGGCCTAATTACCTCGCCCCTAGCCTGTGAGTCCCGTCCTTCTGGATCTTGCAGTGACAAATCGGACTTCTGACGCGGGGTAGGCCCATTTGAGCTCGCCAAAAATGTGGTTCAGACCTCGGTCCTGGTTTCGAATCGTGCACAGGCTTCGCCCAATGCGATCAACGATCCGTCTCTTCGCAGCAAGCCACGTCTTGGCACCGTAGAGGCTATCAGACAGATTGTCCAGCGGTATGGGATCCGCGGGCTGTACACGGGTTTCCATCTTCACGCTATGCGCGACACGCTCGGCTCTGGTCTCTATTTCACTGTCTATGAGACCGTGAAACAACTTGCAGCGAAAGAGCTGGGCCCTGATAAATCTCCGTTCGGGGCACCCATGATTGCCGGTGCTATCTGCAGTACCGTTCCTTGGTTCTGTGTAAGTTCCGTCGAGCATTGATTGCAGCTCGCTAGCTAATTGAAGTAGACCTATCCGCTTGATACTCGGAAAACCCGCGCGCAGAGTGTTTTGCTCGGGAAAACAAAGGAAGTGGGTGAGGCAACGGCTGCAGTAGCCAAGTCGAGCATGTACAAGGGACTATCGATTATATTGATACGTACGGGAGTGAACAACATGATCCTCCTTAGTATCTTTGAGTATATCAAGATGAGGATAAACGAGCTGGACTAGTGTATGATGAAAGGCTAGGTGACAGGGTGGATGCGCACATTGTGTTGTTGGGCGTATAAGGTCGAATTTTCGTGACGATTTTTCTCAAGTACATAATGGCATGAGCTCCAAGCCGCAAATACAGAATGAATTATGTTGATATCTGCTTGTATCAATTCATGATGTTATTCCTAGGCCCAGCTGACGATCGTGTTCTGCCTCAGGCATCTATATGGACGTCATGCGTTGCCCCGGCGGGGGTTGGGCTTGGGCTTTTCCGTCAACAAAACTTCCCCGCCAGCAGCCGACCTTTCTTGCCCACCTCATGCGCTCAATCGACGAACACGATGACATCGTATGTGAAACCACTTTCTCGCCCTGTGGCATCTGCTAATCCTGGCACAGTAATATCCTCCAGATCCCATTTCGGCGTTCACACCCAGTCTCCCTATCCGATGCCATCACACAGTACATTTCCTCAAAATATGACCAACGTCCGGATATGTTCGCCGAAGATCTCCTGATCATCGACCGGCTACGCAGTGAAGCGATTAATGTTCAGGAGGCACATGTCAGCGGGATCAGTCGGCTTGTTACGTATGCTGCGCAGCTGAAATGGCTAGGCGGGAAATTCCCAGTCGACGTAAGCGATTGTCACTCATGCCTTTTCTGAAGGAGGAGAAACCTTCATACACCCAAGAACCAGGGAGCTCATTGAATCGGAGAAAGAGTTGCGCTGATAGCTCAATTGTTCTTAGGTTGGCGTGGAATTCCCATGGTACCCGGCTTTCGGATTCAATACCTCGAGACCAAGTATGTGAAAACCGAACGGCTCAAAGTACTTTGACAAGAACAATCCCTTCAAGCTGACATACCGCGTGCTATACAGTCTCGCAGAATAATATCCGATTTGAACTCGCCAATATCATATATAACCTCGCAGCCCTTTACTCGCAGCTCGCGTTCTCCGTCAATCGAACAACTGCCGACGGACTAAAACAGGCATGTAACTACTTCTGCCAGTCTGCGGGAGTTCTGGTCCACCTACGATCCGACATTCTACCCGATCTCCGTACATCTCCACCGGAAGACATGGACGAGATGACCCTTCAAAGCCTGGAACAGCTTCTTCTAGCGCAAGCCCAGGAATGTTTCTGGCAGAAAGCCGTGAAGGACGGGCTGAAAGACGCCTCGATTGCTCGACTAGCTGCGAAAGTTTCAGACTTCTATGCCGATGCGGGAGATCATGCCGTTAAGTCGAACGCAATCAGTCCGGAGTGGATTCATCACATGACCGCTAAACACCATCACTTCGCGGCGGCGGCACAGTATCGACAGTCATTGGATTGTTTAGAGAAACGCAAATATGGCGAGGAGGTGGCACGGCTAAAGGACAGCGAGCTCTGTGTGAACGAGGCACTGAAGGAGTCGCGCTGGATTAATCGTACAGTACTAGGGGATCTGCAAGGGCTCAAGAGCCGCGTCACAGAGGATTTGAAGCGCGCGGAGAAGGATAATGATATCATCTATCTGAACCCCGTGCCACCGAAGTCGGAGCTGAAATTGATCGACCGCGCATGCATGGTGGCCGCGAAAGCACCGTCGCAGGTAACAGATGCGATCTCATTGCTTGGGCAAAACGGGCCTTTGGGCCAGCCTCTATTTACAAAATTAGTGCCTTACGCGGTGCATATTGCGGCCAGTATCTACTCCGATCGGAGGGATAGACTGCTCAACGAGACCATAATTGGAGAATTGGAAACCATGACGGACAAGTTGCGCGAGTAAGTGCCCCCGAATTCTCGCTTCGGTGCAGCTGCTGACAGACCAGCCTGCTGTCATCCTTGAATCTTCCAGGCTCCCTGCAGGCACTCGAGAAGCCGCTGGGACTACCCCCGACTCTGGTCTCTCACGCAGAAGAGATGCGCCAGCAGGATGGCCTGTACCGGTTGCGTAGGTCTCTTGAGGATACAGCCAAGGTTAAGGGCAACGACAGAGCGGTATACACCGAAGGAGTGGAGCTTCTTGCCGCCGAGAAGGCAGAAGATGACGCATCGCGCCGAAGGTATGGCACCGATCGGTGGACACGTGCATCGTCCGAGGAAGCAGCTTCTAAGCTCTACACGACATCACGGGAGATCGAAGGGTACTTTACGTCAGCTCAGAGCAGCGACAACCTCGTGGAACAGAAGCTGAGAGACTCGGAGGCGGTGTTTCGCGTCTTGACTGGCACAAACCGGGACCTGGAAATGTACGTTCCCAGCAGTCGACGGGGTGCGATTCCGCCTGAGGTCGAGTGGGAGGTGACACGACTGCGTGGATGCTTGAGCGAGGTAAGCCGACTGGAAAGCCGTCGAAAGCGACAGGTGCAAGCTTTGAAGGACAAGGCGAGGGCGGATGATATCAGTAAGGAGAATAGCTCTATGCATGGCGTCCCGGAAACCAGAACTGACTATCCCCCCAGGCCAGGCACTGATCAATGAGACTGCACGCTTGGAACGCCAGTTTCCTATGCAGCCAATTCAAGCCAGTCAATTCGAAGATCTGTTTGAAGAGCAGCTCCGCCTCTATGATACCGATTTGCAAATGGTAGCGGAGGAGCAGCAGGAACAGGACCAGCTCGCAGCGCGAATCTGCGAGGCTAACCGAGCCTTCTCACGCGCGCATACGGGTGATGCATCGACAAAGGAGCGGGAACGTGCCTTGCAGGAATTGGAGAACGGATACTTGAAGTATAAGGAGATTATCTCCAACATCGAAGTCGGCCGAAAATTCTACAACGACTTGGCCAAAATCGTCGGACGGTTTCGCGACGATTGTAAGGCTTTTGTGCACAAGCGGAGGATGGAAGCTAGCCAGATAGAAGGGTGAGTGGCTCCGCCCGGCACCCCGTCACTCCTACTGACCGAACTAATTACCTGTGCAGAGATATCTCTAGTGCCGCCGCAATGGCGACATTGAACATCTCTCCACCTATTCGTCAGCAGCAGCAGCAGCAGCAGCCATCATATACATCACCAACCCCGACCAGCCAGCAGTATAATCAAACTCCACAGCAGGCATACAACCCAGCACCTGTAACCCTACAACAACCAGCCCGGCAGACATACACCGCACCCGCTCCCATCCCGGTAGCAATCCCAACTACACCGCAACAGCCACTTCCGCAGCCGCTCCGCGCGGAACCCATGACTGCGCCGCAACCGACCCGGGCCAATGCGCGACCCCCAATGACACCGGGGATGTGGACGCCGGAGGTGGGCATTCGATTTGGAGCTGCCGGCGGGGCAGGAGGGACGTGGGATCCGAGTAAGGGAGTGAAGTTCTCCTAGGAACATACAATCATTTTTAACATATCGGGTCAAAATATCGGCCCAGATCATAGAATCTCTCTGTCTCTTCTTACGGGAAAAGGAAATGCATTAATCTGTGACGTTATACGACCCATATACATACGACCCAGTGCCAAATTGTGTACATATGCTATTCTCGTCTACCACCGAAGCTGTAATTTTCGTGATTGGCGAAGCAGCGGAAAACATTGCAGTCATAGGCCCAGCTGGTGGAACTGGATACATCTCCAGTGCTCCACTATATGAGCCTAGCCGGAAAGTGTTTCAGTGCCCAACTGACGCTACACATAGTGTTTCCTGCCTGTTATTCAAAGTGAGGATCTGGTCGCCCAGAAAATTCGACCACATCGATTGTATTAACGTTCCGGCCACCTACTATATTAACACCCAAGCGGTGCGTCCAAGCCTACTGGAATATCTTAGAACTTCGCTGTTGATTTTGTGCACATACAGCTGAGATCCCGACTATCTCCTTCCGGTTATATCCCGTCTTTTGACTAGATTATACATCCGACTTTGAACATGCCCTGAACATCACATCTGCCGCCTCCGCAGCAATGAATCTGGTCGATGCTGCTAGATCCTCGCGACAGCTGACAGCTCGGAGACGCCCAGTCCACGCGTCCCAGGTCCGGCGGGAAATCGCGGTCCTGCCGTCTTCTCTCGGGGTTTGCTCTTCGGCTTTGGCCTTGGTTCTTGCGGTTGTGTTTGATAAGCATGATTCGGTCGAAGTAGCATCTCTTGGACCGGCCCCTAATGCCTGGGAGGCGGTCGCCCTCGACATAGCTGATACACCATCCTCGGCATCATCAACGTCCAAAGTCAGCCCGACCACGAACTCGTTCCCCGCGTCTTCTCCTCTGCGCTTCCAGATATTGTCGCCTATGATCACAGCCCATATCGATGCAGCGGAGACATAGAGATCGAGACAGTGTTTGGTGATAGTGTGACTCGCGTTTCTGTCAGGTTGGGTCTGATGAAGATTAGGGTAATGATTCCCATTTTGGCCGTGGGGATGGCTGGTCATTCCACTAGCCATTCCAGAAGTAGGTGCGAAGAGAGTCTTTCCCTCACTGCCCAAAACAGAGCCCATCATGACGAGAGCAACGTCATCCAGACCGTCGAGGATGGATTCTTTGCTCATGATCGCTAAGAACGAGGTGAGGTTGAGCCAGGCTTCACTTTCGAACACGCCAAAGCCGACTTTCGGAAGGAGGCTTTTGGAGTGCTTGGAAATAGGCTTGTAACTGGGATTAAGTGAAGGCGAGGGCTCGATGGGTGTACTTGTTCCGGGTGGTCTCGCAGAAGGATGTGGTGCTACGCAATGTGATTCCTCACGGGCAGGCGCAGGCGCGGTATGCCGTGATTGTGATGGCCGATGAAACCAATCTCCCGGAGCATCTTCCTGGAAAACCTCGGCGATTACCTCGCGGAAAAACGGCAAAGCGGCCCAGCGTATCCCCCTTTTACACTTGGTTCGTGTTTCTGCGTCATCAACGTGCGTGCCGCCCCAGTAGCTGTGACTGCTACTCGATGAATCATAGTATGATGACGAGGAGGAGAAGGCCGTGGCGCCGAGATAGGGCGACAAAGACGGGTGGTGATGATGGCTGATCCCGGCCATTGTGCCGGGCATGGGATCCGTAGTGGGAAAAGTCGTGATAATCTTGAGAAGCGTAAGAAGTTTACGTTGCGCCGGGGTGGGCGGGTAGTACGGCCTGTCGGGTTGCAAGTCGCATTGCGTGACTGTAGGAGCGGTATGTGGTGAGGAGTTATTGATCAATGACGGCTTTTGTTCAGTCGAAACCGGCTCTCGCATACATATCGATCGCGCGAGGGTCTTAGAAGTATGCGTGATTGTTCGCCACAGATCGACGAGATTCTCCTCTACCAGGGTATCAATAAGAAGATATTATTAGGCCCACGATCGCATACCGACTAGCTCGCTGTCTCCGCCATAGTACAACTCGTTGATCACACTGACAATTTCCCGCGCGGCCGTTTCTGCGGACAGCTGATCGGCCATGTATAGGCTCACAATGCCGGTAAATGGCCGTGTCGGCGCGCCGTGGACCCAGTTGTTGGCCGTGGCGAGAGCGTCAATTTGGAAGTCCATGTTTTGCTAAAGACGATAATCAAGGGCAGGAGGAAGTGCTGCAGTTTCTCCCCGCATCGTCACATGCCCCGATGTCACTGTCACGATCACGTGGTATGATATCATGACCTGGCCATCTGTTTGCGGTACGTCCGAAACGCTCTGTAAGTTATCCAAATCTATTTATCGGATAAAAAGAAAGGCGGGCCGAAACCACGAACGAGCATCGCCTTTCACTCAGGTTCGGGCAAGCTGCTCGGGCCCGTCAAATGATTGTCCGGGACCGGAATCGGATCCAATCCCTCGCCCAAGAAGAAGTCCAATTCACTGGGCCCGCCATGAGAATGCTCATTCTCTGCTAACTGCTCCAGAAGACTGAGGAATGGATCTTTTTCTCCTTCGCTCGTTCCGGGCCCGCCTCCGGTGACAGTGCCAGAGCTGCCTTGAGATGGCGCGTCTGGTGTTAATGCCGGGGCGCCAGGCGTGGCCTCGAATGGAAACGTCGCATACTGCGGCTGGGCTGGTGGCGTTGGGGCAGTAAAGGAAGGTTCTGACAAAAATGCCGCTGGGGAATTGCTCACTCCTGGAGAGAATCCAAGGCTGCTTTCCGGAAGAGCTAATTCAGGCCCAGGGCCCCACGGTGGAGACGCCTGCGACGACTGGAAGCTTATGGACGACCGTCCTTGGGAGGGGAGCGTCCCTGTAGCGGGGTATATGAACCCGCCTGAGATGTCCTGTCGGTCGAAAAGTGGAAGACTATCATAACAAGTTAACAGAACTCTTTTCCGAGCAGACTGGTCTGGGCTAACGACTCACGATTCATCCCGATCCACCAACCGCAAATGTCCACTCTCAACAGCCAAGCCGGGATACCGATCGAAGAAGTCCTCGAGGTGGAAAACGGGGGCAAAACGGACGGGGCGAGCTGCCATTGTGCGCACTAAGTCGGCATGGCAGGTGGTAATACGCTGCAGCATTTCCCGTTGATGTTGTACCCCTGCCCAGTACTGCCGCAGCCAGGCCAGCTGATGCATTTCGCGAGTCAGAAAGTCGGCACTGGAGGCAAAAACTTCGCCTTCCCGCCCATGATAGTGCACCCCGTGCACATGTACCGTGCCGGCGGTACAAACGCAGTATGCCACAAGTGAAGGCCATTCAAGGCGTGGCGCGTGTCGAGCCAATTCAACTAGCTCCGCGATGGCGTTGGCGTGCGAGAAGCAGAGCGTGGTCGCCTCAATCTGCCAGGACTGATGTTGGCCGGTGCCACGCAACTCTACTAGATCGATGGGGAGGAAGGGGCGATAGAGTAGGCAATGGACCAGATGATAAATTAACTTGCTCAGGAGTAGAAGTGTGCTCTCCGTGTGGCCGAAGAGTGTTTCGATCGAGGCGAACAGATCCTGCGTCCCCGCGGCCCACAGGTCTAGCTCCTGTCGAATTTTGGACAAATTGGACAACGCATGCCAGGGGAAATGGGAGTCGCCTTTGACACCCCCGGCTGCCAGATAGCGATGAGTGACGCCTAGTATGCGCGTGATGTCGACTAACAGGGTTGGGCCTCCGGGACCCTTGCGGCGGTCGGGAGTGTACTGGATGTTAGGGCCGACGGGATTGAAGCTTTCCCCGGTCTCTGAGCCGATGCCCGGTAGCCGCAGTGCAATAGAGTGGTCTGCAATTAGACAAGGTCGCTTGGAGCCACAAGTCAGGAAGCGGTCCATAATGTAGACGGTCCAAAACAGGCGGCGTCGCATCTCGCGTTCGGAGGCGGGCAGGGTCGGAGTGGAGACCTCGCGATATAGGTCCAAGGCTAAGGCCATGGCCACCGCATTGGCTGACAGGGAATTAGTTTCGGTCCTTTAACCAGAATCGGAATAGACCTACAGAGGACCATGTAGGCCGTTTTCCCACAGCCATGGGCGAAAAAGGTTTGGGAGAGCAATAAAAGGGACTGTGTGCCGTCGATAGAGGGATTATCAACGTCCACCAGCCGACGGGCTTGTCGCGCATACTCCTGACTGCCGAGGACCGGGTTGGGATTGGTATAGCTGCAATATCGTTTTAGTGCGAACGCTTCGTGCATGGAAGGATGGGGAATGCAAATACCGTGACGTCAAGGCGTAAATAGCCATGGACAAATGCGCAGGCAATTGACCCATTTGATGGCGCTGCCGGGTTTGGGATTCATCCAAAATCCAGTAAGGCTTACCATGAAGGCGAGCAAAATAGGTGTCGAGCATGGCGTCGGGTAACCGAGGCGGGGGTCCATAACACTGCGGCGGTGGGGGCTGTTGGAAGCCCACCGAGGCCGGAGGCAACAATGGCGGGGGGTGCTGTTGCTGTTGCTGCTGCTGTTGCTGCTGCTGCTGCTGTTGTTGTTGTTGCTCCACCGACTTGATGGGTGAGACAGACGAGACCGGAGAAATAGGGGAATCCTCCTGCAGTCGTTTCTCAAGTCCGTCAACGCGCTTTAACAAAGCCTCCAGCACATCGGTCTTGGGCCCGCGTTTTTTGGGCACAGCATCTAGTGGAGGAGCAGGGAAAAGTCAGGAAGGGTACCTCGACTAGTGCATATATGGCCTGCTCAGGCGACAGAGAACATCCAGGTCCAAACAAATGAACAGGGAAGCAACGAACCGTAGATGCAGGGACACTGGAAGACCTTGCAGGCCTCACAGCTGGGGCGCAGACGGTTGCATTTGATCTGAAGCGAAAAAACAAGCGAGGGCGAAGTCGTCAGCGGGTAATTTTGGGACAGGTCGGATAATGTTTACCTTGCGTTTCCGACAGGATTTACAGTTCATCGATTCACGGGGCTCGGCATTGGCACGTCGGGGAGTGAGACGGTCGATGCTGACCTGGGGGCGGGACATGGCATTCTCTATAACATGAATAGAAAAAAGAAGACTGGAAGGGTGAAGGGAGGATGAAGGGAGAAAGAAGGAGAGAACTTGAAAGACAGTCAAGACCGGGGACGGGGGATGGGGAAGGAAGAGGGAAAGAGTAGGCAATAAAGAAGAGAAGGGAAAAGAGAGGAGAAGAAGAAACAGCACCCCCGGATTTATTGGCTGCACAGGAAACGCGGAGAAGCCGAGTGGAACCTAAAGAGTGAAAAAGGCTTAGCGGGGGGGTTGATGCGGGGGGGAAGGGTTGTTAGTTGGTTCAAGATAATTATAAGCACTCAACAGCCGTTTCTCTGTATGAGGGATTCATTTATAATGAATGGTTAGGGCCCCTGCATATTTACCTTTTTACCAATTGAAGGAGGTTGACGAAAAGGAAATGCTCAGGCAAGTCAGTCGGTCAGTTAGCGAGGTTGAAAGCTTGGAGAGGGGAAGCTGCAGGGGCACACCATGGATAGATAGTTGGACACCAACCAAATCCCCCGGGATTTTCCCGCTTCTAGCACGGATCCCCGTCCGCTGGATGATGGATAATGGCTATATCCACCCAAGTTTACTCTACTATAGACAGTATTTACTGAGTCGAACTTTTCATACTTCTGCACCTCCTTTTACCCCAGATGTAGATCCCTGCCTTTTCTTTCCCTCTTCTCCGCCTTTTCCCCCCTCTCCCCACCCCTGGTCCATCGAGAAAATCAGTCTGGTTTCATGTCATTCATGCCGGCAGCCATTGACTGGCTGATTCAGAATAGGTACAAACAATCTACTCAAGTACACCATGCAACTCCCGGCCCAAACCAGTATATAGTAACCAATCCCGGTCTCCCCTCCTCTCGCTTGTCACCAACGACAAAACAGCCAAAGTGACAGAAAGGTAGAGCTCCTTCTACAGATGCAACCGGATCCAAAAAAAAAAAAAAAAAAAAAGGAGACACATATCAAAAGACCCGTCCTGATGCCATCCGCACAAAGTCAAATGGCACATTCTGGCCCACCAGCAAGCGCAGCGTCTCCACTGTCGTCCACGCGTCCACATCCTCAATTCCATATGCAGTCCACCCGGCACGCACAGCAACACTTACAGGATCGCCCGTGCGCTCACCCCGAGTCAAGTCGAGATAGACCTTACCCCGGGTCGAGGGCGGCGAAGACCGCCCACTGGTCCGGTAATGCCGCAACAGCGGCTGTACCAGCAATGACTTTTCTGGAGGTAACGCAGAGATCATGACAAACGGCTGTTCAACCCGCTTGACGGACTGAATCGACGTGAAGGGCTCGAGCCCCGCTGCCAAGGGACCCCGGGCCCGGAAGCCTACCGTGTGGATCGCACCCACTCCCAAGCTGCGCAGGGCATAAATGGCCGCCGATGCTTCACTCTCGCTCCCCGCCAACAGGATTGCTGTCCGGCCTTGATACGCCGACGGCACATAATCGCGGGTCAGGGTAGCTCGGATGCCCTTCCACGTCGCGTTCTCCCCGACTAGTGAATTCTGCGGCCCCTGCGGTCCGGCCACAATCGTGTCCACAAGCCCGATCGCTCGCGCCGCCTCGCTCACGGCTGGGATGCAACCGGTGCCGCTCGGGATTGGTGGATGCACCGAGGCACCTCCGAACGTGGGCTGCGTGAGCACTCGCTCGACCGAGCCTATCGGTCCGCGGTCAATTGAGGTCAATGTGTGCGGTAGGCTCAACTCGTTGAAACATTTCTCCATAAACATGGACTGTGGCGTCGCCCGAAACGATCCAATCGCATACAGGTCGCGTTTCGGCAGCTGGCCCATGATGTGAAGTGCCTCGTTGATCTCCGCCGCTGTCAGCTGGCCCGGAGCCGCAATCATCGGCAGCAACGGGTGCGTGATGGGCGAGAATACTGTATTGAGCGCTCGCGACAATTGGCCTAACTGGCCCATGTTGACCGCCGACAGCAGGGGATACGTGCCGTGGCTCTTACGAATCTCCGACCGGAAATACTCAAGCTCGTAATTGGCCTCGATCGTCGTCACCATCGCGATCATCTTGACAATATCTGCGTACTTTGCGCTTTGCGCATAGATCCGTGGCGCTTCGGGTGACGTCCACCTCCACGTCCCCGAAAAATCATGAAAGGCTGACATGATGATGCTGTTGCCCTTCTCCGCTGCCAACCGTTGGCGGATTGATTCTGGCAGCCACAACTCCACATCGATATATTCCACCCCCCATTGAATGGCGCGACGCAGATAGCGGTAGAAGAGATGAGGGTCATCCATCGGGAACTTGCCATTTTCCTTCGTACAACGAGTGGTGAATATGATTGGCAGTTCCGTATGCTGCCGCAATAACATTAACTGCTGTCCAACATACCGTAGGCTCGGCACCGCACTCGAAGTATCTGGCGACGGAGGTGTAGGATCCACCAGCAAGTCTACACGAATTTCCACCGCATCCGAGCCCACGGAGAGTATGTCCAGATTCGGTAGCGCAGCATGGACGTCCGGGAAAGTTGTCGAAATGAAATTTGTCCGGCTTTTGGTTTTGAGATCCTCGTGGGGACGAGTTTGACCAAGGATCAAGGAGAGAAACCGGGTTAGGTCCCGGCGAAAGAAGGGACTCCGGAGTGAGTATAAGAATTCGTAATGGCAGCAGTCGCTCAGCGCTTCCTCCGGGAATGAGCCATCATCAACACAGTGTGTGTTGACCAGGATCCATGCTGCGTGATCGCCTTCTTGCAGGTCCCGAGCCAGGTCTTTCGTGGCCAAAATGCCGACAACCACTGCATTACTGCCCCTCCCGAGGGCAGACAAGGAGGTTTGGGTCGTCCATGGCTTGCCAAGAATATCCGCAATGACCTGCACGATTCCCTCCTGGCCGGGGGTGAAAAGGGTGATCACGGTCCGTGTCGACTCCGGGGGTGTAATTGGAGCCGGGGAAGCAGAAACCGAAATCGAGGTTGAACCTTTAAGAGCCGTGAGGGACGTGGCGGCATCAGCCAACAGCGTCATCCCCACGGGCTGTTGAAGGGCAGTCTGCATCATCTCATCGCACACGCAGTCTACTGCCCGTTCTCATACTTGGTCTCGACGGCAACCAGATCGAAGGAAGAGAAATCAGAATCAATACGTATTGTTCAGGCCGGCGTTCAGACACGGGACGTTGAGAGGTGTGATCGGAAGGAGGGTTAAGTGAAGTTCAGGTTTGCGAGGCGGGCAGTCGCATACAAGTTGGCCAGCCACACACGCTATTGGGACACACTAGGCTGTCCGCTGCAGTCCGAGTGAAAAACGACCGGGGTAATAACTTTGCCCTCTTCTAGTGCGGGAAGATGGGGAGGAGAGGGAGTTGGTAGATATATAGCAGATGGGTAGCGAATGATGCGTGACCAATTCTTACCCCCCTAAGAAGGTCCTAGCAGGTAATCAGGGGACGGGTAGGAGAGGACCGATGTGGAGGTGAAGGCGAGAGCGGATGAACAGCGCGGAAGGATAAGCAAAGTTTGGAAGACTGAGGGGGATGAGCGGAAAGAGACCAGAGAGAAAAAGACGACATTTGCTAGGATCGGAGAAAAAAGGAAGAGAAAGAGAGAGGGAAAGGACAAGGGTGGGGAGGAGATATGAGAGAATGAAAAGGTAATATTGGGCGGTAGCGGGCCAGACAAGGAGGAGACCAAACGAGAAGATGGGGAAGCAAGTGGAAAGTGGAAAGACGGCTGAATTTCCCCGGAATTCTGCCTCCGCCGGCCGGGGGGCAGCGGAGGCGATTTCTCCGCCAATCACTGTCCACTATATACAATAAGCAAGTATACCCAGCAGCCTCCCTGAGCAGCCTGCAGCCCTCCTGGAGGCTGGAGCCCTGAGTGCACAGCTCCAGGACTGGTACCAAGAATCATTTCAATTCCTTTGAAGGCTTCCAGAAGAAGACACTGGCAGGCTCCTGGAGGTTCCCAACCAGTCTGTCACTCACTCAACTCGTCAGCATATTCAGTCAATCATTCTCAATCCGCTCGAGCGAGCATCACGGTTTAAACACCCATATCCAGGCCTTTTCTACGCATCATAATCTCACTTCCCCCTCTCACTAGTCACCAATATCTGTGTAGTGTATGTGTATCATTCGCCTCTCACAACCCCTTGAACCCCTCTTATTCCTTCTACCCTGGACCCAGTCGCCACGGACACCCTGAGCCACCGCTCCTGGAGCTTTTTTTGATACGGGGGAAATGGCCTCCGATAGTCTTATCTTGTCCGCCTACTGTTGGTCGGTCTTGATTCTCCCGTGCCTACCCGGAGCTCCGGATCAAGATGCTACTGCAGCGTCGTACTCAGAAGTCGACGCTAAACGCCAGCTTGGGCGTCGGATTGGCGGTCGACCTCATCCGCCGACATCCCTGCTACGGTAACCACCTATATGAGCCCTCCTAGATACATACGGGGCACGTTCACGACGGGTGGGTGACTATTCAGCAGGACACCTCCCATTCTTCCAGGCAGCCATCCGCTCTCGTCGATCCTCCGAAATCCAGCCCTACCCTCCCTGTGGCTAAACTGACACGTAGGACGAGCTGGATCTGACAGATCCACAGCTCTAATCAACAACGAATATGGTCGATCGTCCCTGAGGCACACGGCTGGATGATGTATTAGTGCAAATAGGTATGTAACATAACACAAAATCCACCAATAGTTTATGAGAAGAAGACAGTAATAAATTAGCATCAAGTTGAGTAACAGAACAACCATAAATACCAACCGATCAAAGGGGTATTGTAAGCTAAAAAGAAGACACGATGCCCAAATGGCAAAAAGTACAGTACAACAAGCCGGCACAGATGGAGGGAAAGGATTGCTTCGAGGTCAGAGTCATGGCATTCAAATAAACCATGTAGGCACAATGTATGTATGGGTATTCGTCAGTGTATGAGTGTGATAGATATGTATACATTTGATAAGGTAAGGTATGTGCTCTAGGGAAGATTTCAGGGTCCACGGATATGCCAGTGCATCATCAGCTAGCATAGAAACCGAAGGGACCCAGATATGATGATTGCACAATTCAGCAGATCGGGAGCTCTTCTGCAAGTTGAATGGATGGGCGTAATTGCGGCGGGGTGAAGACAAAACCGAGCCTGAGACAGGTTGTATTTGTCACCGCTAAATGGGATACGTCGAGCATCAAGGGTTGGTTGGTAAGCCTCTCACAGTGGCGCCCCATTCCCATCATGATTTAAAGGGTGCGTGAGCTGCCGCTACCGGCGCTGAAGACACTGTGCGACGAGTGTTTCAGGTCAAACCAGAAGCCAATTGAACTTGTGCTTCCTTGATTGACACCGTTCTGGGGGCAAGATTCATTATCCATCATCCCCACTTCGCGCTGTTGTCATCCTCAGCACGAGGTAATTGACGGAAGGATACGTGGCGGACCAGTGTCGAACGACGGTATGTCGAGCCAAACGATTGCCCTTCGGAAAGGACACGCCACCAATATGAAATGTGGTTTTACGGGGGGGAAATTGCGAGCCCGTTCATGAGCTTAGGGAGTGGTTTTCTGCGTGCGTTATTTGCCGTCTTCGACACCCGAGGCGCCCCATGAACCATGCGGGGTTCTTTCATCAAGCTGGTATCAAGTTTTGCTGGGGCTTATCACATGGCATAAAGACGTTAGATCCGAACAGTTCATTGCAGAAAGGGACGACCAACCTCGCATCACGACTCGTGTGTAGTCTCCCGAGAGACTGTTTTGACTCCGACTGCCCCCGGCAAATGAGGTGGCACTGGCTGTCCTCCAAAGATGATTGGAAGTGTCGGATAAGAAATCAGTCATACTGCGGCCGGAGAAAATCGATGAGCGACCCCGGTTGCGCTTGGAGAGGATGATCTCATCAAAGAGGGCCATGCGAGGGTCGCGAGATTTGGGATTGGCTCTTTCTCTGTCTCCAATGAACTCATTGAATCCTAGCAGCGCGTTAGCGATTGTGTGATATCGTGCTTCGGGTCAGAATTGCCCACCTTGTGTCTGTTGCAATACTGCAATGTAATCCGCATGTTCTCCTGGCAAACTTTTCATGAATGCCTCCATGTTGAAGCTATATGTTAGACCTGCCTTCTTCTTGTCTCCCGAAGCAGGCTGAAGAAACTTCTTGTACGTGTAGAACAAGCTGGCGAAACATCTGACGAACGCAGCACGAACTTGCTCAGGATGAAAGGCTGCCGGGCACACTAGGCATATCTGAAGGGCACACCTGCTATGGACTACGACCTTGCAAGCGGTACACTTGTACATGCCATCCTCGGCCCGATCGTCACAGATGGTGCAAATAGCTTTTTCGTCCCATGGTTGTACCTGTAAGCAATGTCCTTCCAGCCAACAAGTACCCTCGGCATTGTGAATAGGTTGTGCCGCATTTGTGGGAACGATAGTAGATGCAGCAACTGTAGACTGCGCATACACAGAAGGTGCGTAGGTAGACCCCGAATTATGGTCCGTATTCAAAGTAGTCACTGACAGATTCGAGGCATGGCCTAAGAAAGGGGCGCTTGGGCGGCGGGGAACGCCAGGGCGCATCTCGATACCAAACGACGAGCTTCGTCGTGACGCAGCATCGAAGTGGCCGGAGCGTTTCTCCCGCAAGGAAGCCTGTAGAGTGCTTCCCGAGTCATTTCGTGAGCCCGGGCCTGTAGACGATGCCGGGAAATGCCCCGACGTGGGCGAGCTATCGCGGGGAGACGGTGGCGAGCCAGTCTTGTACGTCGAGCCAGTTCCCGGCCGGTCAGAGCCCTTGGATGAATAGCCCCTGGACGCAGCCTGTTCGTATCGGGCATGGAGGTAGGCGTTAAAGATCAAAGGCTGGTACGAGGCCGAAACCACAGAAGTCTGGCCGAAGGCACTAGAGTTCAAGCTGACGTATTTGGCCAATTGCGTGGACTGAGCTTTGGAAGTGAATATGGAAGAGTTCTCCGACATAAAAGCGTCAAACGGGTACGTCTCAACGGCATAGGCGGGCGGTCCGGTCGGCACCCCACACCGGCTGTGATGAGGCGCGGCCAGCTGCAACAACGACAAAAGCTTCCTGCGCTGATGACGGGGCAGGGGGGTTGGCTGAACCGTGCTCTCGATAAGGTCGGCATCAAGGTCTACCAGAACGAAATCATCGGACGGCAGTTCGACTTTCTCGTAGCGGCGTTCGATGCCCACGATATACGGACAGGGTGCTTCTAAAGCCTGGATCAACCGGGCAGGGAGAACTGGGATCAACACTCCCGACCACGGGATGGGAAAAAGTAAATCAACCAACGCCTTCGTCGCCAAATAAAGCATCGATGTGTGAGACGACAGAAAGATGATGCGCGACTCAGTCAGAGCGTATTCCAGGAGGATGACGATGTTAGGCAATGAAAGAGCGCGAAACAGCGCGTAGATATCGGTGTTGCGAGAGCCCGGTAACTCATTGGAAGCCTCCTTGCGGGCGAAAAGACGCAATTCCCGGACATTCAGCTCTACTTGTGTTTTGGAAGAGTTTGGACTGAATGCCTCCGTGCACAGGTTCATCACATAACGTTCCAATGGTTGCCAGACCCCCATCCGCGGAGAACTAGGGGGGATGCGCTGAATGCCTCCATCGGTCATTGGGACAACGACAGCCTTCAGCCACTCCTTCCAGAAACTGGTCATATTCTCTTCTCGGCCGAGGATGCCGTATGCGCGGGGTATCCAGAAGCCGGTATCCCCATCAGTCAGCCCTTCAATCTTAGACGCTGCACCATGCCGCACCGGTCGCAGGAGGTCAGTCATTAAGCCAATCTTCTCCTCAACCGCACTAATCTCGTCCTCCAACTGCTCTCGTGATTCCGAACCTGATGGAACAGTGGGGAGCTGGGCCAGGAGTCGGGAAAGTTTGGCGCGCTCACTTGCCAGTCTCTCGCCCAGGCTCGCCGCGAGCTCGCGCTCCTCATCCGTCATATTCTCTTTCCGCCATTCCTCGCAGCGTTTCTCTAGCTCATCGGCAGCTTTTTGATTAAGGGGGATCCAGATGATGAGACATATAGCATGCAAGCGCGAGCCGTTATCGGTGGTCATGACGAATCCGTGCCATGTAGATCGGGGCCTTTGATCGGAGGAAACAATGTTGATATCATTCGGAAATGCGAACATCGGAACGTAGTCGGGGAAGTTGCCTCGCAATTTTAGCTCATCAGACATGCCTTGTGTGGGATACCGATCAAGTAGGACCGGTTCAAATCTCCGCTTCAAAGGATGCATGGTGGGAGAGATCTCTAAGGGTTGAGGGACCGGGATAACGGAGTTGTAATTACTTAAGCGTCGTGAGGTTCTAATGGATGCTGTAATGAAGTCCTGTCAGCAGGGCTGCCCATGCTTGTTGCTTTCACAAATAATAGCCACCGACCTTGACGAGCAATTGACGGCTGTCTCTTCATACTGTTCATATCCCGAAAGGCCATGTGTCGCCGCACGCTGCCAATGCTAGAACGTATCAAGCCTGTCGGCTGCGAGCCTTCCTCCGAGACGATCTTCTGCGTACGTAACCTGGACCGCGGGCGCGTCGAAGGGGTGATGGCACCTGCACTGACATTGAGATCGGATAAGAAGGACTCCCTCTCGGACGCGAACTTCCATAGCGCTTTGTCAAAGTCGAAGTCTCCGAGGAACGAGGAGCCACGTGGAGATTGATTGCCTTTGATTGTCATGCTGCTCCGGTTGCTGTGGGAGCCGTTCTCGTTCGCATCGGACTCTCCCGAGCGCGTGGAGACCCGTTGGACCGAGTTACGATTCCCCGCCATAGAGATGGGACGGGAAAGGCTATCCAGGCGAGGATCATGGGCCTCTTCCGCATCCGCATCCTCCTCAATAGTATCTGTGAGGGCGGGGCCAGGCGAAGTGGCACAGTTGGCTCGGTAATCATCCCCTAATTTGCGATAAGTCTCGAGAACCTCTGTTCCATCCACGCCAGCTATCCAAAAATAATCTGCAAGCGGGGTGGTGGACGCCTCGGGCGCGGAGGAAGAGGGCGAAGAAGAGGAGGAGAATGGCATCTTGTCGAAGGGTTGGAATCATCAATCGTCACGAATCGTCGACTTCGTCACAGCATGGAGTGAAATGTTAATCCTGAGTGCTGTTGCCCTTGCACACAGACATCAATGGGAGAAGAGAATCGGGTTTTCCTTTCCTTTTCTTTCTTTCGCCTGATCCCTTCAGTAACTAGGGGTTCTTGGAGTAGTCAGGCAAGTAAAGGTAGGAGCAGCTAGAACGCATAAGTTCGGGATTGCGACACTGTCGCTAGAACGAACGACACGATGGCTGGGGTGAGGAGCCTGGAGGAACTCAAGCGCCGAATAGACGCAAGAGAGCGGAGGGAGGAGGGGGGTGGAGGAGAACTGGTGAGCGTTCAGATGGCGAGCGAGAGTGTTGATCTATGCATTGACAAGAAAAAGGAGTTATCGGTTAGTGGAGAGAGGGAGGGAGGAGCGGCGGCGGCGGCGGACAGGTGAGGGGGCCAAGAGGGAGGAAGAGAACTGGACGAACTGGAAAAGGAGGAATGCTTTGACAGGTGTCTCTTTGTGTTTCTTGAGGGAAAAGCAGTATTAAGAACACAAAGACAATTTGCGAGTTTCTGTTTACGTTATCTTCATTTGGGTATCTTATTTCATTTAGAGAGATGAAAGAAGAGAAAAAAAAGAATTATTCAGTGCAGAGGGGGGAAGAGTATGTTCCCTCCCTCTTTGTTTCTGCTGCCTTCCAACTTTTTTCGCCCCCTTCCCCTTCTGGGAGACTGTACTAGTCAGTAGTTTAGTACTGACTAGGCCTTAACCATGCAGACGGATGGTTGCGTAGACACCGTCTGGTGAGGGAGGGGGGAAACGGCTGCCATTAACTCCAATCCCAGTTCCAGCCAGACCTTTTTCCCCGTGTGTCTCCTAACACATAGAAATGCTCCCACAGTCCTACTGTATGAGCGCATTTCAGATTGCCCGCGGCCTTGGGCCCATATTTTCATATCAATCTATCTATTCAGGACCAATCCACCTTCTACATAGTTAGTTATCCTCCGCTCCGCTGTGTCTACACGAATTTACCCCTCCAGTTGATGTGTGACAATTCATATCTGGTGCTCTTATGAGCGAACCAGAATTGAAAATATTGGGGGAGGGGGGAGGAAGAAAAGCAAAGACGAGACAAGAAAAGAAAAGAAAAGAAAAACAATATACAAATAAACGTGCAGGCCTCCCTACGCTGAAACGGCAAGACGACGAGTCGGTGGAAGATCTTGCTCAGCCAGACCACGACTAGCCAACACAGTTAAGAACTACTGCAAGTGTGCATGGTTGGCTGCAGCCTTCCAACCATCAGCCGGCATCAGCGGTGTTACCTGGGCCGGATCCCGCCTTCTTCCTACTACCGATAGTCTCGACCATAGCCGAGTGGAAGTACATGTCTGCTTGCGGATGCGATTGCTCATCAAGCGATGCATTCATACCTCGCGCTCCAGGACGAGAACCAACCTTAGGTACCAACTCGTGGCCAAAGGAAGAAACGCCATCCTGCCAAACGGACTGCAACCCCCCTCCCACATCCCGGCCACCCATCTGTGAGGGGAAAGCGACACACAGGGACGGGAGCATATCAATCGCTAGGCCCAGTGGAGCCTGTCGCACACATATTGCTTGGCTCACTGACCAATCTCTGCTCTCCAATGGCCCGCGGTCAGATGGAGCGAGAACTCCCGTTCAAGACAAACAACCATGGGAACCACGGTCATTACGTCTTGCACTTTTGTAGTGAGGAAATGTTTTGAGGCTGAGAGGCAGCAATCCGATGCCCCCTCTCGTGTCTACAATATGCTACGAGGCTCTCCTTCAAATCCCGACCGGGCAAAGTTTGTGCGTTGATGATGTCCACAGTAGGGAGTCGCGCACGTATCCTCTCCGACAAACCCGGTCTTTCTATAACTGGGGGCCATGTTTCTAGGTGCTATCACCTAGTACGGAACTTAGTGCGGAGGATCTAATATGAAAATAGCTACACCGAAGCTTCAAACTGTCTTCCGTCCCTTGAAGGTTGGTTGGTTGTCATCGTATCATCTCAGCCTCTCCGGAGACCATTGATACAGTCTTTGGTCGGATCAGTGCAAAGCAGCCATGGTACCGAAAATGATTGGAACTGAGACCGGATAATGGATCCTGAATAGGGGAACAGATGCCGAATGTTCCCCTGGACAATAAATGGAGATTAGCTGCCGAGGTCCCGCTGTTACTAACCCTCCTCGGCCGTAATTGTTTAACAATATGAAGAATATATTGGTGGTTTCACATAGGGCAGAGGTAAGACAAAAAAGGGGGTGGTGGGTGGCATTACTACTAACCCGACGACAACTTCAAGAATAACTTCCACGCCGCCCGCGGGGGTTTTTTCCTTTCTTTTTTTCTTTCTCTTTTTTTTTTTTTTTTTTAATCTACCTGAATTTGCTTAGTTGCATCTGGCATTGGTGAACTTTGCTACTTAGTACACTCGGGAATGGCCCGGGGGTGGACTGGCGATGATCGATGTGGATCCCCCAGCAATGATAACTAGGAGTAATTCTCGGTATGTAAACCAATCTTCGTTTGTCTCCGATCAGGACCTCCAAGACCCATCTAAAATGAAAGGTTGAGGCTCTCACCATCAATCTTTCTTAGGCTTGATTGCGATAACTCAATTACGAAGTCTGCTTTTCTATTGAATGCTATCCATTACTACCCCAAACACCCAGCCAGGTCGGAGGTACCATAAACTGGTTGTCCCGGATTTTCTGTGGTACAGTACACGTTGAACAGACATCGATAGGGCCGATGCATGCTCTTAGCTAGACCTGTTACTGCTACGGCACACAAGCCGGTCTTCTCAAGCCGCTACTGCCAGGCCACAGGAAATCAGGCACGCTGTGCAGGAACCAGCATTAACCCTGCAGGGTTATCAAATGGTTTGCTTCTGTCCAGCCCCCTCCCTCCTGAGCGAAAAGCAAAGAAAGGGACGGAAATAGCACTGACTAACCAAGAGAATGGTTCCTTACATAAACCTACTTCCCCGGACTTGCTGATCCGCATTAACGGTAGAGAGAGGGAAACTGAGATTTTATGCATCCACTCAAACTCGTATATGCTCGGCATGATTGATACCCCTGCGCAGCACAGAATATCTGGGCACCGTTCCGGACATGACGGAGCAATTCCGATCTGGCTCTGAGGCTAGGGATCGAAGCAGTTTAGACTCTCAGCCCAACGGCTGTTGCTCATTGCTGTTACATCATGTTGCAACGCCTTTCCTTACTGGGCAGCCCTTCCCTTCTGACGTCTTATAAGTTAAAATCCCGGGTCTCGACATCATACTTGAGACTTTTGGCCTGATATGAGTCGGTTCCAAGATGTTCGGGAGCATAACTATTCAGACACATGCACGAATTTGTCTGATACTGAGTAGGCCGGGAGAAAAGGGAGGGTGGGTGCTAAGTACGACAGGCAAGGTAAGAAGGATTGGGTAATATCTTGTATGGGCTTCCCCCGGCTCCGTTCGCATTTGCCCCTTTTCCTATACAGTGGTGCCCCCTGCACCAGTCCCTTGAGAAAGTTGGACATGGAAGTTCTAGTATACTATGGTGACATACGATGAGGGCAATACCTCACACAGCTTCGATCGCCTCACCACCGTCTGACTGTTACCCATGAATCATGCTACACGGTTAATGCTATTGTGTCTCGGACATAGCAAGCAAGGCCTACCAGCGGGCTAGACTTCCAGTGCCGAGAATATCTGAGGTACTACTACTACCACCACTACCACCACAAAACTCATCACTACTACCATTGGAACGGTTCCGACATACCACTCCGATTATAATAAGCCCTCAGCGCTAATATCAGGCAAGAAGGCCAAAAAGAGGGCCACGAATGACACACGATACACATCCATAATATAGTTATATATGCATTATTACCACTAACCCGTCCTCATTCGTTACCTAACGTACAGACTTCATTAGTGGTTCGCCCTCCGCAGGCGAAGGACTTGACCTAGGCCCCGGATGAGAAATCCTTTTCGTAGTGCACATATAGCCCAGACTCTATAAGTTTTGTCTACGTAGTCTGGATTCCGATGTTTAGAAGGTCTAGACAATCATCACTCGCCCAAACACACTACTTTGGTTCTCATACAGCCCCGAGATCGACGAACGAACAGCACATGCCTGGCCAGATTCTGATAAGGAACTTTTCCAAATACTGGTCGCGACCTATCAATAGAAGCCAACCTTCCCCGTTCTTGTCTCGTACCTTTGTTAGCCCGATTTCCAACTAGTCAACTCAAACAGACATCTGTCGACGGGAATTCCCTGCTTCTGCGCGCCTGTGGATCAAGTGTAACCAACCCAGCTTTCAGATTGTTGTCTCCGGCAAACACCACGACTTGGCTCTGATCGATACCCCGGTAGGCGACGCCATATGCCCTTGGCGTTTCTTATCCATCGTACAGCTTGGCACTGCATTACTGCTGAGTTGTCCAGATTTTGCATATTTGCACCTGCAGAATATCACTCGTAACTTGCCCCCCTGCGAGCATGCGTTCACTGCGATGTTTCGCATGGTAATAGGCCGATCGGAGCGGTTGGGTAGGCTGTTACACAAGAACCAGAGACTACTCATAAGCTACCTACCCTAGGGTACCAGAAACGCATTATTATCCCCTTGCTTTCGGCTCATGCCCGTCGTCGCGTCAAGAGGTTCCCCGTGGTCAGAAATCCTTTATCTCCCATTGCACCTCGCCACTCGATAGACAATTGGCCTAGGGCAGCCCGTCCATCGCGTCGCATGTCCTTATGTAGGGCCTCGAGGCCTTCCTGCTGCCCTTCCTCTTGCTCAACCAAAAAAGCAACTTGCAGGACATCGCGTGGATGTAGTGTCGGTGGCTGGGACTCTGACTGATCGGATCCTTCTAGATCCCAGTTCAAGGAAATCGACTTGAATGGTGGTTTGGGGTTGAGTCGTGTTTGCTGCCAGAATCAACATGTTTCTAAGAAGACACCATGGTGCTAAAATTAACCAATTCTTCAAATCACCTGTAACCTACCTTAACCACGACGGGACCATCACCCACATTCTCCAGCTGCGCCTCTAGTGCGAAGCGGAGCAAGCGTGTCTTCCCGTATGGACCCAAACTCTTGTTTTCGACTTCGAGCGGCGCCAATTCGGAGGCCTTGGTGCGTACACTCAGACAGGGCTGAGCAACGAACTGATAGAGTTTGCGGAATGTCCGCACTCTCCCGCTTGCTGCCTGCGCGTCCGTGCCTATCGACGTCTCTGTATAGCTCACACTGACCGCTAGTATGTGATTTCCTTCCTCCTTAAGATCAAACCGTACGATTTTCTGCAAAGATTGGCCCTTCTGTAGCCCGTCCTTCGAAGCCGTATCTTCCGCAGGTTCAAGATCCAAAGACGATACCTGGGAGGGCGTTTGCATTTCTGCGACAATCCGGACAGATGTGACAACACGTGATGCCTCATCTTCGGACAACTCGTTGTTTGCACTAAGGGTGCATGCAAATGTCTCGCCGACGTATGCAGATCCGAAGGCAGGAGGTAGGGTCAACTTAGAGGAATGGTGTCAGTGACTGAACGTTAGAGCATCGCTGTATCAATTACATTAGGCGTGAGGATGAAGTGATCATCCGTGTTATCGGCGGGGTAGCTTAGTGATGCTTTGCTTGAGATCTTCGTATTCGCCGCCGGCAAGGGATACTGGTAGGTCAAGGACGGACGCGATAGCCTTCGGCTTAAGTCAGGGAGAGAAGCGTGCTTGAAAGGCGTCGAGGACGAGGTGTAAGGTGTGCATAGGAATGCCATCACTTACCGCAAGACTGAACGATCCTCAAACAATCAGTTAGGCGCTTCGTCAGAAGAGAGAGATCTCCCAGCAATGTGATGCGTACCTTTGAGAGAGACCGCATGGGGCTCTTTAGGGGCATCGGCGCCCGAATGGGCACGAGGACGCGCCATTTTCGGTCCTAGGTAGAGAGCTTCTGTGCCTGGGTGCTAGTAACATGAGCTCGTAGGAACGTCATTTCGGAGAACCCCATCATTATCGGCGTGTTAGCCTACAGGCAAACTGGGCAAACATGTCAAACATGTCAAACCTCCGCATTAGGTGGGCGCTCTCCTAATCCATGATCGACCACCATCATTATCAACCTTACGGAGTAGTGACTCTCGAAAAGCACAAACTAGTCGACTATCCCGGACATTGCATCTTACATCAGCCATTTGTTTCTCTTTCGCTAGCAACTTCCAGATTGCACGTCTCGGACCCTGATTTCTCTGACCAAAGCAGTGGTCTGTTGTTTCAGGTCTCGGAAGTAAATCGCTTATCAGTTATCGTTCCTATCGGCCGCCACCGCGAGCCTTCAAGAGCAATCCTTCGTTTCATGAACAACCTCTTTTAAGTTGTTATTAACGATTTTCAGTCCTGCGATGGGTGAACAATTAGAGGGATCTGCTAGCTTGCAGACTGCCAGAAAATCAGCACGTGGGCTTCAAAAGGAGCATGCAAAGACAACGATACGCGCATCTGCTGTCTCGAAAAGGAAGCGAACTGCTGAGGAGATCATAACGACGACGACGACCACTACCACAACTAAAAGACTACGAAAGACCGCCTTCAATGATACGATTTCGAGTAATCAAAAGGTGATTGATCTGACTGAAGGACCTTGTACCCCTCGAAAGAAGAAAAGCCCCCAGAAGCAAGCGCCCAGTGGACAGGAGCGGCGAGAACGTAGGTTCAGGTCGCATGCCCCGCAGTCTTTCAAGGAGAGAGCCGCACGTGCAGTGAGTCAACGGTAGATATCTTCCGGCTATCATCACTTGGAATCTAGAGCTGATTGTCTCAAGTATGTTCGTTGTGGGGCACAGCGTCACTCTTGTTGATGGTGTCCTGGTTATGAGCTTCGATATTGTTGGGACCACTGGCAACCTTTACAAAACCACCATTGGGAAGGTGCCCACCTGCGACTGTCCGGATGCGCGCAGGGGGAACCAATGCAAGCATATCTGTTATGGTACGTCTTGTTCTCTTCGACTATCACCCCAATCCTATCACTATGTCGCTATCTCTTATCACTCATTGTTATTCTATGGTCCTAACAATCATGGCAATTCAAGTATTGATCAATGTCTTGAAGGCCCCGAAGGACCTTCAGTACCAGTTGGCATTCCTATCATCGGTAAGTGGTCTTGCAAACATTGCGCCCTGTAATGGATTGGTCCTCACCTGCCAGGAACTCCGAGGGATATACAACGGTTCCTCGCTTAGCAAAGAACACTCCACTGAGGACAATGGTGGCAACAGAAAGCCTGTCGAGGGAGACTGCCCAATCTGCTTCATGGAGTTCGAACCCGAAAAGGAGGATATTGTCTGGTGTCGGGCCGCATGTGGAAACAACATTCATAAGTCTTGCTTCCAGCAGTGGGCTGCAACCCAGCAGTCACAGGGTGTCAGATGTGTCTATTGGTTTGTTCTTTATTATCTCAATGCTATAATCTGTTATTGACCCAGTATAGTCGTTCACCCTGGCAGCCGGATACCGAAAATGTGAACGTGGAGGAACTATCCCGCCAAGGCAAAGTTGGTCGTGATGGTTACCTCAATGTCGCTCACCAGTTTGGCCTTTCGGGACGTCGCGGTATGAAGTCTCTTTCTAGACACACCATTTTCTCATACTCCGGTTGCATATGACGCATGGCTGACCATCGACTCTGATTAGACGTTTCGAGCTATCATTCTTTCTGGGTGCACCGGCAGCGATATCAGCATGAGGACGACTGGGATTACGATGACTATTGAGGACAGATGTGCTAAATGAGCCTACTCTACTGGCTTCGTGGAGACGTTATTTCGTTTTTTTCGCCGTCTGGTACGGTCATAATCAGGTATTATCAACTTGCTTGCGGCCGCGGAAGGTTCTAGGAATCACCTGCTGCATGCAATGTGGCTGGAGGACTTCGGATATTCGCCTTTTATTCCATTACCATTATCAAGCTTAATTAATATGAAGCATCCTTCATCCCAACGCACTGGTGATGTTGAGGTTTGATTGATCCACCAAGGGCTGCCTTGTTTTGATGGAACATATACAATCTGTCTCCTGTGAAGTTCAACGCCACGGGATACATCAAAACCGTCCTCCGACTGATCTTGAGACATATGAATTAAACTCGCTGTAGCCTAGCCAATTCGCGCGCGAGAGCCGACGATGGATGACCCAGCGTTGTCTGAAGTTGTTGCGCCAGCTTACACAATCCGAATTGGCCGGGTTGAACCAATGTCGATGGCCCGAACAATTCAAGACAGCCTATATCGCGTGTGTATAAGCTTGTGCCGCCATACCTCCCATTTCTGCAGCAATGACGGTGCTCCCGTACTATCACGGGATAGGTAAAGAAACGCGATTAGATTCGATCTTGGTTTTTAGGCTTCTTGAGGTCGAGCGCTGTTCCTGTCTCAGCTTCAGCACCCCATATGACATTATTAGAATGCATCAAATGCACAAGCGTAGCTCATCCCTAATGAGCTCACCCATCGGCCCTGGGCACTCTCTTCCCCTTCCTCACCATAAGAGCACTGACGCCCTCCTCACCCGTCATCCACGAAGGCATTTTCTCCGCATCGATGATACCCAACTCTGCAAGCTTGTGAACTCCACCGATCACATCCGTACCAGTGAATGTAAGCGAGATCGTCGGCTGTTGAACCTGCTCTGTTGCCGTTGCACCCCCTGGCAAGGCATCGAGCAACCGAACATCCAGCCGATCGAGCGGTGCAGAGGATAAGGTACCCGAAGTACCGAAGCGGGACTGCAGCGCTAGGGTCCGTCTCTTAGATATGCCGCCTGCTTTGGTGTCTGTGGAAGACCGTTTAAGTGGTGGTCCATTCTTGGTAGAACTCCCCCTTTCATCGGTCGCAGTGTTTTCTTTATCGCGGGATTTTTTAGAGAGGATTGACATCGATTGGCGGACATGCTCATCTGGGGAGACAGTATTGGATGGCCGCGGATCGAGTGGACTTCCTTCCAAGGCGGCGTCTGCGAAGATGCTGAATGCGCCGTTGGCGCGATTGGATCGGCCGGGGCCCCGGAGGGCTAAGAGAGCTTCAAGACTCTTAGCGGTCAGGGAGGTAGGCTTGAGGGTATAACGGTGGTGGGGGAGGGAGAGGGCCTTGGGAATGGCGTCTCGCACCAGGCGCTGGAGACTGCGGGCGTCGGTTGCGATTGGGGAGTTGGGTGTATCGCGGCTAGCCTTGGATGCGGTCGGGGAAGAGGCGATGGATGTGTAAATGAATGGACAACTGTCTGGGAAAGCGACATAAATGATTCTGGCCGAGTCAGTGAGCGATTCGACCGCCTGGCGGGGGGCAAGTTGGTAAGGCGAGGTGGCTACGAAGACGCGGAGCACCGTGAGGGGGAGAGAAGTCGACCGGGCAAGGTGATAATGTGCTTTCACCAGGGGAGAAATTTGTTGCTGGAGGCTGCTCAGGAAGGTCGATGCATGAACACGCGGTATGCATGCGGAGAGGTCATTCGAGGGTGAGCTGTTGATGCGAGAGAGTTCTAGAGCTGTCCAGCGCAAACCTGCGGGGTGGTCGTCCATGTAGCGCAGGTCGACCATTGCCAATTGGCGTAGAGTAATGCCATGTCTCCAGTCACCTTCGAGGATCCGATCTATGACCTCACGCTTTCCTCCCTTTCGAAACTGCAGTTCCTGATAGGCGTTGCGAACACCGTTGATAGTGCGCTCGGCAGGATAGGGAAGGAGTCCTTCCTCGTTGCCATCCTCATCTCCTTCGGCGTCTTCGTCGACTTGAAGATACGGGGGAAATTGCCGCACATTGCTATCCTCGAGCCACTGGAAAACAAGGTCAAGTAAAGCCTGGCGAGTAAGCTTGCCAAACGTCTTGATAAGCGACGGGTTGGAAGACGGTATATGAAGGTTGTTAGGAAGACTGGCAGTTGTTGGTGCACGAATAGACTTGAACCGAGCCATTATGACTGGCGAAAGACTGTGGTATTAGATCTTCGGATTCAGATGCATGACCGCGGCGCGTAACCACGGCGATGATGGTGACCGGCCCCAAGTGTTTGCGCTCTGCGATCTCAACTTGGTCGCGACAAACAAGGATTGGATTCCTGGGGCACCAACAAACCAAGTCACGTGGCGATAAAGAACTTACCAACAGACATACTCCATAGTCCGCCAGAAGCGAGCTGCAACCGAGGTATGGGATAAGGAGAATGGCTACCTGAGCTTCATTACCGCTAACCGCAACGCAGACTATTGGCGTCTTTATGCCAAACAGCAAGGAAAATCAGGCCCGAAATCTGCATCACCTCGGGGTTATATTTGGCAGGGGAGGAAGCACGCTGGATTATTCTATAGTGTCTAAAAGAGCTGGACACCGCGGGATTAACTTTTCTTTCGTAAAACTGGACTCTTGCTTGGCTAGATCATATTAATTTACATATACCGCTAGTCTTTGCTCCAGGGGTCCTTAAGAAATGCTTCAGTCGGAATACTCTGGCATTGGCCTGCACATCGTTCTGCCACTTTACAGAAAGTCTCACTCAGTCCACAGCTCAGATACATTTACACGCTCCAACTACAGAACTCGGGAAAGATTAAAAATATCAACATCTCGTTTCCTCAAGGAGATGGGGCCAGACGAAACTAACATTATTAGCAAAGCCAACAAGGGTCTAAGTCAAACGAGCAGGCCTTGAATCATAATTTTTAGCGATGCAGAAATTCCACGGCTCCTAGACCTTGGTCGCCTGATTCACCTCGCTTGCAGGGGAATCAACATGAAGGGGCTATATTGAGATTAATCAAGCTTGCATAAAGCGGGTTGTTATCCACGAACCAAGGCCAATGTCAATGTTAGGAAGCAAGGCGGTTCTGGCATGGTGCGGGAATTTACTATTCAGTGCGCTTATGGCAGGTTCCCTGGCACCAGAGATTTTACATTCTATGTGTCGCTCCTTGAGATGCCGCTTCAGCCTGTCACTCCCCAATGCAACCGAATGCCTTTCATTACCCACTAAAGCTGCATTTGCATGGGACGTGGACATAGTTGGAGCCCTAGAAGGTATAGAGCAAGCCTGGTCTGCCGGGAAGGTACTTAGAAAGTACAGGACATGCACGCATGAGTCACTTGCCTAGAATTTGGGGGGGGGGAAATGGACAATTGAAGACCGTGCAAGATTCTTGTGCACAGATCTGCGAAAACCATGATTGAGGAATTGGAGATGCGCCATTGAGTGCGCGGCACGCAAACCAGCCTGAGCGGGCTATTTGACCCATGCTATGGCCCTGGATAAAGGAATGATGGGCCGCAACAGGACCCAGCGAGAACCCGCCACATTAGCCTGCCTGCCCCACATAAGACAACGAGGCTGAGATGTCTACATCTTTTGGTAAAGTAGAAGGCAGCAGCCAAGGCAAGAGCGATAGGTATGGAATTAGGACACTGGGGAAGTGCGATGGAAGGGGTAAGGAAGATAGGCGAGAAGAAGCGACGAGAACAATAATAGAATGGAGGGGAGGCACCGCTCGATTTGGACCGACGGTCATTAATCATCACGTGCCAGGCCTGGGCAACACCTGACTAGCATTGACAATGAATGTCAGTTGTGCAACTCCCACACCTTTCTTTTTTCCTGCTCTTCCTGCCTCTCAGTTCTTCGTCAACTTGGTTCCAAGCGCATTCAATTTGATCGTTGTGTTTTGCCCACGACGCTCCTCCGTCTTATCCCTGCCCCATTTCACCCAATCCATCGCCTTCCCCTCTTCCCCGGGTTCAGTCCACTCATTCTGCGGTGTTTATTTGATCGGGCAACAACAAGACCTCTACATTTCAATATCTGTGACCGCTAGAGGGAACGTGATAACTTGCGGCTTTTCATTCAATATCATAGCTGAAAAACGATTAAATCCTCATTCTCTGGAAGGGCCGAATAATGGCCACAACAGAGGGTCCCGCCAGGGCGCATGGTGCGCAAAGCAATATCCCCACCCCTTCCCCCCTCCTCCCATGTTCTGTTTCCCCTCCAACTGTCTAACGCACAATTTTGGCACAGATCGCAATGGACGTCGGCACCCTTTTTCCAGTTGGATGAAGCGACTTGCTAGTCTGAAACACTCGACCGATTCAGGTTCCAACCGTTGGTCTCACAAGCGCCATGCGATACCGAAACACAAGAACCGCAGTTCGAAGAACAACCCCTACCCGCTCTCTGGGAATACCACCGCTGCCAACCCTTATGGCGACTACGCGAGCGATGCCACCGCTTCGGAATTTAGCGCCGAAACTGATGGGCAGTCTGGCTCTCGAAGCGAACCCTCAATCGCATACTCCGGATACGAGCACCAGCTCCCAGCGACCAGTGCTAAATCTACCGCGCCGACTATATCTACGAACGGCGACACAGCTATATCGGACGCAGCATATTCGAAGGCAGGTACAATGGTTACAGCAGGAGGAGGCATCAGTTCACATGGTGGAGGCGAAGGAAGCACCTTCTCATCGCCTGCGCCGTCTGTCCGGTCACTGACCACCACTTTAACCACTGTTCAATCGGCGGCGCCATCGGGTCACCTCTACAATGCACACAATCACCATCAAGGTCTCTCTCACACCAACTCCCTCCAGAATCACGCAACGCAGCAGATCCAATTCACTCATCAGTTTCCTTCCTCGCCAGCCACGGCTGTCCCGCCCCACCTTACCCCTCACAGCCACTCAGTTACGTATAGCACCGCGACGGCCAACAATCTCCTTACCGATAACGCGTCGATTCTGACACTGGCGTCCTCATCCAAACGACGGCGCCGTAACTCACTCGATACCAACGCCTCCGTGCGCGCCTTAGCACCATCTTCGGTCTTTGGCGGCAGCCGGGAGAGCTTGCCTCTGAGCGTCCTCAGCGGCACAATTGGCGAGCAGCCGTCCAATACCCCCTCATTCAATGCTCCAGGCGTTCTCAATCGCCCTAGCTTGGTTGGGCTTGCAAGTGTTGAGCGCGCCAGCGTCTATTCCGCCTCAGGCGCTACTCCCTTGGCTGGAAATGCCGAGCGCGGTAATTTCTACAAAACCGCCACCACGGCCGGCGATGGTGCGGGCAGCATCAGTGCAGCCCAGTCACATAGCCGCCACGATAGCAATACAGCCAATCTCACCGGCGCCGGGATCAGTAATGCGTGGCCAGGCCCATCCCTACAGCAGCAGCAAACAGCCGTATCGGGGCGCATCAGCCGTCGCAGTTCAGGATGGGGTGAGATCAACGGCGACGAAAGTGACGAAGAAAAGATCATAGAAAGAAAACTCGGTGAAAATGAGCAAAGCCTGGCTGAGCCAGTGAACAGAAAGTCTGGTCAGTAGGCCGATGGGTTGTGCTAGAAGATTGGAAAATCCTTATGCCTCCATTATCTGGCCTTTTTCCATGAACTACTTTCCGCCACATGCTCTTTCTATCGTTTACACACCAGATGATCGCAACGAAGTTATGCAATGCCAGATAAGAGATTTTATGACAGTGACATATTGATTCCGAAGCTTGTTTCCTTTCTGTTTACATGCTCTGTATCCATTTCCAGCTCTACTTTGCCCGGGTAATGACTGATACGCGAAAGGGAAAAGGCCGGGCCCAGTGTATTCTGTACTTGAGGCGTCTCGGGAGTTAAAAAGTGGCGTCCCCCGGAACATTCATCTACTACCGGCTTATCTATTATTTTCAGGTTCCTTAAGCGACGTTCAAGATCGGGTCATGGGAGAAATTCTGAATTTATGGGCGGTTATCTGTTCTTCGTTGGCGGCTGTAAAGATTGAATCTATGTTCTTTTCATCAATCATTATTTGACTCGAGGGCGGGTGAATGCAACAGTAGAGCTTTGCTGCTCACGACTCTTAAAGAAGTATGCGGTTCATCACAACTGCGTTCAAGTGCTTTAGATCCACATACATCCAATTGATGCGATGCAGATTGTTGGACAGGGACCCGGCCCCCACTTGGACTGCATCCATTTATACTTAAGGCATTTTCGAGAACCAGAAAGCTCTAGAAGGTGAAGTGGAATATGATATATCATTGCTTCGGTATCATTCATTATCATACTATTATAAGAGGAGAAATCACAATGGACTAAGCCACCTGGGATTCGTACTGCAGAGGTCCGACTTAAGCAACTGGAATAGCACGCTGGCCTCCTGGCTAGCACACCCCTAGAACCGTTCTTGTCATAGACAGGCTCCGCATGCGCCAGACACTCTCCACACACGTACACCAGCCAATATTAACATGAAGCATCACAAGTAAAAAATGACTGAGATGGAGAATTCCTGGCAGAAAACGTGAAGATCTACAAGAGAAGAAGAGAAGAAAAAGAAGAGGGATGGAAGATTAGGAAGCGCTTGCACGCAGGCGGACAGAAGACGAAACAGAAGAAGCATTACTAGGCTGTGCCTACACCAATATTGGAGTCGGAACTACTCCGTTCGCTGTCCTTCTGTTGTGATGCAAGGAACTTCTGGAACATGATGGCGATATCGTTCTCTGACTTCTTGGCCTCTTCCGAGGTCTGCCCGTTCTTCTCTGTGATGAGGTTCTTCAGCCACTGGTTCTCCAATTCCAGGGCTGTGACGCGAGCCTCCAGCGCCGTGTTCTTCTCCGTGGTCTCCTTGACGGTTTTCTCGAGAGCCTGCTCGCGCATCTTCTTCTTCACACGAAAGCGGGCGCTGGCGGCGGTGTTGCGCCGGCGTTTATCTTCCTCCGCCGCAATACGGGCAACCTCTTCCACGCTCATATGTGGGGCCTTCTGGGTGTTCTTGCGCTTTGGGGCGGTGGTGGATGTGGAAGGAGCGTTGGTCGTAGCAGCGGTCGCAGCGGGAGAGGACATCGATGCCAATGACTGCGGAGAATGTTGCGAAGACGCCTGGCTAGGAGCGGGGTTCGCATTGAAAGGAGCGTTCGGCAAGGGCGGAAGGGCGGCGAACTGTTGGTTTCGAGGGGGCATAGGCTGCGCGTTGACGGCATTCGCATTGGAGGGAGGGATGTCGTTTACGTTGCCAAAGCCTTGAAATGGAAGTTAGTGAATGGTTCAGATGCTGTTTAATCTATCCCCGGAGAAGAGATGCTAGCGGTGAAAACAGCAGCTTTGATGTCAAGCAAACAAACCAAACCCCTCCGCCTCCGCGAAGTGGTGAGCCCAAGGCACCACCGCCCATCTGCAGCTTCCCATACAATATCACGTGATATTGCGCAATTGGTGGTGCGGCTCACGCTACCAATGCTATTGGCAAGACTAGTGCACGTTTTGCGATCGCGACACAGACGAAGGGATCTCATGCAGGTTGGGAGCCAATCAACGCACATGCGGATGATGTGCTTCACCTCGGCAGCGCAGCTGGTATAAAACCCGTGCTCGTGGTATGATCTTGGAGGGGCAAGATTGTTCCTGAAGCAGGGTATGGGAAAAGGATCAAATGCAAGACATGAGCATGGGTATGGGCGGGTCTGAACATGCGCTAACAGGCAAAGACACGACAACGATGGGTGAGTTGGCTCAATGCCTAGGGCTTTTGAAAACAGATGCAGAACGACTCTTTTCAAATGCAAAGCGCCTTAGGCTGATTTGCGGCAGCATATGCTCGACTCCATTATGAAAGTAGGCGGTAAAGAGAAGTTTCCCGACTCACCTCCCAAGAGATTCAAGAAGTCCATGTCGGAATTGGCATTTTGTGTGGCCTCCTTCTTCACCGTGGTCTCGTCTACCGAATCGAACGCAGGCAAGTTGATGTCGCCGAAATGATCAAAGTCGAAGAACTCAGTATTGGTAAAAAGAGAAAGATCGGCATCAAAATTATAGGAGTCCTGCTGTTGCTGCTGCACGGCCTGGTCATACGGTGATGGGATAGCGTTCAGATCTTCCAAGTATTGGGAGAAGTTCGGGGCCGGACGACCGTTGTATTCAGACATGATGGAAGAATGAGGATGGTCGGCCCTCTGTGTTCCTCAAGACTATCGAGCAGCGGGAATGGTGTAGGTCAATCAAGAGGACGATACCGGTCGGTGGATTATCGTAGAGCCATGCAATGAATGACTCCGGGTTATCCGATACCGATGAGGGAACCCCTCCAGATTATTCTGTAAATTCAATCCGATCGAAGTGGAAGGGCTAAGAATCGCGAAATAGAGTCGAGAAAATTGGTGGTCGCGGTTAGTTGTCGAGGATGGGTTGTCGATGGTGGGATTGTCTGGGGAAGAAAGAGAAAGACGAAGAAGGCGAGCGAGTGAGTGAGCGAAACGGCGGAGGGTTGAATCCAACCAAAAGTGGGACACGCGGGAGGCCGAAAATGGGCACTGGCCACTGGGCAGGGCAATTTGCGGCGGGGGTGGATTATGATTATTAAGGCACGTATCAATGAAATCAGCGCGGCAACTTGAAAATGATTCATAACACAAGTGACTAACAACCACTCACTTCGCTAATATCAAGAGTGGGTGATTCCGGGACTTCCTGATCTTCGAGCCGAGCTCGGACCTCTTTTGCTTGTATGTAGTATAAAAGCGGCTTCAGGAGAAGAGATAAGGGCAAGATGGCCGAGTGGTTAAGGCGGGAGTCTTAAGTTGTTAAGTCATCTCCTGACGTGAGTCGCACGGGTTCGAACCCCGTTCTTGCCAATTTCTTTTTCTCTCGGAGCCTCCGAGAGGCACCTGCGAGTCACATGCATGGCTTCTACTTGTTTGATTCACATCAGCAGAGAAACAAATAATTGGTAAGCGCAGATGAACATCGATCGCTTATCATCACGTGATGAACGACATCATCTCGTCGCTGTTGCCTCTCTTTTTCTCTATCTCTTCAAACACAAGCCTGCTCTCTGTTTCTTTTTCTTCTCTGCACTGCCTGGATTCTACTGGGCTGGCCCAAAGATGACCGCTCCAGTCTAGCAGAGGATACTGCCAACATGATTACTTCCAGGTGATTGCTCGCGATCTCCAACGAAGGCCTTTCTGTCGGCAAGGCAAGCGGGGCGGGCTACTCGATTAGTGAAACATGCTGGTCTACGTAGCTGCTTGCTGCAATGAACACCAATGACCGGACGATTCAGCCCTTGCCACCGGCTGTGGTGTCGAAAATAAAGTCTTCGACATCCATTACCAGTCTCAAGGGTGTGATTATCGAGTTGATCAAGAATGCCTTGGATGCAAGTGCTCGTACAGTCTATGTCACCGTCGATTTTCCCCGCGGAGGCTGCATCGTGGAGGATGACGGAGATGGCATTCCGCCCGTTGAGTTCCACCCAAGTGGTGGGTTAGGCAAGGCGCATCGTATGTTAGACATCGCTTTTGCAGTCTTTGTACTTATTTGAAGTACAGATACTTCACAGCTTTGCGCAGAACGAGTTGTGTACGGTCATAATGGGTCATTTTTGGCCTCCTTATCCGCCTTGTCGATGTTGACCATAACATCACGTCATTTTCGGCATACTAGCACAAATACTATTGCATTTCACCATGCCACCCCAGTCGTCCGGTTAACCCCAGCCCCGGCATATCATGAACTTAGGTTTAGCGCTCATGGCACAAGTGTTACAGTCAACGATCTGTTTGGCAACATGCCAGTACGAGTAAAGAGTCGTGCGTTGGCTCTACAGAAGTCCGATGAAGTGGACCGGCAATGGGATGACCTGAAGCAGCTACTCGTAGCGCTTATGATAGCGAACAATCAACTAGCGAAGCTTGTGATCATGGACGCTAATAAGGAAAAGAAACACTGCTTATATCCGAAGAACGGAGGCCATGAAACAGGTGTGATGTTGGACCTCCAACGCATCAACTCTATTTTAAATCAAGCCTGTCTGGTGGATGCCAGAGGTTTTGAGCACTGGGATGTCGTGTCGGCCAGTGTTTCGGGCTTTCGAATCCAAGTTGCTATATCATGCATTCCCAGTCCCACAAAGAAGGTCCAGTTTGTCTCTCTGGGTACAACCCCCCTACTACCGTCTAGTAGTGCCAACATATTCTACACTGAGGTTAACCGTCTCTTCGCGTTATCCGACTTCGGTGCTGCGAAAATTTCACTGCCTCAGTCAGTGAAAGATAGAGCAGCTGTGGATAGCTATGGGACGCTAATGGAGTCTAGTTCCAAGGTGTCTGCCAAATGGCCCATGTTCTACATACGCATCATTACTCAGCATCGTACCGATCTCGATGGTGATACTCAAGGTGTTCCTGAGTCAGACCAAACCGTCCAGCGTATCTTAGATGTCCTTGGAGCAATGCTGAACGAATTTCTCAGTCAGCGGGGCTTACGACCGCGCGCCCCAGCTAGAAAAAGAAAGATCGAGGCAACGGTGGATGCTGTGAAGCCCGACGAATCTGAAGCCGAACGCTCAGATACAAGTGACATCACGGAAAAGATTTCGAACCGTCATATAAAGACACCTAATCTACGACGAACGCCAACCGTCAGTCACCACTTCGGAGGCTGGTCCCGAATCAAGAGCGCCAGCACCAATCTGAAAAATCATAGTGCAAATTTGGCATCCAAACCCACGATCGCAATCAATCGAAACCTACCACAGAGGTCAGCGCTACCACCTGAAGTAGCTCCCGGTGATGAAGGAGTTGCACAACGTTTTAGGAAACAAAACCACTACGCGGCCTGCAATGAGACTAACCCAAGCGACAAAAACTCTGACCAAATCATCCCCTGGACTGACCCTTACACGGGTCGGGGCCACTTGATCAACTCCCGGACCGGTCAATCCATTGGGGCCGAGTCTTCAGCCCTTTCCTTACGGCCGCGGTCCACCGGGTCCTTCTTGACGAAGCGAAGTATCAAAGGCCAAGATCGACCCAGATCCTCCATCTTGCCGCGGGCCCGAAATACCTGGGTCGAGAATCTCCTGGGTGATTGGAAAAGCCCAATATTTGGCCGTCCTGAACGACCCATCGGCGCCCTCGACACTGAGGCGAGCCTCCGAACAGATACTCCCATTACTCTTCAATCACACAACTTCGGAATGTCTAAATACCGTGGTAAACTTCGCAAGCATGATCTTTTCAATTGTCAAATTATCGCACAAGTCGACAGGAAATTTATTCTCGCCGAAGTTCGACCTTCCTCTTCGAACCCTAACAGCACCCTGATTCTGATTGATCAACATGCTGCCGACGAACGCTGTCGCGTCGAGGCGCTTCTAGCTTCCTTTCTCCCCACTAAGCTTACAGACGCCCCCCCGGCTGTCAGACTCGCGGATCCGATCATATTCGAAATTCCACCCACGGAGACCTCGATATTCAGAAGGTACCAACAGTTCTATAGAGGGTGGGGGGTAGACTATTCGATTGAACAAGGCCCCAAAGATGCGACCGCCTTCGTCTTCGTGAGGGCACTGCCCACGCTCATTGCAGAGCGGTGTCGTACGGAGCCGGAGCTGGCCACGGAGTTGATCCGTGAGGACATTTGGCAACGTGAGGAGAGCCGTCGTGGCTTGGGTCTTCGCAAGGATGAGAACCTGGGCATATCTCGTTCAAGTACCGGGCAAGGGACTCGCGACGACGCCACCAGCAGCAGCAGCAGCAGCAGCATCGGCAGTAGTATCGTTGCTAGCAAGAGCAGCTGGGTCAGTCGCCTAGACGGCTGTCCCCGGGGCATTGTCGACCTGCTCAATTCGCGCGCTTGCCGCTCGGCAATCATGTTCAATGACATCTTGAGCGTGGAGGATTGCCGAAGCCTGGTGTGCCGACTGGCAAATTGTACGTTTCCATTTCAGTGTGCGCACGGAAGACCATCTATGATACCCATATTGGATATCAAATCATCCATTTCACCAGGCTTGGCTTCGGACCTGGACTGGGACCGAACAGACGAGTATACTTGCGACGAGACATTCGATGGTGGCAATTTCACAGATGCGTATAAGCGTTGGCAATGCATTACATCAGAGCTTCTTTGGGAGAAGTCGAGCTTACGGCTGTAGCTAGACAGTATACATCTGCAACATGAGAATTAACCAACTTAAGATCACAAGTGACCGTGCATTAATTTAGGGGCCAGGTTGCATTAGCCGTGAGCCTAATATGTGCAAGATAAATGATACAGCCCTTGGTTCCCCGTCCTTGTGCCATCCCAATCCAAAAATACCCGGTCCATCCAATTTCCAGTCCAATGCGAGTATCAATCCCTATATCCATATCCAGAGCCCGACCAAACCGTACAGTTGAATGTAGTGCCATCGAGACCGGACACTGCGCCAATCCCTATGAATAGAACGTTCAACGAAGACAACAAAATAAGTAAGTGGTGTCAATAATAACACAGTCCCTCATGGCCAGCAGAATGCAATGCTCCGTTGAAATCGAGGGCACATTATGAAGTTTCATGCTCATTAATACACCATCTCAAGTAAGCAAACATGAGGAAAGAAAGTATGAATCAGGCAGATGTTCACCCTGTCTGAACGTTAGGTAACCTGTATAAATAGTCCGAATAAAATGGGTATTGTTGTTTTGTATGTGCCATCCATGTACACCGAACGATCGCAGTGTGATATGCTGCATTTCCCCTATTCGACGACGAGAGAAACCCCATCAGTAATTGAATCGCGCGTGCCACATCGGAGTGGTGCAGAGGGGGCCGAAAAATGAAAACAGAATTATGAGGTATCCACAATGAGAGGGCGAAAGATAATGACAATGTCGAAGATAAAGAAGTAAAGAAGAGTAAGGTGGTAAGTCCGTGCCAACATGAATTGAAAAGGCTCGTAAATCGTAACTGGCTGCCGTCATGGCTGAAATTATCCAGATTCAGCCGTTTGTAGCTACCGATTTTGTTTTTGAGGGATGCGTCCATAATAGAAAATCAAATTTGTCCTTGGCATTCTCAAGAATGGAAGAGGAACTGGACTCTGTCTGCAAGGTGCGTTGCTGTTGAGGTGCCTCACGGGGTTCTAGGACGAGTGACCGACGATAAAACGTCTGTAGACTCTTTTCGCCGTTTGAACGAACCCGAACTAACTCGTTTTGCATCCAAGCCTGCAACTCTGGAACCTCAGTGAGACGGTATGGAATCTGGAAGCGTTGCAATTCGCTAATGATTTTCGCCGTCTTCATGTGCTTGTCAAAGTTGATCACGGCCATTTCCCCATCGTCCGTGGGCAGGGAACGGAGCGGCTGGTTACCGTGGTCGACGAATGTCAGGTCGGTCAGGTAGGTGCCGACAAACGGTAAACAAGGCGGTACATGATTCTGTAGTCGCTGCCGAAGTACAGCGTAGTTGCGCGAGACGTCGACAATCCCACGAAGAGACTCGAGTGTAGTCTTCGTCTTCTGGGATACAGCCTCCCAAGTCCGCTTGAGACGCGATATCATCGATGAGTTCAACGAGCAAATGATGGCCATCAAAGAGTCGTAGTTGTTCAGCTCCAAGCACTTGTTCGCAATCTTAACCCAATGCTTGATAATAGCCGCCCGCTTCTTCGGTTCCTCAAGCTGGAGTATCGAGTCTGCCACAAGGTGCGCCAAATCTGTCGACAAGGTTGACATGGCGCGAACATTGACCGCCAGAGAGGCAGACTTCTTCATCCACTCGGTGGCAAGCAACTCCTCGGGCAAGATAGCACAGAAGATCCGCGACTCTTTGATGGTGAATTGGCGGGCCAATTCCAGAGGGTCGAAATCGAGGATTGAGATGCTGCTTTCCCCTGTCTTCCACTGCTTCAACAGACCCAGCTCCTTCTTTCCCAGGACGGGGGGGGGGAGGGGTGTATCAGGATGAATATATTGGGCGGTTGCTGTATTGGTCTTTCCTATCGAGGAAACCAGACGCGGCACAACCGGGCCATGAACCATGGAAACCTTCTCCGCAAGTTCCAGGAGACGCTTGCTGGCAGTAGGCAGGTTATACCTGAGGTTCGTGTTGGCAAAACCGATAATATAATCTAGGGCGGCGTTGTCACAATCATGCCGCCAGTGCGACTCAAGCCAGCCCTTGAAAACGTTGTATACGCGAAGACGAACTGGCCCTGCGGCGTGGGGGGTGTCACCAATGTAGTTGAACCGATCAACTAAGGTTTCAGCGAACTCCAAAGGCGACGCGAATAAGCGGAAGGTCAGATAGAACGTCGAAACGAACATGGCATCCGGGGTTGATTGATGAGCTGTGAGCTTCTCGACGAGAGCACGAAGGCTGCCGCCCATCACCTGACCGTCTTTGAAGATTAGTTCGTGAGCGTAGGTTCGCTCGAGAACGTTGGCCTCAGTTTCTTCATGCTCTTCGGCCAGTGTGGAATGGCTCACGCTGCCCCTCAAGTGAGGGATCTGGTAGCTGTTCCCGATATCTGGCGAAGTAGCTCGGGTCGACGTCTGTGAGACGCCGCTCATTTCTGAATCCCGAAGGCGACTATGGAACGTGAAGCTACTTCCATTGCTTGTTACCCCACGGCCAAACGAATCACTCGCCTCGGACTTAGGCTGACTGTTCCGGTGTTCAAAAGATTGCGTATCATGGGAAGAGAATGAGAGTTTATCCAAACTCGTTGAATGGATATTTGTGGACTGGAAGGAGGAAATCTCGGTGTTAGCGGTGGCTGGGGTGATAGCTCCACCACGCGATTGGAAAGAAGAAGGGGTGCTGTCATCAGTCAGTGCCGGAGGGGAGGACGAGTAACCAGCATCAGTCAAATTAGGGATCTGAAGAGGGGGAGGCAATCGAAGCGAGATATCCTGCGGGCGGGATGAGTCACCGTCGAAAGTGCCCTTCTGCGGCGGTTGCGGGGTCAGGTTCAGGTCCGGCAGCATTATCGCCGCAGGGGCCACATCCTGGGGCATGGCCTCGAGCTCAAAGTCGCCACAATGTTCCAGCATCGAGCGCGCTTTGGCCAGGCAATTCCCCGCCGCGCGGACACAGTCCGTGGCGGCGTCCACCAAGCGCTTGCCCTCATCGGGCAAAAACACTAGCTCATCGTCAGGGGAATGAGGTGGGCGGAAGGCGTCGCGCGCAGCGTACACTAATTCGGAAAGTCGTTCGTACATGGCGTCTCTGGCCTGTTCCAACAACCCACTGCCTTGTGGGTCATGCTCACAGGCGGCCTCAATGACCGTCAGTAGAGCCCGGCACGAGCGCACGGACTGCTCTGTGGTCACCACTAGTTCCGTCGATGACCGCGACTGAAGATGCAGCCCAATGAAAGAGCCCAACACGCCAAGAAAGGCGTCGTATGACGAGTTCAGTCGCTCCGACGCTAAGTTAGGATTCCGGCCAGCGGCAGCGGGTCCCGAGTAAGATACTCGGTGGGATATGGAAATCCGCTTAGTGGCCACCGACACAGATCGCACTGGTTGCGCATCTTCCATGCAAGTCGATGCCCGACTCATATCTAATCGGCTCCGGTTAAGCAGTCTCGATTCGTTTCGCTCAGTCTCCGCTTCTGACGGTGTTCTTTCCGTTATGGATTGTGCCTCGGTGAATGTCCGCCCCGAGAGGTCGTAGTGCGTTGAGTGTTGCTCGAGTTCGGCGATCGTCCTACTCAATCCAACCTCTTCATTCCACACATCGAGGAAGCGAACCCCGCGAGTCACAATGCGGAAAGCCTTGAGCAGCATCTCATCCACCAAGTAGTCGATATCATCCTGCATAACATTCTTCTGAGCGATTTCCTGGAACTTTTTGGTGGTCCGGACCAAGGACGACAAATCCGCCAGCAATCCCTTGCGGTTCCTGCGCAAACCGTCATGATTTGTCACCAGCATGCAATCGCGGGTGAGGCATTCGGATTTTTGCTTGAGCTCTGTCAGCCATGAGGGGAGTCTCGATTTGCATAGCAGCAACCTACCAAGAGATAACGGACACCAGCGATCAAGCCTCGTACTAGGTCTTGATTGCCCGTATCGTTTACAACAAACCCACACTCACCTCGGATGATGTCCCAGAAGTCGGTCAACGCCTTGAGCAGTGGGCGCATTTGTTGTTGATCATACGCTTCACAATAGTTTGTGGGTAACCAGCCCCGGGCGCCTGTATCCAACAAGGTGCCATCGGCCCAGCCATTGGTGTGAACGGAATGTACAAGGATGATGTCGCCTTGGTCGAGCGGAAGGGTGACGGTTGATGGGGACACATTGCCCGAAGGGTGGTAAGGATAGAATGCGCGAAGATAGTTGTGAAAGACAATCCTTGGTGTTTCCGAACTGTCGTCTCCACCACTATAGGGCGTGAGAGGAGGGCTCATCTCGAGATGATGCTGAGCGGAGTAGGAACGGTTCATGTGGAAATTCGAGTGCCCTTTTTCAATTTTCAAGGGTGCAATATGTCGTTTGGTTGATTCCATCGAGTCCATTTTTCGTCGTGCCACGCTTTGCAGCGAGTGTCAATGCCTCTTCGAGCTTGAGGAGGCTTGGCCAGACGCAAAGGTCACTGCCCAACTCTTAAGCGAGTGAAGCGATAGTGAGCATTCTCAAATCGAGTCGAATATAGTTTGCAGTAGAGAAGAGTCCGTCGAAGAACGGATTAAAGAACAGATCGCCCCAGCGTATAAACCAAGCGAATGATCTAAGGATAACAACTGTGCTAGAAAGGCTATTGTAATGGAAATCTGTCAAAGACGTTAGTTCGACAGCGCAGGGTGCGAGACTTCCACCCAAGTCAATCGTGGCGGCGTGCTCTCCGGGAAAGGGCTGGCAGGAGTGTTTGGAGGATGTTTGGGAGGGGATGGGTGGTTCTGCATATCTCCCGGAGAATGCCCGATTTCTGGGAAGAAGCCTTGAAAGAATGCTGGGGAAGGGCAACCGGTTGCTAACGCACCTGCGACGCGATCTCAGAGAACGAAGGATCCAGATAAAGGAGCGTGAGTCTAATGATATAATAGGAGCAATTGTTGGCAGGGAGAAGTTGTCGGGGGTGTCAGTAGTTAACCTCGAGACACGTTCCTTGATGCCGGATCAGAAACGAGGAGCGATGTTGCGCACGAGGTCGGGAAATTGGTAGGGACAACAAACAACCGGTCCCAAACAAGGAAAAGGTAGGGCGAGCAACGGCCACAGGCACCCAAGTCCTCAGTTGGAGAAGCCTGTCTTTTTGTCGCAGGGACCAGCACGCAACGAGGGTCGAAGTGGTGAGTTTCCAAAGCAAGGACCACGATGCGACCCCGGGGTGGGCAGGGAAAGCTGAACAGGGCCGCTTGGGTGCGTTCGAACGAGAGGATAACCCGGACAACGAATGAGGAGCGTTCACTTTCTTCACAGTGAGGGCGATGAACAGCGAGTGCAATGGCAATGACGACAGGTGCGAGCGCGAATGTTTCGGGCGGATTGGACGAGGAGGTACGCAAGGGCCGTGTCGAAACTAAGACAGGACGGAAGGGCCAGTACCTTAGTACCGTCGAAAGGGTGGGAATGAATGCAATGTAGACTGTGACTCCTGGAGATATAGTTTGGGTATCCCGTCGCTTCTTCCGATTGCCACCGGCAGCAATGAATGAATGATCCCAATTTCCACGGCAGTGGTCGCGGGACCACTGAATAATAATGATAGTGTTCGGCACAGAGATAACCCAGTATAGTAATACAGTCAAACAAAACTTGATTGCCAAGAGAGCGAAGAGAAAGGGAGGTGGACAAAGGAAGCGAAAGAGGGAGGGAGTGGGAGAGAGAAGGAGAGAGCGTGTATGAAGATTAGTGTGTCGAGCGATATTGTTAGAAGAGAAGAGTCGGGAGAAGGAGGAGAAGGAGGTGGAGCCCAAAGTAGTAATTGAGGGACGGGGGGAAACTCGGGAGAGGACTCGGAGGGGGGAGAGAGGCAAAGCAAAGCAAAGCCAAGCACCGGGCCAGGAGTTCTCCAGACTTCAGACTAAGTCACTGTAGTGTAAGTCACTTGTAAGTGTCCTACAATTTAGTGGTGATTATTTTCTAGTTAGTCGAGTAGTTTAGTTGACGAGGTGACGGGGTCTAGAGAGTTCTAGGAAGGCGAGTAGTGGCCTCAAAGGTGGTTTATTCAGTATCCACAGAACCGGTGGATATTCCAGCAGTGCATCCCTGACTCATTCGGGATGTGGAGCAGGCGATCAGTTCCCCGTATGTGGGTTCTCTTGGGTAAGAGCAAAAGAACTGGAGTAAATGAATCGAATCTTCGTGTCTTGAGGTGAGAGTCACTACGCGGTTGGCAAACTCCCGATAATAAGTAATAGTAGTCCTGGGTGGTAAAGGCAAGAAAAATGGAGATAGACTGGAAGGAAGGATGAGTGAGTGAAGGATGAAGGATCGTGATAAGGATGAACCGTCCCGGCCTGTCAGAATGATCACTGTTAATATATTTCTTCCCTCACGTCGTAGCATGTCTCCAATTGAAGCGTTTCCCGTCGACTGTCTTTCCCCGGTTCGATTCTGGAGACAAGTTCTTTTTTGTTCTTCCCTGTCGATATGAGCATTTCGGTGTTCTTTGCTACCCATGTCACTTCGATTTTCAGGGACCTTTCTTATTTTTTCTTATTATCTCTTCCTAGGTTGATCTCCCATTTTGGTCGCCAAATGCAGCTAACCTTCTAGTACCGCCAAAACGGCTAGGATCTGCCCGCAGCTCTCCCATCACCACCCTGATATCATGGGATTCCGCTTATTGGTTTCATATGGGCTCAGGGCATACGGAATCCGATCCCGATGCTTGTGCTCAAGTTGTTACTGCCTGGGATTATTTGCTCCAACCTGACGATGCGACAAGTTGACTGTGGCGAGTCTTTCTAAAGGGGGTGGGTGGATTGCCTGATCCAACATTAAGCTGCCGGATTGGAGCGCGGAAGAAAGAGTGGCCGGACTAAGTCATCACCTCCTTTAAGTTTGTACCTACTCGAACTAAATAACAATGCATTTTCTCAACCATGAAAAACGGTCGCTGTCGTTACTAACTAGTGGTTAGTCAGTTTTAGTCAGGGTGATAGGAGTACTAAGGTACTGGACTAACTACAATCACTAGAATTGTAGCCAGAGAGCTCCACAGGGCGAACGGCCCAGGAGAGACAAAAGAAAAAGGATGAGAAGGAAATAGAAATAAAAACCAAAATAACATAGGGCCGGCCCATCTTTCTGACCATTCAGCGATCAGAACACATATTAATGTTAATATCACGGGCAGCGGTTGATTGCTCCCTTTCTTGGGTGCTGGATGCAGTCAGCTAAACCGGTTTTGCCTTGTCCCACCGAGCGAGAAAGTGTGCAATGACCTGCATGGATGCCGACAGGGGAGGAGAGGGGGGGGTTTTTTCTCGAGTGGTACTTTTGAAGAGTGGGGAAGGAGATTCGGGCCAGGCATCTTTTTTCTTTTGTTCGTCCGCCGCTTTCTCTCTTTAGTGTCGGCCAGATAACCTCTTAGAATCGAAAGTTTTGGGGTTCTCAATTCCCCTGTCGAGATGGTAATCTCAAGAAATCATGGCTGGTTCTCTGGCAGATGCTTATGCTGTCGCAACCTTTGATCCTTCTCCATTCTAAACTGCCTCGGGCGTAGTTGCCTCAAGGGCCAAGCCACTAAGCCCTTCATGGTGGCGAGGCCACGCCGATTCCCCTCACGTTGTATATACGTACGCAATTTCACTGAGGATCTCCCAGCCATCCGGCTGATCCTCTAGGCCGCCTTCCACCCAAAGTCCACGATTATTGTTGCTGTGAGTGAGTTGAACTGTATGGTATTTGAAGGTAATGTTGGGAAGATAGCTCCAAATCCTCCATGTTCGATAGGACCGAAAATTTGGGGTTTTGACCCAAGAAGCGCGATCGGCAACACAGTCTCCAAGTCATTGGGACACTCCTTCTCACGGGTACTTTGGACAGGTATCCGATGCACCGCTAATTGTCCGGCTTACATTCATTCCAGTAGATCTAGTTTAAGCTCTGGAATTTTCTTATCGCGTGGTCTCCCGTACTTCTCGCCTGATGGCGCCGCTGTGTTCTTGTAATTCTCCGTAAATTTCATGTTTGTTCTTTGTTCGTTGTGATGAGTTCAGTAAGCAAATATCATGAGATGATAGCTCCTCATCAATACTAGCAAGCAAAATCAAGATCAACCACACACATTAAGTTCTGGTGGCAATGTCAATCTTAGGCAGTGTTCCAATATCTTACAGTTTGACGGGCACGAGAACCCTAATGGCCAGGGAGTACTCCGCACAGCATATAAGATCCTGCTCCGGTTCTTCGCCGAGAAAGCACCGCGTACGAGAAACCTTTATCGCTTGGCTATTCGGGCAGGACATCCGCCAATTGAGGAAACTTGGAAATAGAGCTCGCAGCTGCAGATTTATATCAATCAGAAAGCATGATTCATACGTCAGTTGGGCACCAAGTGACAGGTCGCATGTCACAGACCCGAGGGAAGGGAAGGATGCTACCATGTTTAGGCCAAGGACGTGACAATGGCAACATTTTTGGAAGCTGATTGAGGTCACCAATTGTATCGCGGCTGTTCCACGAAAGAGAGACCGACATTTTGTAGACATAGACTGCCGGTCTATGACACAATCGAGCAAACGCCGAGCATGATGACCATGCTAATGATCAATACAAAAGAACTGCGATCTCTCTCGCTTCAAGGTAGAGCAGTTAATGCTATCAAGGACACTCAAGCTAAGGAATCGATCCTGCCCCCGTTCTAGAGCATGACCAACTGGTTAGGCCTCACATGGTGTGTCCAATGGAATACCATGTGGTCTCCCGTACCTGCATAGTGACCTTGTCTAGGGTGCAGCTAGCTACGAAGCATGATGTACCCCGTACTACCTTGGTGTCTCGGCAGCAAAGGCCATTCTCGGAAAGAACGTACCACCTCCGTGTCTGCCACCTACTCCACGGAAGAGATTCGCACCCAGGTCTGATGCTGTGTTTCGTGTTCACCCGTACTTAGACACCCCGGATCGTCGGGGCCCATGGGTAATCGGCAATGCAAGGGGAACGGTCTGCTGAATATCAGATGGTATTTGAAATTCGAGCGCTACAATATATACTTCTCGCCGATATGACCTCTGAAGACGTTTGATAGTGAGCCTTGTGCCCGGGACCTCATCTCAGTAATCAGAACAAGTTCAGATTCATAATCTGAATCTAACGGATATGAATGCGATATCACATGGTCCTCAATCGGGTCTAGGGAAGTTAACCAGCATCGAGATAAAAATTGGACCGTCGACCCAGCTTACCGGGTTCAATAACAGACCGCATTGCTCAATTATTCATCAAAGCCGATCGACCTTATGCTGGCGACTTCTTTGTTCTCTTTCAGTGACGTGATTCGAATGTGAATAGTGTTGAACTCTAATGCCATGCGAAACGCCGTCTCCGTGGTCGGCCCGGCAATACCTGGGAACGTCACTTGTGTCCTGAGCCTGGGGCGTGGCTGACAGCTGATACCTATTTGGGAACTTTGTGTGACCTTCTCGCCTTTCCTTGACTCCAGGGACGTGGATATGAGGGTCGGATATCCTTGCGCTGCAAAATTCAAGCCCTTAAGCTCGGTTCCCATTCCCAGACCTGATCGCCATATTTCATTCCAGGACCTGCTGGATTGCGAGAAGTCGAGCAGCTCCCAAACACTTCAGGTACTCGGACCTTGCGTCGGCCGGCAAGAGTTGATAGTAACGTGAGCGGGCACAGGGGCTACATAATACCATACAGGGTAAGCTCCAAAAGAACAATTTCAGCTTTCCCATCCCAAGCAAAATAAATATCCCCGTGCTGGTAAGGTTCAGTCTTGGTAAGGGATAGATAATCCGAACGCCCATCAAACCTTACCAATAGTCAAAAGATATCCGTATTCGACCGATAACATGACAGGTCATAATTATCACCGCTCGTTTACATAGGCATCAATGGGACGCGGTTGGTAGGGGTTGTCAAAGCGTCTTTTTGGTTTTGTTTTGGACTGGGCTTTTTTTTTTGTTTTTTTGATATTTTTTCCCCTTTCGCAAGCAAGTGATATCGAAGAGCCAGGGAGATTCGATGACATCGGATTGTTTCTCCATCTGCGTCGAGTCCAGACCCAAGTGTAGTGCCAGGCTAAGTCTAAGATGCCGCTAAAGGATGATCTATACTCCAAGTGGAAAACACCAATAAATTTGGTGACAGTAGATCACAATCCTCCCAGACAAAGAGCTGCCCATCCAAAGAAGTAAGCAAGCCGACTGAATTTGTGGTCTTTCCGAGTCTAGGGACAACACGTGCTCTTTGTTGTATGCGGGACTAAGAATTAGAGGCCTGGAAACGACTAGCCTGAAAGCCAACGGCGAGGGTCAGTGCTGTCTGGTATTCTGAGCTACCACTCTCGGCCTCGGAGATGTGGATAGAGCCTTACACTCGATTACACAGTCAAGAGACTAATAGCTGCGATTGCTATTTCACGGCACTTTGCGCAGATCAGTCATAATGGTCCACTTCTGAGTGAACGGGGTTCGAGCCTCGGGCAGATAGATATCGATAGCTTATTCCGGGTTCTGAAACAGAGTCAAGGGGGGAAGCCGGGAAGCTCCACAGATCAGGCCGCTATGACTGAAACAGGATAGACCACAGATGAAAATTACTACATCAACGGTGGCATCGACGCACCGTGGCAGAGATTTCGCAGCCTGAGTGTCCGTTAGCTTCCGTTCAACACCCATCATGGCTCTTGCTAACGGACAGGGGAATGGGGGAACGGGATGTGCTGTCAGAGCGAATTACCGAGGCAGCTCCCTCCCCCACCGCGGAAGCTGAAGGCGTAGCAACACGGGACGGCGCGACATGGCGTAAGTGCTTCTCTTTGATCTCCCCTGAACTGGTGAAGTGATTGAGCGGTGGACTCGAGAAAAGAGAGAGAGAGACAGATACGTTGTCTAAGCCGTGTGGTTGGCCCGCGTTGTGCCGGTTGAGCACACCCAGTTAGACAAGGGCCTGTCTTTGCGCTGCTCCATTCCGCCTCATCTCGAACCCGCGAAAGATTCAGAATTCACGCGACAACGGTTAGGAGAGAGCAGGGGGAAGTCGAACGGACTCAGGGGTTCAAGGAGGGGGACAAACAAGGCAGGAATTTTCCACGACGGAGAAAGGGATTCAGGGAGCAAATTATCTGCCTGAAATTTAAGGGGTCAACACGTGTTGTCTGTCGCTTAAGTGCCCATGACTCCTCCAAACTGGCTTTGTCTGTCCCAAACCACCTACTGATATCATCTCATTCCTACTCGAAAATTCTTCGATCTGAGGAAGTTCACCAATATCACCACAATACCTGGTATGTTCTAGAGTACAGCGTACTAGAAAGATCGCCATTGGATGTGATCGCCCTGCCTCATAATCCACGCCGCCCACAATAGCCACAATAGGCGTGGGGCGCACTGTACCCTGAACCACTAATCCATTTAGTTGCTAACCTGCTAGTCACTAAACAGGATTTCCAGCATCGGCACCACGTTGGTTTGCCATCTGCGGAGCATGCTATCATAACCAGGTCTTCAAGCTTGGAGACCCAGATTCAGTGGCCTCCCTACTCCATCCACAGCGTGGAGCCGCTCCCGACCATGAGATCCATCTGCATCACGAACTATGGGTCTGCGTCTATCTCGAGTATTGGATCCAGCTTTTCAATGTATATGAAAACAGGTACGTGGAATCGAGACAACCAGGTCGCTAATGCATAACACAGCATATTGTCAATTTCTGCAACCGTGCCTTGGAAGAGGAGTATAGACGCACTCCTAAATCACGGCACATGGTGCTTGTGTTCAGCTTTAAGAAGATACAGATCAAAAAGATGCTCCTGAATCATTGGGGACATTGAGGACAAATACAGACGGGAGTGCTGGGAAGAGGTAGATCAATCTTCGCGCAATCAAAGCCCGGCTCTGTGAACTGAACGCATCGTCGGCAACAGGGTGGATAGGCGGTGGACCCCCATTATCAGCTAGTGCCGAATCGTACTCCATACAGGATGCCGAAGAAAAACAAATTAGTGATATACACGGACCAATACCTCGCTTGTATCTCCACTCAAGCTGTTCGCTCAATTTTGCACGAGCGTACGCACGACGTGAAGAATCAGTTCTAGCATGGGTTAAACAACGACTCGGATTTAAAGCTGGGTTCTGCAGGTTCATTTGGGTTTCACACCATCCAAAATGCCTCGATAGGCTATTCAGCCGAGCGATCGGCGTACGCTCTACGTCTGTGCTAGGATACTTCATTGTCAGCTGTCAGTTGTCTATGGTCGGTGTGGAGGGCGGACAAGGCAGGCTGGTCCAACGAGCGGAGGCCACGATATGCTGGCTTGTGATTGACCTGCTCTGATGAATATGATTTGAAGCAGGGTGCGATTGAAGTCATCGCCAACCAAGGCATACCTATATGCTTGAGATTGCGGTGAGAGATGTCAAGCATTGCAGTTGTGATTGGAGCCCTCGTCGTACGATAAACCCAGACAAGATGGCAATACTGCATGGCGGAATTCGGGACAGGACAGGGGAATGCAGCAGGACTACCAACCGCGGCTAGGTCTACGCTACCTGCAGCCTCAAAGCCAGAGAATCAGCTTGTCTAGCACAATGAGTGCCGAGACTGTCGGTAAATACTCCGTAATGTGGTGTCTCATTCCCCCCTCAAGCTATCGGAAGATGCTACCCAATGCAGAACAGTACTTGCCAGCTCTCGGAGGCTAGAAAAAAGACTAATGCAGCACTTGCATCGATGGCCCTGGCAAACAAGAGATAACCCGCATACGGCTAAACAGTGCGATTCAGCCCGCTAGTAAAGCCAATCGTGCAGACTCACTCGTGGAATAATCGCCCGCTTGAGAGCCTGAGGAGGTTGACAGCTGCCTTTTTCACGTGCGGTGTGACAGGAATGCAGAATGCATTATCACATCGGGACGGGGGCTTTTTGAGTACTTATGGTGATCTGCGTCTATGTGAATTGCAGTTGGCTGTCATACATAGGAACTGTTCTTAGGTAGCAATTCGTCGGTGGTTTGCCATTGTGCAGCATGCAGAAACTTGAAAGTATGCGCTAAACATGTTGCCACTTTTGGAGAGGCATGCACAATGCAATAAGGAATAATCACTTGTAACCATACTGGTTAATGTTTAGACCTCTAGACCCCTTAAAGCAAACATAAAGGGATCATTCTGGTTTGAATTTACCCTCGCTCTCATTTCTACGCGTCTTAAGTCATCGGGAAGCATCACGATAACCTGGGACGCGTCCTCACGAGTGAGCCTGAGATTCTCACTAACCTGTTGACATTCCAAGGCTTCAGTTGCCACTGTAGGCCGACCGTCTCAAGTCTAGAGTGGCCATGACATTTATAGCAGCATAGACAATTCAAATCTAGGAGGCAAACGCGTGTACTGTACCAAAGTGTAATGCCCTTCTTTCGGCGCCAAGGTCAGAAACACCAGCGAATTTCATACATACCTCCCAACCTGCCCCTCAATGCCATACTCCCTTGGTAGAAATAAAACCCCCACCACCTTTGAACCTTCATCCCTTTCCGCCTACCGGTTGTAGGAAGCAGTACTTAGCATAAGTAGAGTCCATAGTACACCTTGTATCTATATCCTTTCTTCCAATCCGGCGACAACCACAGCTATCATCCCTATCTGATCAAGGGTCTTACCGACATCTCCTTCTCTTCCACATCACATCCCTCGTCTACCACTAGAACAAAAATGGACGTCTCTCTCACCTCCCTGATCATCTCTGTTCTTGCCCTCACTCTCGCATCGACGGTCGTCGCGCTCCCTCTCCCGGAATTCCTTCCCTGGGCGCTCGTGGACACCTTGATGCCAGGCTCAGGGATTCCCCAAGCGGTGGAGAAGTTGGGAACAGGATTCCAGTAACAAGCTCTAAGTATAAAGAAAGAGGACGTGAGTGATGCCCTCAATTCCCTCTAGGATGTGCATTATTCAGCTAAGAGGCCCCGTGTCTACGACTAGGATGTTGAGAACATCGCTGGGACTCTTCTCCAAGGCCAATGACTATTGACCGCTTGGACTGGCACGGACATCGCCACCGAGAACGGAGCCCACGATTAGCCCGGAATTAAAATGGCTGATCAGGATCCGATGATGCACAGGGGAAAACCGCCAGGATATCTCTGCAGTCCAGATATACAGGGAATATGACGTCTTGAAGCAAAACGTGGAATCAGGAGTCCAAGGACAATGTCGGTCGCTCTTAAATGTACTCGACAGGACAGAATTGGGCGTTAGTTGTATATCACAACTTGACTGATTGGATTGCGTCCAAGGATAGATGGTAAATGCGCGCCACTGTCCGGGCACACCTCGCTCCTTCCTAGTAATGAACAGGGCGGATGTTCGGGCAGTAAGCGATGTGAATTTTTCTACCATATACTGCCATGGCTCGGGACTTTGTTGGATCATTAAGTCAAATGTGCAGACAATGTAGTATTTTAAGTCCCAGCTGGAAAGGCATTATTGTCTGGAATTTCTTAGTGATGTTGTGCGAGAACTACGATCAGGCTCACCGGCCGGGGTGTCTCCTATAAAGCCATTGATCACTATACTAAGGTAGCGCGATCTAGGGGCTTTCCCCATCCTAGCATATGTATATTTGTAAGTGCGAGGCACAGTTGTCGGGCTTGATTGTATCGCCAGCTTGGTTCAATATGTATCATACACTGTGACTGGGGCCCGAGCATGCATCCCTCAGTGTTCTTAGTCAATCACAACATACAGACACAAGATCAAAACAACCCTTCCATGTCCAAGTCCAGAAACTCCGGATTTCCAACCGCCATATCGGCAGCGTTCAACACGTCATCGATACTTGTATCCAGTCCACTTGACGACTCAAGTCCCATACCGCCCATGCTTTGACCTCCATCCATCCCTACTGCAGCTGCAGCGGCCACATTGTTCAACATGCGATCCAGATTTGTCGTGTCATCACCACCGACACCATGTCCAGATGCTCCTGGTGGATCGAGATCCATCTGTCCAGGACCTCCAACTCCCAGCTGCATGTTTTGAATAATATTGTTCATATCGAGGTTCGGCACCTGGGACGGTGGGGTCATCAATGCATTCACCCGGCGGTATAACCTGACTATGACTTCGGCGCGCAAAGGATCCTTTTCCGAGATCTTCGGGATATTGTCATGAAGAAGGAGGAGGGCACTCCTAAGGGTGAGGATTGGACATCGCGGGAAGGATTCCTTACTAGGATCTAAGGGCTGGTGTGAGTGATTGTTCTGGTCGATTGCAAAGTACTCGGCCATAGGCGCGCATATCAGCGTCGCTGCAATGTCCAGGGCTGTATCACCGCTCCCAGTTTCGGTCTGCAGCTTCAATTCTTCGACCAAAGCAGCTAGGACGCGCGTGGACCCAAAAAGCAGAATGCTGGTTACAAGTTGTCGATGCGTGTAAGAGTGCGGTGCCACGCTGACGTCGGGACTGGTACTCCACAACACTAGGGATTGGAAAGTACTTCGGAGGCTGCCTAAAAGCCCCCCAGGAGAGTGCGAGGTCCACGCGTCTAGCTCACTCCGGTGACAGCTGCCACTCCGCTGGAAAGTCAGGCATGGCTCGAGGGCATCAAGGATCGGCTTGATATCCGTACGGGACGGGTGCCGGGTACGGACGTCCTTTAATTGTTCTTCCAGGCCCCGCGCAGTCATGTTCAAGACGGTGCGATGTATCTCTCTGGCTTCACCTGATATCGAGGTAGGATTAACAAGTGAGTGTAAGGCCTTCAGTGGGATCGATGGGTCGCTTTCCGTTTCCCAGATGTGGTTGCCCAGCCACGTCAAGGCCAGGACAAGTGACGGGAGAAGAAAAGGTTCCAAAAGATCTACTCTCTGTCAGTTCAGGGCAAAGCATAGACCCAGGGGGAGAGAACATTACATTCGAATCCGCCTTTGAGTGTGTCGAATTCCAATTTGCCCGCTTCGCATGCTCCAAGACTTTGGCTGAACAAAGTAGCAACAAGAAAATAGAATTCTTGTGGACTACACGCCGACATCGTTTCTTCACTAATGCCTTCAGCGATAAACAAAGCCGTAATCCATGCCCCCAAGTTCTTGTTTTGCTTGTCGCTGAGAACATCCAGTTTCTGGCTGCATGAACCACTCTTGAGAATTCGCAGAACGAATGAATCGCTGCCGCCAAGCCCAAGATCCTGTGCTCGCAAATCATAACGAAATGTGAACGCTAGCACTAACAGTAAGATGCTACCAAATTCGTCGTATACTGGCTGACTTTCTCCTTGGTCTTCGTCCCAATGCCAGGCATCCAGCAAGGAACACAACGGCTGCAGCACCTGCTTTGTGCTTCGAAACAAGAGGACGACATCCATAGCCTGGGGCCGACGAGAGAGCGAATTGCAAATATTCTTCAATGTCATCGTCTCCTTCTGAATGCAAAGATTGTGCATGACCTGGGCATGTCAGCTGGCCTTCTATCGCCTCCGGTTTCGAAAGGGGTCTGTACCTCGGTGATTGCACCAACGATTGCACCTGCATTTCCCTCCAGAGACTCTATTTCACCTATCAACTGCTCTGCTCGTTCCGGATTGGCGTTAATCTGGTTGACAAGATCATCTTTGTTGTACGGGCCACCAACAGGGAGCGTCTGCATAGGGTTCTCTCCCAGAAGTCGCTCAATGCTGGATTCAGGAATCAATTTGTGCGAGGCACAAGCGAACAGAAATTCCTGCCTCACGTCGGAAAGTGCGGTATTGCTCTGCATGGCAAACATTTGGGAGAAGGATGGAAACGTATTCGGATCCAGCCGGCCCAGGGCATGACTGATACACAGTTCCATAGGCAGAGTCACCATAGATGCTGCGAGCATGGCTGCGAAGAATGCAGGTAGCTTGTTCACGAGGAATGACCGGAAAAGAAACATTGACCGGCTTGATTCACTACGGTAGCTTGCATTCGAAAGCACGTCAAAAGCGGCAGTAATTGTTTCCTCAATAAGCACCTCATAGTGACCCTGTTGCCATTAGCTTAGATTCATGGATGTGGCTCGATCAATGCACACTTACTCCATATCTGTTAGACAAGTAATTGAGGAGTATGCTGTCGTCGACCAAAGGACGTCCTACAAGCTGGGCAATAATCAGCGAACGAAGCGCAATCACGGTCATTTAATATGTACCATTGCATTTATGTAGACGAAGAGACCAGCTCTCGAGTTGATCACGGGACCATCCATAACGGATGCTTCAAATTGAAGCGCATTGACATTGACATTGTCCATCATCGAGACATCCAATGGCTTTGTAGGTGGCTCGCCATAAAGATTGAACTCTTTTTGCAAACCGTCAAGTCGATTGCGCAATGGTAGTGATACTTCAACACAAATGGGGAGATATGCCGACAAAGCCTGGCCCAATTTGACTTTTAACGCTGTCATGCTCCGTTAGTGCAGGCAATTTCCCATGTGAGCATTTGAGATCCGACATACCTTCTTGAGAGTCGGCCGAAAGGACCTCTAATCCTTTCGTAGTGCCCGACAAAGCAGCGAGTAAGATGCCAAGTGACTCGAAAAGCGAAACCGCATCTGGAGAACTAATTAAACCCGGAGTTTGATGACTGCCATTGGCGTGGTTGCTGTTCCAGGCCACGACAGCTTGGACCCAGTCGACAATAGCGTTGAAAATGGAGATCGCCTCTGAGAATGACTTAGGGACACTGCCCGTGGAGACAGACAGCATGGCATCCTGGACAACTCTGATGTCCGTCATCAGCGTATAGCATTGCCGATTCTTTTTGCCGGAAGAAGCCTCTGTTGACGTAGACTGAGGTTTGTCATGAATTGATGAGTACTTCAAAAGGGCATTCAGCACGGTCGAAGTCTGAACAAGGCCTATCTTGCACAGACAGTCTATGTACAGAGGGAGAAGCGGATCCCACTTAACTCCTGTGGCGAGCCGCGTCTCGAGCAGCACATCAAGCAGCAAAGCCTCCGAAATTGGGCAGCGCTGCAAGAGTAGCCGCGATAGGCTTTTGAACTCAGCCGCGTCGATTCGATGCAGCAAGCATCGGTGGAGGAAAACCCTCCATTGTTCGGAAGAAGTCATGTTCCAGATCGATATGCTTGATTCGCAGACGTAACGAGAACATAGCACTAATGCCAGGATAAGAACTTCAATTCAGGAGTATATTTTGATCACCCCAACATTGTTGTTCGGCATCTCTTTGTTTCATGGTGCGTGCTTGAATTGTTGATTCCGGAAGACAAGCTGCAATCATTGTTTGGACGACAGGTGTTTATCACGTGAAGTTATGTAATACTTCACGTGACTGGAAATTGGTCACTGCTCGATCCCGCACTCAACTACTGCCGAGAGTTGCGACGCACGGTATCAACAACACCAGTACACTTGCGAAGATATAACATACAGGATACTTAAGTTTCTTTGTTGATGTGCTACCATCAAAACCTCATGCGTAAGGGATGATGGCCACTGAGTAGTGCATATATCGGACTAAGATGGGTGCATCCGTTCTCATATATTGTCAGCGAAGGGGCGGAATTGCGTAAATCTGCAGGGCTTATGTTACCATGGAACCAGCAAAATGTGGTTCAAGAATTAGATAGAAGTACGTTGAGATGGACATAGTAGATCATGGGAGCAGCTTCAGGTCGGGACATGCCCGAAAGCGAGCAATGGCCGAGCAGGTAGGTCTGAGACACATGTAGCAACTCATAGTGTGAACGATACGAGAAATTCCTAATGGGTACAGAGTGCAAATGCTATCTATTGCTCAGGTATACTCATGGTGTTACGAGGAGCATTTAGAAACCCTGTACACAGAAATGTCTGGGATTTAGGAACTAGCATAGCAGGAGTATTGCTCAGCCGCAGAAATTTGCACGGCTGGTAGGCTCCCAGAGTATCTTATAGTATAGCTATATGACTCTTGTACACCTTTCCAGAACTACATTCAAAATTCCGACGCACGGTGTACTCAATTTGTCCAGTAACCATCGCGCTTCGCCGATCTCGCTTCAGAGACACACCGATGACGCCCCAGAGGGACTGAAATACAAAAGGATCAATACCATGACCCATAAAGAAGAGCCCATCCCCATAGAATATAACTGTACTACATAGATGGTACGCCTCGATTGGAGACAACGAGAAGGGGCAGACTGGATTTGGTAACAAAGGCCGGCATCGCGTCAGACATACCCACATCGCTGATGACGCGTCGAAACATGTTATAACATAAGAGAACATAGTCCAAGGCAGTCCCCTGAAAGCTGTCTCTCAAGAAGTGGGACAAAAAGGCCAATGCTAATTTATGTCTACATTTACACCACCAGGTTACTTTTGCAGCCAGGTAGGAAAGACAGGAATGCCATGGGCGGGACACACGTGCGCACATTGTTCATACTTCAACATTTCCGATCATTCGAAGTTTGGTTCGGAACCGAAGGTCTGCCGTCGGAAATGCCAAGACAAAAATTGTGGTAACTGTAAGACAGCTCGTGCAGCAAGATCACGAATATGACTATGTACCAGTTAAACAATAGCAACATAGATAGTCTAGGGGATGTAAGCTTACCACTCTCGATCTCAACTGAGACCGACTATCTCCTCTTCCCCACTTTCCTTTCGTAACGAGGAAGTGGTACCGAAAACAGATAATAAGCCTAAGGCTCGAGCCTCGATCCAAGTCAACGGAAGCCAATCATGAAAACCTATTGGATAATCATCGTCAGAGCTCACGAGCCGCAGGGCAAATGGCACTCAATGGTACCGCTCTAGTTTATGGTGGAGAGCTGGACCCCTGAGTCGAGGATCTTTCATTGCCATTAGCCGTTCAATAGATTCGGCACTCTGCGGTAAGAGCAGGACGGAATGTTTCAGGTCGGGTGCTTAGGGCATAAGCATAGACTTTCCGTGAAGCATTATTTGCGGAAGCAATGCCAATGGACCTCAACATCTCATCGAATTCTCCTCCGCCCGCTTGTGTCACTGAACTAGGTGCAATCGTTGACGTGTCCCACCAAGTTGATCAGATTACATGGCTCGCGTGTGATAGGCAAATATCTTGGCAGCCATAGACACGAACTTGGAATAGGTCTGTGGCCAGCCTGTCAGCATAGGAATGATCGTGCCCGAGTTCTTGCGTGCAGGCCAACCGGTCGTGAGTTTGTCTATGGCCCGTTTGTGATCGGACATTGGGCAGAATCTTCTAAGGACTCAATGTGATGGTTAAGGTGGAAAACAAGCTGAATAGGCAATTGGTACATCTGGAGTCGATGTATACGAAGCTGATATAAGCCGTAGTATAGATGAGCTATTTACATGGTGACAATAATGGCAAAAAATAAGAATGTTGTGAGCCATGTGCGCCTTGATACAGAACATAATCAAGTTCAATGGTGATGGTGAACTAAGATGCTAGAATATATCAGTGTATTCTTCCCCTCTTACAAGGCATGTTGCACTTTCGATCCCTGATGTTTATAATTGGTATTCCAACTCAAAACACTTTATTGGTGACCGTTCAGGTTGAGTTTCTTTGGCCTACCATAGCATGTCATCTCGGAGACATACTCTATCCGTATTAACCTTGTATCCATATTGTCAGAGCACTTAACTTCTACCTAGCTCCAACGAAGGGAATGCCTGAGTGTTCCGCCCATATCGACCTGACAATTTACACTATAGGTCTAGTCTCTTCGAAAAGGCTCACGGTTTGTCTTGCTGGGATACATGCACGTTGAAAGACAATGGTTGGCCCATAGATAAGAAAATCCTCATAACTTCGTCAAACATGTTACGTTCACAAGTGCTGTTCGAATCTGGCGTGTCTCAATAATGGCAAGTCTAATTGTGTCTCGAAGCTACTGACAATCATTACGGCACTATCTGGCGAACGTTTCGTGTGGTATCGAAGGTGCCTCTCCCATAGCCGCTCTGGAATCTGCTCTCTCTAAAGGGCACCATCAAGCCCCTACTGCTCATTGAACTTTCGAAACCATGCAATAGCGTGTGGCTAGTGCATACTAGTGGCAATAAAGTATACAGCCCATGGCTGGAAATAGGCAATGCGCCACGGTGGCAAAGCATGCTGTGGCTGCAGCTCCGATCCTGCGGCGTCGGCGAGTCCGGAATACTACAAATTGCTTACCCCGCTGGGGTGGAAAGTTATATGTTTGTGTACTATGGGTTGAGCGAGGGAGAGTTCACCAGCGACCACATGCCGCTGTCTATTATTGGAATCCCGATGCTATTCGAGGGGCGGATGAAGAGGTCAGGACGTCGACGCCATGTAAGCTTCTCGTGTACTTAATTTCTTTCGATGCTCCCTTTCCGCTCGGCCTAGGTGTTATGTACTGAGTACTCCGTACATGCAAGCACTATGACGAACTGCCCGAGTAATTTCTTCCCAATTGCGGTTTCCCAGTTTACTGGCCCCAGGGTTCTCGCGTCCGAGAAGACCAATAAAAAAGCGCTGTCCTACTAGTTGTGGATAAGGCGAACGTGCTGGCGCATACCTTACGCTCATGAATTCCTGGAATTAATGAGCCGGCAATCATTCAAGGGGGACCATTTGTCCTGCATAAGCTGAGACATGAAGTGCAGCCGACTCTACAGATAAGCTTTGTTGATAATGCTTGTCTGCAGTATCATTATCCAAATGAAATATCGCCTTGCACTAGCCCTCCGCTACAACTCTAAAAGACAACCATTTTACACCAATATAGGCGTACTGTTCCGTCATCATGCAGTCAACGGTGAGCTCAAAAGGACCTAGCAAGCGTGCGCTGTGTCAACAAAAGAGGCCATGGGTGCTATAATACAGATCTGTGTATCGGCATTTCAAGGATCAAGTCTTGTTACTGTGGTGAATACGAATTGTATCAGGCGGCAGAGCGAAAAAAAGCAAAAGGCCGCACAGATTGACCAACAATCGAGGGAAGAGATCCATGATATTTGAGGCACAGCTGGTCATTGCCCACTGTGTACTTCATTAAGTCTACACGCCTCAAATTGGGGCTGTACCGCGCAAGGTATCTGTCAAACCAAACCCGTAAGGTAGGGATCGGACATCATCGCTTTCTTTATCATAGCCATCTGGTAAGTTGCAAGATATGGGTGGCGGACCGGCAGTCAACTTTGACTTCGAGATAAGTAATGCTCACCGCTCAGTTTCTGAGGTGTCTGATACTAACATCGGCTTGGTCCTCACTGGTAACTGGGTAGTCAGGGGAAGTACTCACCGATGGCCAATCTTATGCCTTGAAGAACAAAAGATAAATCAGGTTGCATGTATTTCTTCGCCCTCTGTCTTAGATTGGACATTGGACACTTAGCGCCCTCGATTGACCTGAAAATTTCTGCCTGGGGAAGTAGGAGAAGTCATCCGGGGCGCGACGACCGTGATAACAAAGGGTAGGAGCTGTGGCTTGTCTAAATGGCGCAACAAGTAAAGTCCGCCGATGCGCCGGCGTTAGCCAAGATTGCAGCAAATACAGATCGCCCATGGTGTCAGATCTCCGCGGTCGCCACAGTGTGGCTGACACTCAAGCACCGCAGTGCTAAGCCTGCCATGCACCACGGATGCTTACCATACGGAATAGAGGCAGCATGTTCGTTGCTTTAGCTTCCTATGACTTGTTGAATGCCTGCGCTGATCGATTTTCGAAAAGATTGTCTATAGCCTATAGCAGTAGCGGCGGCTGGATGGTGGGGGAAGCTTAGCTCCCTTACGTTACCGTGTGTTACAGCTGAGTTGTCCGCTGCCCTGTTTGGGGGGCGGGGAGTAATGGACCCGACCAATTTGATGCTTGCCCAGAGTGGAAATTTGGCTGGCCCGACTCTTCCTGAATTCAACTCTCGTGGTCAAATGCTTCTCAATTTTGCTGCCAGTTGTTGTAGAGTGATTAGGGGCGAAACTAACGTATTTTCGTAGTTGCTGTTGGCTCCTAATATCTGAAAGCTCATCTTCAAGCGGTAACCGTACCTCGGGCAACTTGAAACTGAATACTCACAGCTGATCAACCCATCCCTGCAGATGAAACCTTGTCCCTGATTATTTGGATGCATCATAAGTAGTGTATTTGTCGGAATGACCCCAGCACCCCTTTGAGCTGCGCAAGAATGCTCAAGTATTCCAGCAAGAATATCCAGTGTTGCTGTCTTTGAATATAAATAAGTACTGCGTAAGGGGCCTGAAGGGACACTATACCCCGCCAATACCAACTCTAGGCTTCTAGCATACATTAGCATGACCAATTAGACACCCTGACCTTCCTTGAGCCCCATAGTGCCTGGTGTCACAATGTCTGATTCCTAGGCACCGCTACTAGCATTCGAGAAGGATCCCTGATAATAGCAAAAACAGAAGCCTCCACATACGATTGAGTAGTAGCTAATGAAGGGGGAAACCCAATGGGACCGCCTATGCCCGCTTGCTTCCAGCAGGAAAGACTATAGAAACGCAAGTTGGATTGCATCCCTTCAAAGAAGGGATGATTCTTAATTGGGTTAAACTGAAACACCGCGTTCCCACATTCTACGTTAAAGGCATGGAAAACACGCGATTGACAAATTTGACAAGGAGACCGAAGAACCACTTGCCAAATGATTATAAGTCCTGGAGCAAACATCACAGATTTGGCGCGAGTGAACGTTGCGAGTCTTAATTGAAGGTGTGTTTCCCGCCCCAACAGATTCTTGTACGGTACCTGGGTCGGCCTGAGCCATCTCCAGACATTGTGTGACTTGTTTGGTAACGGGACGTCCCTTAGGTCAGAACATGAAATTAAAAGGGTCCAACTTTCTAGTTGATAACAGTCAAAGATTTGTTTAGCCAAGGGGCAATTGTCCAAAATTGACCAAAGTCTTCGTCTTCATTTATTCTTGTTCTCGGTCAATTCTGTCCAATTTCTGCGACTTCGACCTTGAGGGCTTGTGATTACACCTCAAGAGCCCATGCGATGAGGTGCCCCATTCAGGACTCGCGATTCGGGACTCGGGTTGGACATCCACACAGCGTCCAGTATAGGCACATATGTATTGTACTGGACAGAGTTCTATACAAGCCAATCAATGAACAAGGTGAGGAATCAACATGAGAGGAAACAAGATAATATTGAAACCAAACGAGGCTTCTTGCTTTCAGCCCATGCAGGCCTCTATTAACCTCTCCCTAGGCAGGGGGCTGTGGTGCAGGCTGAAAACTCTCGGATGTAGGCTTCACTATTGTTATTCTAGTGTCCATCAGGCCGTGAATAGTGTGGCTTAAGGAAAGTCAGGCATAACCACGTAGATACAAGCACGGATGTCTTCAATCTGGGTGTACTATCTGCTGTACTAGACCATCCAAATCTGCACTTTCCCGGGCTCCACAGGCAGTAGAGGGACACGCGATGGCCATCGCCCTTTTTGCCATCCGCTAGAGGGCGGAGGAGCTACCCAGAATCCACCCAAGGGCCGCCCTGAACCATTCGATCTGTACCTGATACTAGTGTACCGTGGGATTCTGGAATGGCAAATATTTTTAGCTTTCTAGTTTTCATCAATCAGTGAAATCCTCGAGCGATTGGTTTTTGAAATTTGTTCAATGGCACCAGAGATTGAAGAACACTCAATACCCGACTGATAATTATAGAGCTCTGGACTCATAATGATCAGTCAAAGATAGCTTTTCCTTTGGCATTGGGATTTGCCCAAGATTTTGCTCACTATAGGAGGAGATTTTGTCTTTGGCGGTTCACATAGCTAGATAATATAGTACCCACAGTAACTCAACTAGCGCGCCTTACAGAGGTTACTAAATCGGTCATCTCATTGACTCGCTACAACTAAAAAGGTCTAATTCTTGTTGCAAGCCAAAACTATTGGTGGGTCGTCTCAAAGGGTGAGAATGTTATTAGGAAATAATCGAACAATTGTAACCGGAGACATACAAATGAATATGACACTCAGACAAACAAATACTTATAATTGTATGTGATAGTCGCTCGGCAATCTCTCTTTCGACATGATAATATGGAGTATTATAGCCCTTCCCTCATTTGGTGGAGGAGGAAGAGCAGAAGGAAAGGAGAAAGGGAAAAAAGAGGGAAAGATTAAAAATAAAAAAAAAGAGGGAAGAAAATAACCATATCCCAGAAAATTCTGAAAATAAAAGACGAAACGAGACGAGACGAAACGCTCCAATTAAATCGGGTAGACCCGTCTTTCTTCTAGTCGCACCCAAACAATATACAATTCCACACTTCCAGTCCAGCTCCGCAATCTGACTCTTTCCTGCCTTCCCTTCCGGGCCGGTTCCCTTCTTGTTACCTTCTTTATTTTTTGTCTCAGACCGAACCTTTATGTAGGGCCGTATGCACCCGTTCGATTTCTTCCAATGGATCCCGATCACCTAGGTAGAGCGTTATACACCCCTCTTGCGCCACGACTATCACCGCCAGCACTTATCCTTCGCATCCCACTTCACTCCCCGCTCCGACATTTATCTTGGGCTTGTGCCCTGTCATGACACTTGTGTCTTTCCCTTCGACAATAGATGGATTGCGCCTAGCAGATGTCCATGGACGATTCTCACCCGGGTAGAGGCCTAGGATTTACCATTAGAAATCTGTTTCGCTCCTCCTCATTGTCCTTTCCATCTTCGCGGCCACGAAGATCCTTCCTCCGAAGGGGACGAAGTGTGATTGACAGCAAGTAAGTACAGGATTCACCCTTTGAGCTCGGCCTCTGTCCTTAAATCTAGCCTTGTATGCTTGGATTTCTCCGGTTGGAGTGTTGTTTGCCCTTGTTCGTGCTTCTTGCAGAAGTTATATGTTTGCCGACGTCAAAGCTTGATTTACACCACCATTGATTCAAGTGCCGAAGATCAGTCAAAAGCACAAGACATAATCCAAGCCAATTTCATCTGGTGGCATGGTATTGAGTGAACAAAATATAGCTAATCGACATGAATCTTGTGCGCAGCCGAAATTCCATTGATCCCACGAAACGTTCCTCCGCACCTCCAATGAATGACACCTCGATGAACGACAATCAACCTCTCGATCAACCAGCGATGATTGGGATTACGGAAGCGTCTACAGGCGACATATTTGAATGGTACCCGCGCTATCAAAATTGCCAGCGGTACTTCTTGAATGATGCGCAACACAGCGTCCCTGTACAAGCGCTCTCCGCTTTTCTGAACATTCGTCTCCCTTTCCAGTGGGAATCCAACCCAGTTGCAGGCTCGAGCTCGTCCACCAACCAGTCTTCTGCAAGCGCCAACCAAGCCCCTTCGATGCCACCAGGGTCAACATTAGTACCGCCTTCCGTCTCGCTGATTCCATACATTCGTCGTCTAGTGGCTACCGGGATGGATTTTCCTGGGGTGCTTCAGGGATTCTTCGGAGACGATTGGGCCGCTGGTATCGGGCCGCTGCACGAACAGGAGAGGCGCAATTACCTCTTCGCAGCCAAGAGTGGGGGATGGGCTGCTGTGAAAAAAGATTACGATATTGCGCCGCTAGAGACAATCCCATTTTTACGCCCATTACAGGGACCACTGGACTCCGAGATTGAGGCTGCAGAGAGGAGCTGGAGTGATTGGCTTGCCATGGAGGATTGGATGGTCGGGCCCCGAGCGCCTGATGTCCTTCGCGATTCATCCTCCAACATGTCTCGACCGCAGAGCTCCCGTGATTAAGGCTCGTCGTCCCATGTTACAAAACTTCTGCCCTTGCTTCTTCCCTTCCTGCTTGATCTTTGCAATCATTCCAAGCTTTAACTACTACTTGTCGAACAATACCAGACGACTATGGGCGATAGGACGGAGTTGGGGAATTCATGGCGAACCCTTTCCTATTCTTGAAATTTTTTTTTTCTTTTGTTTTCACAGTTCTGCCACGAGACGACGATCATACGAATTCTTGAGCGTGATAGATTGCCGCGGGCCCACATTTTAGTTCTGGTTTCAATTATTGACTACGAAGCGCACTCCTGTCGCAAGGGGTAGACTTCGATATACACGACCGAGGAATTTGGAAAAACAGCATCAATGAATGAACGGTATAGAAAGTACTGACGTTTAGAACTGATTAGATTTTCATCTTACAACTCGTGGCTGCGACTCTAGTATGCTATGGCTCCCCAAAATCTTTTTCTGGCTGGTTATCGTCGCTTCGACATGCTTTTTCAAAAACTAACCGCGGCCCCTGAACCCCCTAACGCGATCGCGGTTCACGAGACTTAGAACGTGAGTGACAATGCCAAGCGAGTGAAGATCGACCTCGAAAGGCTCCTCAATTGGGCACCTACCTCCGAAACGATAGAAGTCTGAAACGAGCGGAGCGACCTCTAGCGAGGCTGACAGCCCGGTGCGCGGAACACGGCATTAGTCTGAACGGGAACAATGTACCGAGGCGACTGGCGCTCACATCATGGTTCGGTTAGAATGGTCATGAACATACTGTTCTTGTCTATCCTCTCAAATTCACCTGGGTAGGTTACTTGCATCCAAATTTACACCTACTGCGAACCTTATTGCGCGTACCTGGGGCCCTTGGAGAGGTAGCCAGCAGCAGACCCGCTGAGCTTTGTCCGTGATTTTTACAAATCACACGTAAGATGGACCAAATGCTCGCCTCCCTCATCCCGATCCAAGATCCAAGATCCAGGGCAATGGCCCACGCCTTGCTTTTAAACAATTTGGTCCCGATTGATCAACTACCACTATGTTCTCTATCTTACTGCTTTCATCTTGGTCGGCCCTCGCGAGTCGGGAACCATGGGAGGACGATCGGAGCCGATGGGTTGGTTGGACGACGAACCGCTCCCTCTGCCGGTCGGAACTCGTGGATCGGATCTGTCTATCAATCGCGTAGAAAGTTCTCATCCGGTGCTCCGTAGTGTGGTTTGTTTCCCTCGGTTCCTCGTATTCTGGATCCTAGGTTCCATATTGTGAAAAAATGTGAGCCAATTCGCTGTGCAGTGCATGCACAAACTTGGTCGAACAAGCATTGGAACTAAGCAGACCAGTGTTCTCCTCCTTCAGCTAGATTGCATGTTAAACTTTTTCTGGACTTTTCGACGAAGATCAGCGCAGGTCAATGATTCAATAGGCGCGGCTGAAGAGCGGGGGGAGGGGGGAAGAGAGGGGAGATATTTCATGAACTTTACAATCAGTTGCGCTTTGAAACTAACCTCTTTGGTGTATCGGCCATGTTGTCAGGTCTGTTTGGGCATACTTTGAAACCAGCCCTGAGGTAGAGTTTCCAACTAATCTAAATCCATCCACGACCATACTCGCTTAGTCAGACAGGTTTTACACAAAGCTTTACTGTTATAGATAATACCATACCGTATTCATTCAGTGGCTTTCAATACTGTGAGTCCGAATGATTGATCAATCTGGTAGTGACCTTGATTATAGTACCAGCTGGGCACTAAGAACTCTTCACCTGTACAATGTAAGTTTCTGACTGAAGAAGACTGCTGACTCAGGTGGTAACAGTAGTATTTCCTTGTGCACTGGGCTTGGCTTCCTGGCGAGCAGGGTGTCAATTCTTGTGTAGCCCATATGACTGAGGTGCCAATCCACCATGAGTCTTGGTTTGAATAGCTCATACTTGGTAGATGCTACCCTGAGTGTCCCTGAAGTGCTCTCGGACTCTGAGCTATCAACCATCTCACAAGTTGGGATAGATATCCAGCAAAACAGGTTATACTGAATTATCGGTAGTAATTGTCATTTATTAAATGAAAGTTTCTAGGACAGTGCATAGATAGCCTGCGTTCTATCTCTAGGGGATCTACTGTATATGCGGGGAGTTGAGTGGAACCTATTTTGTAACCCGGATTTTGTACTCTCTCCTCGTGTCTTCGGTCCTGGGAATGTTCTCTGGATTTTAAATCCTGGTGCTGGTCTGGGTGGAGACTGTTATATTAGCAGGTAATCTGAATTCTTCAACATCCGTTCAAGATATGACAGTCAAACTTGCATTATATGTGGTGTCCAATAGGGTTGCTCACAGGGTAGGCGAATAGACAATAAAGATACGCTTTGGCAACTTTATATCATGATATTAGATATACTAGCAAAGCCTCATCAGCATAATGAGTGATAGCCTTGTGTCATATTTAGGTGGCAGGAATCTGATTGAAGTAACCTGTGTTGTTATCCAGAGACACATTATTCTTGCTCATTGTCAGATTTACTTGATACCACGCGACCATATGGATTCATCAACTCTGAGACTTGAGGTTTTGGTCCAGCTAATTGGGGTTACTGGTATCTGCAGCAAGTTTGAGATAGGTACTGCGGCACCACTGATGAATCACACAACCATTTGAAACAGATGATAGATACACGATAAGTAGAATCCGATTGAGAGGTTGATAGCTGTAACTCGTTGACCCAAAGTCATTGATAGTCTCCAAAGAATCTCAAAGTGCAAGGAGCATGTTTCTCAAGGCATGGCTGTTCTTTAGCCAGTCACAATTTACATCTCATCCTACGAGTGTGTCTCAATATGGCGTAGCAATGTCAAACTTGACATGTTCAGCTTGATCGAATGTCCGGCCTCAAACCTACAGCTTGCCTGCTCCAGTACTTGGGCGAGCCGTTTCTAAGGAAGACTATAGTCGATCGCTTCAACCCATGATTTCCAGGCTCAAGACGGTGTTCATTATCCTAAACAGTAACGGAGGCATATGTCCTAGTCCTCGCCATTATCGCATTCATTACCTAGGTCGTCTTTAGGATGATTATGCTATCTCAAGCCTATATGTCTCGAGAAGCAATGGGTATATCTTAATTAAGTCAACCTATTCTCAGAATCCGATGGGTCTATGCCCCGGTCGCAAACGAAGGTTCATACTCTCAGGTGAATGCCACAGCGTAGACCGTATCGCAGGGCTGCGGCCCGACCACCTGCGTACTGTACACATTCAAGCAGAATGCTGCCCTTCAGAGCGGAGATTATTCTTCTGACACTCTAACCCATGTGGATGTGGTCTGATCTCGCCTGCACAGCTGTGGTTGCCAGAGCACCTTCATCGCGACCTGGTTTGCAGCAATGGAGTCTCTTCGTGCATGGATAATAGTATCACCAACGTCTTTCCCATGTTTCGAGAGAATTCCATGAACAACGCTGGAGCTTGCTTGATTCGGTCTGAATATTTTGATGCGGCTGGTGTTGCCCCCATCGTACGTTTTGCGTTCAGGTATAATCATGATGTGGCGAGAGACTTACGTGAATGATGGTCCGTACAGCCTATATTGTATTCTGTTAACCATCCAGGGTCTAGGACAAGTCGGGCGCATCACTGAGCGCAGCTTGCGCATCCTTGGACCTAATCCACATAAAATGCAGCAGCGAGAATGTGCCATCTGGCGCCATCTGCGAGGTATCGTTCTACATCTTCCAGTCAACAGAGGCGGCGTAGTCATTCGAAGTGGCCTCTGGTTGATGCTTTCCGCTTGGAGCGGGATCTTCGAGGGACAACACCTCTGAACTACTGTCTGTGTCGGAAAGGTGATCTAGTCGGCAATAGCCTAAAGGCTCAGGCTATGAATAACCCTTCGAGAGCTTAATCAACCGGTGTATTGGGGGTCCAAGGGGTTGACAAAGTGTGGTTCGCTTGATTGGTGGTATAATCACTTGGTAGACTCTTGCCGACATCGGATCCTGCCTTGCCTCAGAGAGGAATACACTAGCGCTATGCAAAGCACTATCGCCGATGGGAGCGCGGATCGGACGGCGAATAAACCTAGTGTCACCTCCCGCCCTTACTGACAAGGACACTGCAATGCATTCCATTGGTCAGAAGACATTGTTAAGTAAAAGCGATAGTAAAGATCGTAGATATCGACACACGCTATAGTGTAGAGCCTGAATTCGAAGCCCTGACGAGTGCCATGCTTTTTCCCCGGTTTAGAGAGTACGTAGTCGAATTACAGTGGTGCATACTTTCCCCGGATCTCAAATCTCAAATCCCCCAATCTTCCCCGACAGTCAGTTGGATCGAACGCTGCTGCCCGCACCCCCGGGACAACCAAGAAAGACCAAATCGGGCCAGAATTCCTGGAGACAGACCCCGACTATCGACGGATGCATTAGTGGGGGACATTAGCGGACAGCTTATGATCTTAGAGGGTTTAGAGTTAAGACACCGCGTGCGCATTCCGCTCTGACTGCCACACTCGGGGCGAGTCGGCTCAGTGAGGGGGTGGGGGAAGGATGATTAAAGCGGCTTAGTTCCAAAGTTTCTTCAGCACCTGCCGATGTTTAAGACTGGCTGCGCCGTTCAATTCCTCCATTCCTCGAACGGACGGACCGCCTTAGTGCCACTCTCTCGGCTTGCGGAACTCGGCTACTTATCTATGACTATTTCAACGTGTCATTGGCTCTGATATCGTAGAAAGATAAGGACGAACATGGGTCTCGGAAGAAGCTGATTGGTTCGCAATCACTGTAACTCGATTTGAAATGGTAACCCGTCACATGTGCCCAAGGTAGCCAGTCAGCCGCAACCTTGAACCAAAGGATCTCCCTTCGGCTAGGCTTGAGATTCATCTGCTCGTATGTGCTCCAGACAGAGAGAGAGAGAGAGAGAGTATGAGACCAATGTGATGTCGATGGCTCTCTTGTCCAAAGAAAGGCAGGGTTATGTCATCTCGTTGCACACTGTAGTATTTTGTCGGCAAAGCGGTCTACCAGCAAAATCATGATTAGGCGATGGCCGCCGGTGAGACGGGCAGAGCAAGGCCGCAGATGGTATGATCGCCCGGTGAACCGTGTGTTATACTTGCCCGCCCTCCCGTACCACCAGCCAGCGGCCATCCCTTTTTCTCCACGGCCGTGTCCACTGACTCTACGACCCAACTCAGCTCAGCTCACCGAGCAGCCGGAGTCTCCCGACAGTCTATGATTCATCCTAATTTCGGAGGAATCGATGATTCGATATAGCGTTGTTGGCAGGTGCCCATGGACCACTAGACAAGCAATCCTCCGTCTCCAGAGGGCGCACTCTAGAGCCAAATCACATTGATAGCGCGTAAAAATATCAGATAAGAGTTTCACCCAAGCACGTGGGGCGCGCCTGGAAACTGAGAATCGATTTCGAGGTCACGTGCCATCGATTCGCCTGCAGGGAAATGCTTGGCATGCATCTCACCTCGTACATGAGTTGGGGAGTAGGCAACAAGAGACCGAAAACTTTGCTCAAGACGAGTGTCCTACGGAAGATTGAGGAAGCCAAGGGGAATACGTACGTTCCATCAGAAAATTTTTTAGTCCAGCTCGCTTAGAGTGCTTGCGCATCCTCCGGAGCTCCGAGAAGTTCCTTGCCACACGAGGATTTCCCGGAAGGACTGAAAGCGGCGAGAGGGGCGGGTTTCCGCCGATAGATAACGGGCAGATTCTGTGACCATAATGTATCGACTAACACTGCCCCGAAGTTCGGACGCCCACCCGGCATTGGCTGCCGTGATTAGTCCCGCCGCCGCTGACTGTTCCTCTCCGGCGGGGACTTCCTCGTTTTGTCCGACTCCGGCTGTGCACATTTCCCCCTACGCACCTTTTTTTTTGGTTCTCTTTTTTGCTTTGCCGTCCGGACAGCGCTCCTCCGCTCCCACCCAGTGGCACCCACCATCATTACTACCATGATTACCACCACCCAGTCCGGGGCCGGGGAGGAGGAGGGGGGGTCAAGGAGGCAATGAAACGGGAAGGGGAGGAGAAGGTCGGAGAGAGAGAGAGAGAGAGAGAGAGAGAGAGAGACACGGAGGCAACGGCAAAGATACATAAAGCCATTCTCCTTCCCACCTCGGAACTTTCTTTTCTTTCCTTTCCTCTCCATCCCCATCCCTCTTCCCCATCTCTCTCCCAGACCTGGTCTTATAGTCTTGTTGGGTATCCTTCGGGTCATTCTTCTTCTCTTATATCAACCTTATACCAAGCACTTTCCTTCCACCCACAATGTCTAACCTTCCCGTTGAGCCCGAGTTCGAGCAGGCCTACAAGGGTACGTTTTTACTCCAGTCCCGATGGTTCCTTAGTTCACCAGTAACTGATAAATATCCCCAACAGAGCTTGCCTCGACCCTCGAGAACTCCACTCTTTTCCAGAAGAACCCCGAATACCGCAAGGCTTTGGCTGTCGTCTCCGTCCCCGAGCGCGTCATCCAGTTCCGTGTCGTCTGGGAGGATGACCAGGGCCAGGTTCAGGTCAACCGCGGTTACCGTGTCCAGTTCAACTCCGCCCTCGGCCCCTACAAGGGTGGTCTCCGCTTCCACCCCACTGTCAACCTCTCCATCCTCAAGTTCTTGGGTTTCGAGCAGATCTTCAAGAATGCCTTGACTGGTTTGAGCATGGGTGGTGGTAAGGGTGGTTCCGACTTCGACCCCAAGGGCAAGTCCGACAACGAGATCCGTCGCTTCTGTGTTTCTTTCATGACTGAGCTCGCCAAGCACATCGGTGCCGACACTGATGTTCCCGCCGGTGATATCGGTGTCACTGGTCGTGAGATTGGCTTCCTCTTCGGTCAGTACCGCAAGATCCGCAACCAGTGGGAGGGTGTCCTCACTGGTAAGGGTCTCACTTGGGGTGGTTCCCTGATCCGTCCTGAGGCTACCGGTTACGGTGTTGTCTACGTATGTTCCCTCTGTCTTGTGGTAACATCTGAGCTTCCACTAACATAACCATCGCAGTACGTTGAGCACATGATCCAGCACGCCACCAACGGTGCTGAGTCCTTCTCCGGCAAGCGCGTCGCCATCTCTGGTTCCGGTAACGTCGCCCAGTACGCCGCTCTCAAGGTTATCGAGCTCGGCGGTTCCGTCGTCTCCCTGAGCGACAGCCAGGGCTCCCTCGTCGTTGTCAACGACTCCAGCTTCACTCCCGAGGAGATTGCTCTGATTGCCGACCTCAAGGTCGCCCGCAAGCAGCTCTCTTCCATCGTTTCCGAGGGTCCCTTCGCCGACGCCGTCAAGTTCAAGTACATTGCTGGTGCTCGTCCCTGGAAGCACGTCGGCAAGGTCGACGTTGCCCTCCCCTCTGCTACCCAGAACGAGGTTTCCGGCGAGGAAGCGCAGGCGCTGATCGACGCTGGAGCCAAGTTCATTGCTGAGGGTTCCAACATGGGCTGCACCCAGGACGCTATTGACACCTTCGAGGCCCACCGTCAGGCCAACCCCGGCAAGGCTGCCATCTGGTATGCCCCCGGTAAGGCCGCCAACGCCGGTGGTGTCGCCGTCTCCGGTCTCGAGATGGCTCAGAACTCCGCCCGCCTCAGCTGGACCTCTGAGGAGGTTGATGCCCGTCTCAAGGACATCATGCGCTCTTGCTTCAAGAACGGTCTTGAGACCGCTATTGAGTACGCCACTCCCGCCGAGGGTGTCCTGCCTTCCCTGGTCACTGGTTCCAACATCGCTGGTTTCACCAAGGTCGCTGCTGCCATGAAGGACCAGGGTGACTGGTGGTAAATGTTTCGCACTGTTGATCATATGGTGCTATGATTATGACTTTTCATTTCCTGTTCTGTTTCAGCGCATGGATAGAGGCGCCGGTTGCTTTTCTTCTCCATCAAAGTACATATTAGCTATACAATTTTTACAATCATGATTCATGGATGTCAATCGGCGGGTCCTTGCCACGCGTAGCTACTGTAACATGCGTATCAGAGCATAAACTAAATCGAGTTCACCCATCGCGTCACTCTCTACCTGGAACCTTTGCCCCACCACCCAATTGGAACAAGCTTCCAATAGAGTCTTGGCTTCACCATCCCCAGATGTAAGTGAATCTGGTCTTGTCGAGCGATGCTTCAAGAGTTGGCATGGCATCTCAGCAGGATCTACATGATCCTACATATACTCCCCATGCTACTCTAGACACTCTTTCTTCCAACTGCAGCCAAAGAATACCCACCCTTAGAGCCAGATTTAAAATCGCAACTATCGTCCAGTACTCCCCATCTCTTCGGCAGGTTCCTGTCAATTCCACCATAATCGCAACATCCCTGGACCAGACAACGGAACGCTGATTTATAGTTAGATGCTTCACAGCCGGCCATAGGTACTTACTTCATGTATTGTTCCCGCCCGATACGAATGCGAGTGAGAGGCAATGTTTCCGCGTGAGTTTACACGGCTGTATGTTACATAACGATACGAAGTGGTTTGGGGGGGCACTCGTCAAGGAAATGCGTACTGGTACGGTAAGACATGGCTTGCCGAGGCATGACTGGTTCGCGCACAGCCACAAAAGCTACAGTGACAGACATCTACTGACCCACTTGCGAGTATCTCAGAATCAAAGATGATCAACTTGATGGTTGTAGTCGTGAATGCCGACAACCCTTACGTGGAGAGATCTATAATTGAGGATGATTGGGGGGGGGGGTGCAACAATGCCAGCCAAGACAATTGAGTTCTGCATGTGAATATAATAAGGGACCTTGCCCTCCATGATCCCGCGTGTGTACACGTACGCAACTATTGACAGGCATCTCCAGCGATATATACATGATGTGCCGAGGAACTTTATTTGCGCTCCAATATGCTGCCAATGCTGCAAAGTTACATTGTCGTCACAATGCCCTGCCAAATGCTAATGCGACCTAACGCCATGCTAAATCCAGGAATAAGACAAAATATTAAACTATATATGGGTATCACAAGGCATATCCCCAAGGGGGGGGGGAAGGGGAGGTAAGAGAAAAATCAATCACTCCGTCAGTTGGACGGTCGGCAGCGGATCTAGAAGCACGCTGCGCCGTCGAGACAGCACTCCGCCTATCGACGGATTGTCCTTGGCACGCGGTACGCCGCGGCTACGGCGGCGAGGGTGTCGCAGATGTTCGTTGGGCACCGGGTCAACCTGTTTCTTGGCCGCTGGCACCAGGTTCAGGTATACGGGGAAGATAGCACCCGCGGCAGAAACCGCCACGAGAACGCTATACGAATAGGGTACGCCGCCCACCAGCTGTGCCGCGTACTGCGCAAACGGAAAGACGCCGCCCCCGCTGATAGCCATGGTCAGCAGGCAGCCGGCTGTCTTAGTATGGCGTCCCGTGCCGCGCAAAGCAATGGCGAAACTGATGCTGAAAGCACCACTTTCAAACAAATACACAAGTTCACCCATGGTTACCGCTGTGAGCCCGGTGGTGTGCATACACAACGCAGCGCACACAATCATGCCAACATACGACAACAATAGGATCCAGCGCGGCTTAAGAAACCACTGCAAAAGAGCGGCCAAGAACCGACCCACCGCAAAGACTGTGTGTCCGATAGTCAAGAAATCGAATGAAGTCAATGAACCTCTGCGATCGATTAGTGGACTGAGCAGGAAAAAAACCAATGTGACAAACTCACTCGGGATGAACCTCTTCGACGAAGCGCACGAAGCTCAAAGACAATACTTCTTGTCCAGCGACATACATGAAAACTGACCATACACCGAGGCCCAGTGTCACCCAAACCACTGGCAAACCCGCCACGCGGGCGTGATTGTCCGCTCGCCGACGGTTAGCCAGCTCTTCGAGATCGGCATCGGAGGCCTCCGGAATGGGCAGATAGTAGAAGACGAGAGCCAGGATCACGTCAAAAAGAGCTATGCCGAGATATGTCCACTGCACGTCTACCAGGGAGGACACATCAGTCACTTGCTTGAAGAGGACCTTTTGCGCGAGAAGCGGTGAGACGACACTGCCAACCGCCTGGACACCTTGCGAGATGTTCAAACGAATTTCGGAATTCTCAAGCGGACCGCACAGAGCGATGAATGGGTTGCCGGCGGTTTCAAGCACTGCCAAGCCGAAGCCGACGATGAAATTGGACACAGCAAATGCTGAATAGGAAGTCAAGACCGCGGAAGGCCAAAATATAAGTGAGCCGCATGCGTAGATACATAGACCTGTGATAAATGAAGCCTTAAACCCCCAATGCTTGAGTACTGGACGGCCCACAAGCAGAGGGCCTAGCAAATAGCCACCATAATAGGTCGCATGCAAACCGTACGAGCGATATATACCAAGATGTAATATTTTCTTGAATTGTTCATTGAGCATGTCGAGCAATCCGTACGCAAACCCCCATAGGAAAAACAGAATGGTGATGAATGCGATCGGCGTGATTGACTCCTTATTGCTGAGCTTAAGCATATTCGCAGGCTGCTTCATGTTGACGAAGTCGAAAAAGGTGATACTGGGCGGGTAGGAGGAGTTGGTCACGGTGTTCGTGCGCTGCTCCAGATCGGTCGCTTCAGGAGGTAAATGTGGCGGCGGGGCAGCCAGGAACTCAGTGAGGTCGATGCGTGCATCGCTACCAGTTCGACTGCTATGGCTATCCGAATTGGTAGGTTTGGGACTAGGGTGATCGGGAATTGGTGGGGGAGGTCGGGGTGCAGAGTCCTCGACCACAATGGGGGCTAGCATGGGTAGAGGTCGGATGCCAGGTGACGAGGTCTGATAGCTCTCGTCGGTGTCGCGGATGAGCTTCGGAAGCAGCCGGGCGACGAGCGGCTTGAGGCTGGGAACACAGGCGCACATAATGGAGACATTGACTTCAATGACGGACCACATGAAAGAGAAGGCAGCGTACCCTAAGCTGAATGTTAGGGGGTAAGCGGAGACATAGGAAGAGGCGTAAATAACTAACAGCTCAAATCGTCACCGGGGGTGCCCTGAAGATGGATTTCCTTAAGAGCAATCTGACGAGAAGTCGCCGCATCTTGAATGTAAGCAATGCGGATGACATCAACAACGGCGACGAAAAAGCCAAAACTGAAGGTGATCACGATGATGATTTTCTGCTTGCGTGGCAGGCGCATTCGTGTGAGGATGGGGTTCGGTAAACACAGGATGGCGAGGTCGGTGATGATATTCACAGGAGAGGAGGATAGATAGAGAGTAAGGATGTCGATACACTGCGCGCCGTCGGGCAAGGGATACGCGACAGCAGCACTGACCGGGCGACATTGGAAGACGTTGACAAAGGTGAGAGCAAGGCCAGCGGCATTGACGACGAAGAGGGTGACGTAGGTGGCCCAACGGAATATCTTTTCGCCTTGTGTGAGGGTGAGGTAGAAGACAAGGATGGAGGTTTTGATGGCCATCAAGGTGGGATTCTGCGTCGTCAGAGGAGACCGGGGAGCGAGCAGCAGCGGAGCGGAAGACTCACATAGAGAACGGTGAAGGCGTAGTCGGCGCGATTGAGACCAGGCCGTTGTTCGGGGCGAATGTTGACATCGTGCAGACCGAGACCTTGGTGGGTAGCATAGAAGAGGGAGAAGGAAAAGCCGAAGTCAAGGACCTGAAGTTATTTAGTCGCTTATCGCCGCCGGGATTGATGTCATGAAGTATTACCCAGGCCAGGAGCATAAAATAGTCATGCAGAGCAATTTTGCGAACGATAAAAATACGAGAGACGAAGCGCAGGGCAACAAAAACCGTAGCGACGATGAAAAAGACGATAGAGACGGTGAGAACTGTAGGTCGTTGGTCTTCCATCACGGAGAGAGAGAAGAGGAGGAAGAGGAGGGGAGGGCGGAGGGCGAAGTCGGGAGGGAGCGGAAAGGTCGGTTAGAGGCGGGGAGGGGAGGGAGGCAAGCCCATGATTGTTTCACTCGACGGATTCACGGCATGGAGACAACTAAACCGATACATATGAAGACGAGATATGGAGTCGGATGAGGAAAGGGAAAAGAGGAGAGTGGAAGAAATCCCGGGTGTGGAGAAAGAGTGTGTGTAAGGGAAAGGGAAAAGGAAAAATTCATAATACTAATCATAAGAATAAGGTTGAGGGGATGAAGCGGAGAAAAGGAAGAGGAAAGAAGCAGCCTTGAAAAGCAGGAAAGGCGAAAGTAAGAAAGAGGAAAATAGACGAGAGGGAAATCGGAAAAGAAAGGATGGAACCAACCACTCAACACGCAAATGGGAAATGAGGAACAGGAGGGAAGGCTTACGATTTAATTTAAAAAATTTAGTAAGCTAGGCAAAGCAACAGCAACTGCTGCTGGCTGTCGATCGATGGACATTTTGCATGATAGATTATTCCACCACGGACCAGGAAATAAACAATGATGGATGGCAAGGATGAGAGGAATGATTTTCCATCACCCCCTCGCGTGGCATTTTTCTACTTAATAGATTATACTTGTGATTGATGTTTAATAGTACATTGTGATAGATTCTCTGCATGGGGGGATCCTCATCTGTCTCCAGATTTCAATTATGCACTATGCTTTTATGATTGAACGGGCTCATTGCTTAATTCATTTAGCGAGGTCATCATCCCCCGCAATCTTTGCTGCCATCAGCAGCGATCGATCTCACTGACAGCCTGACACAGCACAAGATGGCAATATCCCTACCGAGCTCACCCACCCCCAGCCCAGGACTTGCCGCGCAACTAGGATAATCCTCTTCTGTGGATTCCTTATCGTCACATGGACCACTTAAGTCGATCAAATCATCCAATTCGATGCGAACTTAGGATTTTATAACCAGTCAGGCACTTACGACAGTGTTGACGGTCATAAGTGCATGTCAGGACCATCATTACTGGGGTGACCGAGTCTGGAGGGAGCTGCACCAGGCTGTGACGTGTGCCACCTGCGAGGTGAGCAGGCCTCAAGCATTGATCGCGCCACACACATTAACATCGAACAAAGATCCTGCTAGGAACATTGAAGGCAGTAGCCCATCAAGGCCCGGACGCTCTGTTGTCAGTGTTAGCTAAGGTGTGCACGCGGGCGAAGGTAGACCGATCATCTTTTGTCGCGTTATCACTCTAAATCGCCGATTCCAGATCGTAGATGTCGATGTGTGTCAGGCTACCGTGGCCACCCAAATGCCCAGCATCCTCTACATGCTGGAGCAGCTGCAACTTGAATCAGTGACCAAGTCGCATGGTGTGCGCCAGCTTGGGCCGCTTGTGTCCGTGGCCAGAGATCAACTTCAATCTGACTCTCCCGCCAGAACCCTCGAGCAAGCCCATCACGAGGAGCACCAGCAACCAAACCCTCCTCTATGTGGCGCACCTCAACGACACGCACATCGATTGCTACTACACCCCAGGAACCAGCTATGTCTACTCCAAACCCATGTGCTGCCGGCCCTATACTCCCGCGGATGCGCCCAACGCCACGCGCTGTCCCTGCGGTGCCTGGGGCCATCCCCGTTGCGATCCGCCCATGCGCTTCCTGTCAGACAGTGTCCTGCCGGCGCTGCAGGGCGCCTGACCTTCTTTCGCCTTCACCTTGTTCGCAGGAGATGTCGTGCCCCATGATTTCTGGCTTACCAACCTCACCTCCGTCGAAATCGACTGCAACACCACCTACGCAGCACTGCAGACTCTCAATGGCGAGGGACCTGTGTATCTCGCCATTGGGAACCATGACACCAGCCCCGTGAACATCTTCCCGGTCTCGTCCAGGCAGCCCTCCAACTTCACGCCTCAATGGGCCTACGGCCTCTTCGCCGTCTGGTCGAACCGCCTCGCCCTCCAACCGAGCCCATCGACATCACCTCAACTGCAGAGACAAGGCAACTACAGCATCCTCCACCGTCAACCGTTCTCCCCGGTCTCACCCAGCCCCTATCCTCAACTAATAGTAATCTCCTTCAACACCATGCTCTATATCGCATCAACTTCCTCAGCTATACCTCCCCTCCGACGCCGGACCCTCTCTCCCAATTCGAATGGCTAACCACCGAACTCTTCGACGCCGAAACCCACCACCAGCGCGTCTGGCTTCTCACGCACATTCCTCCCCCCTCCCCCCCGGGCAACTCCTACCTCCTCCCCTGCTACAACCGTGTCCTGAACCAGATCATCGTGCGCTTCCGAACCACAATCGCAGCCATCTTCGCGGGGCACAGACACACAGACCTATTCCAAGTCTACTACAACCGTCAGCGACCTAACTTCTCAGCGAGCAACAACAACAACAGCAACAACAGATTCAGCTGAGAAGCTGACGTTGTGGGCTATCTGGTCTACGTGACGGATTACTTTCGAAAGAAGGCGACCGCGCCGCCGCATAATCGCTATCCTGGATTCTATCAGCAGGACCCAGGAGAGCTACCGACGTGGAAGAAGTACTACTCGGTCCGGAGGCATACGGAACAGAGGAGAACAGGGATGTGCCGCTCTCGCCGGCTTTCTGGGATAACCTGTCGGTGAGTATGGAAGAGAATCAGACTCTGTTCCAGGAGTGGTGGGCCAGGCGGACGAGGGGGGACTCAGTGAGGCCTTGTCGCGGGATATGTCGGAGGAGGGCGATGGAGGTGGGAACAGGGTAGGTACGTAATCTGTATGGACTTCTCGTTTACTTGCCAGGTCGACAGACTGCCTGCCCAATCCAAGGTAGGTCTTACTGTTGACTCCCCCACTACTCTTGATTTTACTTCGACCTGAAGACAACAAGGTGATAAAAGAATCAAATCAATTTCGTCCACCGCACTGCGATGAATCTGTTTCGGTCTCCCAACTAATCTAGCCAAGTATGCACATGAAAGAGAACATAAATAATCATTCTATCCATAAATCACACTTCTTCTCACATCTAGTCGATGTACCAGTCGACACCGCCGACACGGCCGGAGCCCAGTTCAGCCAACTCAAGGAAGAGCGACGAGGACAGATCGATGGAACCAGGCTCACAGCCCATGCAGGTATCGACAATTTTACCCTTAGCGGTCTTGCCGCCGTAGTTGATGGTCACCTCCTTACCACAGTATTCCTTCTGCATGATGGTGTGGGACAAGGCCAGGACGTGTTCGCTGTCGGTGTTGGTCCAACCGCAGGATCCCAGGCCGACCTCATAGTAGGTGATGTCTCCAGCGCAAGGAGAAGACTCGGAGCAGGCTCCGCTGGAGGAGCCGGAGCTGGAGGAGCCGGAGCTGGAGGAGCTGGAGCTGGAGGAGCTGGCGCTGGTGGTCGCGGCGGGGGCAGCAACGGTGGTGGAGGTGGAGGAGGAAGTGGAAGTGGAGGAAGTGGTAGCGGCGTGCCACTGCTCAGTGGTCGAGGTCACAACGCTGGTGGTCCACTGTTGAGCGGGGACCTCCGGAGACCAAGTCCAGGATGGCACAGCGGGGGCGGTCCAGGCGGGCTGTTCCCATGCAGTGCTGGTAGAGGTCGTGTGGTGGGAGCTGGTGTGCGCCTGGATGGTGTGGTCGGCAGCCTTGTTCGCGACGCTGGGGACGGCAGTGGGCTCGACAGTGACGGTGGTGGTCAAATCGACGGTGGTCCAGACGACAGAGGTGACGGTCTCAACCTCAACGACCTGGTCGCGCTTGTCGACGGGGGCAGCTGAGGCAAAGGCAGCGAGCAGCGAGCCAACAAGGGCGAGAGACTTGGTGATGGGAGCCATTGTAATTTCCGTCTTTTGGTCTTGGGGTTTGTTTTCGTGGGGTTTCACGAGGGGTATCTGGTTGATTTTTGAGGAAGATGCAGTCTAGAAAGCGGGTTGCTTGCTTTGAAAGTATGTCTATCTAGACGAAGGATTGGCTGACTCTGATCGACAGAGGAGTTCGAGGATCTCGTGGATAAGGACTGATTGACGGACTGCACAGCAGTGAAAGAGCAAAGCGAACCCAAGGGAGTGTGGGTGTGGGTGTGGAAGAAGGAACGACAGACGCTGCTGGTTGAGAAGTGAGAGAGTGAAGGTGAGGGAAGGTGAGAGGGGTAGCCCTTTTTAAAGCATGGAGAGCATGGAGGGGTGGAGGGGAGGAGGGGAGGACTGACAGTCGAGGCCGGGGCCGTGCAATGAAATTGGACTGGTGTTAGTTCACTAGCGCTCGGCTACAATAAAAATGATTTTTACTTTAAAAATTTTCAATAAATAAAATATGATGAAGATAATAATAATAATAATAATAATGAAGAGGAGGCTAACCAAGTTTGAGGTTCCCAGACGGCCTCAGCGTGAATTTCCCTACCTACTGTACATTGGTACTTCCTACTGCCAATCATCCAAACCAAGCGTGGTCCCTGACAGAAAGAACCAACAGGAGGATTGGCCCGACTTGACCAAGTGGGGTTTTAGGTCCCAGACCCCGACCTGACCTCGACCCATCACTCGCAGCCCAGCTCGTGAACGCCCCCGATCAACTGGAATTGGTCAGGGACCGGGCGACGGAACCAGTTAGTCTACCCAGTCATGATGAACTCTCAGGAACCTCAGGAACCTCAGGAACACCGGAAACATCACAGTCGTCCTACCCAGTGCTACCACCCCAACTGTAGGTACAGTACAGTCTGTCTTCCCTTGACTGCCTTGACTGCCCTGACTGCCCTGACTGCCCTGACTGCCTTGACTGCCCACTTGTCTTCACCGTCTCTCCAAGGGTAATTGATCGCTTCCCCCTCCGTCCCACAATCCCCTTCCTTCCGCCCTTTCCCCTCTTCTTGTCTCCCTGTAAGGTATCACCCCATGGTCTGCCACTTCATCAATGTTGCTCTCCCAATCGCCTCGTATTGGACTCGGTGAGAATGACGTGAACTGTACAGTCATCCAGCGCGTTCCTGAATGCCGATGGATCGACTGATTGGCGGACCCCCCTTTGGCGCCAATGTCTCAGCCAGGCGGGTTGGGAGGGGGACCAACTTTGCTGACTGGTCGACGCATTCGTTAGTTTGCCCATTGACTTTCCATTGACTTTTGCGTTGTGGCTTGCCCTGTCCCGTATTCTTCTTTCTTCTCTGCAGGCACCAGGGCTCTTTTTTCCGCGTCCCGTCCCAGAGACTCCCAGGGCGGCATCGATCGGCCATTATTCCTGTAGTGGTGCACCCATCCAATAATTCTACTCAGCCACATCCGATTGACTAGAAACGGTGCCTGACGGAACAACATGCACAAATAATGGAACAAGTAAAAGAGGAAGTAAAAATAAAACCTCCCAAGAAAAGAAACGAACCAACACTCGTCAGACACAATTCCCCCTGAAAAGTACCATTCATTCTCTAGGCACCTAGTCAGGAACACATGCGAGACACCACTCTTTTCCCTCGTCTTTCACTCCTGTCTTTCAAGGCTAACTCTCGTCCCCGTCCTCCTCGTCCTCCTCGTCCTCCTTCTCCTCCCGGTGGCGAAAACATCATGGATCCTGGTAAACTCACCATCTCAGGAACGTAGCCTATCGAGATGCAGACCGTGCAGTGTCGACGTGTCCGACCCCCTCCGAGTCTTCTCAGTCAGGCGTTTCTTCGGTCTCCATCGCATCCCGCGGCCAGTGAGGGCAGACAATGCGATCGGTGAGTCGGCCAGATGAATCCATTGCGGATGCTTTCCCCTCTTTCTCATCTGTTCAGGGCTGCATTTCCCCTCTTCTTTGCCCCCACTGCGAAAATTTCTGTCGACTGTCGGGTCTTCCAGCAAGGCCGATTGGAGGCCTGCAGTCGCCTTCACATTGAATCTTGCCAGGTTCTGCCGATCTAGACCGCTGGACGAGAATGGTCGATGTCATCCATCCACTGTGGATTTTCTTCTTTCATGTTCGTTGGGTGTGTCTGTGTCTGTTTGTTGTGGGAATACGAAACTTGGCATTCGATTCAGGACGCCACATGGGACGATGGCCACAAACACCAGCGCTCGGTCCAGGCCCTGATCCCCGACCGAAGTGAAAGAGGACACGACCCGACCGGTCAGCTCGTCATTCACCGTGTCATGGTCTTGGATTTCTACGAGTATCAACAAAACAATACGAGATTATCAATCAATTACCTCTCTTTCTTACAGATCAATTGAGAATCAACAATCCAGAACCTGCACAGTGACATCAATCCTTCATCAGGCATGACATGTATCGCATCGGCAGAGTATTCGGGGACCCCCCTCACTCCCCCTCCCCATCGGAGCGTATCCTCTTCCCCCTCAACTGTAGTCATTCACACCGCACAATTCCTCCGACTCAAGAGAAGTAAGACTGCAGCATGGTCAACATCTTCCGCATTCCCCGGCTGTCTGTCTACCTGTCCGTCTGCCCGGCCGATCTGTCTCCTCGCTTAGTGCGAACGGTGATTGGGTCATTGGACCTCTTCACCCCTGTGCGACAACGTAGCCGTGTTGCGAGAGCACGTATAGGATACATAGCTCATGTGTTATGTGTGTACTGTACACTACGCATCATCCAGCCAACACCGCTCAAACGGGTGCCCAAACGGCCAGCCCCCACAAGATGCTACAATCTGGCCCCGGACATTGGATCAGATGGTACCTGACCATCTCCCATCGCCCATAGGGAAGAGCTAAGCTCCTTTCCTAACTCCCCTTTTTAAATCTCGAAGTCCTTCATCCAACTCGAAGCTTGAAGGAAGCTCCAAAACAACTAGTGCCAACACCCGGATTGAAGCTATAGCTCGAGGTAGCCAACCGGTCAACCACAGATTGCAAATGAAGCTGAATCCTTCAGGTTATCCTTCCACTTACCGTGTTCATCTATTTTTACACAGCGGGCAATGAAGCGAACCGTCGCGAACCGTACCTGCGTATGTCTGACCAACAGTCTCGGCATCGAAGAGTTAGAGTTGGGCGCTGAAACAGGAGCTGAGTCCTCCTGAACTGTGTGTTCAGGACGGAGCTATCCGTACAACAGACGAACGGATGTCTTGGAACGTTCTGATTCGATGCATCGTCGCTGTTTACATCCGCAGGAAACGGCTACACCGGCTCCGCAACATTGGATGGATTCCATTGACGGCCCGGTCCTTCACTGGACGGTCAATTTAAGCAGGATGCTTCGGCTAGGTGCGACGGTTGGCCCCCGGACGTTCCTGATGTAATTAATCTGAGCTGATACCAACGTTGGATTTAGGTGTAGGTGCAATTCGCATGGACTGAGTCTACCAACACAGGAAGTGGTACACAGCTGATGCAGGCGTACTTGTTCAATATTGCTGACGTACTCCGCTGTCTCCATTCGCTCTGGGCATCCGCTATTTTTTTTAGCCGACGTGTGTTGATGCTCGGATCAAGCAGGATTCCCAAGAAAGTCGGTATACAACCGGGAGCTCAGGGTGCATCCTCAGAGTCTCACCTGTTTCTCAATAGTACGCGATCGGGGTCCATGGAAGATTCGTCCTCGCGCATGTCTGAACACTTCTTGGCATAGAGGGCTTGAGTCTCTTCCTATATAGCAGCTCGGACTACGGATAACAAGAGCAGTGGTTCTCGGAAAAATAAAAGAAGAAGGAAAAGCCAGATCGATAAGATCCAGAGGGGCGCGCAAGTGTATGTGGGCGGACCATCTCATACAGCTGAGACGGACACTCCAAACGTCGAGGCAATGTCCTCAAGCTACAACACGCTCTGTGTGGGATGAGAAGTCGTTTTCATTGCAGAAAGAACTGAGGGCCAGAAGGCTTGTTCCCTTGCCTCTCAGTTTCCAGTTAATCGTAGTCAAATGAGATAACAACAACAATCAGTCGAAGGTACAGTACTTATCCGGTGGTCATTCAGGAAAACGACAAGCCTGCCCTGCCAGGGGCTGCAGGAATTTGCCCTGCCGTGCTCATTGGCTATATCAACCTAAAATGATATGAGTTGAGCGTTACGCACCTGTGAGCCGCCATGCACCCCGAATGTGACTAGATAGGCGGTGGTTTACTAGGGTCCCATAAGGCGCGAAGGTAGAGCCTCCGACAGTTTGGCGCTGTCACAATCAGAAGCGCCGGTCTAACCCCCTCTAGCGTCTCCTCTTGCATATCTAGTCCTATCTACCAGTGATAATGCCATCTATTCGCCAACTTTTAGCAAGTTACATTTATCAATGTAACTATATGTCCATCATCCATGTCCGCCTAGGCGCTCGTCTAATCATAATGGACAAATGAATCAAAGTCTTTTGATCTGCGAATCCGTTCTGTCTACCAGAGTTTTAACACAAAAGGTATATGCCTCCCAGAATACAGAATGATCAATCATCCAGGAGTGAGCTTCCATATCAGATCTGAACCTCCATTTACTATTCTCAAATTTCGCAGGGTGTCCTTTACGCTGTGTTATAGGTCGTCGTCATGGTATGTCAGTCCTTCTGAGATATTCTACACACAGAGTGTCTGACCATCACGGGATCCCTCCCGAATCAAGTCTGGCTTAGATGTCGCGGTCTCTGTTCTGGGCCTGATCGAAGCATCGATCAGTCTCATCGGCCAGCTCCACGATGCCTACAAGCGGCAAAAGGAGCACGCCAACTTTCTCGAGGGATACGAGGAAGAGCTCAAAAGCGCCAAAGGCATCATCCAGGTGGTCGCGGACGAAGCAGACCTCCAGACCGCGGAAATGTCCTCTCAGCTGGTGAGGATGGAGGCGCTGGTTCAGAAATTGGTCGGCCTTCTTCGGAGCCTATCTTCTGAGAACAAGAGCGTTGCGCGGCAGTTCTTCCATCAGCTGACGCAGGGCTCCAAGGACGAGAAGGCGCTGTCGGGCCTGGTCGACCAGATCTACCGGGCCAAGACCGATCTGATCGTGTTGGCTCAGGTTGCTGGGGTCGGTTTGGTGCGCACAACCGACAACAGCATAGCAGCAAACACCGAGATCATCCATCGAGTCGACCGGCATATCCAAGAAGTGCTTGGGGAGGGTCGTGGGTTGAAGGTTGGTACTTTGATCGGTGAGGATGCTAAAGCCGGCAGTAGCGGTGGGTTTCAATTCCCCCTTTTGGTCTCTGTCTATACGTACGACTATAAAGCTGCGATACGCGTGGCAATGATCTTCAGACTCTAATGACACGTGCATCTTCCAGAGACGCGCGAAGTCCCCTTGAGCCGTGAAGACGTGGCAGCCATGATGGGTGCACAACCTGGCACGGAGCGGATCATAGAAAACAACCTCACGCAGCAGCAAGCCCTCCAAATCAATGGGCCGGTGGGAGAGGACCGATGGAAGTCGATTAGCCGCTTGGTATTTAGAACAGAACAAGGCGACCGGAGCGAGTACCCAGGTAAACTATCCGGTGTCGTCCTCGACGTCCTATCTCCTTCTGGTGAATCATTTGATCAAGTATGTCCTGGGGTGTGTTTGCTGTATATTCCACTGGCCTATTTGTTTCAGAAGCACGATTGAACCTGTAAGGATTTTCGTAGACACATGCGAGAGAGACTTATACTTGAGGTGATAGGCGGGACCTCGGGTTGGGTGGTATGTAGTCTATCATACTAGTAACCAACCTATAACTATATATTAATGATACTATCTGCGGTATACCCCGTATCCATCACTACTGCATCCGAGGAGTCTCAGCTTCGGTAAGTCCATCAAAGCATCAACGACACAGGAAGCACACTCTTCCACGACACAAAGATGCGAACCGCTCGTATCCAACGAAGCGTCTGCGGATTCCTTCCTCCCTACCCCCCCAGAAAGTCAACTATGTTATCCCCCACTTCGAATGGCACCAGAGCCACCATCCCCGTCCACGGTTAGGTTCCTGCCAGATGTACACATCCGGAGATACCCTCAATCAAACCTCAATCACAACCCGTCAAAAGCGGCCGTGGAGGCGAGAGCGATCATGTTGTTAAACTCAATAAGCTCAAACCGCCACGCGTGGACCCGAATCCCCCACAGTTTACTACTAAACTGGACGTCATACGTATTTCGACCTCCACGTCTATGATTCATATCCTCTCTTTCGAGGACATCATCGTCCGATCCATTGCCGACAGACAATTTTCTTCATGCACCATAAAGTGCCAATGCGCCCACTCGTCCCCAATCTCTAACAGTCCAGTCTATATATTCCCTCCCATAACCCGGAGAATCTTGCAACTGCAGTCAAGCTCAATCCCAAAGAATACGTATGTATGTCCTATCTCACCTTCATCTGTCGTCCATCCAACTTACTCAAAGAAGTGTATATATACTAACTAGTCATTCCATTCTTTAGAATGGACAAAATCCAGGAGAACTTGGTATACGCCAAGAACCAGGCCACTGAGACCTGGAACCCGCAACTTGTATGGGAACAATAGTGCGTCATGACCGCATGCGCCCGACAGATGTCCATCGTCTGCGTTGTCTGCACCGGGCTAACGCGCAGTCGTGTAATCTAATCTAGGCCAGGGGTCCTCCATGACGAACAACAATGGTCAGAGCTTTATGGACCAAGCCAGGAACATGATGGGCAACAACAACAACAACAACAATCAGGGTATTATGGACCAGCCCAGAAACAAGGCTAATGAGACGATGAACCAGGCAGGCAACATGATGGGTAGAACGCAGGACTCTGCTAAGGATACGTTGTCGGAGACGGAGTCAAAGGCCGATCACTAAAGGCTCCGCCGTTTAGCCTTCGCTGATCGGATCATGAAGTAATGTATTTGGAATGAGTAGAGCCGAGGGGTTATGCGGAGCACGGAGACCGAAGTATTCTGAATAGTAGTTAATTGCTATCTATGTATATCAAGATCATCGCCATAAGCCATCAACATCAATATCGAACGTGAAGAAGAAAACAACAGAAGCCGGTGAATACACTTGAAGAGCCCAGAAAATTGAAAAGAAATAAGAAGCCATATCCATCAAACTCGTAATATAATTACACACGAAATTCCCAAATCAAGACGCCGACCGAATTATACCCCTCATTGTTAATTTGCTTCAACCCTGGCACATGATGCAAGCCTCCTTGTTTTCGATGCTGCACTGAAGCACCGCCTGGGAGTAAATGTCATTCTCGCGCTCCTCGCTCGTCTTTTCGGAATCCTCTTCCTGAGGGCCTTCAGCCTCACCGTCGTTGCCACGCGAGGCAGCATCAGCGGCGAGAGCACGAGGGCTATCAGCAATGTTGGAGTCATCTTCGCTGCGTCCATTGACTTGGCTCTGACCACGAGGCACAGCGGAGTACGTGGAAGAGGCAACACCGGTAGCGCGCTTTTTGTAGGAAGCATTGGCACGAGCAACGTTGGTATCCTCAACCTTGAGCTGCTCCTGATCCACCGTAAACTGGATAGGGGCCGAAGCTGCCATCGTGCGCAGGTAGTACATACCAGTCTTGAGACCCATCTTCCAACCGGCGAAGTGCATACTGGTGATCTTGCCCATGGTGGGCTCCTTCAAGTGAATGTTCAAAGACTGAGACTGGTCAATGAAGGCACCACGGTCGGCAGCCATCTGAAGGATGTTGCGCTGAGAGATTTCCCAAACAGTCTTGTAGAGGGCCTTGATATCAGCGGGAATGTTGGGGATGTTCTGGACAGAACCACCCTCAGCGATGATGCGGTTCTTCATGTTATCAGACCACAAGCCGAGGTCAACCAAGTCCTTGAGCAACCAGGGGTTAACAACCTGGAACTCACCGGCCAGGACACGACGGGAGTAGATGTTCGAAGTATATGGCTCGAAGCACTCATTGAAGCCTAAGATCTGACTGGTGCTAGCAGTAGGCATGGGAGCAACCAACAAACTGTTGCGGACACCAGTCTGAGCAATCTTGGCCTTGAGAGCATCCCAATCCCAAAGATCGGTGGGAGTGCGGTCCCACATGTCGTACTGAAGGATACCCTGAGAAACGGGAGAACCCTCGTAAGTCTCATAGGGACCGTACTGCTTGGCCAAGTCAGAGGAGGCTGTCAGAGCACCGTGGTAAATGGTTTCGAAGATTTGAATATTGAGCTGTCTAGCCTCGGCCGAGTCAAAGGGCAGACGCAGGGCGAGGAAAGCATCAGCCAAACCGTTCACACCAACAGCAATGGGGCGGTGACGGAAGTTGCTCTTCTTGGCCTCGGGGACAGGATAGTAGTTGATGTCAATAATCTTGTTCAAGTTGCGGACCAAGACCTGCACGACCTCGTGGAGCTTGCCGAAGTCGTATTCGCCGCGAGCGGCATCCACAAATGTGGGAAGAGCAAGGGAAGCCAGGTTGCAAACAGCAACCTCATCAGGAGCACTGTATTGAATGATTTCCGTGCACAGGTTGGAGCTGCGGATGGTTCCCAAGTTCTTCTGGTTGCTCTTCTTGTTGCAAGCATCCTTGTACAGCATGAAAGGGTTGCCAGTCTCAGTCTGCGCCTCCAAAATAGCATACCAGAGCTTCTGCGCTTTGATAGTTCTGCGGCCGCGACCTTCCTTCTCGTACCTATAATTTTGTTAGGAATGAGCGGACAGACGAGTACAGATATGTGACTCACTTCTCATAGAGAGCATCGAACTCGTCACCGTAGACATCGGCCAATCCGGGAGCTTCGTTAGGGCAGAATAAAGTCCAGTCGCCGTTCGACTCAACACGCTTCATGAACAGATCGGGAGTCCACAGAGCGTAGAACAGATCACGAGCTCTGACCTCCTCCTTACCGTGGTTCTTGCGAAGGTCCAGGAACTCGAAGACATCCGAGTGCCAGGGTTCCAGGTAGATGGCAAAAGCACCAGGGCGCTTGTTACCTCCCTGGTCGACATATCTGGCAGTGTTGTTGAAGACCCGCAGCATGGGCACCAGACCATTGGAGGTACCGTTAGTTCCGCCAATGTAAGAACCTGTGGCACGAATTCGATGAACGTTCAGACCAATACCACCAGCAGTCTTGGAGATCATGGCGCAGGTCTTGAGCGTGTCATAGATACCATCAATACTGTCCTCCTTCATGTCGACGAGGAAGCAGGAGGCAAGTTGAGGCTGGGGGGTTCCAGCATTGAACAAAGTCGGGGAGGCGTGAGTGAAGTACTTCTGAGACATGAGATGGTAGGTCTCAATAGCCTTCTCGATATCGTTGCCGTGAATACCAACGGAGACACGCATCAACAGGTGCTGAGGACGCTCTGCAACCTTTCCATTGATTCGCAGGAGATATGAGCGTTCAAGAGTCTTGAAACCAAAGAAGTTGTAGTTGAAGTCGCGGTCATAGACAATGGCCGAGTTGAGTTCATCGGCGTGCTTCATGACTAACTCGTACGTCTCCTTAGAAATCATAGGTGCGGGGTTGTTGTTCTTGGGGTTGACATAGTGATAGAGGTCGGAGATGACCAAGGAGAACTGCTTCTTGGTTTGCTTGTGAAGGTTGGAAACGGCTATACGAGCGGCGAGGATGGCGTAATCGGGGTGTGTGACGGTCATGTACGCGGCAGTCTCGGCGGCCTACATGTAAAGTTAGGATTGGTTGTCAAGCACCCGAATTTCTGCACATACCAGGTTATCGAGTTCAACGGTGGTGACACCCTGGTAGACACCAGAGATGACCTTCTGGGTGATAGCAGCGGCATCGACATGCTCAGGATCGAGTCCATAACAAAGCCTCGACACACGAGCGGTGATCTTGTCGAACTGCACGCGTTCTTTGCGTCCGTCTAGAAACCAACGTGACGTTAGCAAAGTTTGTGAATCGAGTGGCAATCGGCATATTTGAAGCCTGCACAGCGGTTTCGAATGGAAAACAAAGAGCCGTAGGGCACCAGGTGAAAGGCATAGGGCGTGGCGCTTACCTCTCTTGTAGACAAACATCTTCAATAGTAGGGAGTGGCTGGGGAATGCTTTGGATGGAGAATTATGGCAGAAGGGGTATAAGGAGATAGAAGTACAGAAAGAAGAGAGGAAGTGAAGAGTAAATCGAGAGGCGTGAAAATGAGAGGTTTCGTGAGTAGGAAATCAAAAAAGATAGTCCTGAAGACAGGAGCTGAGGCTGAGGATGAGAAGAAAGAAAAAGACGGAGGGGCAGCGAGTGTGGTAGATATTTGACGTCGCCGGGCAAACGCGTTGCTGGTGGATATCAACGCGAATTTTCGTGTTTGAGCTAAATGGGCGGCCCTTGCATCTACGCTAGCAGGCCCAGTACGAATTCTTCGCTCCGGCTGCCGGAGACGCGCGACGCCTCTAAGTCACGTGTTGTTATTGAATCTCTCACACGCCACGTCGACCGTGGACAGCCGGCGGGATCTTACAAATCAGCTCCGCGCTGGAGTGAACTAAACTACCAGCTGGAGGCAGACCGCCGCGATGCTTGGTAAGATATCGAGAAATTGGCTAAGAAAAGACCTCTCCACCGGCATCCATCAGGTTCTTCAAAGGGTTTCCCTTTTCGGCCACCGGAATTGTCTTGCAAAGTAGCATATACGAAGCAAATCATGGTTGAGCTGCGTTCTATTCCACGGCGGAATATTGTACAAGAAGTCATACTCGAACATGTAACGACGGAATGCAGATTCGCAAATTGTTGACCCGCAATTGATAAACAAGTACTGATAGAGACTACAGTGCCGCTGCGAACCCGAAGAAGACAACAGCTGCGAATGCGGCAGCGGGAACATGGCGGTCCGACGAACCAGCTGAAACGATCGGGCTGGGATAAGCACTAGGTGATGAGCTGGGCCTGAAGCTGGGCCGAAAGCTGGGAGATGGGCTTGAAATGGACCCTGAAATGATGCTGGACGAGACGGTTGGAGTGACATCGACAGAACCGGTCTTAGTTGGGTTCGGAACGGCGGTGGATGATGAGACGCCAGAAATGGTGAATGTGTCGTTCACTACATAGAACATTGCGCTCAGTATACGTCTGTGCGACAGCTTCCTATCCAACATACCAACTTTGTACCCAGCCGAGGCACATGTGTCGGAGAACTGCTGCATAGCCACCTTGGTATCGTCGCCGCAGAGGTCCGCAATCTTATCCTTTATTCGCTTGCCATTTGTGACGCAAATGGCCTGAAGATCATCCGGATTAGGCTGAGAACTAGGTATTCTCATTCAGCAAGTGATATCAACCACAGCAGCAGCAGGGTTTGGATACTGGGCACACATACCCTACCGCGGACAGAAGACAAGCACGGGTTGGGACGGCGATGGCAAGGCTGCTGAAGGTCAAAATGAATGCGAGAAGAGTAGCCTTGATAAATATCATCTTGAGAATGTCTGGAGAACTCAAGGGCAACGCGATGAGATAATTATTGTAAAGGAGAGAGGAGATCGGTGATGGTGTTCAAGGAGAAATGAACAGACGGGTGGAATTTTCCGGGGACAACAGCAGACAGAGCGTATGGTGGTTCAAAGGAGCGACTGCTGGTAACTTTGAATTGTCTGGTGATGAGAATTGAAGCTTCGAGAATGAGGAATTCAAAGGTCAAGAATTCGCCAACTCGAGCATGAACTGCAACCCCCCATTCCTAGTTACAGAATTGACCCTCAGGGCTGCCGATCGACTACAAGACTGGGGTCGTACCCTGCTAGTATTGAACTGGTTAGTTGCCGCAAGGGCTCAGGCCAGCGGTGGAACCACTAGGACAAGTCAGGCTAGCTAGTACTGGGAACCTATTACCGTGGAAGTAGTCCGATGGAACGTCACTCTCATGATGGTAGAACCATAGCGACTGTCCACGGTCATTACTCGGCTTGCTGGAACAGGATGCTCGGGTGCTGACAGATGAAGATGATATATATCCTCATAAGCTAATCGATGCTTGGTGGAAGTTGAGAGCACATTAGATCATGACATTTCTACTTCGCTCTTACTACATTGCAGTATGAGATGGTTAGTCTAGAACAAGACAGTGCGCCTGCATACTAGATATCCTGATGCTCAATCAGACACATCCCGAGCATCTTGATTTTGAGTTTGATATTGGCGTTCAAGGCCGTTACATACGTAATCGGACGGCTGCTGTCTGGGCAGTTCTGTATATTTATACTTAATAAGTCTACCCAGCAACGCAATCTCCGCCTGTGAGCATACAAGATGGCTTTTCAAGCAATCATTCCCCTAATCTCGCTTGTATGATCCGTATCTACATATTGAGCGAGCTAGCGACATCTTTCTGCTGTTATTGTTCGAGTGATAGTCAGACTAGGGAAATCGGCTACAAAACACTGCAGTAAGAATGAATAAGATGAAGATTTGTTGTTCCCATAGTGTCACAGCCAAGAACTTACAAAATGGTATATTGCTCATGCATTGGAGACTCCTCAAGCCTACAGTTATCCTCCCAGTGTGCCGCCATATCTGGCTCACTCTTGACGTAGACGGTCCTTGCGTAAAATGCCTTTATTGAATGGTGTATCCAAGTGTGATGCAGAAAACCAACATCAAAGTCAACAGTGAAAAGCATCAACAGTTGTTCGTAGAGACCCTCGGTAGCGGTAGCTTGTTCATTGTATGCATGTCTCAACAGACCTGAGATTGTGGGCATATTACTTAGTAACTAACAAGTATCACCACCCAAGGAGGGCAGACAATGTGCTTGAAGTACATTGGAAGTATTAAGAAAGCCCTTTACCAGGTTCCCATGTCTATCTAGGTCGATTGAATTAGCACATAACCAGTTCTTGTAATTTGATTAATTCAACACATCATAGGACCTTGTCGATATGGCGGGCTTGGTGGACACCGAGAGATCGTAACTTGGGAATTGAGCGCCGGTCGTGTGAGAATACCCATTATAGTGCGTATAGTCTAATCTACTAGTTATTGCGCCTAGATAAATGCTGATCCAATTCGGATGCTGCTGGACTACTGATTAAGTGCGTGTTTGAAAGGTATACGACGGATGTTGAACATAATTTAGTATGTATGAGTCGAAAGCGCGCAAAACCGACGTCCCGCGACTGTGTAACCTTGAACGCAGGAGATGTGATAGCTAAGCTTAAACTGAGAGTTAGAAGCATTCCATAAATCTCTAGTCAATATCATGATGATAGTCTATATACTTGAATGTGTTGGGTACCCTTCAAGAGCCCTTGCGTCACCTTTCCCACGCAGGGTCAAATTCACTATTAATGAGCTCCTGAAGATCCATCCTGTAATCCACAATCTCCTTCCCATTTACCAGATCATTCTCCGTGACTCGTCTATCTGCTTCGGTCTCGTCCTTCGCGATTCCCGCCTTGACATGTCTTCGAATTAACCTCCTCCGGGCAATTTCAAAATCAACCTCGACAAACCAGAGCTCATCCATCAATTTCGCGGCCGTGTTCCACGGCTCCTTATCCAGACTAAGATAGTTACCCTCGAAGAAAATCACCCGGCAGGTAGCCGGAATGGTGATGTCGTCATCCACGGGATCCTTGACCGCGTGGTCAAAACTCGGAGCGTACAGGCTCCGTGTCTGAGGCGTCACCTCTTCCCGCAGCGCCTGCACTAGCTTGAGGAACTTCTCTCCATCGAAGGTGAATGCAGCACCGCGGCGGGCAGCAGCGTATGCGGGGTCGGGCATTTCAGCCAGCTGAGCCCGCGTGAGGTGGTACCCGTCCATTGGGACAATGGTCGCGATAAGCGGTGAGTCTGGATGTTGCGTTGAATATCGTTGATTGATGCGGTTGGCCATTGTTGTAGCCAGCTCTGTCTTGCCGGACCCCGGTATTCCGCTGACCGCGATTAGTAGTCGAGCATCCTTTGGTGTTGACTGGAATTTGTCTGTGGCTCTAAGCATTAGCTACGAGGACAACTCTTGCTGTTCGGACAAGCCAGCGCTTGCTCCTTCACGTGGGAATTTTGCCGCAGTACTCACTCCAGATCTTGTCCACTAATCGATCGACTTGTTGATCCATGACGAACAAGGAGGTTTGGGGTCTAGGACAGAATACACACGAGGATCAACCGGACTGTATTGTTGGGACAAGGCACAGATGACCGTGGTCCCGGTTATGCAAAGGTCGGAACTGTTTATATACGCGTTAATTGGAGCGCAAATTGAGATACTCCTAGATGGTGATGTCTCGGGTGCAATCTAGCGAGCTTGGGATAAACAATTCGTTATAATCCGGTACCGGTATCGGATAACGAGCGAATTTGAATGATGGAGGTCTGGATGGACAGTGGAAGCTCGGCGGTTCAATGGGATAAATAAGTCTGCGGGGCTTGTCGTCAGAGTGGGGGCTCGCAATCGCTTTTACTCCGGACTAACGATACGTCACGTCACAGGGGAGCAGCAACCAGGTCCCGCAAGTAAAACAAGCAGCCATACTTTTCTTCAAGTTTCAGGAAACTGATAATGAAACTGGTGTCCTTCGTGAGATGTACTTTCAGACGCGGCGCTTTACTTCCACGGCGCTTGTTGGGAAATTTCAAAAATGCGTGCCGGGCTTACAAACAGGCAAACTATTGATTATCTTCGCTAATCTCTCTCTACAGGAGATACGTGGACTTCAACAGTTGGGGGTTTTGGCCAGTGAAAGAAATTTCAGATATCAGTACAGAGAAAACAGAAAATATGTATGGAGAAAATTATTTCCGCATCAGGTGGTGCCCGCCGCCGTCGATGGAAAGATATCAAGACCACACCGCTGAACGCCAAACGAACCATCATTCCGCTAAGTAAAACCTCAAACCTTGAGGCGCGTTTCCCGGTATCTCGAGTGACGCATAACGAGCACTGTCTATCAAAACCCAGAACCAAAACAAACATAAGAGAGAAGGTCAAGTGGATTGCTGTTCAATTTGGGCGTAGTGGTCCGTCTACCGTATCGGCATCGTGAGTCTCGTCATTTTCACGTTGAGCGAGGGTGCGAGACAATCCGACGGACGCCCAAAAGTCATCAGGAAGATCTTGCCGACGTGTCAGACGGTCCAGCACGGCTTGGAACTGATGCAAATCGGCGTCAGTAGAAGAATCGGAGAAGGCAAATGATACAGTGGGTTGACTGCTCATAGTCGACTGAACTTCAGGTGCCCGTCTTGCAGTTCCCTGAGAACGTGCCATAGCCCCTTGAAAGTCCACGGCTCGCCTCACAGACTCCATTTGGCGAACAGCGCGGTAACGCCGAAACAGTGGGTTTTGAGAAGTCTCAGAGTCCGAATCGCTTTCGGAATCAAGAGCACTCGCTGGGAAGTCACATGGATTCAAGTATTCTGGATATGGGTCAAGAACTACCTCCATTGGGCCAGGACCCGAGTACATAGTATTTGGAGCTAGCTGCAGTGCGGTAGCAGAGCTCCTCAATGCCCCGTTCACAGTCACAGGAGCACTCGTTCCGGACGCAGACGCTGAATTGAATGATGAGTCAGCACTAGGAAGATTGGTATCAGGCGTGATCGTTGTCAAAAGTGTCTCCCACGCATCATTGGCGTGGTCTTCATCTGGGCTGAGGCTTCTTTGACGATCGCCTAAACCATCGATAGCCGATTCTTGGTTTGCACGGTTCGCGTCATTGATTGAGCGCTGACCCATACGTCGCAAGGAAGGTAAAGCCAAGGTAGCAGACAATTCTGGACCCAAGCTGTCGGATAGGGGAAAGGGCGACAGGTGAGGATCTCGGCGCGCTTGAGGGGAAGCAGTTCTGTGGTATGCGACCGCAGGAGCAAAGCGAGGTGTGAATTGGGGATGATCTGGGTCCGGCCCATTGTTTGTATCCGCACCGAGAGGAGCGCGTCGCTGGAAGTCGGCCATGGCCGAGATGCGCGGGATCCTTAAGCGCTGACCGGGACGACCATGACGAAGAGCGTCACTAAGCAGCCGTTGGCCAGCTTCGTTGCGGCTAGAATCTAGTAGCCCGCTAGTGAGATCGAATGGATCTTCAGCGGCGGCAGCATTCGAAAGAGGAGAGCGAACATGACGCTGTATGCCAATCGCCTCGCGGTCGCGTGCGCGGTCGACATCCTCTCCCACTGCCACTGCCCGAACGATATTAGGCAAGCGATTACGACGCGACAGGCCCGGGCCATTTGTGCGATCCAGCTCCATCTCAAGCTCCTCCGACAATGACCGGGGGGAAATCGTTCGCAATGTTGCATTTCGCAGAACAGAGCCATAACGCGAAGGGCGGCGAACACTGGCTTGACGACGGATCGCAGAGCGTGCGGCAGCGCAACTATCTTTGGCAGCGTGGTTTCTCGCGTCTTCCGTTGGGGAAGGCTCCCGGAACATCCTATATCAGTGCCAGTCAGTCAAGATAATTGTCCCGGGCGCTTTAGCCTAATGGAGCAGGGCGCGTAATGTATTATTGACGGCAGAATGGGACAGACTCACGGAATACCCATAGCTACAATGGAAGAACAATCGAAGGAGGAAGGTCGGTTAGAATGATTAATGAATTATCAAGCGATCCCATTCATAAGCAATGGGAGGTTGATGCAGAAGACTAATAAGCACAGTCGCACGGGATTGCGGGGAGCAACGACCAAGACGAGTGTCGATGGAGAAACAGCGAGATTTGGTTTTCCTTCTAATGGAAAAAAGCGGAGGCAACGATATTGGCGCCTGAGGCCTACCGTAGCGCCTCGAGTTTTTTTGGCGGCCGGATGATTGTGGCGCCATCGCCACACGCGTAGATCCCAGTACAGCGTCTAAATTGTGCTGCAATGGAGAGAGACAGACTATTATAGGCTTACCGCTGCCCGGAGATGTGCGATTGGGCAACAAACAGTAAACCACAGGCTCCAGTTTTTCAAGCCCATGACTGCACTCAGCTACCTGCTGGAGGATGATTTGTCTGACCATGGGAGTTGACTGCGACACTCAATATACAGAAACAGATGTTACCGAATAAGACGGACGTGACTGCCCACTGCACTATCACAGCATACCCATTAAGGCTTACATGGTGGGGTTCCACAAGAGTGGCCTTAAGGCATCAATCTCTTATCGGGCACTTTCCCGATTTCCGATTATCTTGCCGACCGGCGCGCTGACTTTCCCGTCGAAAGCACCGGACGGTTGCAAGTGACAGTTACTGTTCCTCCATGTACGCTGCCGCCGTCCTTGCTCGCTGATCATGAGCCTTGAAGCGTCCTCAGCCATTCATAATCGCATGTATTGAGGAATGATAGAGCTCGGCCTCAGTCGTATATCCCGTCTCCTCCAGCAGACTCCGCTGTCATGGAAGGCCATCCACATTGCTGGAACTAATGGCAAAGGCTCCATCAGTGCCTACCTGTCTCACCTGTTGTCTGCTGGAGGGGTGCGCTGTGGTCGCTTTACCTCCCCCCATTTGATCGACCGGTGGGATTGCATCACAATTGGCGAGGATGTTGTCCAGGAATCACTCTTCCGACAGATTGAAGCGAGAGTCAAACTTCGAGATCAGACCCTCGGCATCGGAGCTAGCGAATTTGAACTTCTGACTGCAACTGCCTTCGAAATCTTCAACCATGAACAAGTCGATGTTGGGGTAGTTGAGGTCGGTATGGGCGGTCGGTTAGACGCAACGAACATCTTGACTGATGTTTTGGTATCTGTCATTGCGAAAATCGGGCTCGATCATCAGTCGCTACTCGGAGATACCATCGAACAGATTACACGGGAGAAAGCAGGCATATTGAAACCTGGAGTTCCATGTGTGGTGGATGGCACCAACCCGCCTGAAGCGATCAAGACACTTGAGAATCGCATTAGGGAGCTAGGGATCAAGTCGAACTTTGTCCGCCCGGAAACTCAGTCACCATTACTTGGCCGCCTTTTCGCAACGCTCGACCTGCAGCCTCATCAACAAGCCAATATGACTTGCGCAGTGTCTGCACTTAAGCTAGCACTGGATGGGTTTCGCCCGGATATTAACGTCGATGCGCTCCTTCCCCAGTTGTCGAACGTGGTGTGGCCAGGACGCTTACAGAATATTTCACTGAGCCCTTTGGTGGCCCGCGAACGGCCCGTTCTCCTTGACGGTGCGCACAACGCTCAGTCTGCAGAGGTGCTTGGACAATATGTGGATCGCAAGCTGCGTACAGATGGTGAGAATGTCACTTGGGTTATCGCGGCTTCGAAAGGGAAAGATATACACTCCTTGTTTCACAACATCATTCGGGGTGGTGATAGAGTCGCAGTGACCGCATTCGGTCCTGTTGACGGGATGCCCTGGGTCAAAGCAGCTGATACTGAGGAAGTAGCTTCGTGTGCCCAGTCTATGTTAGGGACGGGTTGCGTGCAGACGTTTGGGAGCGATGTCTCTGCTGCCATTCAGTGGGCTTGTCAAGAAGCCAATGACGGACCATTAGCCATTGCTGGCAGTCTTTACCTTGCCTCTGATGTTTTGCGTCTTCTTCGCGAAGCACGGAATTAGCTGTGATTTATCACGTGTGGTGCAGTTTTGTGTTTACAAGATGCCCATTCCAGCATCTTACTAGCTTGCCCGGACCTTCCTGAGTCTGATACCTTAGTCATCAAATATTGCGTGTGCTGTAGCCAAGTATGAGCTGGTATCATAAGGATTAAAATCCCAAGATCGTGATGCCATGTAGGATTGCCTGAATGCTCATTTGATCAAAATGAGCACCAAACCCCGGTTCGGCTCTGATAAGATTGATCGGAGATAGAGCAGCGGCCGGGCGCTGCGTCATGGCCCAAGCCAGGTGGTGCTGTGGAGAAAGGGAAAGTTCAAAACACCCGCTGAGAGTCCCTGCGTTTGCCCCGGCAGGCACAACAGAAGGTGCTCGGGTTTTTCTGGTCTTGCTGTTGTTTTCCTAATTCCGATTTCTTTGATTAGTGTTATTGCTCAAGTTTCCCTTTGCTTCAAGAGCCCAGGCTCTAATGTTCATCGACGCGTTTGACAGACGCGGCTCGTTCGAGTACGATAACAAGTACTCTCCCAGTAAGTTCATTTTTTTCGTTGGTGAAAATCATGCCATATACTCTAGAAAATAGTGCTTGTCTTTATTTGAAATACTTTCCTGCAGCATCCCTTGATCTTTACTGACTGTCTCAATGCGAGTAGACACCAGATCGTGCTGACATGAATGATCCGATCGATTTTCTGGCACCGGCCTCCTTCGATCTAATTGTCGTTTAAGCAATCGAATCCATCCGAGACAGCACGCTTGGCAGTAGTGGACACAGGACAGCGACGAAACTAGATCCGAAAACCAATAGACAATGGTCTCTCGGTCATCCGAAGCGAGTGAGGGGCCACCTCCACCGTCCAAAACACCAGGCACTCCGGCCAGATCACGACTGACGAGATTGGGGTCCAGCCCGACCAAACGAGAAGATAAAGGGAAAGACGGCAGGATGATCAAGTCATCGGCCAAAGATGTTGCGGAGCTCAAGGATTTCGTATGACAACAGCCCTCTCGTTTTGCTAGGATACTGTGAGCTAACGATGTCATCACGAAGCAACTGGGCGACTGCTTGGGCAAGGGCGCATTTGGTTCAGTCTATAGAGCCCTCAACTGGAATACAGGAGAGACTGTTGCTGTCAAGCAAATCAAGTTGGCCGACTTACCGAAGAGCGAATTGCGGGTGATCATGGTAACGTAAAACGTCCCCACTACAAACCAGCGTCACTGACCCCATGTGCGCAGTTAGAAATAGATCTCTTGAAAAATTTGGATGTGAGATATGACGACTTCAAGGGCTTTGGTTTGAGTATGGGATAATACTGACTCACAATCGCAGCATCCCAACATTGTGAAATACCAAGGGTTTGTTAAATCTGCAGAGACCCTAAACATCATACTTGAGTAATTGATGCCTCCAAGCTCCCATGAAAATGACTCAGCTGATAAGTCTAGATACTGTGAAAATGGCTCTTTGCACTCCATTGCGAAGAATTTTGGTCGTTTCCCCGAGAACTTGGTTGGCCTATACATGTCGCAGGTTCTCCACGGCCTTTTGTACCTGCACGAGCAGGGTGTTATCCATAGAGATATCAAAGGTGCCAATATCCTTACTACAAAAGAGGGACTTGTCAAGCTTGCAGACTTTGGCGTAGCCAGTCGGACCACGGGACTCAGTGAATCCAGCGTTGTTGGCACACCATACTGGATGGCCCCCGAAGTGATTGAGCTCTCCGGTGCAACCACTTCGTCAGATATCTGGAGCCTTGGCTGTACTGTCATTGAACTTTTGGAAGGAAAGCCACCGTACTATAATCTCCAGCCCATGCCAGCCTTATTCCGCATTGTCAATGATGATCATCCACCTCTGCCACAAGGAGCCTCTCCGGTCGGTAGCATGTTTCTCGTTGCCGTGATGTTCTCATTTCACATTCCACCCAGCGCTAACCAAATTCACAGGCTGTCAAGGATTTCTTGATGCAGTGCTTTCAGAAAGATCCAAATCTTCGTGTCTCGGCCAGGAAGCTTCTTAAGCATCCTTGGATTGTCAATGCGCGCAGAACAGACTCAGTGGTACCCAAGAAATCTACCGAATATGAGGAAGCTGTCAAGAGCGTGCAAGAATGGAACGAAGCTCTTCGTTCTCCTGAGACAGGGACGTTGCGTAAGCCTTTCAGGTTCGAGACTCAAAGTTCTTCATCGTTCCGCCCAGATCTGGGCCCGTCTCGATATACACCAACCAAAGACACACTCCCGAGTCCGGTGTCAAAGCATGTCAACCGCTATCGGTCTCCCGATTCTACGGAGGAGGATAACTGGGATGACGACTTTGCGACAGCAATTTCCCCAAGCGCTTTACAGCTGCCTCATCTCCGACCGCAAGACAATTTTGGTGGCATGTTGTCGTCTGAAAAGCTGAAAGCCTTCGCGTCGCTTGATGGAACAGTGGTCAAGTCGGACGATGTGTTTTCGGATTTTGATGATTCATCGCTGAGCCAATTCGGTGAAGCAGATCCTTTACAGACTATTCGGCCTTTCCCTCTAAAGCAAACCGGGGTGGAGAACACAACCAATCAACCCAAGACTACCATAGCTGCCATTCATAACAATGTGCCTATTCTCAAAACCCCGGTGCCACCCCTGAAACCACAACGGCCGACATCCTTCTTCAAGGAGAACTCTGTTGAGGATTATTCTGATCTCATCAAAGGTAACGAGGATGTCTTGGATCACAAACTTAGCGCGTTTCAGGTAAGCGTCCACTGCTCAAATATATTTTCTGATTCCTAATTTGAGTTCAGGAAACCGACGAAGAAAGCGATACTCCAGTCTCGCCATCGAAGGAATTAGTGCGATACCAAGGATCGCCGGAGCATGAAGAGGACCATGAACCACAGCTAAGGAAACGGATATCCGTCAAACGTAACCGCTCCGACATAGAGATACAACGCTATGCAGAGAACGAACACGATGAAGATTTCTCTGATATATTGGGTGCAGATGAGGTTGCTCTCGACAAGCCAGAGAGCGATAACAGCTCAAACCAAAGCACCTTGAGACTCAATTCCAAGCTGTCTAACAATTCGTGGCTTGGAGATCAGGATGATGAAGATGATCCTTTTGCACAGCTTGAAGAAGGACTCGATGAAACGGACTTGGAGGCTAACATCGCGCGTGACAAGTATGCACGTCTCAGGAGCCAAGTTGAAGGGCTCGTGAGCTCCCTGAAAACATCACAGGACGAGGACGTACTGGGCGAGATTTCTGAACAGTTGTTGACTGTCTTTTGTGACCTACCCGAAACGAAGAGCATCATCATTAGTGCTCATGGAATGCTGCCGATTCTGGAGATTCTGGACATATGCCGCCGGCGTGACATTATCTTATGTCTGTTGCGCATTGTCAACGCCATAATCTTCAATGACTATGAGATTCAGGAAAACCTTTGCTTCGTGGGCGGTATACCTATCATCAATGAGTTTGCTGCCAAGAAATACCCGAGAGAGATTCGTCTCGAAGCGGCAGCTTTTGTGCAACAGATGTACCAAACCTCAACCCTTACACTGCAAATGTTTGTCAGTGCTGGTGGGCTAAATGTCCTAGTCGAGTTCTTGGAAGATGATTATGAGGATGAGCGCGACTTGGTTCTCATTGGAGTCAACGGAATCTGGAGTGTCTTCGAACTGCAGGTATGCCATGCCACCTTTCTCCCCTAAACCTGTCAGGCGAGGACTAACTCGAAGCAGGGCTCAACTCCCAAGAACGATTTCTGTAGGATCTTGTCGCGTAATTCTGTCTTGGATCCTTTGTCACTGGTTCTCAGTCGTGTGCTCGATGAGGAAGGCAAATTGGCCGAGATTGTCGAGGGTCGAATTGCAAACATATTTTTCATTTTCTCGCAGGCCGAGAACCATGTAAAGGAGATGGTTGCAGAGCGGACAGTGCTGCATAGTAAGAGACGTTAAGCAGCTCCATTATTCAGACATTTACTGACTCTTTGACTAGGAGTTCTTAAAGAGTTAAGACGAATGACTCCCGCCCACCAGATCACAATGCTAAAGTTTATCAAAAACTTGTCAATGCTATCGACAACGCTCGATGCGCTTCAGAACTCGAACGCAATAGATGTTCTCACAGACCTGTTGAGGTCCACCATCAAACGCCAACACTTCCGGGAAGTCTCCAATCAAATCCTCAACACCATTTACAATATGTGTCGCCTGAACAAGTCCCGACAAGAAGATGCAGCGTTGAATGGTATTGTACCTCTTCTTCAGAAGATCGTGAAGACCGAACGGCCCTTGAAAGAATTCGCTTTACCTATTCTTTGTGACATGGCGCATTCTGGAAAGGTCGGTCGCCGTGAGCTGTGGCGTAACAAGGGTCTCGCATTCTACATATCTCTACTGTCAGATCCTTACTGGCAAGTTACGGCTCTGGATGCGATTTTTAATTGGTAAGTGGTCTATTTCTATAACAGGCACAACGAATCTAACAATTTCTATGAAGGCTCCAAGAAGAAACCGCCAAGGTCGAGGAACACCTCCTTGATAACCGTTATGAACAGGTCTCCTTTACGGATTCTATTGTCAGGTGCTTAACTGTCTCCAAGGCAAACGCATTCGAGAATCTCCTAGAGCCTCTGCAGAAACTCCTTAGACTAAGCCCGCCGATAGCGTCGACTTTCGCGAGACCCGATATATTCACCAAGATTGGACAGAAGCTACACCACAACAAAGCTGCAGTACGGCTAAACCTACTGCGCATTATATCAAGTATCTGCGACTCCAGCGAAGAACAGGGTGGCCTTCTTGCCAGATATGGTCTCCTGGATGCGATCCGAGAACTTGAGCATGATCCAGCCATTTTGGTCAGAGACATGGCCGGCAAGCTGATACAGTCAAATGAGAAGAATGAACCGTATCACATAGAAAAGCGCAAGCCAGGTGTGAGACGGCGGAGTAATTCAACCACGCCACCGAGCCTTCTTGCCAATCAATCCGCTCCGGCCACACCACAAATGAACCGATTCAGTCAGTCGAAGGCTTACTTTGACGGGCGGGAAAGTCAGCGTCACCCGCGGAATGCTCTCGGCAGCTCAGCGTTGGCTCTGCGACCTGGAAGCCGAGACGGGCCAGGTACCAGCCTTTCAGCGGGGGTCAATCCCGCCCCTGGAGCTTCCAGAAACAGGCTGTCACGAGGCCTCGGTAACCGACTATCCCAAGTCGACTTCTTAGGGGAAGAGGATCCCAGACCTGCAAGCTCACTTTCGCGTCGCCGCTCGATTCTTCCGCAACGCCGACGTCCGACCCATACTGACGCGGATTGGGCGTCCAAAGGGCCTTGACCTACGACGATAGGGCTTATTCAAGTCGTTCCCGGTTATTTCGTTTGAGTATAGGATACTCGACGTCTCTCTGGCCCAATGGGATAGCATTGAGGAAGGGGTCCCGGTCGTATGGTTTCGAGTGTCCAGTGCCGATATACCTTTTTCTGGACCCTCGTCTCTGATCAGTGTGGCAGAAATGCATCAGATAGCTTGATTTGACGCAGCTGGGCCACCTAGATGGAATTAAGTAGGGCATTGCACGTTTACGGGGAGTACAGGAACCCCAGCTGGCTGCAATGGCCGATGTACTGTAAATAATCATTGGTGACATACATTGCGGTCATCTGCGGGGGAGAAGATGCACACTAAAGAAGAACGAATATGATGTATAAACAGAAAGTAAATTGGTTCCACCCCAGAAAAAACTAGTAGACGACTTCCGTAGAACCTCACTCCTCAGGGTGTGGCGATCTTTCGGCAGCGGGAGAGCGGCGATTCCGGCCAGGCAAAAAAGGTGCGGCGGACGAAAATGCGCCGCGGCGGTCACCACCGAGAAGACGCCTGCCTCCCTTCCTCCCTCTTCCTTCTCACTCTCCCCCTTTCGCCATATCCAATTCTCCTCTGGAGTCTGGCGCTGGCACGGATGAAATACACCGTTCAAGCCTACGTTTCTCTCGACTTGTGGTCGCTCTCTAGACGGCATTGTTCGTGTTCGGGATGAGGGCGGCGCTCCGCATCCCGCTGCGGGCTTCTTCCAATTTTGATCCCGCGGCGGTCATACGATCCAATCTTGCCCACCTGAACTCGCCCCTGACTCGCCCTTCGACTTCTCCTACTCCCTCTCGCTTGTTCTCCTCCTTCCCCTCTGCAACTACGCCATCCGCTGCAACCGAGCAACGCCGTCTCTGCGATCGAGTATCACCGCTGTTTCGTGCTCGGAACGCTTCCACCTCTGCTACTCCGATACAGAATGATGGGCGGCAATCTGGATCGGGAGGGTCGCGTAGCAGAATCATCAAGTATGGTGTGATCGGTGGAACAATTCTGATAGGGGCGGTCGTATTTTCGGATCAAGTCCAACACTACTACAGCGCAGCAGCGCGGACTGGACGAGTCGTTGGCGCACTCGCTGTCTGTATCAACGAGTGAGTATCACGAGTCTTCCTCGCTCGCATATATCCTTCAGCTAGGACAGTCTTGCTCATACACGATTGCAAACAGTTACCGCGTTACCCTCAAGCAAGAAGCCTCCATCCCAGAAGACCGTGACGAAGCGATACGGGCCTGTCACAAGCGCTGCGCGGAGCGTACTCTGCGTGTTCTCGAGAAGAATGGCTCGATCTTTATCAAGCTAGGTCAACATCTTAGTAGCATGGGCTATCTGCTACCTTTGGAGTGGACGACCACATTCATTCCGCTCCAAGACAAATGTCCTGTTTCGTCTCTCGAGTCAATCGAAGCGATGTTCGTGGCCGACACTGGCCGTCGTATTGATGAGCTCTTCTCGTCTTTCGATCCGCAGCCTATTGGCGCCGCTTCCCTCGCCCAGGTCCATGTAGCTACACTCAAGGAAACTGGCCAGAAAGTCGCGGTGAAGGTGCAACATCCAGCGTTGGCAGAGTGGGCGCCTTTGGATTTGGCATTGACTCGTTTCACTTTCTCAACGCTGAAACGTTTCTTCCCGGAATACGATCTGGAATGGCTGTCCAAGGAAATGGATCTGTCTTTGCCACAAGAATTAGATTTTCGGATGGAAGCAGAGAATGCCATGCGGGCTAGCGAGTACTTCAAGAAGCACTCGGATGCTCCGCTGGTTATCCCCGAAGGTAAGTCCTATCACGCGGCTTGAGTTGTTTGGCGCTCTAACCCTTTCCCCAGTGATGTGGGCTCAAAAACGCATTCTTGTTATGGAATTTTTATCCGGACGACGACCCGACGACCTCGAGTTCCTGGACTCCAATCACATTGACCGCGATGAAGTTTCCGCCGCATTGGCACATATCTTCAACGAGATGATCTTCGGCGACAACGCTCCCTTGCACTGCGATCCTCATGGCGGGAATATCGCTATCCGTCCGAACCCCAACCGTCGCCATCACAACTTCGATGTTGTACTCTACGACCATGGGCTCTACCGTGACATTCCCCAAGATCTTCGTCGCAATTATGCTAAGCTCTGGCTGGCCGTAATCGAGGCCGATGAGTCACGCATGCGCGAATCCGCTCGCAAGGTTGCTGGTATCACGGATGAGCAGTTCCCTCTCTTCGCCAGCGCCATCACTGGTCGTGACTATATGGTTCTCAAGAAGAAGGATATCACCTCCACGCGCACGTCGGAGGAAAGGGAAAGCATGTCTGGGGCTCTGGGAGAGGGCATGTTGCAACAACTTGTCGAGCTGCTGGGCCAAGTCCCTCGTATCATCCTTTTGATCCTAAAGACCAACGACCTGAGTAAGTCGTTATATCCCCTGCCGACTACGGTCTGGCAATTTTCTAACACAGCGATCACAGCCCGCAGTCTTGACGAAAACCTTCACACCCGCCAAGGACCCGTACGCACCTTCCTCATTCTTGCTCGATACGCCACCCGAACCGTCTTCGAGGAACAGTTGGAAGCCGTCCATGAATCAGGCGGCATCTTCCGCCCCGCGAACTTCTGGCGTTTCCTTTGCGCCTGGACCGGCTTCCTGCGCGTAGAGTTAAAGCTCTCTATCTACGAGACTCTTTTGTCGCTGAAGAGTCGCTTCGGATCGGCATAGAGCATCTTACCTTAATCCTCTGTACAGTCTTCTAAACCCCAGCTCAATTTTTTTTGCATCTCTCGCTTTGCACCGTGAGTCTTTCTGAGGTTCAGGGGGGGGGGGGGGAGTAATGTGCTTTTAGAGGGCTCTTTTCTACGAGTTGCACGGTTCGTGTGCATTTCTATGGCGTCACTATCGATCTCCTTTAGTCATGTGGCTTTGTGCACTCTGGTTTGTGATTTTTGGTTTGATAGACATTCTCTCTAAGAACCGCCTGATGTATATTTATTGGTATATATAGAAGATATGCGTAGACTTTCCCCTTTATCATGCAGAGCTATCCTCGGTATCCAGGCGCCATACAGATGTAGTATACCGTGGATTGGGTGGATGATGATGTCAGGCCTGCTACGTAAGATGTGGCAAATCAGATAAATCCGCTGCAATTATGGCTCGCTCGCCCGCCCGCCCCCAATTCTCTACTACTACTACTACTACGACGACTCCTCGAGTTGTTGAAAGATTGTGATTGGGTAAAATGTGCTATATAATGTATTCAATGAGTCAATCAATCACAACGGCCTGCCTTGTCTTGCCTTGTTTAGCTGGGAGTAGAAAGTTCGCGGCGAAAAGAAAAATGGAAAAGAATGCTGTACAGTAGTGAAGTAAAGAAACAGACAACTCCGTCCCAAATCCACAATGAGAATAGGAAAAAAACAAATGAGAACATTCTTATCCCATAGCTGTTGCTTTTCGTGGCTCTCTCACTCTTTTTCAATTAGAGAGAGAGACCCACTAGCTTGGCGAATAGAATAGACCTCATCATTTATTGCTCTGCCTCCACTCCAATGATTTCGAAAAACGATGCAAGAAAGAAGAAATTTCGTATCGTGGTATCGCCTTTCAAATTGAAATATCTTCTGTTTTTCATTTTGTGGAATTCTGTTCAAATTTTTTTTTTGGTCCTTTTTTTTCATTATTCTGTTTAAGCGACAGGGGCAGCCTTCTCGGGCTGAGCGTGAAGGTCCGGGATCGAAGCACCAGTGCCCGCCAGGTTGGTCTTCACGGCCTTGGGGTTCTTGGTGTAGTAGTCGGAGATGGCGGACTTGATGGCATCCTCGGCAAGCATGGAGCAGTGCACTAAATTTGGAAAATCAGCATACATTAGTCAGATGATCAGAGACTACAAAGCCACTAGATCGCGTGCTAATAGAAGGCAGAGGCGCAAAGAACATACACTTCACAGGGGGCAAGCACAGCTCCTTGGCGATGTCAGTGTTGCGGATCTTGGCGGCCTCGTCGAGAGTCATGCCGCGCACCAACTCGGTCAGGTAGCTGGAGCTGGCGATGGCACTACCGCAGCCGAAGGTCTTGAACTTGACGTCGCTGATCACGTTGGTGTCCTTGTCGACGCGGATCTGAAGCTTCATCACGTCACCACAGGCCGGGGCACCGACGAGACCCGTGCCGACGTCGACGCTCTTGGCCATCGATCCGACGTTGCGGGGGTTGGAGTAGTGGTCGAGGACCTTCTCGTGATATCCTCTGCGCTGCTGGGGCTGGAGCGGAGAGGAAGTGGGAGCCCGCAGGCTCGGGGTCTGGGTTTGCACGCCGGCGACGGCCGGGGCGATGATGCGAGGCGAGAGAACGCCCGCAGAGCGGGGAGCGACTGTGGCGAGGCGGCGGAACATTGTTTTGGTATGTGAAGAGGGTGTACTGAAACAAAGGGGTATCGTGCGATTAAGTGTCAGGAGATATAGTGGTGGTTGAAAGTATTGGTCGTGATGAGAATGCGAGTAAGGTAGGTTGGTAGATGGATAGTTGGACGGACAGGGTGTGATGAAAGATTGATAGTCGATTGATTAATGGAGAGAGGGAAACTCGACTAGTCCGTCTTATTCACCGGCGCTAAGCCGCTTTCGGAAGTCCCGTTTGCCTCCGCGGACCGGCCTCGGAGATAGTGAGTAAATGCCGTCTTCGGCATGACGTTACCCGTACAATGCAGCTAAACGATGGGTAATGCTTGAGCAGGAAGGCAATACGATATCTAGATTGGGTATACGCGAATTGTGATTTCTTTCCTTATCGCTGGCCATGACGGGACTGACACGAAGATTGCGAGGGGTTGCGGTGGAGGGTTCAACCAAAGTTCTTGCGGGAAGCAGGCTGCAAGTTGGAACTGTTCGTTCTAGTCTGGTTTTGGTATGGCGGACACTTCGGCCAACGGGAACGGGTTGCAGGCGGCATTCATTACCAAGCACTGATCGAGCCGCCTTCCATCTGATAAATTTTACCCATCCTGTTTGTTTGCTTTGCCAGCATATCTTCATGGGGTTACGGAGTACCTCGGATAAATCCTGGCTCCGGCTACTATTCCCCCGAAAGCCTACCCACACTAACAAGCGTAACCACTGACTGTTGGCTTGGAGCTCAGTGTCACACTCTTCTTGCCCTGTCCACACATAATCATTCTAAACCATGGCTGGAAAGACCTTGGGCCGATCATCGGGGGTAAGTTGATGGGAGCAGTCGTTCCCGTTTTGCTCCCTTCTAGCAACAATATTAGAGCTTCCCCCTCTGGATAAGAATGACTAATCCACCATTAAATCAACCTTATCTGACTGCGTCAAACTCCAGTCCCTCAATGCTCCCATAGCCGCCTTCACCATGGCGGTCATCCTCTGCTCTTACTGCATCAGCTCCATTCACACTGCCCGTCGCGAAGCACAGTCTTCCCCCCCCGTCACTAGCACCACCACCACCACCACTCGTCCCAAGCGAACGGACGTCCAACAAACTTGGGTTCAGCAGGCATTGGAAGAAAGCAGGGGCTCCGAGCGAGGGAAGCGGGATTCGAACTAAGTAGGGTGCTACATATGCAGCTTACTCGGATTGATGGGAGATACGGGCTACACAGCTGGCTGGTTGGCCTTTGTCTTTCTTGTAGATATATTGTGCAATTGTATTGTTGCTATTTGATGGGCATGGGGACACTACATGTGTTCAATCCCGCTACCCTCGGGGTAAGCAGAAATGGTGACAACTTGAAGACCAAGAGCAAGAAATCCAGAAGACTCAATTACCAGCAGTGGAGCCAAGCGAAGCCGACATCAGAAAGCAACATATCCATGAGTCAGAATTTTCAGTGTATGAATAGTCATATCCCGGGTTTTTGAAAGTTTGTGAAACACCGTGGATCTACCATTTGAAAAATGTTCATCATATCAATGGAGTTTGTGCTAGAAGATCGGAGATTCGATGGTCGTTGCGACTTGAACCATAAGAACCTAGGCGCATCTTGTGGCCTCTTGTTGCTGACTTCGGCCTACATCAAGGCCATTTCAACGGTAGGCAGAATAACATCAATGCCATGTTCAGAGCAAGCAAAGCATGCCTTACATGCTTGCACCGGCCTGTCAATCAGGCGCTGGCTCTCATCATGGTAATTTTGCTCAACTGGTAGTTGGGGCAGCGGTGGAAGATAGAATGTAAAAAGTGGGAAAGCTTTTAAGGCGATAGAGAAATATTTTAGTGCGATATATCACGTGATAGCCCTGCTTAGCAGGCTGTCCCCTGATTGGCTATTTGGTTAACGATAGGCACGGTTGTAGGAAGAACATGGAGTGGGGAGCATATTGTTGCACAGACGAAGATAACAGAAAAGAATAGCAACTTGGACTAGAAGGCAAGGAGGTATGACAGAATATATACAATTGCATCGATGACCTATCTGTTCATGAAAGACAAGACGCTCAGTACCACAAGAGAATAAACCACAAGGACATGAAATGATGGAAGCTTCCCATGTTAGGCCCCGTCACTCTACCCCGGCATCACTATTGATAAAAGGTCGAGCCATTGCCAATAGAGCGATGTGGAAAATGTATGCAGTTTGAACATGAGAAGCCGTAGTCTCTAAAATCATCATGAGGGTTGACAAGTGGTAAGCAACATTCACAATTGCGTGTCCTTGTAACCATGATTTAAACATCTAATAATTTATATTGCGTCGGAGGAATCACCGGCTCTGCCCGCCTGCACTTCCAGCTTCAGCTTTCCTTCATGTTGTATATGCGAGATGGATTTCCGAAGATATTCATAGGTAAGCATGGTAGTCATGGCAGCCGGGACAGCACGGAAAAGATTCGTGCCAATCCCGGAATAGAATGCGCGCCAGCCTTCTTCTCTGAGAATCGTCTGGCAGGTGCGGATGACGCCTGTGTATCGCGGCCGATTGGGCATGCCGTCCGATGAGGCCGCACCTGGAGGGCGACCTCGGTCCTGAGGATGGTCCAGTCCACCACGAAATGCAATTTCCTCTGGTGAAGAGGCCGGGGACGTGCGCTGTTGAGTCTGAAGTCTCGTCCGTAGCACTTCGTGCGGATACGTGACGGTGCTAGCGCAGACCTTGCTGAGAAACGTTGCGGCAGTAATCCCAAACCAGTGAGAGCTGCCGCTGTCGGGATGTTCTCCGATCCCATAACCGGTAAAAGCCATCTTCAAGTACTCGTAGAGCGGGAATTGAATAGCAACATGCGTCAAGCCTAAGAGTGCCGGTGTGAGTCCTGAGTAGAATGAGCGAATTCCTTCACTCCTGTACATCTTGCGAGCGGCGTCCCAAGTGCTTTTATACTGCCACGGAGCCCGATACCCTTCGCTACTAGATTTGAGGCTCTGAGACATGAGCCGCGTCTTTATGACCCATATCGGGTTCGTCGCGAGTGTAGAGCAGGCGCCAGCTGTTAGAGAGGCATACCCTCTTGAGAGCCACCAACTATCTATTTAGCCAAGTCAGCAACAGTTGCCTACAATCAAGAGCAGGGCTGGCTCACCGGTAGTCTCGTAAAAATACTCCCGAGACCGATCATAAACGGCCAAATAGACAGCCCACGTCGGAAGGTACCCCAGAAGCATGGGGCCCAGTCCCTGGTAAAGCCCTCGGATTCCATCTTCCCTCCAAATTACCCTTCCAGTGCCCAGCATACCCCGGTACAAAGCTTTCGTCTCAACAGCTTCACCGCGCCGTCGCGCAAACCCACCTTGGGCCTGTAATTTTGTCTTGATCACATCCAACGGACATGTCACAATACCAGAGGCTACACCCGCACTGGCTCCACAGAAGGGTGTAATCCAAACACCGGGTATGCGCGTCGAGAGCATCTCAAGGTGATCTAGGAAGGTTGGATCCTTCGGCATGGGAGGCGGTGTATGAGGCGCGGAGGGCGATGAAGGGCCCTGCTGCTCTTGAGAGCCGCTGGCGGCATCCGAAGAGCCATGTCCCTCGGTAAACATATTCGCAGCCAGCGCGTAAGCAGTTATTGATTCGTTTATATGTCACCGAGGGTTCCCGGATCCGAGCATATCGGTGCTCGCTCCGGAACCCAGTATGATCCTTTGTCAAATCGTGGTGGGATGCGGATAGCGGCGTCGGTCAGAGCACAGGCGACGAGAGAAGTTAGGTTCCAGATTTTGAGATCGTTAACGACACTCTTGTGATCTGAGGTTGATGGGCGACTACTATGCGTTGCGAGGTTACCCTGTCCGGGGCACAGACGGGGCGGGGTCTGGAAGATCGTCTCAACCCTCCTATCGGAGTCGAAGTTGCAGAACCTTTGAGCGAGAAAAAATAATCAGCGAGTGACGAACCTCATGCCTAGCGGTAGACGGAAATTCTAGGGCAATGAGCATAGAAGCCAGTGAGTCAGGTGGGCGCACCGAAGTTGAAAGAGACGGAAGAGCACGGAGTCGTGTGGGCAAGATGAATTGACTTGGGAAGGTCGCTTTAGCAGCATTGCTCCAAGTCAGGTGGAGTGAATCCACAATAGACCGGCACCAAGCGCCATTTTGGCCTGAGGCATGAGCCCTGCGACGGGGATGCTGGGGGGATAAATCACGTGAGATACATATGGGCAGAATCGGACAAGCGTTGATGCCTCAGGCATGTGTTCGGATGTTTTTGGGAAAGTTCACCCGCCGAACCTCCGTTTTGCACAATCTCCAACGTCGGGCCATCTCTTGCTAAGCTTGACTTGACATCTCGCACTCTTCCCCCCTCCGCACCACCTTGCCAATTGGACTCCAATATACCCGCTATTGGGATCTATCACAATGTCCGCCCCTTCCCTTACCAGCTTCATTGTCAAGCGCCCATGGCTCAAGCGCTGGATGACGCCGATCGCCGAGTGGTACACCGACGCCGCCGGCTACAGAAGACTCGGTCTCCGGTAGGTGCCTTCACCATCCAATTTGCCCAGACACGCATTCGATGCTATGGATATACAATTGCGAAGGAGCTCACATGGTACATCTCGACATCTTTCGAGAATCTTCGTCTATATTCGCGTCGATGCCTGGCTGGGATAAATCACACCCCCAGTATTCACATAAGGGCACCAAGAGCTGACCGGAACTAGCGCTGATGACCTGATCCCTGAGGAGAGCGACGTTGTGCAGACGGCTCTGAAGCGCCTTCCTCCCAAGGAGGCCTACGACCGCATTTTCCGTATCCGCAGAGCATTCCAGGTTTGTCCTTCTGGGAACAAGACATTACAAAGAAAGCAACAGGTTACTAAAGCTCGGAAACAGTGCTCCGTCTCCCACACCCTCCTTCCCGCTGCTGAGCAGACCAAGCCTCAAGAGGTGAGTCGAATTTGACCCCTTAACTTCGAGTATAGGCCGTTTGGTTCTCCGCAATGAGTCTCGGCCAATCCCGTGAGCCGGATTTGTCACCTGCATGGGACTTCGGAAATGATGCACGGACTGGCTATATCTCTCTTCTCCGATCGGTTTTAGGCCTTTTGAGTACAAGCACTAATGTTCGTTATAGGATGTTGAGTACCTGAGCCCCATCATCCGCGCGATCGAGCAGGAGAAGAAGGAGCGTGAAGACCTTGACAGCCTTGTCGTCCGCCGGTAAACGCTGCGGATTCGAGCCCTCTTGTTGTCGGAATTAGACTATCGTCGTCGGGAACCGTGGATGGTCGGGACAGAGATGAGAAGACATTTGTTCTTGTCCGGCTCAGCTGAGATAGTATCGCTAGCATCCGGCTAACGCTCAATCGAGCCTCTTGATATGTCGCTCAACCACGTGTACTGATATTGTACAAATCTATTTGTCTTTGTCTTTTGCTATCCGTCAATCCAGTATCCAGTTGTCATAGACGATAGCTGTTCCTGCAACGCTCAATGCATTGGGCACTGTTCCTCCGGATTACACTTCGGGTTACATCGGTCGACGGAGTTCACCCGACCAACCATGCACTGAGGATGTCGAGCCATTCTTATCATCTTAATATTCGAGATTTCATACTACATCTAGAAAATATTATGGTGTTAGCTATTTACAGCTCCTTGGTCATAACAATCGACTAGTAGAGTATGCAAGTCGAAGGCCTATATCATGTCTTTTCCTCCTTTTCGTTACGAACTCATCACGGCAATATTGACGTCTGTCACTCGCCACATGTACCACATGAAGAGGCTCCTAGGACGCGAGTAAGCTAGGAGGGAGGCGCATATGTCAATTCTCGCACATACCTGTATGGGGCGAATTTTGCGGCCAATTCTAGCATATCTTTTTCGGCCATATATTTGAACTTACCCCCGCCCTTCCCCTTCAATTTACTTACATCCTTGCCAATGAACACGGCGCATCCTCGCCTGCGAAAAGTCAGCGATAATGGTTCAAGGTGACACAGCTGGGAAGACGGATGACGCACTGCACACCCAGATCACCGGTAGAGAAGACGTCTATTCGCTTCAAGGCAAAGCAAGCGAACATCTCTACCGACCAGAGGCCCAATCCCCTCACGGCAGTCAGCTTCTGGACCAGCTCCTCATCCGTAGCGTTCAACAGCATCCGTGCGCTCAGCTCCCCGTCCGCGAACTTCTGCGACAGCCCCAGAATATACTCGGCCTTGCGCTGGGAGAGACCCGCGGTCCGCAGCGTCTCAATGTCCATCTTTATGATGTCTTGGGGCGTCGGAAACTTGTCCGCGTCGTCACCCTTCTCGTTCTCTTTATTGAACAATGCCACAAACTTATCGCGTATCGACTTGGCCGCGGCGCCGCTGACCTGTTGTCCGATGATACTCTGGACCAGGCTCCGGAACGGATCGATCTCCTCCGCCAGTCCCTCGGGTGTGAATAGCGGGCACGGATGCGCCTTGATGATCGGGTCCAGGCGGGGGTCCGTGGCGATCAGGTGGGCAACGGCATTCTCCAGCAGTGTGCCCGTCGTGGCTGTCGGCCGTGGTCGGCCGGTCCTGGTGGGCGATTCGTCCTCTGTTCCTGAGGGGTAGGCAACGAGCGAGGAGCCGTGGGGGGTAAGGAGAGTTGCGTTGGTTCGGTGCGGTTCGACCGGTCGATCGAGAGGAGGGGTGGTGCAACGAGGTCTGCTTAAGCTGTTATTATGAATGGGGCCGATATCCCAGATGTTAGCAGGCGCTGGCTGTTTCTCCAGCTCAGAAATCCTTGTGGTCGATGAAGTTGTAGTCTCGGCGGAAACGGGGTCTGGGGGAGTAATCTGCTCTGTAGCCACATTCTGAGCCTTGGTGCCCCTTGCGGGGGGTTTTCGTGCTTTCGAGACCTTGTTGCTGGGATGACCGGCTTTGCTGCTTCTGCTGCTGCTACTGCTGCTTCTCTTGGTTTGCGCGCTGGTGGTGGGTTGCAAAAATGGTCCTTTGTTATTGGGAAGTGCGCTCAGACGAGCGGAACGCCGTAACGCCATCATTCGGACTGATTCTAGTATATAATGATAAGTGTATGAATGTATGTATGTATGTATGTGAATGCGAATGTGATTGCAAATATACTCGACTGTGTCAGGCTCTACTTGGTTACTCTTGGCGGAGTGACGTCGCGAGGCACAGGCAGAAACAGACACCGATAAGCTCGGCGGTCAAGAGTATCTCATCGATACGATCTCATCATCCTTAGCTCCAACTCCTGATGAGACAGACTGCGGTTTCTTATTCTCCGCATTCTTCACTGCAGACCTATTGTTGGCTCGGATGTTTCAGGTCCTTGAACGCTGCGATTTCACCATATCTGCTTTCACCTCCGGCCGACCTGTCAGCTGCTAGTATACTATTCCGAAGGGCAGTGCAGAGGTGGGTTTCCACAGGCGACCTCTTCACACGGCTGCATTTCGAAGCACTTCGCAAGTATGATAAGTGGTTCAATTTGGTCATGCCACTGGGAAAGCCTTCCAGTTGCCAATCGTCATTCGCATATGAACTTCTGTATGTGCAGAGCAAGTCCCAGCCCACATCACCGCTTTTGCCTCCCTTCATGAGTGCTTGTGTTTAGTGCCCCTTATCAAGATGCCTACCCCCTTTACAGTCGCGAACAGTCTCGAACGTGATGAACAGTCCTCATCTTATTTACTCCAAGAGGGGAGATTTAGGAGCATTGACATTTAATCTTAGATTACCGGTCTCCGTAGATGAACAGTGGACCACACAAATTGTATGATCAACTCCATGGAGCCCTTCTGCGGACGGAGGACTAGGGGTTCCCCGAATCTGTTGCGATTCGCGGAAAAGACCCGATTGGCTATGTCTCAAGCATTTGTGTTCGGCATTGGGTGCTGTTTGCAAAGACTTTTCCTGGATGATTCTTTGGCGTCCATTCACGGGGAGGCGAAGGCAAGACCGATGGATGGCGCATCTTTGTCCAGTGGATACTCGCGCGGATCGCCTCCCAAGGGCAAAATTGTATATACCCGGCCAATAAAAAGGTCCATCGACAGATTTTATACCATTGGTAAGCACTACGGTCAATACCGATAGCGTGGGCTTGCGTCATCGACTGATCGGACCATGGTCGTAGTCTTGCTGCGTATCCACACGAAAGGATGAAGAAGAAAAGAAGAAAAGAAAAAAGAAATAGAGTGGGCCATTTTCGGCCTTGTACGACTCTGGGAAGGTCAACTGATTCTTGCTGGGCGGAATGATGGGGTGCATCTAGAAAGCTGCTTTCATGTCTGCTGACGGTAAATGTGTCCGTGTGGCAGAACAGGGGGCAATCTGCATAGCTCGTTACCATACCATAGTTCTCCTATGTAAAGTATGTTAGGGGCCAGAACAGCCGGGCTGCTCGCGATTTGCCTTGAGCGAAGGGAGGCCTCCGTGGCCAGGACCCGTAATGGGGCCCGAAGTCTATTCAGTAAATAGCTAGAACACCCGAAAGAGACTGGTGGGCTGCTGGTTTTTTATGAACAAGAAATGAGAGGGAAAGCTTCGTGCCTTGAGTGAGGAGAATTCTGGACACTGGAGGTTGTGTTGTACGTCCCGCTTAGGAGGGAGACATGGAGTATGAGTGGATGGTCCGGTCGGCATTATGTTGTGGTGAGATATCTGTCATGGACGAGGCAGATATGTTACTATGGCAATAGGCTCCAGACTCGATTTCGTCAACCAAGTCATACATAAGGAGGCTCTCCATCGTGTTGCGAAGCAACAGCAAGAAGATTGGGAAATGCGCGCGTGTATCGACATGGATGAAACAAGACTGCGCATATATGCATCGCGCCAGTCACGATATTGGTATAATAAATCAGCAGCTATGTCTCTCGCTCGCGGCCTTTTGTTGTTTTTAGTGACAAGGGTGATCACCAGTATTCTAGACGGAGCTCCTTCTTATCAAATATTAGGAGGTACTACGTCCGAGGTTGTTGGCTGGGGGCCAGCCACCCGCGCCGTAGTGGCGTTAGGACGAACGTGCTCGCTGCACTTGGTAACATTATCTTCCTTTATGCGTGTTGATTACGGCGGGGGCCCCATGCAGGGCAATGCACAACTCTCCATAGAGAACATTGCATGGTCAAGATGCAAACAGGTGGTATCTCTCATTGAGCACACAGTCAGACTAGCTGGCTTGTAAGGCAAGCACATCTACATCAGTCGTGAGGCCAACAGAACTTATATCATTGTTCCGCTTTGGATCGCAAGGGCGCATTGCGCCACTTTAAGAAGAAGAAGGGTTATCGCCGCGTCGAGTCTGATTATTGCGACGGATAAGTTGTGGAGTTTTGATGGGTCTGATAATAGCTGAAGAACTCTAAACCGATCAAGGAGGAGGAACAAGCAATAGCGGAAGCGACCATGACGATCAAATTTCCAGGGATTTTTTTAGATGGGATTCCCAAGTTCCCTCCTCCTCGCAGGTCTACCAACGTCTGTGATGATTGCTTGGATGTTACATGAATAACGAATCCCTTACAGAGCAGGTAGTTGTGCGATTGAATGTCGCCGTATAGTCCACGACGATGATGCAAGTGTCGCTTGATCTCATTGACAGCACACGCAGATAGAGTCATTTCATGGTTGTTTCAGGTCATTGCCACTGGTCAGAGGCGATGGGCCTATGTCAAGCTACTTCTTACCTTAGCAGCACTTGGGCAGTTTCTCATCCTATCCATCGGAGGGCTTATCCAACCGGACAATGCACCTACTGGGTACTGTATGTAAGTTACTCTCTAGTGGTATTACCGAATATGCTCATAAATCCAGGCTTTGCCCAGGCGATGTGGGTCTCACTAGCGGTGATATGGAAATTACAGTGGTGTTACGTATGAATGAAAGCAGCACGTGATATTTTCGCCCTTGAGACAGTCTGTCTCGCCACTTTATTATTAGGTTTCCTCGCGAGGACATCTGTTTACCCGCCAAGTTGGTATCCACCCGTACCTGAAGCCAAGATACAAATTGAGTTTGCAGGCAAAGAAGAAAAGCAATGGATGAATGATGAAATTTCTCGAACGTGGTGGGCGTCAGCTTCAAGTTCACTCCAATAGGCGAATACTATTCTTACTGACATGATCAAGATGAGGCACAATGTGGCTGACACCCGAGTTGGAGACAATGTGATTCCCCGACCTGCTAAGCACATACCAACATACGGCAGGCGAGGACCAGAGAGTTGCGTCGGTCTTCCGTAGTCTGCAGTGGCGGGGCTCCCTCGATTCCAATAAATTCAGATCGACCACTACGCGACAACCCGGCTCAATAATACCTTTAGCCTTTACCGTACATTCTTGGAAACGTGCCATCAGGTCCGGCAGTCCTGGACTCTCAATAATCGACAATGTTGGCTAATGATAGAATCTTGATTGACGTTTGTGTGAAGAAGGGGGGGGGGAGAGACGGGTGTCAAATACATATTGGGTGGAATAGATAGGTCCTTCGGGAGCTCCCTAACAATATAGAATCGAGGTCTGGCCCCTCCTAGCGGCGAGATGCTAATTTTGTACCGACTTGCCTTGCCTGTGCTGGTGCACCATCGTCATTTTACCTCGCTCCAGCCCAAATTTCCGCGATGCATCCAAGCCGCATTCCATTGAGGGGCCCTCATTTCACTGTCTTTCATTTCATCGTATGGGTCGCATTAGCCATGACAAGAAAAGAATTTACCCGTCGCGCGCAGTGTGAATTTCAACATGGGCACACAGTACATACGGATGCACTTGTAGATAGATTGGGGATGCGTGACGTCGAGTTCGATGACTGTGTTCCCAGTCCAGCGCCAGCGCCACCCGTGTATAGACTATAGATAGGGCAGCGAAGATGATAATGGGTGATTGGATGAACTTGTGAACCACCACTCATGTAAACACAACAGACTTAACAAAGGGCTTGGAAGCATGGAAACCAGCAGAGACAGTTTGGTATGATGGGGTGGGAAAGGGGCCTGCTGAGCGAATCAGAAACTGTCGTCAGGCATGATCATTGGTGAAGTGTTACAGGATGGAGCAGCCTAAGCAGTCCTAGGATGGACTTGTTTCCGGTCAGAAATTTAGAAGAACAGGATTCCTGCGGTTTGATCATGCTGGTGGCCGGTTTATTCTTTCCCGCCCTCCCGGTACTTTCGTTACCATGGACACTTCATCACTACTGACTCCACCCCTCATCGGTTGCTCCCCTTCGAAGAGCACTGATTAGCCCAGCGGAGCCCAATCCGTTCAGGTACTATCTGTAACTTACCGAAATTACTGGTTTGTCCCTGTTTATACATCGATCCGGTAACGTCGCAAGGAGAATCTTCCCCCCCCCCGGTCTCAGGTCCACCTACTAACCTCGGGGCCACGACTCCTTTCTCGTCCTCCCTGAAAGTCTTCCTTCCCACTTTCTTGGTGGTTTTTCTTTCTTGTTATCCAGTCTTTCTTTCTCTCTCACTCGCTCGCTTCTTCTTCTTCCTTTCTTTCTTCCCTTCTCTCTTCCGTGTCAGAAAGTGCCTGCCTAATCCGCGCACCATAACAAACCACTTCTACCTTCCGTTGAGGGCAATCGCAAGAAAAAGGCTTCTCCTTCGTTGAAGCTCCTCTCCTCCATTCTTTTATTTATTGTTTCGCTTCCACCCCCTTTCAGCTTTTACGCTTGACTTGACTACAAAGGGCCACGCCTTGCCCAGACTTCAAAATCCACTCTACAGTCATTGGTAGGTTAAATGTTTGTTTGCGTTGTCCCACTGTCTACCTGCACCTCTCAAATAGCTCTGATTCTCTCCGCATTGGCGTGAGTGAGTCCGATCATACTGCATGTCAGAATCTTGCAGCCGGTCTAGGAAGCGAGACTTGTGCTTTATGCCATCGTGACATTTTCAAGACTAACTGTTTGGGATTTGACAGTCTAGAATCACCTCGAAACAATGGCTATCATCAAGTACGCTATTCCCGCTCTCGCTGCGGCCCAGGTCGCCATCGCTGCCAGTGAGTGAATCGCCTTTCTGTTCGCAGAGGTCACTGTCGGCTGTGTACTGACATCGGAGCCAGGCTGTGGTAGCAAGGGCGACAGCATCAACATTGCCAGCCAGAGCGATGCCGATAGCTACGCCACTTGCACGAAGCTCACCGGTGACGTCGTGATCAGCGAACACTTCTCTGGTGACCTGAGCCTCAACGGCGTCTACGAGATCACTGGTGGATTGTCGAGCGATGGCGCCACCAACCTTACCTCGCTCACGTCTCCTAGCTTGGGCACCATTGGCGAGACCTTCAAGCTGAACGGGCTGACCACTCTGACCACCCTCAGCTTGACCAACCTGACCAGCGTTGGAGGCATCTCCTGGACTGCCCTGCCCGAGCTTCAGTCTCTCGACTTCGCCAAGGGTGTCTCGGAGGCTGGTTCCGTCGAGATCACCAACACTGGTCTCACCAGCTTGGACGGTATCTCCCTGAAGAGTGTCGGCAGCTTCGACATCACCGAGAACACCAACCTCAAGACCGTCAACGTCAACGACCTGACCAACGCCACCGGCCTTATCAACTTCGCTGGTAACTTGGACTCCCTCGAGATTATCCTTCCCAACCTTGCCGGTGGTACCAACATGACCTTCCGCAACGTCAGCGCTGTCTCCATTCCCTCTCTCAAGGAGCTGAGCGGACAGCTTGGTTTCTGGGGCAACTCTTTCACCAACTTCAGCGCCGCCAACCTGACCAGCACTGGTGACCTCGTCTTCGATGGCAACAGCGACCTTGCCAACATCAGCATGCCCGTCCTCAAGACCGTCAACGGTGGTTTCCAGATTGCTCGTAACGACAAGCTCAAGGAGATTTCTTTCCCCGATCTTGAGACCGTTACTGGTGCCATTGACTTCAGCGGTGAATTCAACTCGTAAGTGACTTTGGCTCCCCGGAATGATGCGATGTGACTGACCTTGCCCGCAGTGTTAAGCTTCCTGCTCTTGAGGAGGTCAAGGGTGGTTTCAACGTGCAGAGCACCGGTAACCTGACCTGCGACACTTTCCAGAAGATGCACAGCAGCAACGTCATCCGCGGTACCTACAAGTGCACCCAGACCGCCAACCCTACCACCAAGGACGGATCTTCTGGCACCACCACTTCCACCGGCAGCAGCGGCTCCTCCTCTTCCACTTCCAGCGACAGCGCCTCTGTCATGAACATCGCCAACGTTCCCGCCATGGGAGTTGCTGCCATCTTCGGTGCCTTCGTCCAGTACCTTTTGTAAAGGACGCTCGAGAGCAATTATTTGTGTGTACCGCTTTTGTTAAACCCCTATGATGGTTGTTGTGTGTAAAGTTGCCTAAGAAGCAATTGGTCGTTAATCCCAGTACTCTGCTGTTCTTATGATAATAATTTGAATATTGGGTTGAGCAACATTTGTGCAGCAGTGCTTGCCTTTGAAGAGATGATCGTTTATCCTTGTTTTCTATCCTGCTTCAATAGCGAGACGAGGCTACGGGTTAGTGGACGGTCCCCGGTTTGGCGCCTGTGAGCGGTCTCGACGTGTGTTATAGACGTTCCTTTGCTGTTTGCTCTGCCCCGTTGCACGATAGTACGTTACTTCTGTATTCCATTAATTCATCGTCCATATTTCATCGTATCGAGCCTTCTCCGGGTTTCAGTAGCTTTGACTCTTAAAGAACTCGGGCTGAAAGCAGGCCCGTCTCCAGCCTCGTGCATTTCAGAAGACCGTGGTGTCAAACTCAAATCCGCTGGAGCACTCGAGCTTGCATTTGGTTGCATTTGTAGCCCCCTAGGTCTCCCGGTCTCGGTGGTCTAGCTACTCCGCTTTGCTTCTTATTGCCCGTATCGAGGTGGGTCGAATGCATGTAAATGAGCCAAGGTCGTAGGCGTGTCTAGTTTCTCTGGTGACCCTTTTGACCCATAGATGATCACGATAGGTGTCTGATACATACCAACTTTCCCTTTCCGCTGCCCTTCTAGGCATACACCATCTGAGAGATCGTGCCAGTGGATCTCCTCTCGGGAGGAAGTATGTGTTGTTCTCCGGTGACGCACGGCTTCGCAGCCGGTGGGTCGAACTTTGCCTGTTCAGGTGTTTGCAATGCATGGAGATCGAAAAAAAAGAGAGCGCTCCATCTATCCTTCCGCCCGTCTTCCCATGAGGCATGAGTCTTCGCCGGCCCGTGATGGCTACCGGTGTATCTCGAATATGTGCATGCAGATGTATCCATAGCACTTGTTTGGTTCGAAGATGTGTCCGATAATGCATGCATGGGTGAATGGGTGCATGGATGACTCTGCTAGAGGAATTGCTGTGATGCAACTGATCTACAGGTATTGAGCTGAGCTTCTTATTTGTTTATTTACTCTACTTTGAAGCCTCTACTTTGCTTTCTCTTTCTATTTCGAAGATAAGACGTCAGCCCAGATGATAAGCAACGGATAGAGAAATGTGGTGTAGCTGGCCTGACTATATTTCTAGCCGTGTTGCAAGCACAAAGCGACACGAGGAGTTCATCCCCCATCCCCCATCCCCCAACCTCTCTTTCGGAATGAAAGCATAACCCCCACACACTTCTTTCGTTCCTTGTCTTCGTGGTAGTACTTCTGCACCGAAAGATTTGCAAGGCTCGGATTCATACTCCAGCCAGTCATACATGTTCCTTGTGGGGCTCAATTGGTGTAAGCTGGCGCGATAGGACGTCCGGCTATTAAGCTATTTTGTACTCTTGCATCGCTCCGGAGAAAGTCCACAGGTCTCACTTTCCCTTAAGTATGCCTGTGGCTTGTCTTAGGGTGGAGAAGGCTGCAAGCACGGTTCTGATACATCGCGTAGTCTCCATTTCACGGCGTAAAAGGGTGGTGCCCACTGTCGGGGATTTCTCCTCATACTGGATGTTTTGATTGAGCTTCTTTTGGTCTCTTCCTGAGGCGGTCACAGTCAGTAAATCGCGCTAGCGAGTCAAGTTTGCAACTGCATCCTCGGTGTGCTAATGATGCCTATGGCTGGCCACGGGAGTTAGATCCATGAGCCTCGGCCGGATTCATGGTCTGGGCTGCAGCTTGATGGAGATTTCTGCGAGACACAAGACTACCATCACGAAGCTTGAGCATGGTTGCCATTTACCCTCTGACGAGCATCAAGAACTTGATCGGATTATATGGATCTGTCACTGTATTTGTATCTTGAGCTTTTGGTACCATCTTATCAAAGGGCATCGCTTGGTAGTTTGTGCATCGTCCGCCCGACAGGTGCTCGACTACAGTGTGTTCGTTAGATAGACGCCTCCATGAGATGTCTATACCTGTCATGCTGTCAGCCAGAAGTGAAGCGTTGTGCCCGATCCCTTTCCATCGCTATCAACAAAGAAGTCATCATCCATGCAGGAATCCTTAGCAACGCGTTCGAAAGTCTCTCCTTGGATTGCAGTGAGTACAGTAACACCCTACAATGGCAGAGTGGAGATGAGGGTATCTGGCACTCCGGTAAAGATATGTCAGCGATAAATTATGTTTTAAAGAAACAATCTCTTGAAATGCCTAATATTGCATGGCCACGAAATCATACAACTCTTTCTGTAGCAGCTTTGTTTTTTTGCTTCATGTACCGTGATATGTTCGTGATCATTGCTGCCAAACTGCTTTTTGATACCGTCTCAAATGTGCCAGCATATCTATCTCTTTCCAGTTCGCCGCTTATGCTGGACATTTATTCTCTCACAAATCTTTTACGCTACGCTACATGTTCCAGAGCTCGGCTCTCCCGCCTAATCTGATCTGACACCGGTCTTTGTCTCTGTTTTGATTTAAGATATGGCGGAGGAAATTGATTCTGCGATGGACCCCTGGAGCATCAGATCTCCCTGTGGAGTGTTCACACGACGGGCGCTCAAGTCATGAGGATTCAGTAAGTGAGGAGTCACTTGACGAGAACGAGAAGGAGATCATCGTACTCAAGCTCACAAAGGTCGAAGGGTTCGATTGCGAAGATGAGAAAACTCGAGTCCGACGTCACTGTGTTCGGCGGCTGGGGTTCTTTGAGGTATGCCATCCAACGTCCGCGATCAACCTTTTCATCTCAAACAAAGGATCACCTTGTCACAACAGACGGAATGGGAACAACACGCTTTACATGCGACTTCTGGCGGATCGGACATTGTTTCTACTCGAATTTGTGCATAGCCACCGGCCACGACGATGAAACGAACTGGTCGACTGGATTTTCGGCGATGGCGGCCTATGGCCCTTGTGCGACTTCCTTACAAACGTGGTGTCGAAACCATGCCAACCGTTCTTCAAGGCTATGCTGTCTGGACAGGCGACGACCTCGAGTCTCATCTGCTGTTGTTCCAAATTCACTTGCAGTTAGTGACCAAGAACGGGCTGCCAACAATTATCAAGCTCAGTCTCGGGGGGTTTTCGCCCTCTTTAGCTCGATTGCCCTTCCTAGGCAAGCGAGGGCTGAAAAATAGATGTCCCTCCAGACGTGCCCCTGTACGACCTTTCAGTCGCTAAGGTCATACACGGGATGGTTCCTCGTTGGGTGTATAAGGTTGAGATCAATGGGACCCCTCATATTTACCAAGGAGCGAAACTTTCCAGTTCGTTCATCTGCGAGATTACAACTCTCCAGGGGCTAGGCGACAATTCCCGCCGCATACCGGAATTGTGCGGAATATTTGGCTCGGATGGCCCATGTCCTTGTATTCTATCGGAGGGGACTGACTTGGGGAGACGTCAAGCCAGAGAATGTTCTGATTGACGACACCCGCGACGCGTGGGTTATAGGTCTAGAGGGCAGCTATACAGGGAATCTCGTGCACTGAGGAATTAGCGGCGACTGTAGCTGGAGACCTTGCGGGTTTGGAATCGATCCGGGAATCTTTGTGTCTACCAGCTGAGCTTGCTGGCGCTTTGTAGGTGAGGGACATCGGCAGTGTTCATTCGTAGTTGACTTTCGAGTGTTGTTTCAATAAAATTCTTTAGGTCGATCGTGTGAAGCTGTTGGAATCCTGCGACGACATTGCCGGACTTCCTTCGAGCGGTGCTTGACAGGAAAGAAGGAAGATTCTGGATCCATGAGGTCTTGTTGATGATTTAAACAGTATACAGATCGCCAGGCTTATCTATCGAAGAGACGATCATTAGCTTGAAGGTAAACGAGGAATGGAACGTAGAGCGAGGCTATCTCAGCTACACAGGCCTTGCTTCTCAGACTAAGAGTGTCCCGGCACTGTCTGTCCTATGCTCAAATATGCTTGACGACTTCTTCTCGTCTGAGGTGACCTTGGACTCTGATCAGAGAAAGGCCCGGCGCGATTCGGTCCTTGAACCGCAAGATAGCGAGCCAAAGGACCTTATTTTGTTCTTACTGTCTAAGAGTTTCGACCTGAGCGTGCAGCATAGTCACCACAGTCTGCACAGCAGAAGCGGAAACAGACTTGGTACAAAACAACTCGACTGATGCCCCTGACCCAAGAGGTGGATTGTCATCTCAGAGGATCAACCATTGAAGTCGGAAGACACCCTCATTACGCGTGGGTTGCTTAGTATGTACATTGACCTGTCCGGGTGTGCTGAGTAGGTGCTGCGCTCAGATCACCTACATGGTCGTCTGCTGAGGCCTTGAGTATCTATAGATCACTTGAGTTTTGATTGGCTGGCAAGTCTCGGAGGGTAGAGACGAAAGCGAGCCTGACCCCCGTGGACACAAAGAAAGCACTTTTGCCCTTTAGACTACCTAACCTATATTCCACTGCGGTGGGCACGGAGTAGATGCCATTCTCTCGATCTGGTATGTAGTGACCACGCATCGGCAATGGTCTTAACTCTAAATACGGAGTCGCGAGGGAGTGAGGATGTTTCGTATTCCGCGGCCCGCTGCCCGTGTGTGGGGATGCGCGATGATGATAGACTTTCTTTGTCTGCCACTATCCCCTGAAGTTTCAACCTGGAAAAGGAAAGTCGAGGTCCGTGCAGAGCGTGGGCTGAAAGATGGGTCGACTGGGCCCCCCCTTTGGGTATGAGAGACTCGTTACGGTCTTAGAAATAATCTGGTATGGTAGGGCGCCGCCCGATCTCGGCGCTATCAGGTGAGAGGTAAATCCTATGCGCAAGTTAGGGATCAACTACGATTCTATTTACCTAAAAATTTCTGCCTGAAGAATCCGGCACGGGGGCGATGGTAATAATAGAAAAAGCAGTGGGTTATGGTTGTGGCTATTTGGAATGGATGAAGGGTGGATACCCGTTAGTGGTGATGATGGTGGTCTTGTTGTTGCAGAGTATTTGGCCCATATGATAGATATACTCCTGTGTGTAACTGACTGCTGATGCCTTGCATCGCAAGCGCATATCTTAGGGTTGGTATTTTAGTTTGACAGAGTGCGTAGCTAGGGAGAGAAGCTATAGGCCATCACCACCAGTCAGTCAGTCACCCTAGTTAGGGCCTGGAACGCGAGCCAGTGGCAAGGATTGGGTCAGGTTATACCCAACGCCATATCACTCTGGCCCCAGCAGAGTGCAATAATTAGGCAAGGTAGGCGATGAGGCAAGGCGTTGTTGACAGAAGATGCCATTCACAGATTTGGACAATCCGGAGGGGTTGGGCACACCAGCCGAAGAGTGTCGTTG